ACACACACACACACACACACACACACACACACACACACACACACACAAACACATAGGACACACGTACATATTGTACACAAAACGTTAAGATTTTCGTAATTCTATTGAAACTAACAAATTTAAATGTATTATATACGAACGACCCGAAATCTAGAAGCATATCGATTTAAATCTCGATACGACTTGAATGGACGTGCTATCGTCGTCGTCGTCATCGCTCTAACACACTAGTGTGTACGTGTATGACACACGTGCGTGGTGCTTTTCGTCGGTTGCGTTTTTTATATACGCTTTGTTGCATGACGAAAAACAAAAAGAATCGCCAGAACGTTTAACGGGCACCTCACCTCCATCCCTCACACACACGCACACGCACTATCGCCGAAGGTTAGGATCATATGCGAAAACTGTTCAAATATTTTAGGTTAGAATCAATACTGCGCGCCGTGACTACATGCCGCGCGTACGAGCCGCCTATGCCGCCGCCGCCGCCGTCGTGCCATCGACGCCTAATGTCGTGTCGTCGACGATATACGATATGTATACGTACGGCGGCGGCAAACATGGCCTCGGTCAACAAATCGTTGGAATAACATGGTGCGTTAACCGGCTGAGCATGTAATACGTGAAATTAGATTCGAACGCGTTCATCGATTCGACTTCGGTCGCGAACTCCTTCACCGCGGGCTTATTACACCGCTGCCGCAATTGCACGTGTCTATCGTCTTTCAGGAAAAGATCCATTATTGGGCGTGTCCTAAAATGGTGTGTGTATGTCATGTGTGTGCGTCCTTACTCCTTACCGTTGAAATTGTCGATAATCCTCTTCGGTCAACCGAAGAATTCGCATTAAAATTTTTAAACCACAATAATTATTTACCATTGGCGTTGCTGCATACCATGCCACGTTGCTGTGTACATTAGTTTTTATCTCGAAACTATAATTATTATTATCTCGGTTTGTTCGGCATTCGTTATAATTACATTAATAGCATTTCCATTTCGATCAATGTCATCAAATTTGTTTTATAATTGACGTTTTCAAGTGCAGTACGACAAATATTTGATCTTATCAATTTCTATAGCCACAAATACACACTGTAAATTCTAGACAGCTTTAAACTATGATTTCTTATCTGACGTTTTGAAACCAAGTTAAACGGCCCGTAAACATTGTTAAGTACCAAGCGGTTGACTGAATCTGGAGTGTATAATATTTCCCTTACTCATTCACCAAAACGAATAATACCAGATTGTTGTAAAGAACAACTTAAATATCGAAATTATACATTAATAATAATAAATATATGTGTGATTAAAAAATTAATCTTATAGTGTTTGAAACGTTTTTAAAAATATTGATACCCGGACTGCAATCGTTTTCATTTTATGTAAACGTATGAAAGAGTTGAACGCATCATTTATTATTTCGATGACATGAGGACATCACATTTTATTCATCCGTAAATTGTAATTTTCAAGGCATAAACTTGTTTTTCTTTCATGTTTAAACTTATCACTATTCAACATTTTGCATTGAGACGAACTCTTGAGTAGGTACTATTAACATTAGTAAAAATTAGGGATGTGTATAATTGGTTTAGAATTCAAAAATTCCGAATAAATTTGATATACTACATTTTTCTAATAATCAGAACGCCCTACCGCCTATTCATAAGTCAGTAGGTTTAATTTTCTGTGATATGCATGAATAAATTATTTAAATATATACATGTATATATATAAAACAAGTTATTCTAATAATAGTAGTAGGCGTTAACATATGTGCCAGTGCTTAGTAATATAATTTACATTTTCAAAATTATCAACATTACTACTTCAAATCTGTTCTATTAAAATTTTATTTCATTAAAAAAATACAAATAAAAATTTAATGTTAAAAACATTTTTATTGTTTATTTTTAGTTCACCAGCCAAAAAATGCCATTTGATTTCTTATTTTGGTTACTATCGATTATTTAACTAAACATATTCAATAAATATAAATAACATTTTGAATTATGGTAAATATTTAATTTTTAAAACCATGATGTGAATTTATTCAAATTCGTTCGTATTTTTGGTCCTCAAATAATAATTAAGCATTAAAGTATTAAAAAATTCTAGTAAATAATATAAACTCATATATTATTTAATAGCATCACAAAAATATTGAGAAGAAAAATATTTATATATTTTCTAGAATACCTGTGTACTCGAGAACTTTTGTAAGGAGCAAAATATATTTTCAAAAAATATTTACTATATAATATTATTTATACGTTTTATCAATTATTTCACTGTATAATATTATTAACATCCCTTGCAAAATTTTCCTAATATAAATTATTTAAGCTTTTTATTTATTATTCATATTTTATAATATTTGTCTAAGTGTGATCAAATTTTCTCAGTTTCATAAAATATTATTATATTTTTAAAAGTATTTAGTTCATAAACAAAAATGTACGTATAATGTCATAACTAGAATGAAAATAGCGAGATGTAAAGGAACAGGAATGTGATATTTTTTCAATAGATGATTAGACTATGTATTATAATATTTCTTTTTTTAAAGTATATATGTGTTATACTTTTCTTGAAATTAGTTACTTTGTACAACTAAAAAACAATTTTTGTTTTGAATAATTATAAGCATAATAAAAATAATAAAATATACATAATATGTATATTCATATTTAAATAATTAGGAATAAAACATTAGGTTTTGTTTACTTATAGAGTTTTATTACATTTTAGTTATTTATAAGTAACAATACCAACTAACTTTTATTTGGTTAAAATGTCTTTGTTTGAAATGAATTCGTAAATAAAGATATATCAAATCAGTCTCATATATGATTATATATTATTATAGTGAAGTTACTAAGTGTTTTTATACAATGTTAATAGCAAGTCTCAATTGTTATGGTACTATATACCAATGTCATTATGTGAGGGAAACTATCTCAAATATACTTCACAATTTATTACTATTCTGTTTGTTGATGGACCAAAACGAATGTAACATATGACCTGAACTCAAACTGAGCAATGGTATTTATAAACGATAAATATGGGCTTAATTTTAGGATAGACCATGGTCAACTGCGATTACCATGGGTTAGGATTAAGATGTTCCGACTGTGATAGGCTACATATTGTATGGAATTTAAAAGATATGTTATAAATGTAAACAGGAGATTTGAAAGACTCTTGATGTTTTGTAATCTTCGTGATTACGCGTACCTCCACCAAACAATACGCTCTATTTCTTATCATCTTAAAATAATTATAATTAAATATATTTTAAATCTGAAATTACTATTTAGGTAAAACATAATGATGATAACCAAACGTTACTAAATGCTCAACTCGTATATATATATATACTCATCATTTTAACGCATGATCTGAGATCTACAATTTAACTTACCTAAAGACAACATCTTATATTACTCATATTTACTAATATGTATCGTAAGAGATCTTAAGAAATATGTCATTTTTAAAATCACGAAGTTTACGAACATGGAAGGAGCCTTTAAAATTCTTCTGTGTTAATTAAATATGTTATTTTTTAATGAATCTAATTTTTTAATTTTCGAAAGATCTTTTAATATGTCTTATAAGCATTTCTATATTTGTCACGAAAATCATTAGTTTTCCGGAGCACTCGTGCACATATTTTTATTTTATTTTTTTTATCTTATAGCACTATCATAATGTTTCTTGCAATGTTACCCAATTAATTAAAATTTATAAAAACATTTATGCATACAGTTAAGCAGAATTAGTTTTATAATAAAAATTGTTATCAAATGGACAATGACAATGTGAGCCCCGCAGTAGCGTATAAGAAATTATTTTTAGTAAATGTGATAACGAGACAAGTGAGATCATCGATTATTTTTTATTATTAGGTGCTAAAAACATAAGATTAGCTATTTGTGTATTTTATTATAGTTTTTTTTTGTCAGTGCAATATATATACATATATATATATTAAAAAAATTGCTAATGAATGAAAAACAACAGTTATTATTTTATTTACCAGTTTTCCACAGTCCTACATCATAATTATTTACAATCAATATTTTTTATATATGTGTATAATATATATTTAATATAAATCATATAGATAAGTATTTTCGTATTACCGATTTATATGCATATAATATAATGCGTGGTCCAATACTTAGTTCCCAGATTACTGACTAACTATTGCATTCATTATAAATTAATATGTAGGTCTTTTTACGTTAACATTGATTGATTTGTGTGTATATATTGTATGTAAAATAGGAAGTTTGTTTGGTGGAAGGAGTGTTCAACACATTGGCCGCATACAGGTCGCAAGTTTCCGTTCTACAACAAGGATTTTCCGCTTTTAGTCGGTTCTCGACTTTGCCACACGTTTACAATACAGGTAAAATCAGAATACTAAAAAATTCGTCTAATAATAATTGGTTCAGTCATTAATATCTTGGTCCATATTTAGTGGAATGTATTTCCTATAATCATATATTTTTAACAGGTTTACGATAATTAACATTGATTTACTATATTAACTATAGTTTTTAATCCGTCCAATTAAATATTATATATATCATATACTAATACTATATAATACTATTCGGTGTCGATGTAATATTCAAAATAAGAAACTAAATAGTTTAGTGTAAGTTTATGATAGATCATTAAATAAAAATATTAAATAATAAGAGTATTTTTAGATTTGAAAATAATTATAAATTAACGATTTTCAACTTGATTATAATATAAAAAGTACAAAGTTTTTAATCAAAAATAATTTGTAGATAGATTTTATTTACATTAAAGATTAAATTAAATTTATCTTTCTAAACAATTTTCATTTCAACGGTTAAAATTACAAATTTTAATAGAAAATGTTGTAAGTAACGTATTCATAAATTATTCTTCTAGATTTCTTGTATTATGTTTTTACTAAAATAAATTACCATATAATCAACAAATATTTTATTATTTTATTTAAGATATACCTGTTTATTTAATTACGTCTTGATGATTATTTTATGAAGATACAATTATGTTATTAGAAGAGACTAGCATGGTACATCGCTTAATACTCGGATGGTCACGCATCCGAGAACCAGTGATCAGAGAAATATCTTTACGGAAACCGGTCGACCGGTGACTGATGTACCACTCCTCTATGTTCCTATTTTTAAGTTTAAAACATAAAATCACTTAACGGTTAAAATGTATATAAAAAATTGCGAAGGTAAATATTACAATTTAGTCATGGTTAAAATGAAAAAAAAAAACATAATGAAGAAAATGTTTTCTATTTTTCAATTAAAGATTTTAGTTTAAATATTAGTCATTGGAAACAAAATCTGTATTTGTTAGTATAATAAATAAAAAAAATAAAAAAATAAATATTAGAAGAAATTCATAGAAAAAACATGATATCCGTTGATAGAACCCATTAGGTAGTATTATTTTTTATAAAAAACTTTTAAGACCTATGACCGAATGTTTTATACGTCGTATATACCAATTTAAGAACAAAGATAAGCCATCGTACACAAAAAAACAACTTTGGACAAAAACTGTTTAGAAATACTACCTAATATCTATACTGAATATATAAGTTAAATAAGTGTAACTCAAATATAATTATTGAAATTATTTTAATAAAACGCCTGACTGAAAAAATATAATGTGATTCCCTTGTTTTATTGGTTTTCTATTACCATTAAAACTACTCGAGAAATTACTTTTAACCTTGTATCTAATGATTCCAGTTTTTGATCTTATGAAACTCTATGTAACGTTTAAGCGTTAGCAAGACAAAATATGTATAATTTTGAAATCAATACGTTATTTTATAATTTTTGTAGAATTTAATATATCCAATAATATTAAAATTAAGGTTTACAAAAATAAAATATAAATTAGAATTAACGAGCTTTAAGTTAACAAAAAACTGAAATGAATTATCAAAACAAATAAATATAAAATGTATTAAACGAACCTTTTAAAAATGTCTACATATTTCACTAAAATAAATATTCATAAGATTTTTCTCAACTGTTTATTATTCTGTAAAAACAAATACAGTAAATTTTAAAGTTTTTTCGTGATTGTCTAGCAGTTTATCGAATAAAAGATGACCATTTTAAAATACTAACAAGATGAGATTTTCATTGTTTGGTTGGTCGAAAATATAGTTGGTTACGGACGATTTTTCTATCCAAAAACGTACATAACCAACTTAAAAATAGTTATAGAAGAGTTTATAACGAACCATAGTATAGATTCAAATTCTAAATTTAAAAATATATTCTAGATTTTAACGTATCGTATGCATATATGCATATTGAAATACGTGTAAGCTATAAATACACTATATAAAATATAAACAATATAAATATCACTTGTATATATACGTTAACAATTCCAAGTAGTGTTTGGATTAGTGGTCTTTGGACTCTTGGGCCACATTCACAAATTAAAATGGGTTCACGAGCTAGACAATACAAAAAAATTACATGATATTCAATGAAATTTCCTAATTTTGGAATTTAATGCGTCCATATAAAAGTGATGTGTGGGACGGATGCAGCCTGCTGGCCGCACGTTGCCGACCACTGGTTTAGATAATACTTGTATCGAGCAATATACGAACGTTTATCAGTGTTTGGGTCGAATCGGAAATAAGTCCTCATCTCTACAACTTTCATTTCTTGATGTTCAGATAAAATGTACAAAATATTTAATTCCTAGAGTTCAGCCTGGACAATAATACATTTAATAAATTTTACCATCATACATATATATATTATATATATATAAAACTATATTGTATTTACTGACTTTTAAATGAGTGTCTATCAATTTAACGGATTACAGGAGTTCAAATTCCTAGTATTTATAATTTCTGAGTATTCGGCGGAAAAGGCTGAGATTTATTTTTAGCCATTATACAATTGTAAATACAGGAGATCGAAGAGTAAAAATAATGTAAAGATTAAGGGCATTCATCAAATATTCAATAAATTAAATGAAATAAAGAAAGGGTGGCTTTCTGGGACTGGGCATACATGGCTAAAATAAGGTTTTCTAACTCACATGGTGCAATATGATAGTCCAGAAGTTTCAAAAAGATAAACAGAACGACCAGGACTTTAACTGAGGACCTGGTTAAAAAACACGTAAAGTGGGTTCAGCCGGATACAGATTAAAGAATTTTAGCCTTGGATGAAGAAAGATAGCATATGATATGTATGTGAGCATGGTCTTAAGGCCAAAAATACGATAAAATAAAAATGAAAATATTAGTACATAAAATTTTACTGAATTGCGGAAAATCGATTCACGTTTTTGTATTATATAACATATCACTATTGCAGTATTGTCTATTAGTTTAAACCTGCATATAATAATAATTTTGCACAAAAATATATAACGTGTGATGATGACTCTTACTCTTACTCACGTTGCAAAGGCACGTAGTAATATAATAAAACCCGGCAGTTATGTAAAATTTCAATAATGTTGATGTGGGTGGATGTCTCTATATACTCGTTCGTGGGCGTATGTCGTACAAACGATATTTTCCAAAATGAACAGTTTGTTCGAGACGTTTTTTCTCATTTTATGTCTCGAATACAATGGCGGACGCAGGGAAGGGTTTTGGGGGTTCAACCCCCCCCCAAATTAATGGATGATTAATTTCAAACGTAGTTATCCTATTTTATGTACCTTAAAAAAAATGAATTGTTCAAAATACGATTAAAATATGCTAGAAAAAAAAATGGTTTGTTAAGAAAAGTGAATTTGTAATAATTTGTAATTTTCCAAATGTTCTAAAAGGTATTGGTACTTAAAACTCAAATTTTTGAAATTCTATGATGGCAATACTTCGTAAAAATAAAGCGTGTTTGTAAGTACGCTTATTATCAGTAAGTAAAAATAAGTAAATATACGTAATCGATATAATATTATTTACAATGGTACATTATGATTGACGGTTTCCCTAAATTTTTTGTTGAATGGTCATTTGATAACGATCGAAAATAGTCACTCTATAGTCAATAGTCAATTATTTCAAAATAACGGTAATCAGGCCCGTATTTTGAGGGGGCACGGGTAGGCACATGTCTGGGGACATTAAGTCTCAGGGGTGGCAAAATATTTTAGCAAAATTAATTTTAAAAATTATGTACTTAATGAAAAAAAAATAAAACAATAAAAAAAGAAAATAGTATGCTTTAATATGTTATAATTTGTTTAATTTGTTAATTAAAAAATGTATTATCATTTAATCATTTATTCATTATATTCATTTAAATTTTTTTTTTTTTTGGAGGGGGTGGCATAAATAATATGTCCGGGGCCGCAAAATTTTTAAATACAGGCCTGGCAGTAATTATTCTCATTTTTTCAACAACCTCCCCCCCGAAATTTTTTTCTGCGTCCACCCCTGCTCGAATATAATGCGGAAGAAATGATACTTATTATATGGTACACTTCATCTATACTGGACGTGGGTGTGCGTGAGTTGACACAGAAATGGTGCGCGAATACATGAAAAACATGCTATTTACATGACAGTTGTGGCAATAACATGATTTTATTAAAAAAATTTTCTTATTTTTTTCTTTTCCCGTGGAGATTTCGTGTCACCGTTACACTGCGTCAATGTCACCCTTAGGTGACATGTCACCCCGGTTGAGAACCACTGCGATAAGATAACGAGATGATGTTGTTTTCACCACGAATAATACGGTTTCGCGCGCGCGTGTGCTGTTGCAGAATCGTCTGTGTCGCTGTATTCAGTCCTCCAACAACAAGGGCTGATCGGGCCGTGCGTCAGTTCCAGCGATGAGGTGGCCAGCCGGTGTTTGATCCGGTGTGCCATCTGCCTAGCGGGTTTCCCGTCCACGTGGCTCCTGGAACAGCACACGGCCCTGCAGCACACCGGCCAACCAGTGCGCGGACACGGAGGTGACGGCGGCGACGAGAAACCGTTCCAGTGCGACCAGTGCGGCCAGAGTTACCGTTACCGTTCGGCCTATCTCAAGCACCGCGAACAAAACCATCGGGCTCGTTTGCCCGCCGACAAGCTGTTCACGTGCGACATATGCGGTATGCAATTCAGGTAAGTCGGACGATGCAAGTATCTAAATATATTTCATTCCCCCTCCCCTCAGTTATTATTATAATTATAATTGTTGGCACTTGTCCTCCGTGGTGCTGAAGATCGGACCGGACCTTTGCCCAACTGTACAACCGTTGTATGCGTTTGACGCGAACAGGTTTCCCGCGGCGTCACCGAAATTAAATCGACCTGTTTTCGCGTCGACCAATTCTTAACCGATAAACCGGTCCGGTTATGATAAAAAATTTAACACTACTATCGCGAAAATATTCGCGAACCCATCAGAATTCCGTTCTGTTAACTTTCGCTCGTGTCGGACGACTTGTTATTGCATTTAGTTTTAATTTTTAGGCCGTTATAAAATCGCAATGTATCTCCGTCGTCATTTAACATTTCTCCTATCCATATTACACGGTTCAAGTTTCGTGTTCAGATTTGTTCATTTCACGTGGCATTACTGCTCTACCCAATAGATATTTCAACCTTACCAAATATTAATTGAAAGTTTATTGTAATCATAATAGTATTTTGTTCGTTTCAATAAAAATAGCCAAATATTTTCTATGAGTTCGATATTAACTATTGTTGTTTTTTTTCTCTTATCTTTGCTCCAATAATAAAGCGATTAAGAGCGAGGAACGCATTATTTCAAGTCCAGGAAGCTAATTTAACTATCGATAAAATTTTTCAAGTAAAAAATGATTCTACTTGTCGGAACCCTATTCAGTTATATTAAGCAATTTGTTGAATATATATTCAAAACATTTACTTGAAACGCCGAAATAAGATATCTAACATTATCTCGACGATAATACAAAGATTTCCGTAATGACATAGGAATAATTACTGTGTTCATCTTTTATTATTTCCGCCACATACGAACACGGATATTTTTCTACATAATGTATTTCAATGAATAAAATTCGGTTAGCGTGTTAGTATCAATGGAAATATAATTCAACGGAAACAACAACGGAATTCGCGATTTGGTTTCCGATTACACGTTACTTGATTATCTATTTTGTTATAAAATTGTCTTCGCATAATTTCATATTTTATTGTACACGTGGGCGTGAACGTGTGTTTCGTACAGGTATCTCAAATCGTTCAAAAAGCATCGGCTCAACCACGCTCTGGAAAGGTTGCAGCGAGACGTACCGTCGGCGATAACAGCCGCGCACAGTGACGACAGCAGGGACGTGCCGGCCACGCCGACCACCACCAAGTCTTTGGCGTCCGACAGTCAAGTGACCAGCACGAACGAGGTGGTGTCCACGGATCCGACGCACATGTCAGCGGTGGCGACAGCGGCAACGCCGGGAACCGGATCTCAAAAGGTGGTGGCCGGCGGTGACACTGCTATTTCACCGACGCCGTCATCGCTGTTCAACATGCTCCGGACAAACGCTCAACGGACGGCTGCAGTCGCCGCGGCAGCATCAGGGACTACCACGCCGGCTGCCGCTGCCGTTGCGGTAGCAGCGGCTGCCATCACAGCGGCCACCGCCAATAACAACAACGGTGGTAACATTAACAACAACAACAACAACAATAACAACAACAACCGAGATGCCAAGTCGTTCGCATGTCCGTTCTGCGGCAAATGCGTCCGATCGAAGGAGAACCTGAAGCTGCACGTGCGTAAGCACACGGGTGAACGGCCGTTCGCGTGCCTGTTCTGCGGCCGCGCGTTCGGCGGCAAAAGCGACTTGACCCGGCACCTGCGCATCCACACAGGCGAGCGGCCGTACCATTGCGAGATGTGTGGCAAATGTTTTGCCAGGGCCGACTATCTGTCCAAACACCTGACCACGCACATACACAACAGCCATCAGCGATAAACCTGAATGTACTGTGTAATAAACATCGCCATCGTGTATTATATATACACATATATACGTTGTTTTTATTATTAATTATTATTATGATTATTAATATAATTATTTTTATTATTATTATATTATTTTATCATTATTATTATTTTTATTATTATTATTATTATTTTATAAATTAATAGCTCTAAACAAAAATATGATACGTACCCCGGCGCAATGGTTCGAAATGGGGTTATTTTCTCTTGGTGGATACGTTTTTTTTTTTCTTTGTCTTATTTTCACGTCATTTCTTTTCGGTGGTCTGTATTTGTTTATTTGTTGTCTCTATTTACAATATTATTACTGTTGACTGTTGTGTCATCGACGTCGGTTGATTCGGTTTCTGAGCACCGCTCGGAGAAAAGCTCAATTTTTTTTAACGCGATTTTATACTTACCACCACCATAATGATATTATGTTTGGTGATTAATTATTTTAATATTATTTTTTTTTTATGAAACAATTGAAATCGATCACGATACCGTAGTAATTGATGTGTAATGTTTGCGATTTTTATTATAAATATTATTTTCATTGTACTTTTTGAACCATTGTTGTCGTGTGGAAGGGAAATCAAATGTCGATGATCGAGAAACGACTACGGCCTAAATGTTATACATTTTCATTAAAACATATTAAAAAAATAATATTTAATATATATATATATATTAATAAATACAATAATAACGTATATGGAGTCTTACTCAATTATACACATGAAAAGATAGCAAAAAAGAAATCTTAATTAAGTATAATTATTAGTCTCTAGTCAAATAAATTAACATTTATATTTCCTTTAAAAAAATCAAAATTGTTTTTGTTATATGATCAAACGTACGGTTTGTTTTTTTTATTTCTAAAAATCGTCGTGCTTTTTCTTTAAAATGTTTAAAATATTTATATTGTTTTCATTTTTGTTACTTTATGTACCTATTATAAATACGTTAACTCGCATATTCACGATCAGTTTAATTTAATTTGCAATTTTCAATGTGATATTATTTTTTTTTTTTTAACCTGTATGTGATAAATGCAAGAATATATTGCTAGTAATTTGGCGTTACGGGATCGTGTAATTTACCCTATAATCGAACATTATGAGTGATGTGTTAAAACTTGATTTTTTTTTTTAACGAAAGTAGATTTAGATTAGAATTTATGTAATAGGACTTCGGTGTATATTATTTTCGTAATAAGCATATATTTATCTTGAAAAATTGTCAAGGAAATGTCATGTGATTGTATCTGTGATAGAAACGGTTAGGGAAGTGATATAACGTATAAACCACGTTAAACCATTAAGAAAAAACAAAGTAGGTAATAATATATAATATAGTATTGTGATTGAGATTGTGATAAAACATCTTTTAAATTTGTTATTGTTGTGTCGCAAAAACCGGTTGTGACCAGAGTGGTTTTATAATTAATTATAAGCAGAAATTAGAGAATATATGATAATAATAATATTGTGTAAGTTTGTGAATTGTAATAGCAAATATATATATATATATATATATATATTGTTGTCCAGCGTGATTGTGTATTATCTGAAACAGTTTAGAATAATGTAATATGTACCTAATTATTATTATTATTATTATTATTATTATTATTAGGTAATATTATTATTATCAATGGTGCATTTACGATACGGATAATTAGACTGAGATTTGAATGGCCGAAAGCCAGAGATAACATGACATGTAAAATAGAATATTATATTGTACTTTTGTGCTAAGGAGATAAATATTGCTCAAAAACAGTATTAAAACGCATAACTCACAAATCTCAAAAACAGCGCGTATACCTAATTAATTGATAAATATATTATATTTATTGTAATAGTCAAAACTTGTAACTATAATAGTACAACTTTTTCATAAAATACTTAATTATTAAGCTTTTTTACAGCTCTACCTCATGTTTATATAATATATAACAGTATGATATTTCACAAATACTTGTAACAAAAGTACAAAATAGCCAATTTTTTTTGTTAATTAACTCAGCTCTTTATCTATTTTTATTTATACTTAACCTGGTAATAATTTATTATTATTATTTTTATTATTTTTTCTTTTTTAAATTTGTATTAAGTTTGTTTGTTTTCTCAGCCGTACCTCTGTTTTTATTGTTTTTAAAATTATTATTTTAACGACGTCTATGTTAACGTGTATTAATTCTTTACAATTTGATAAAGGAAAAATCGTTTTTAAATGTATTAAATAATTTTTGAAAATTCGCGAACATAATTTAAAAACATTATATACTTAAGCTTTTTTTATACGTAATAATAAAAATAGAATAATAAATAAATTTAGTCATTTAAATGTTGTTCGTTGTTTGTTAAGCGTTTTCATGTTACTTTTATTCATCCGATTAGCGTATTAGAAACATTATTATCATTGTAGCTATAATCGAGTATGTAATATTATCATTATTATTATTATATAGCCACGTCTGTGTAATTTTTTTCAAAAATATTTTTCTTTTCGTCATTTATTTTTTATTTTTATTTATTTACTTTACATTGTATTTCTAAATACACATTTTAGATGTATTTTTTATACATAGACATACATACATATATATTTTATACGTATGAAATACGAATGTGTATTATTCTAGAATAATAATGTTGTTAGGACGCAGAATCAGACGTACTCGGGGTATATACTCTTGCCACATAGGATAAATTAAATAGGCGAGATTCCGGAACAATGGCTGTGTTTTAATGTATAATATTCGTATATTATTTAGTTGTCCAATATTATAAATTAATACGAAATCGATATGCTGTTACCACGGAAATAACACACAAAAATGTACATAGGTAATATATATATATATAATATACATGATTATTTATTATGTTATACAGCATATAATAAATGTATATTATATTTATGAATGTATGTTTAAAACTGGGGGATAAGGGGGAGAAAAAAGTTAGTGCGATTTTTTTATTATCATCATATTTTTTGTAATTACCTACTTTTAATTTTGCAAATAAAAATGCCCTTGTGATATACATTCATATATAAAAATCGGTTTTGCTCAATCCCGCATTGAGTCTATGTTTAATCGTTTGGATTTCAAAATTCTGTAAATTACCGTGTTAATAAGACAAAAAATATTTATGATATTAGTAAGATTTATCCTTTTCGTAATTGTTTTTAATATTATTTGTTCCGCTATTCTTGATTAGTCTTTCATTAGGTATTACATTATCTGTCCGTCGAGGTGTCGACTGAGCAGCAAATGTGCTGATGATTTTTCTTTTTTCTTTTTTCTCTCTCTTTCTTTCTCTAACCTTTCCCTCTCCCTCACTTTCTCACCATCTATCTTTTTTTTTTTACATACATACTCAACATTTAAATGAGAGGGACATTTTTGGAGGTACTAATACAATTGATAAATTAAGTTATCGTCAAAGTATTTATATAATCTTATATAAATATACAATTAATTCAGTATAATAAATTCGTATTAACCGTTGCTGAAATGATTTATGACTTATGTATGCTCATAATATTTAGTCACGTAATAATAAGATTTTGCTAAAAGAACATTATATTGAATTTCTTTAGATGTAAAAACATTCAATACGTTTATATACTTATTTGTTATATAAGGCGATAGCGAACATAATTCGTTTTTATTACTAATTATGTACAAATGTTTTTTTTTTAACTTAATTATATCTTAATACCTTGAGGACTCGTTATACATACGTACACATATTGTAAAATTTCACGAAGACCAGGAAATAATTAAACTATGTTCGTAATCTAATTATTTGAACTCATTAATATTTTATAGTCAATGAGATTGTTTTTAAGTATGTACATACATATATATATTATACACACACAACACGCATTTCATATGTTTACGTACTTAATAGTTTTCTGTATAATATATATTATTAAATATAAAGTACAATACGAGTATATGATTCAATAGTTATTTTAATTAATTTGATTCCAACTAATTCATTGAACTTACCTGCTTTAATAGTTTGAGTTGTATTTATATACATTGCTTTTTACGTGTTTTTTTTTATACATTGATTTTATAACAAAAACTCTGTCGGTTACGATTACCTATGCAAAAATCGTAGTATAGCAAAATTGTAAACACTATTTAATGTATCATAAACTGCTGTCTTACTGAGTAAAATCAAAACGTAGTTAGGTACATGGTAATTTTAATTATTATTTTGATTATTATATTATTATAAAATTTTATGTTTTTCGGGTTACAAATATATTTAAATATTACTCTTCAATAAAACCAAAAAGAAGATATATATCTATCATGTACGTTTAAAATTACCCATTATATCATTGGTTTTATAATAAAAGTAAAAGTATTCAAACATAATTAGTAAACACAATTATATTCATGCAATGTATGCTACTCAAAAAGTCGTCTCGCAAATCATTTATTAAATATTTGAGTAAATTATGTCAGTTTATTTTGGCTGGTTAATTTTAAAAAGTGTTTAATTCTAAACTATAGATGGGTATTGATTAAATATTAAATTGAAATAAATCTGGAATAAAAAATATTTACACAACTAACTTCGACAGTTCAGAAATTCTATCGAGATCAGCATTCTTAAATTTTTAAAAAATATATTTTTAATTTTATGCATAGAAAAAATATAATAAATAATTTTGTAAAAATTTGATTTGGAGTAAAGTAAACCATTTAAAAATCCTCATTATAATAACAAGCATGTTAATCATAAGGCACTGGTAAATATATTACTTACATCTTCGAAAAACACCTATAAATTATAATGAATTATGAAAACATAAATTATAAAACAATTACTTATCAATGTACGGTATTATGTATTACGTAAATGTATAATTTTTTTTGGTTATAAACAGTAACTGTGTATTATGTATAATTGAACAAATGTAATTGTTGATCAAACATATTAGCTTACGAGTACTTCCGTCTTCGTGTGTTTTACAATATTGTATGTGTGTAGAGGTAATTAAGTTTTGTAGAATGTAATCCTTACGTTACAATTCTTCAATACAAGTATATTACTACTAATTTTCTTTGTAATTTGTATAATAATTGTTAAAATACATTATCGAATAAGTGTTAATGAAATTTCTAAATGTCTCATATGCATATTTTAATAAAATTATAAACAATGAAAAACGTTTTTGCTCTACATTGATGTTTTTATTTTTTTTTTTCAATTACCATAATATAGTAAATTAAAAATATACGTATGTTGATTGTGTTTCAAATAATATATGTTTATTTATTACTCCTTATAAATGCACTCAATTATCAACTACCAAATAAAAGTTGACCACCACTTTACATAGTTGAACAGTTTCAAATTCATCAATATTTGAATGAAAATATATCATTTAATTTAAAATGATTACATAGGTTTGCATACAAGCAGGGAATCAGCTGCTTGGACAAGTAAAATATTTTAAATACTTAGGCAGCTCAATTAACCTAAACGGTAGATGTATCATGAAAATAAAATCCAGAATGACACAAGCAAAGTGAACGTTTATGAATAAGAGAAAATTGTTATGCTCCAATAGTATGAGTAATAGTGTGAAAAAATATTTCATGAAAGTTTACACATGAAATGTAGCACTTTATGACTGTTAAAACTGGATCCTAAAAAAATCAAAATAACGAGTTCTTGAAAGCTTTGAAATATGGTGTTAGAAAATAATATTACGAGTGAGTTGGATAGAACATCAGTACATTCGGTACCATATCAACGAAAGCATACCTACTTAGTAAAATAAATGAACACAAAAGGATACTGAAAACCATCAAAACAAGATGATGGAATATGATTTGTCATATGTTGAACCACGAAAATAAATTAGTTTATAGATTGATGGGAAAATTGAAGGTAAGAGAGATCGATGATGTCTAAGAACTTCAACTGTCAAACAAATGATCTGCGATGCTAAACTATCAAGTTATTTAGAACTAAAGAAGTAAGGTGGTAACAGGGAAGAGTGGCGAACGCATATCGAACTGCAAAACCAACCTAAAGGTTGAATACGAGACTGAAGAAGTTTGTATTAGGTACTGTCTATAGAATTTTTGTGAAAATGGTAAGTTTAAAAAATATCTGTGCCGAGGGAGTTTATTATTTTAATAAACTACACAAAAAGGTAAAAACTGATAATATTTGTAAAAACCTATATAGCCATAAAGATACAGTTTATATTTAAATCGTTATTTTTGTAATTTATTCCACATTTGATAATCGAAAATCAAAATCATGTTTTAGATAGCCAAATAAATTATTTTAAAGGAGTCATTTGTAAATAATTCTATTTTAGTTTAAATAACACTATGCGTGATAAGACTTGATTATTAATTCTATAAATTTAAAAACAATGAATATGTTTTATTATTAAATTTTAATCCATTTGAATGTGTTATTATATTATACGTAGAAAGGATATATAAAATGCTGAGTCGGATGTAGCAGGAGTGCAGGGAGTGCAATACACCGAGACCTCAAGTTCTTAAGCTTTTAAAACTAAAATTTAAAATAGTCTATTTTGTTAGTTTGTTTGATCTGGGGTATTTGAAAACCTGAACGCTCTCGTGATTTAGTTTAGCAAAAAAAAGAATAATTTTTTATTTATTAATATATAAAGTAAAATAAAATATTTATACCTCGTATACTTGTAATGTAATATTTTTAAATTTTAAGCTATTTTAAATAAATTTCAGACATTTTTTTTAATGCATTTTATGAGTTTTTTTTAGTTATTTTTGCATTATTTTAAGGTCATATTTCGCGATTTCTTAAGGACATTAAAATCCCAACCCTAATCATAACGACTTTTATATTTGAATTTAATATATGATCAATGCATTAAAATATTGGTCTTATCGAGCAATTTTAGTATATACAGGTATACAAATTATTTTAAATATTTTTTTAAGTAATCCGTTTCTATTCCCACGAAAGGTAGTGTAAATAGAAATATTTATGGTTTTTTAATGTATTTTTCTATTTTACCAACTAAAGGGTGAAAGGGTGATTAGAAACAATTATTGAGATTTATAAAAAAGAAGTGAACAATATTGTGAAAAAAAATTTTTTTTCTTGTATAATTTTATCATAAATACTTCAATTATATAAATAAAATTAACAAAAATGGAAGTAAACGTGTAAACATTTTTCCCTAACTTCTCGAAAACCATATACGATAACATAATAATCCCCTTTTTTTTTTTACCTAAGAAAAATGCGATAAAAAATGGATTTTTTTTTTACAATTTCGTCAATACAAGACTTCTTCACCCCAAAAATAGCAAAAAGCCTACCCATTGAAATGATTTTTTTTTTTTTGAAGAATACTTTCATACTATTAACTCTATTAATACAAGAAAAATGAAAATTTTAATAATGATAACAAGAAAGTTTATTTTGAATTTGATAATTTATTATGATCATTATCAATTATTGCTAAATCAATGTTTATCTTTATGTAAGTATACAAAAAAAATTAATTAAGTTTATCAAATTGCATACTAATATGTTTTTGGGTTAGCAAAAGTTTCATATTAATAACACGAATATTCAGTTGTGGAGACATCCAAGTATTAATTTCCTGATTTTGTTTTTATTCAACCAGTTTTACGGTTCTAGATGTTAGTGATCATATTAATTAATTATAAACAAGTATTATTGTTAAAAAGCTTAATTAACATTCAAAAACACGTTCTTCCAATAATTGTACTTACTTATTTATATGTGTTCAATTAGTCATAGAGTATCTAAAATAGTAAACTTTATTGATCCATGATTTAAATTATTGAATAGGAAATACTGATTTAATAAATTAATAGCAATAATTTGCAAAATGGTTGAATATTATATACTTACTTCCCAAAACAAGTTTTCATTGTGAATTGGCTTTTTTTATAGTTCAAAGGTAAAAACAATTTTAAAACATATTAATTGTACTTAAAATGTAATAAATAATATATTTATAAAAAAAAACAATATATTATGACATTCATTTCAAAACTAATAATAATTTTTCAAATTCTAATAATCAAAGAAATTATTTATTTCCTAAGATACATATATTTAAATGTATTTAAATACGACTGCAGAACGATCTTCAACCGTCTGTAGTTCTAATTTAATAGGACATTGTAACCAATAACTTAAAAGTTCTTCTGTATAACCAATTAGGAAATACATTTTAGTAACACTAATTTTTTGAACAGTAATGGCAGCAATCCTTATAATATTGTGTTGTCTTTTAATGATTATTTCACTGGCAATCAAATCGTGCCAAGTACCTATAATGAAACGCCGAATAAACTCATCATCTATTGCAGTTTCAGCTGGTCGTAAACCATCCAGCATGTTACCTATGAAAATAAAATCTTAATTCAGATAAATGCAAAAAAAAAAAATAAAAAAAGAAGTAATTAAAGCGAATAATTCATCTTACAAGTATTCCATGAATTCCAACCCTTGATGTGAGCAATAGTATGAGGAGGCCCAGCCATTTCATAAGTCAATGGTTTGTTACCTTTAATTGATCGTTTATAACGAGCTGCTTGTACGTGTTTAAGTCGAGAAAAAATCAAGTAAGTACTTCTGCAGGGAAGAACCTTGGACAAAGTGTCAGCGAACATTATTGATACTTTTATTATATTCTGTAATTAATTAATATGTAATTAATGATGAAAATAACATTAAATACAACATATATCAGTGGAATAGCTAACATAGGTCCAAAACAGACAATTTCATGTCAAATATTGAAGGGGTAGTGGGTACCTCCATGCACCAATATTTGTTACACAACATTCCTGTATTTTTTTTTGCTATAAATTAATATTAGGTATAGTGAATAAGTCAGGTACCAGTTGTCCAGTTAAAACTTGCTTACAGAAATGAAGACGTTCTATTAATTATAAATAAAGAGACATTACCAATTTTTAAAGGGTGAATCGATACCCAAAACGCGTGTTAGCCCCTTACAAATAATCCTGTCACCATCCCATTGTATAACATTAATGTATTATATATACTTACTTTGAATTTAATAAATATCTCACCATCAACTTTGAAATACTGGTTAGTATTTACTACAGCAATCAATATTTAACAGTCACAAAAGTAAATGGTTGATTAGTTTTGAATTATACGTTATGACAAATATTACATTTTACTATGTAATAAAATAGTATAAATCGTATTATCGCAGCCCTGAGAAAATAATATGATAATATAATACTCTGATACACAGATATACATAATAAACTAGATAGCTAACTAATGATAATACATGAAGCCGCACTCCGTCATTTTATCCGAGGCGGAAAATATTATCACAGAATAGATATTATTATCAATTATCCAGTTAACACTTATCACGTTATCCTTGGGAGTTGCAACCGCGAAATTTCATAATTTGTTAATATTATTATTATTCAAGTTATTACCTTTCTCCGAATGCATTTTATATATTGACTATTTTTTTAGTTATCAATTATTTTAATTTTACTTGTATTAATATGCCTTACAAGTGTTGCGCATTTGGATGTCAAAATGCTGATGGAATGGACCAAAATATTAAGAGGACGTCGAAGGTGTATTTTGAATGTATAAAACAAGCCACGGCTCTATGCTCACAATACAATGCATAGATACCGTAGAAACATGGTTTTAACTCCAATAGAAAGATCATGACTTATACTATGCTTCCTCGATGAGTTTTTTAAAAAAAATGTTTTGGTTTATTTTTTACGTGAAGGGAAAAAATAAAAAAACTGACATTTTTAAGCTTGAATATTGGTTGATATATTAAATCGATAAAAAAAATCTCTTCGAGGAGGCATAGTTTGATATCTCTCCTTTCAACAGAATTAGTCACATTCCTTCTAAGTAAATTATTGAAGGAGCTGTAACTATAGAGCGAATGATAGTTTTTTCTTAAATTTATAAAAATGTTTGAGCCAGCAAGTGCTACGCCTATCGGCAAACGAAAGAACTGGTTTATTCTGGTCGGGTTACGGCAAACAGGGTACGGGGTATATATATATATATTCGCAAACGGGCAGTTCTGTTGCAGATTCTCTTTTATATCTCTCCGAAACTTCAATTGAATTTGAGAATTGTGAAGCAACTATAAAATTTGTTAGAGTTATAGATGAAATATTTGATTTTTTGAACTCCAGAAATCCATTTGCAAAAGGATTCAAACGTGCCATTTGCGTTCACAATATTCAATATCTTGAAGAAAAAATGAAAAATCATATAAAATACTTGTATTCTTTAAAGACATTGACCGGGCAACATATATGGAAAAGTAAAAGAAAAACATTTATTATAGGTTTTGCAACAGCTGTGAAATCGACATTAGCTATAGCTAAAGACTTACTGATGAACCATAACTTTAAGTTTATACTAACTTATAAATTTAGTCAAGACGCTATTGAATTATTCTTTAGTTTTATATGTGGCAAATTTGGTCGTAATAATAATCCAAATTATCTGGAGTTTAAGAATGCAATGAAGAGTATCTTGTTGCATAATTCCATCAAAATGAGTTCAGGAAATTGTACATTATTATTACCAAATGAAGATTCAATTTTTGCAATCAAATGGAATTATAAAAAATATAAAGAACAAAATGAAGAGATTGATTATTATTCATTAGCAGAACGAAGTAACAATATATGTCTTAACTCTATAACTGAAAAAGTTTTGTACTATATCAGCGGATTTATAGTAAAAATGGTTCAAGAACGTAATATTTCAAAACGTTTTTCTAATTAAATTTACAAGAACGAATAACTTAACAAAGTTTATTAGGTAAATCATTCAAGAACTTTACATTTTTTTACGTTTTTTTGGCGAACATTTCAAAAAACATAAACAATTTTAACGTTTTCTAGTGAAATGTTCGGTGAACCATTTATCTTGTAACGTTACAATCAAAAACTGTTTATTGAACATAGCTTGATTTAACGTTTATCACAAATAAAGTTCAAAAACAAATTATGGAACTGAACCAAAAATTAACGGTTAAAGAAACCCTGCTAGTGAGTCGTATAAGCGTATTTTTGAGAGCTGAAAAATTAACTATAGAAGTGTTTTTAATGTAGATTGATGGAGCCCGAGGGTTGGAATTTGTTTTTCCCTCAAGTGGAATGAGTTGCTCGCTGTCAATAACCGTGTTGGTTGAAATTACAGTTGGTTCAACGTTATCATCCTCGGTCGCTAAAATAGCATAGCGATTTTTTGAGCAAAAACATTTAGTTTTTTTTCCCAAATGAGATGGAGTCGTTGGTGAGTTTGAAGAAGACGACAACAAACGTTTGGTGGATTTTTGTTTAGATGAAAAAGGGGAACCGGAATGAGACGCACTGCGACTCTTATCATTGACAATAGGGCTCGACATAGCCATACGCTCGTTATAACCGTGGAACGCACATTAATAGAATAACGATTACAAGTAGGTCTATGACAGTGGAATCGAGATAACGGAACGTGTATAACGACAGACGTGCGTTTACGCAGAGGTACAACGCCAAACTGATAAAAGCATTTAAAAGCACTATAAACACTATATACTACACATCATTATAAACACTCAAATAAACAATTAAAACATAAATATAAACAAAAATATTTAATAAAAAAAAAAAGTTACCTAAAATAGGAAAAAATTAGTAAAAATTTCGACATTTTCTTTTTACATGAACTTCATAAAGTATAAAACATATTTTTTAACTGTGTTGAATATATAATTAAAGATTACAAAAAATATTAAAACAAATAAATGTAGTTCAAATTATAATTTTTTAATTGAAAAATCAAAAAAAAATCTAACTTTGATTTTCGAGATATTTTGCCTTATTTTTTTATGAATTTTCCGAGGGATTTTCTGAAAAATAAAATGTAAACAATATTTATAAATAGTTGAAAAAAATCTGGGTTAGGTCAATGGCCTACACCATTGTCTATAACTAAGCAAACATATAAAAAAACAAAAATAATCAAAAAAACAGGAAATAAGCATTTTGTTAAAAATTCGTCGATGTTGTCGTCACGACAAATCTTACGATGTGTGCAGTTGTCTGTCGCAACTTGCGCAGGTTGATTATATAGTATAGGTTTTTACTAATATCTCAATTTCATTAATATATAACTCCTAAAGTTTCTGCAATCATCGATTCCATTATAAATTCTTACACGATCATTTAGAATATTTTGTTTTATTTTTTTATTTTGGAATATAATTTATTTTTAACTAAATATTTTAGAATAAATAATATTTAATTTGAGTAACATCGATTAAAATATATAGCCTCTTACTCTTAGACTTAAATTGTAGTGCCCCATTTACAATATTTTGGGTCATCAAGGGGACAACCATTACCAATACCTTAAGACCACGGGTTTCATGTCCTGTGTCTTCCTCTGTTCGTTTCTGGTTACAGACAACTTCCGGTGCTTTTTACTTCAACCAATAAAGCAGCCGAGTTCCCGAGAAGTTCGCCACTGTCTGCACCACACACGGGGGTTTCATCGACAAGCAGCCATCACTAGGAACTTTTACCTAGACAAGTATTCTTCAATTATAACCTTATTCATTGGTCACGAAATAACCACCACGAAGAAGCTCAAGCCTCTCGTCGGGTATCTATTCCATCAGGTGTTTTTCCTGTTGTGCATTGTCAGATAGCTCCCTCCCATCGTCGCCTGTTCTCCCCAATTTAGGTGAAAATATCATCAGCTGAATGTTTCTGCTTCAGGCTTCTTTGACCTTTCGGTCTCAGTATTCGACAACCTAGATTTGATTACATGTGTCAGGTTGTTTTTCTATGAAGTCTAGATGAAACCTCCTCCGGAATGTTCGTCCATGGAAGAAATAATCTAATACTCTGCAGAGTGTATTAGGCCACAAACCCTAGTTATTATTTCTTTGGTCTGGGATCACCGATTAGTTCAACCACGGCACCCCTAGGCATTCCTAACAACGGGCTGTTCTCTGTCATGGTTACAACTCTCACTTTCGCCCCACCCCAGGCGTATGGAGATCCTACAGGCGTCTAAGAGACTTAACTCGTTCTTCTAGGAGTCATGGCCGAACTCTTCTTCGAGCCCCTTGCGTCGGCCCCAACTAGACTCCCATTTAGTCATCTCTTACTCGAATCGAAGGATCTGATGCCAACGCAATTCTTATCCTAGAGTGGCAAAGATGAGGTTCCCTACACTTTTCTGATGCTGTGTATCATGTCATACCTCTAAGGGCCACGACACAGAAGATCAACTGTAGTCAAATACCCATGCCGTAACTCCACAGAGACACAGCAATCAACACAAACTACCTGTCCATTTGCACATTCAAGTTATGATAAAGGAATACAGAAGACTAATTTTGGCCTGTATGTCTTATAAAAATATGACCAGATAGTTGCTTGTCTATAAATATACATGTGTAATATAGTAAAAACAAACCTTGTAAAATTAAAATATTTAATTTTGTTTATTATAAAACAATTTTAATTTTTAAAAATTATATCAACATATAATACTAACTAATTTATATATATATATATTTAAAACACAATTATATTTTAATGTTGAATGAGTAAGTATTACCGTAGATAATTTATATCATATATATATAATGATTATAAAGATGAAATTACTATACAAATGGATTATCTGATAATTTTTTAAAGCTAATTAACTTTCTATCATCATATCCAAATCATCGTCAGAATCAACATCAGTATTTCTAAATAACATATAATTATCCATGTCTATAGTGCGGCAATTGTTAATAGCATACTTGAGCTTTTCTTCAAATACTGCACGGCTACTGTAATCGGTCAATCGTAGTTGGAAAAAGCATGTTTGAGCTGTGGGTAAACCATCAATTTTATCTTCAACTTTAATTATCTAAAAATAATTTGAAAAGAATTAATAAATATATACATAGAAAATATAAGTAAATAAAAAAGAGAACATAAATAAATATTAAGGTATGTTATTATTAGGCAAAATTCACAACCAATTTTTTTGGATGTTTGAATATAACTAAAATGTACATACTATTCAGCTAGACTTGATAACAATTTTTTTTATTTTTAAATTAAAAACTAACAACTATACTTAGGTAATTTGTAAAAAAAATATAATTTCTATAAACATTTCAATTTAGTAAATTTAACTAAAATAATTTTTGTATTTATTTAGAATCAACAAATTCTTAGTAAAAATATAATTTTTTACATATGAAATAAAATGTTATATTTAGAACTAACATGACTATTAAGAAATTAGAGCAAACTTAAATCTATTTGTATAATTTTAATAATTTTTATTTACTTGGAAATGTTGAGAAAAATCTGATAAGTTTGATGGAAGACGAGATCGACCGCATACAAATCGCAAAAACAACACTTTTTCAGAATCTGAGAAGTCATTTAAAATATCCCACAACCATTGAACAACTTGAGAATTTTCATCCATTTCTCTATACCTGTAATATAATGTAGGGTATAATAGTAAATTAACAGATTAAAGTGTTCATTAAGCAAAATTACCTAACAATGGTTTTCAATACTGGTATAGAAATATTGGGCAGTCCACAAATCATACGTTCAAGATTTTCAGCAGTTTGAAATGTGAGTAATGGTAAAGGTACTATTGCAGCCAGACCTCTTCGCACAGCTAGTATTTGATCATCCATTTCATGAAATCTTTGTTTTAATGCTAACTCGCAAAATTTCAATCTATTGGAATAAGTTACTGATACATAATGACCATTTGGAACTAAAGGTACAGTATTATCCATCCAATCTGTACCAGTCATATATAAAAACGGTATAGCCTTTAACAAAATAAATTCTTAATGAATAATAGATAAAATAACATAATGTTACTTTTTTATAATTTACCTCTTCAAAATTGTCTTCAGTTACTCCAGTTTGATGTATATTTTGTATACTTATCAAATTTTGTGCATAATATATATCATTTTCTTCTAGATCAGATAAATTCAATGATTCCCCAATTATCATTTTCCATATTAATGGAGACAATGGAAGAGCTAATGGTTTCTTAGTTCTTATTGCAACACCAAAAAGTATTCCTAGTGTAAGAAAAAAATAATTATTAATATAATAGTAATATTAATTTTAATAGTATTAATATGAATTTGAGTAATTTAAATATTTAATTAAATATATTGTATACATACCAAGAAATTGAAACAATAGGAGTTGTTTATTACGTTTCATTTTAGAGTTAAATAAATATCGATCTTGATTATAACCAGTTTCATTTCGTCCATTTGGAGTTAAGACTAGTAATTTTACCGTTTGGCTTTGAAGTTCTTCCATCATTTGAGCAATAGTGTCATCAAATACACCTCCAGCATCATCAGCTCCTTCGCCAACTAATTTCACCTGAAGTAATTTAATTAAGTAATGATATTTGTGAATAACAAAAAATTAATTAAAAAAACCTAATTTAGTTTAATGTTTAATTCTAATGCCTGTAACTATTAAAATTAATAAGTCATTATTATCATGAATAAAATTATGATAAAACCTGAACACCAATTTTTAAACCATGCAAGTATATTATTATAATTTTAATTTGATTTAAATTTGGTTTTACAAATACATACATATTCAACAACAGCCAATATGCATAGATATTATTTTATTATAACTTAAAATTTAAAATATTATTTACATATATAATTTTTTCAAATACAATTAATGTAATCAATAAAAAAATTAAAAATTAGGTACACAACTATTTTAAGAAGTCAGTGATTTTTAGCTGTTTTGATTTATCATTTAATAACATATTTTATATGAGTTTTAATGAATTAAAATTTTGATTCAAGTCAATATTATTTAGTAATGAAAAACAAACAATATTTTCTACTGGTTAATAAGCTTCGTCTGCAGAGGATCATTTGTGAAAACAATAATATGCAGTCGTTATACACGATTGAAATATGTGTTGCGACCAGATTTATAGGTCGTATTAGCCGATATTATGGGTACGTCTAAAGTCGTTATAACTAGTTGTTTTGTATGTATAAATAAACGGAATTTTGCCGGGACTTAGAAATTAACGTCGTTAAATCCCATATGTCATTATGACTGGCGTCGTTATAGATGGTACCGACTGTACTTCAATTTAATTAAACAAATTAATTTAAAGGAAAGGCGACTTTGTAAGAAAATCAAATTTCTGGTTACTAGATATATTTTAAACAATAAGACAGTAAAAAATGACCTTACACAATTTTAAAGAAGTTGGTAATTTGCAAACATACTTCTATGTACCTAAATTAAAATAAATAAATAAATAATAAATAAATATTGTTAGTTTTTCATTACTAAATAATATTGACTTGAATCAAAATTTTAATTCATTAAAACTCATATAAAATATGTTATTAAATGATAAATCAAAACAGCTAAAAATCACTGACTTCTTAAAATAGTTGTGTACCTAATTTTTAATTTTTTTATTGATTACATTAATTGTATTTGAAAAAATTATATATGTAAATAATATTTTAAATTTTAAGTTATAATAAAATAATATGTATGCATATTGGCTGTTATTGAATATGTATGTATTTGTAAATTAAATATCTAAATTTGTTAATAAAGTTTTTTTGTTTTGTTACCTATTTTATAGTAGTATGAATATAATTTAATAATTATTATTATTTAGTATCTCAATATCAACATCCTTAGATATAAATTCTTATAAACCTTTATATGTACTGGTAACAAGTAGATACAACAGATGGACATAATGGGATTATAAGATATCCTAAACTCAGGTTTAAAAATCTGAAATGTACTGTTTTTAACCAAAAATTATATTAAACCTAATCTTATTTGTCTTATCTTATTTATCTAACCTTATTTGTATCATTTTATATTTTTATTAATTAATTTGTGATGAATTTGCAATAATAAATTTTAAAAAAATGTGTACATACCAAGTAATTAATGTAATAAAAAAATATTTAGAATTGTATTACCTTCCAAGCTCTAGATGGAAGTCTAAGTAGTTCTGCATTAATTTTTACTATTTGTTTGGCCACTTGTTCAAATATACACAAATTTGTGCCATTACTACTTAATCTTTTGACAATTATTTGAGGTCCATAGTTTTGACCTTGATTCATTGTACGACTAATAACTTTCATCAAAGGTAATTTAATGACTTTATTTGTATATAAATATTTAAGCCTTTTATCTGCTAACCAATGCCAACGTTTGATGTTACTCCAATCAAATTTCTACATTAAAAGTCATATTTAATTTATTAATTACTATTTATTAATAATAATTTCAAATGGAAATACTCACAAACATGTTAAACGGAATCATTTGCCAACATGTATATAAGATATTTGAGAATTGTTGTAGACACTTCATTCTAACTGCAATTGACGCAATTTTATACTGTTGTAAATATCCATACTGATAAGGAATAGTTGTAGGTAGATCATTATGAGAAATATTTGTGGAATCCCTTGAAAATGGTTCAGCTGTCCAAGCAGCACAATGAGTACGACTAGTTGCAATCTGAAATTAAACAATAAATATTAATTATTAATCAACCAAAATAAACAAATATAATTTACTTGTTTTATATTTTTGTCTGACAAATTTGGAATTATTTTAGGTTTTGGAACAGGTACATTATGGCCAAATCCAAGAATACCTTCACTGTTATTACCCCATGCCCATACATCACCTCGAGAAGTTAAGACCAATACATGGTCTGGACCTGTAGCTACATCAATTACAGTTTGGTCAAGGAATTCATTTATCTGTAAACACAACAATTAATAACAATACAAAAATCAGTGAAATATAGTTTATTTACTTTTTCAGGATATAATCTTTCAGATGATAAAACATCTGATGAATCTTGTAAATTGTCTAATCCACATGAATAAAGTTCACCATCTTCTGAGAGGAACATAGTAAACCCATTTCCACAGTATGCTTTTTTAATATTTTTCCCAGTTAGTGTAATAATAGGCTAACAACAAATTTTATAACAACTTTTATACAATAATAAAACATTATAACATAAATCGTACTATTGTATTTAAAATTATAGATGGGTAATACTCTATTTAATTCTTTGAGACTTTCAAAACTTATGTCTATTAAGTTTTCTTAAATTATTTTTGTTATAAAATATGTATAAATTTACAAAATTTCAATAAAAAATAAAATAAAATAAAATAAATAAAAAAATATATAAGTAAAAACAAATAAACCTTTAACCACCAATTAAAATATTATATATTATTGTGATAAACATAGTACAGAATGATATATTTAAATTAAAAATGATTTTTATATATATACAATTAAAATTATTTTTTAAATTTATTTGTTGAAATAATGAATTAGTATTTAAGAAAATTATTATTGATACTGAATTTAACAATTTATAAAGTATTAAAGAAAAATAAAAACTTAAGTACCAAAATAAAAAATGTTGGTACAGCAAATTTCAATTTATTATGAATACTTACTTGAGGAATATAGCTATCTTGTTTGCTACCAATCCCTAATTTACCGCCTCCTCCTTCTCCAAATGCCCAAACAACGTTTTCTCCAACACATACTGTATGATTTTGTCCACAAGCAATATGTTTTACATTTAAGAAGCCTTTATGAATTATTTTAGTAGGACGTTTTTTGTTTGTGTGACCACCTAACCCTAATTTTCCATGTTCAGCACTTCCAAATACATAAACTTCACCATCTTGAGATAATACAGCACTATGTTTATGTCCACAAGCAACTTGAATAACTACTACATCATATAGAGATTCAATTAACTTTGGTTTTCTCTGGCGTTCATTGTTACCATGTCCTAGTTTTCCAAAATCGCCATCTCCCCATGAAAATACTTCTCCAGTTTCAGTTAAAGCCAGACTATGTCCATCAGAACCAATAGATGTAGCTACTTGAGTAATAACAAATCCTTGTAAAGCAGATATCATTGTAAGATTATGTAGACTATCGGAATGCCCATGACCTAGACGACCATAATTGCCTTCACCACATGATAAAACTGTTCCTTGACTAGTCAAAACAAATGTACAGTTTTGTCCACAAACAATACGTTGAGCAATTTTAAAGTTAGGAATTTTTACAGGAGACCATATACACGAAACAGCTAAAAGTTAATAAATATATACATACATTTTTTTATAATTAAAGCTAAACATAATCATCACACATACCAGTATCACCTAACTGTCCGTTCCGACCATTACCCCAAAGGTATGCATCACATTTTGTATATGGTTGCCAGTCATGGGGAGTTGTATTAAACCATTGAACAATTTGTTGATCAGCTTCTATAGTCCAATTATTATTGTTGATAGCTTCTTTCCACAAATAATGATCAGCATTTTCTTCTAAATTATTTTTAATATAAACAAATATTTTAGTTATAATTCCAAGAAGTTAAAAATATATACAATTTTAAATGCTTTACCACTTAAACCAGACGAAAAGTAACTTAAAAAACTATCAGGGAAATTCTTTCTGGTTAGCAATGCTTTAGCTGTATTCAAAACTGTTATTAATCTTTGTAACCACTGCCATTCTTCATCTATTTTAAAAATAATTATAAATCACCATAATATTTTAATACACAAAATATAAAACAGTAAAAACATACAAAATTCAATACTATGGCTGGAATTTGGAGGTACAAATGGAAAACAAAAAGTTTGATCTGGCCATATTTCAAGTGCAATACCAATGAGTCCTTTTAAATAATCACTATACAAAAGATGATCACCCATTAACACTTTATGTTTTTCATGATTCACTTGCAGCTGCAGCAATTCAGGTAACAAATAAATAAATTGACAAAAATATTGAACTTTATGAAGTCCACAGCGATGCAAAGCACTTCGAGCATTTGATTGAAACCGATTATGCATAAGATTATCAGCACTAAATTGTATAACTGTAACATCCTGAAATTTATATTATATAATTATATGTTAACTGTAATAAAGAGTAAAAAAAGTTTGATTAAATATTATATGAATTGTAATTTCTCCAAAAAATGTGTGAACATTAAAAATATGATTTATAATTATATTAATACAAAAATACAGAAAGAAATCTTACAATATGAAACATAATTGCAGAATTTATAACGAATTGGGATGAACTAATATATATTTTGATATTTTGTACAGAAAACACTATATTTTGAAATAACTGAAATAAGATAGAAATATATTTTGCTTGCTTTTACAATATCACAGTACTATATTTTAGAGGCTATCAAAATTCATATAGAATAGCTACAACCTACATAAAAAAAAGAAAAATCAAATCTCGAGTTTGATTTATTAATTTCTTTAAATTTTATATACCTGTATATTAGTTCTGTACATTGAACTATTCAACATTGTTTGTTAATTTTTTTCTTTAATAATACATTTTTAAATTTAAATTAATAAATTTACTAAATACATTTAATAAACTTCCCAAAGAAAAAAGTTCCAGGGACCCAAATAAGTTTAGTGATCATATCATCCTTATAATTGGAACAACATTTTTTTTAAAAAATTACATTTCTTTCAATTATGTTTATAAGTATGAACAGTTTTAATTACCTTAGAACGAGAAAAACAAACAGCAAGTCCAAGTTTATCCTCCATCCAGCATAAATCATCCACACCACCAGGACCAGTATGTGTATTTAATAAGCTACCATCAAACAATGACCAAATATTGACAACACCACTTGTTCCCCTACTACAACTTGTAGCAAGTACTAAACCACTACTATGGATACTCATTGAAGTCACAGAATTAAACAAATGTCCTTGAAATGAATAAAGAACTTTAGGTTTAAATTTAGAAAATGGAGTAGGTATTAACCAAACACTGATAGATCCAATCACAGTACCCACACAAAGTACTAATCCTTTATTACCTAAATATTTAAAAATTTAAATTTAGCTTCATAGTTACAACAATCAAATACAAAGAAAATGTAAGTTAACATAAATAATAAATTATATATTTATGACTTACCCACAATAGGAGACCAAACCACACAACTAGGCTCACTAAAATGATCTAGTTCGTGAAATATTTCCCAATGATTTTGTTTTTTAACCCAAAGCCTTACCATTTTGTCTTCTACATTACTTACAGATAATATATTAAAAGCTTTAGACCATTGCAGGGTTGATATAGGACTCTAAAAAAATAATTTTATTAATCATTAACATAATTTAAGTTTTTTTTTAATACTAATAATTATTTACTTGACAAATTGTTAATGATTCAGGTTCAGTTATTGTTTGAATTTTACCAATTGTAATAGCTCCAGATGAAAATGCTATAGCAAATGGAGCTAAATCATCATGCCACGCTATATGAGAAACTGGTACTGTGAATATAAAAAACAATAAAATAAATTACAATTTCAAATTATTCAGAAATTTAAAAATACTAATAATATATTTTTTGAAAAGTTTCTCATACATATGCTATTATTTATTAATGAAAATAAATTGAACTCGATTTAAAAAAACAATTTAATGAGCGTATAAATATTAAATGTTGACAAAATCACAAAAATTTACTATATATTTAAAGGTAAAAATTCATAAAACTTCAAGGTTTGAATATTGAATACAAGATCTTTCATACTATCACTTTACAATTTTAGAAATATTTTAATAAAATTGATGTTGTTAAATTATGGTACTGGTAATGTTCTATTTAGTTAAATTTTAGATGCCTTTTTCTACAAAAATTAGTACATTTAAAGTTCAACATATCTTATTAAAAATATTCAACTACTACATCAATCATCTTTAGAAATATTAAGTGATCCACCAGAACTCTTTCATTAAAAATCATTTTCCGAGACCAATGGTATATTAGTTAAATGTTTAAAACACCAATACAGCAATATTATTCACCTGTCCCTATATCTCACCCAACTGGAAGTCTCACCTGACCTAAGATTTTTGCACTTTTTCTTTATTAAATATTTTATATATATATATTGAGAAATATTTAATAATACTTTATTATTTTAAGGTTTAGTTATAATTAATCACAAAATGTAGTATTTACTAAACCAACCAATCTACAATAACTCAAATAAAATTATTGTAATTTAATTTTCTAAACTCATAAAATTGTTTGGTTCCTTTAGCAGAAGGGAAATATATCAATACTTAGTACTTTGTTTAAATAACTTTTATTTCTTTTGCAATTCAAATTTGAGTTTTTATATGACGAATATTAATTAAGCAAAATTTTGAATCCAATAAAATGTAGATTCTACATTATTTCATTAAATGTTTAAATATTATAAATATTTATAGACAAATTGAAAATGTCTACTATTAGTAAATAACATATGTATTTTATAAGTTTTACAATTATACTAAAATAAATAATTTATATTTAATTATAATTTTCAATTATTTTTTAATATATTTATTTAAGTATATTTATGCATAAGCAAACAAACCTCCAAGACAGCAAAAATCACTAAGTTTTTCATAAGTTATTTTAACAAGTGAATCAATATGAGCCATGTTAACAGAACCATCAACACCTCCAACTAATAAGTACTGAGGAAGAAAATCATGAGAATTTTTTATTGATGCACCAGACCAGGCTAGGGTTGTTATCCAAGCATCTTGAGTATGTGTGTATAAATATGTTTCATCTTCTTTAAAAACATCTATACATAAATTATGTAATACTAAAATAAATGAAATAATTTAATAAAAATAAAAACACTAACGTCTTTGAATTGTGTAAATATTAAGGGTTCCTTCCATAGACGCAGCAATACATAATCCAGATGGTGACCATGATAGTTTTGATATTAATTCACCATTTAAATCATTGCCATATACTTGAGGTGATTTAAAAAACATTAATAATGTCTCTAAACCAAGTTCATTATTCCATAACCTCATTGTTCCATCAAATCCACTAGAGAATAATTTTTATTAAAATTGGTTTTTAATTATAATTAATAAATAATATTAAACATTAAAATAAATGAATAATATATTGTTATTAAAATATAACTTACGAAGTTGCAAGTGATTTTACTTTTGGCTGCCAAACAACATGATTGATACGGTTCTCATGCCCTTCTAACTTTACTATAGGACATCTTTTTAATACACCAGGAAAATCTGATTCATTAGGTAAAATTATTTGCTTTTTATGTAAAGACTTATTTACTAATATATTTACCTGGAAAACCAAATTTAATATTTTAATAAAATGGTTATTAGTAAACATTAAAAATTTATAATTTTATTTTTTTATTTTAGTGTAAAACAAACAATATTTTACATTTTATATAGCCAACTAAAATATTGAATTGGCTGAGCATGAAAAAATGTATTTACTATTTATATTTATTATTTTATCTCATTCAAATGTACATATCAATTATAATTTAACTAACTACCCTAATTACCTGTATAAAATATTTCATACATATACATATTATAATTACATTTTAATAAAGTATTTGTACATCAATAAGAAATAATAAAATATTTTGGTTATTTACCAATTTTCATCATGTTATGAAATATTGAAATAATATTGAATACTATTTATATTATTACTTATATTACTTATAGTTACTTTTATTTTTATAACATTTTTTTCTAATAACAGCACAATTATCACACTGTATAAAGTAATACAGAAACATAGAGTAGTCTTAAAATATTTTTCTCTAGAGATTTTTAAAATACTAAAATTATGCTGGTCAAAAATCAGATAAACTTACTAATTGTTTACAGGCCCAATGTTTAATTTCATTACCAACAACATGTGATAATAAACAAGCAGATAATGCATTAATAAGCATTTTAACAGAAGGTTCATTATCATATTCATTTGGATTAATAATTCCACATACACCTAAAAATAATTTTTAATAATTACTTGAAATTAATAAAACAATTTTACAGCTTACTGTTTTTGGACAATACATCCAGTCTTTTTATAAATTCATTTACAATTAATTTAATAACTTTTAAATTATGTCGCATATATATATGCCCTTCGACTGCCATGGTATAAATGTCCTTGAAAATACATTTTTATTTAATTATTAAACATATTTTATTTTATAATACAATATATTACAAAATAACAAATTGAAGGTTAGTAAAGATATTTGATTTATTTAACTTATCAAAATGGTTTAATATTAGATTCTTTATAAATTAGGGAATGCTATAAGTTTTTTTATTCTAATGCAGGGTAGTGCTCTAGATATTTTAATAAAGAAAAAATAATTTATTTAGATAGCATTCGAGAAAAATGCATTAATTAAAAATATAAATTAGAAAAAAAAAACACAAAAGCTATAACATATTCAAAAATATATATTTGAGTTTTATGTAATCAATATTTTTAAAATATTGATATTGATATTAAAAATCAAATAAGCCTTAATACAAAGTAGTGCAGCTCTCACGATTTATTTAAACTAAATAATAATATTAATATATTATCAAAATGTTTTTTATATGACAGTTGAAATTATTTTTAAATAAAAATTATTTCAATTATTATTCAAGTAAAATATTTTATATATGCTTACTCGAGAAGGTATAGCTATGGCTAGTTTATACGCAGGTCGATAATGTTCAGCTAATGATACAATAGTCAATGATAATAATTCTAATACATTTTTTTCTATTATATTTGGCAAAACTTCACTTTCTTTGTATTCTCTATCAGTCCAAACATCCATAATAAGTATAAGTCTTGTAAAGTTGACTATTTTAGATACATCAATAATACCAAGCTTTTCTAGTTTCCATACAACTAAATCTTCGGACTCAAATGTCCAGTTCATAAGTGACATCAAAATATTAATAACAATATTTTTAGATGCCAAATATGATATTGTATAAAACATTCTATTAATAGCTTTTATTCGTTCTTCCGTAGTTGACATTAAAGTTGCTTCGAGGGGCAATGACTTAAACATAGGAGAATGCTGAAGTATATTAGAAGAATTGCCCTCAGTATTAGGAAGTGATGGAACAATCTCCATACCAAGTTTATCCATAGAATTATCTTCAACACAGTCAGATATAAATTTACAGGAGTCTAAATGTTCATTGATTGATTTCATATCAAATGGTCTATTGATATAATTATAATAATCCATTAATTTGGAAACTAAAATAAAAAACAATAATTATAATATATATTATAAATATATAAATGGATAGTAAAAAAAATAAATACTGTAATACATATTTAATGTTTCTAAAATTATTTATTTAGATATTTTTACCAATTTATTATTTTTTTTAAATCTTTTCCAAAGATTATACAACTTACTGAATAGCACAATACTAACCAAGAGTAGAATCTGATGTTAAGGATTTTCTCGGATTGATAATCTCAACATTACTTAATTTTTCAATTTTTTCTTGACATTTAACACAAGAAGCATCGTCAGCTATAATAAATACAAAAAATTAAGATATTTTCAAATATTTTAATGTATTAAAGTATTATACTAGTTTATACCACTTCTAAGTGCCGGTATGCTTTCTGATTCGGAATCAATTATATCAGTAGATGGTCGTAATTCAGTTACACTGAATCCTGAGTTTCGATTTATTGGTGGCAAAAATACACCATCAATACGAGTAGCAAAAGGATCGAGTACATTTGATTCTGATGTTGGAGAATGTATACGTGGAGGTGTTTCCTAAATAAAAAAATAGTTATGTAAATAAAATACATTTTTTTTTTTTTTTAAATAATTTAAGTTGAAAAATAAATTTTGAATTATAACTTAAAATATAGTAATCTTATTATGTAACAATTTAAGAAATATTTAAGTACCATTGGTGATTCTGGATGTTCTTCATCTGAATTTATTGTCTGCATAACTCGATTTACAGAATCTTCAGCTAATTCATTATTTGTTAACAAATTTGGGGCTCTATAAAATGTTTGTCCTGAAGTAAGCTGTTCTCTTAGACGTCTACTAGAAACTCTTAATCTTAGAGGATCTAAATCTAAAGGACTATCATCTAAAAGATGTTCAGGGCGAGATACTCCTCCATAATATGGATTTCTTATAACTGGAATTTGAGACTAGCAACAGAATAAATATACTCATTTAAAATTGATTAGAATTCATAGAAAAATTGTAACTTACTCTACTTTCTGTACTATTATCAGAGCTTTCAAAATTGGTTTCTTGTATACAAGGGTGTTCTATCATCCAAGTAGCTAAACTATTTATAGCTACATTTCGAGGCATTGTTTCCCAAGTGTTCCCTATAAACAAAATTAATTATTATCCAAATACACATTATATAATTTAAATTTAATACCTAAAGCAAGAATAGCTCTTTGAACTAGCCTCGCCGAAAATCCCATTTCAATAAGAGGAGTAGCTATTGAAGGAATTCGTTCATTATTTTCATTTCTAAGAAGCAAACTGTTTGTATGTTGTTCACTATAATTAGGACATACATAGATAGTATTTGATCGATGTAACATATTACGACGAGATCTTACAATCCTTCTAGGAGTATCATCAGTAGTTCTGGAAGTTTCTCCAGAAATCTTAAAAACAATTGTTATGATAAGTTAAATGTATAACATAAAGTAATATAAATAATTTTTTTCATATTTATTTACAGATTCTCTTCGTTTTACATTAGTACTTTCTTGAAAACTAATTAATGTTTTTAAACGATTTTGTAAATCTGGAATTCTATATTTTTTTTCAGCACATTCTTTGAGATAATTGTTATAAAGAATATTTAATATTCTTTCACAATCAATTATATCTGTTTCAATAACTAAATTCTTCGAACATAAACTTTTTTCAAAAGCACATCTATAACATTAAATATAAGCATAATTTTAAATATTAATCAACTTATTTATTTATGTATTTATTTATCAATGATGATATTAGTATTTTACTTCTATACTTTATATTTTATAATATAATTACAAAAATACTTTGACATATACAAAGTTTAATTACTGTTAAAATATTTTATTTACCTGAAAAGAAATATTAAAACTTCATTCATATTTTCATTTTCCTTTATGTTATCTCGTTTTTTTTTAGTATCATTGATTGCATTTTTATTAGCATCAGTTGGTTGCTTTGATTTTGGAGGAACTGAATTAACTATTATGTCGACACTCATAGAACTAGTCATAATAACTTCTAAACTTTTTAATGCACTTGCCTGTAAGGCACAAAGTTTAAATAGTTTGGCTTCGTTAGCTAAATCAAAACTAGATGTACCCCTACAAATTGCAATAGAAGTATTATTAAATCAATTAGTGAGAAATCAATCATGGACAACAGGTAAAATCTCCCTAAATTAAAAAAAAACATTCTGAATTTAATTAATATATCCTCAAAGGAGGATGAATTGCCCAAATTGTATGTATTGTGTTAATATATTAATACATTTTACCAATATCCAAAATATGTAAATACTTTAATAAATAAATATGTACATCTAAATATAAAATACTGTTATTGGTAGCCAATGAATATAACTTATCATTACAAGTTTGATTAATTTTATAGTAAAATTAACAAAAACATTTATAATTTTTATCTTTAAAGATTATTATTTTTGTATGCTTTTTAAATGTTCAAAAAGGTTTACTTTAGCCATTATGTTATTTCTAATAACTAAAACTCGGAAATTTACGATCTAAACAACTATAGAAAATTTCTTTGAAAATTGCAAGACGACTTAAAAACAAAAAAATAATAGTTTAAAAGACCTAGAAAACAGTTTAAAAGAAGAAATAATGATCTAAATATAATTTATACATTTGAATAATGCAAAAAATTACTATTTATATTTTTTAATTTTATTAAAAATATAAATAATAAAATAACTTTATAAAATTAAAAACTTTTTTGTGTATAAAATAATACTATAGGTAAATGAAAATATAAATGATATATATTTTTTTACCAATTAACTATGTTTACAACATTTGCATCAGATACTAAATTACTGAATTAGATTGAATTAGCACAATGGTATAATAAATCCTCAAAGGAGGAAATACAAACCAACCGATTCTTATAAAAATAAATAATTTAATTTATCTTAAATACAGGAAGAATTTAGTTATTTTAGTCACGATTTTATTTACCTGATAATGAATTTTTAATTTGAAACTAGTTGTATATTACTAATATAATAATACTCCAGACTGAGCATTTATTTATTTCTATATTTATCTTAATAAGCTAAGATTAAAACAATAATATGTTTTCGGGTTATTCTTAAATAAAAATAAGATTTAAAAATGTTAGTCTTATCAATTTATAAATTATAACTTTTAATATTTAAATAAAAATAGTAAGATAAAAATAAATAAAATAACTTGAAAGAAAAAAAAATGGTAAAAAGGTTGTGAATTCTCTTTGAAAAGAAATATTATTTAAAAGCAGAAACCAGTATCAGATATGAAATTAATAATTTAATAATGATTGAAATGGTAGGAGGAGAACAAGAGTTGAGACGGACTACATCAGGAGAAGTTAAGTCTTGGGAAAATATATTTTTAATTAAACAAATATTGTTCTATGAGGTAAAAAAAAAAAATTCTAGGGAGATTTTTTTTTAATACTTTTCATTAATATATACTTGGTTGGGATGTTAGTTCCTAAATCTTGAGTTTTACTTGAAGATGGGTCATTTTTTATTTTATCCATGATATTCATAACCATTTGATTATAAAACATGTCCATTGATTTAGTAGCTTTATCTTCATGAAAATTATCTGAAGTTTTAGTTTGTGTATTGTTTGGAAACACCAACTAAAATTGAAGTTAATATTATTAATATGAACTGAAACATTATTAAAAATAAGTACTTCATTTGTGATTCCACTTAATCGTCCAATTGAATATAGTAATAATGCTGGAATATATTCCAATCGAGTTGGATTAAATTTTATATTATTACATGGCAATAATGATTTAAACAATACATCACTAACAAAAAAAAAAAAAAATTAATAATTAAAAAAAAAATAATTTAAAAATAAAATTTACAACCTGACAGTATCATTTTTGTCTTCCCTCATCACTTTTGTTGATGTAAATCCTTTTTTTAAAGTTCCCATTATAGTACCAAATGATTTTTGATCCACATCATAACATCTTCCATCTACTCTCAGACCTCTATCAAGGCCACCGATTACTGCTAATGTAGGCCACACTTTTTCACATAGAATATTCACATCAATCTCTCCAATGTTTTCACAAATTGGTTCTTTTTGTACAGACTTAGATATCTCTTCTAATATTATTGTTTTAAAACATACTTCAGGAAGAACGCTTTTCAAAAATGAAAGTTGTTCTAGAAGACACTCATTTACCTATTAATTTATAAAAATCTTTATATATATTTAAATCAATAACACTTAAAATAAAATCAACCACTATGCTAAGTACATTACATAATGGTTCAATAAATTAGGAAAAATACAAAACTATATTGGTTTCTACCTAAGACAGTTTTTGAGCTGTTTCTTAAAAGAATACTAGCATTAACTCCTCACTTTTTTTTTTTTTTGTAAATTTTCATACATATTACAATATAATCCATAACAGTAAGAGATTTTAAAACAAATTATTCAAAATTAACTAAATTCTTATGGTTAAATGATAAAGAATAATTTATATTTTATTAAATGATAGAAAGGTACTTTAAATACATGGAAACTAAATTAATAAATATTAGTTTTTAGTGAACATAACATTTAAATATAGTATTAAAATTCTTAAAAATAAAACTGAATAAGTTTTATGTTATATAAAAGTATTTAAATAATCTTAATAGAAATGGGTGTTTAAATGCATAAATAACTTTCCTATTCCAATAAAAATAAATATTATTTATATGATGCAATATAGATGTTATACTAATTATATCAGGGGAGCATAGTATAATGTAAACAAATTAATTGTAATAAACAAGGAATAAATACAAAGGAAAAATTCTCTAGGAAAAATTCTTAAATTAATAAGTTAATATACTTTATACAAGCACTTCACAATACGAATAAATTGTTTTTACACAATGTACAATGTAAAAATAGATGATTTTTCGTCTTTTTAGAAAGTAAGGTTTTTTATCAAATATCTATAGTCTATATTTTGTAAAATTATTTTAAACCTATTTAAGAACTTACGAATACAATATATTCTAGCTAAATATCTATTAATGCTAGAAATTGTATAATACATTTTGAGATAATCAGCAAATATTTTAAATGTACAGTATTTAAAATAAACTATTAATATAAATTTATAAAAATTAATAATTACCTCATTTAACCACAGATCAGAGTTGTGCAAAATTCTAATTATTTTTATATAATTTTCATTAATACATGCAAACATGGGTGCTAAATAAGGTTCTCCAGCAAAAAGTTCAGTGTTTTTATTTCGCTCAGCTCTATAATCACTTATTTTAATCTAAAATATACAAAAAAAATCAGAATAACATATTTAGATGAATGAATAAAAGATGTTATTTTTACTTTTTGTCCAGCAGCTGTACTATAACATAACACACAAGGATAAAGTTTAGTTTTGGTATCTATATTATGAAATGCAACAATAGGATAATCATTATTTTTAGCAAAACTAAGTGTTCTTGATCCAGTATCAAATATTGCAGTAATATAATCCCCTTGAGTAAATGTTTTAAGTGCAAGAGGTTTCTGACCTCCATTATATAAAACACCACTAAAAAAAAAAAAAAAAAAAAAAAGTACATAGATTAGCTTGTATAAATATAATTTATTTATGTAAAATCTAAAATTAAATAAACAGTTAATTTAGTAAAATAGAACTATGTACATACTTATAAGCTCTGTAAAGCCACATGTCAGCAGTTGTCCTATAGTTTAGGTCTTTAATGGGATATTTTGATATACCAATACATGAACCTTCATTGCCTTGATGTTCTTTTAAAATGAAAAACTTCCATTGATATACACCTAAATAAAATTTTTAATAATTTCATGTTATCTAAGAAACTCATTCTTCAAATAAAAGTAGAAATAGTTTTGTAACTTAACATTTATTGTAAATTTATAAGCTATAGTAAAAGTATTTCAAGTAAAACTTATAAATTTAAAAAATATTCTTCAAGTGATATTTTTTTACTCTTTAAATTTCAAATTGTATAAGAAAATTCCTATCTTGAAAATTAAAAAACTAAATAGCATAAAAAATATATTATTTTAATTTATTTTTTAAGATTTATGTCATCATTATGAACTTTCTTACAACCAAGAAAAAGTACCATATTTTCATATTTGATATAAAGATACAATGATGATACTAGTTAAGCAAAAAACTTGACTAAAAAAAAATATTTCTTTAAACCCAAATGATACTATCGAGGTCAGTATTTCTTGTACTTATAAAATATAATACTAACCAAACTTGACTTAATTTATAACTAAATGCAAGTGCAATATGCATTGTAAATTTCTGAAAAATACTTTCAATATAGTTTTATGTAATCTATATTATTATTCATTGACAGTAAACTTAAGAAAAAAATAATCTTGACAAGTAAGATAAAATTTGTAAAAATAAAATAAATCCATTTATAGATTTCCAAAGTAATTATATCTATTATATAATTTCATAATTGGTATGGTATGTATATAAATTATCAGTAGAATTATAAACTGTTTTTATCAAACTTATTACAATACAAAATTAATTATTTCTTAATGAAAATATATTTTACGGCTATAACTGAGTACAGTACAATATATGATGCTCTAAGTAAGAAATATACATATTTATTTTTAATTTACCACTTTCAAAGGGAGTATATCCAAGTGCGTAAGCTCTACCACCATGAGTGTGAATAACAGTATGATCTTTTTCAATAATACAATTAGAGCTTTTTTCTTCGTGGAATGAAAATGGCAATTCACCAATATCAATATTAGTACGATTACTATCATTCGGATCTGAAAAATAAATATACAATGGATTTTTCAACAATATAGTAACCCAAAAATATATTCCATTTACCATTTAAGTATATTTTATCCATTTGTTTATCTAAATCTTCTTGTTTTAAATATGCAGTCATATTTTCAACTTGTTGTGGAATTAACCACATATTAGCAGCAAGTTGTTCCAATAAAGTCTTCACAATCTAAAAAAGTATTTAAAAGATTTCAATAGGTTTTAAATTATTTAAATAATTTCTAAATCATAATAATGAAATTATAAAGACTAAGAGCACAATACTTACTTTTTTGCGACCACTACTAGATAATTTTAAATGAGGTAATATTTGACGCAATAGCCTCAAAATTAATAGTTTACAACGAAAATGTTCAGCTAAGAGTATGGTCTTAGAACATTGAGCTAAACGTAAAAGAGTTTCAGTCCATTGGATAGAACTAATACACAAAGGGGAAAATGATGTACATTGCAGAACAAAAGATAATAAATCACAAATATAACTCTGTACTGGATATGAATCTTGAGAATTTACCCTAAAAGTAATAATAATTTATAATTAATAACTATAAAAGTAAAATAGGATGTATGTTTTAAAAATATTGTTTCAACTTTACCCTTCAGGTAAAATATTATTAGAAGTTTCAGAAAAAGTTTGTTCCATTATTGAACATTGTGTTGAATTCATTAATATATCTAAAAGATTGTGTATGTTCATAAAAACTGCTCTTATACTTTCAAAACTAGAATATGGATTACTATAATATAAAAATATATAATTATGATTACAGGTATTTATACAAATAAAAATAATTAATTTAATAACATACCACCCGGAGACTCCTAGAATATAGAGAATATTACTAGTCATTTTTACTATGACTAATGAATATCGATCAGTAGACATAAATGGAACATGAAGTTTACATGTGTTAACTAGCATTTCAGGTAAGTTATTTGATAGTAAATACTCAAAATCTGATAAAGTAAAATGCATGTTGAGTAAAGAAAGTATAGATATTTGAATGGAAAATAATTCTGATGTTGCAATATTCATTCTTAAATATATTTCAAAATGTTTGTATATATTAAGAACAGCACTTTGAATTTGCCTTTTAATTGATCTTGGAACTGTATTAATTGCTGAATAATAGTGATCAATAGTATGATGTTCGATAATTTGAGATTGGTATAATCCCAAAAGGCCACAGATAAATGCTTCAAATACCTATAATAGATTAATACATAAAAACAAATCATTTTACTTTGAAAATATTTATAAATAATAGTTTAATAATATATTTTGATATATTTACCTTACACATATGATTTAATGAAATATGATTAGATGAATCTTGAACAAAATCAATAATTTTCAACATTTTTGTAATACGATTAAAAGCTGCTAAACGGTCCTATGGATGATTATAATATATAATCAAAAAATATAACATAATAAATATATAAACAGAAGAACTAAAACTATTCGTTTTAAAGGTGAGTTAAGAGATTTTGAGAATTAAAAAAAAAAATAATGTCAACTCCAAATCAACTTAAAAATTAATATCATTGCTGATAATAATGCAAGACATACATTAGTAATTTATAAATTAAAATCTTAAATATGTTGTTTATTTATCATTATAGATACAAATTGTACTAATTCAATTTGTTATTTAAATTTAATGTTAAATAATTATGATGAGTAACTTTTAATAAATTTTATCATTAAAGATACTAGGTATCAATGTAGAATAGAAATGTGTTTTAGCACAAAAAAAAAATCATAAATAGTAATAAACAGTCCAGAACTAGAATCATATAAATTGTTATTTCTCTTTTTTGCTATTTTACATTTTGATTCTAGTTGCAATGCACAAGCACCTATTAAATAATTAATGAAATTCAAGAAAAATGAATTTTTTCTTGTTCACTAAATGTACTATAATATGTACACCATTCATTAAACATCATATTAGCATCAGGCTTAAAATACTTTTCTACTATTAAAATGATAGTCAATGTTCGGGTTTTGTAACTAGAAAACATTTGGCTAGGTAAATGAAAAAAATTTAAATATTAAATATTTTGTAAACAATTTTTATGAATTTTAATGAAAAAATAAAATACATTAGTACAATTTTTAAAAATATTTTTTTTTTACACTTCAGTTTTCTTTAAAATAATAGTGGCTTAAAAATAAATATATTAATAATATTCAAGAAACATAAAATAATTGTACATACATGTGCTCTAATTTCTTCAACTTCTGATGCTTGTATTAATGCATAAGGATTGGTTGCTTGTTTAGAATCTAATACAAATTCTAAAACTGATTCTAATACTGATTTATTAGCTGGAGTTAAATCACTAGAGAAAAATAAAATGTTATCAAAATTTTAAAATAAAATAAAACATATTTTATTCAAAAAAAAATTAATTATATGATTCAGATAAAAAAATTAAAGGTAAGCAAGTTCAAAAGATATTTTATCAATAATTGGTATCTTTAGTTTAAAAAATATAATTTAACGTAAACACTAAAAATAAATTTATAAGTTAGTAAAAAAATGTATCATATATATCAGGGATGGCAAATCCATGGAACGCCAACATTTTTACCATTATATATCATATAATATATAATATTATAGGATCTATAATATAATATAAATAATTAACAAAGCAATATTATCATTATTATTATTATTATGTACCTAAACTAACCTTTTTATACTAATACATTAATTATACAATCTAATTATAATATAACAAAATATAATATTTTTAATATTTTTTTCGTGGCACGCTCTATAAAAAAAAAAAAGGTAATTTCGGGCTCGCAGTGTAAAAACGGTTTGCCATCCCTGGTATATAAATTATATTATATATAAATAAATAAAAAATATGAAATATAAGTATTTCATTGTTAGTTTTAAAATAGTTTTTAATATTGTCATTTATTTTGTTCTAAGTAAAATTACTATTATTTATTATCAATTCATAGCTAAACTAATAAGTTCTAAAAAGTGAAAAATTGTTATTATTTATATTCCTTTATACTATACAAAATCACGAAAATCGATAATTTTTCTAGTAAAAAATGCATACCATTTTCTAATTTTTAAACTCAAAGTTTAAAAATTATATACAATATCTTTCATATGGAATTCTTTGTAATCACAATAAAAAAAAAATAAATAAATAAATAAATGTTGGACAGTCATAAAAATGATTAAAACAATGTAAAATATTTTATTAAATTTTGATTAGTTATGAAAGTTATTTTGTTAAAGACATAGTTTCAAATTAAGTTAATGAAACTGCACAAAAGTTTAAAAGCACTTAGAATTTTAGTTGTCCATTTTTTTTATTTTTTGCAAAAATTACTTATAACTACATTACTTTTAATTATTAATTATTATTAAGAAATTTGGTTTTTCTACTATATCAACCTTCCTTAGAAACATAAATTGATCCACCTAAATGGTGTATGAATGGTACATTTATTTCAAGTTTAAAAGATTATATAGCAATGTCATTCACACATCTAAACCTTACTAAGTCATGGAGTCTCAACCTACCTAGGAGTTTTGATAATTTTTCTATTTTAGCTAATGTTTTGTTAATTATTTCTTATAGCAAGATCGTATTTGAGGGGGGAGGGCAAAGGGGACATTCACCTTCCCATGGCTCGTATTTTTTTTGAATATAATAGATTAATTTATTTAAAAAATGTAATGAATAAATAATTAAGAATATAAATTACTAGTCTATCATTATAATATCATAATAAATACAATATGTCAATTTGATCACGAGTATCAATTTTTGTTTATCTTCATATATCATAACATTTTTGTTTGTGAAACGAATAGTGGTATTATCTTCGACAGATATTGCTACGGTTATAGACATTTACAACCATAACCGAGGTATTTATCAGATAATATAAAGTAATTTAAAGTAACACTTTTTTTACCACATATTTATTAGTTAGTCATTTTTTGGTGCATTTATGCATATTGTATATTTTTGTATTTATTAGAGCTATATAAGTCCTTAATAATTTTACTTGCCTATTTTTTTGTACAACATATCTGGTATTTTTTGTTATGCATAGGTATTTAGTCATTTTTTGTGCACAAATGCATGCATATTTGTGTATTTCATAGAGCTAGAAGCCCCTAATCCAAATAATAATCATAATAACTGATAATATTTGTTTCCATATTCTTTAACTTGCAAATATGGGCCAAAAATATATTTTTGTAAATTAAAAACATGGTTAAGATCAAGAATTGGCCAGCATAGACTAATAGGTTTGGCTTTGCTGCATGCACATAAAAATATTATTGTATCCATTGATGAAACAATCAACAAATTTGCCAAAATGAATAAAAGAAATTTGGAATTTGTTATTTGACTACTTACTAACTGTATGTTTTCTACTTAGATATTTGTTAAATTAAGTTACCTATCTTAATTGTTTTTTAAAGTTTTTAAAAAATAATTAATAGGTACTATTACTACTATGATTATTTGTTGTTTTTTTTTTATACAGGATTCAGACTTAAGGTACAATTTTAATATAAGAAATATTTGTATTGTTATTATTAATACTTATTTTATATGCAGTAGGTTTTAAATATATTTATTAAATAAATATTAAATTCAATTTGGTACTTGTATTTTTATTTATTCACTCGAATGAGCAATAGGAACAATGAGCTTTAGATAATGGATCAGGGGCATACCCAGGAATTATTTAGGGGGGGTCTAACATTTTTATTTCATCTGTTCTCTAATTATAATTATAATTTAATTCAATACCAACAAATTACTGTTAATAATTATAGTAATAGTCACAATATTTATACACACATCACACATATTCTGCACAAAGGTTTACTATAATAAGTAGGTACTATAATTTGGAATCAATTTTTATTTGGTAGTAAAATGTTATAAAAAAATATATTATTTAATTAACAATAATAAATAATATTAAAAAATCAGTATAAATTAAACATGGTTTATAAATTATTGATATATTATATAATCTATAAACTTTGTATATTGAAAATAATGGGAAATTAAAATACACTATATACTATTTACTATTAAACCATTGAGTATGTAGAAATTTCAATTGGGGTTCAGGACCTGAAAACTCCCCTTGGGTACGCCCCTGTAATGAACTGTAAATTATTTTTAAGTTTTTATAGAAGAAAAATTAGTTCCCCCCCTCTCTAGGCCTCAACACAAATATGTCGTTGTCTTATAGTACAATGAAAAATTATTTTAACTTAAATAAAAAAAATTAACTACTAGAGGTAATTAGATGCATTATTTTGAAATAATTTTAACTTGTAATTTATAACAGTTTATTGAATAACTTGCCTATCCCTGAAATCAACCTATTTAGTATATTTAAACCAAATAATTCAAATTATATAAAATAACTAAATAATAAAATTAATTGTATACATACTCTTTTAAGAGATGTTTATTGGGTAATGACAAATCACTATGCATACCACGAACCGCAGTTAACAAAAAACAGCATTTACTAGAAATGTTTAAGCATTGATATTCATCCACAGCAGAGTTTGGAAAATCTTATAAAATAATAATCAATAAAAATGTTAAAAGTAAATATAATTCACTTAGTGATAAATACTTACTACTTTCAGAAAACATAATAGATTTTTCTAGATTATTGACAAGAGCAAAAAACATCTTCATACACATTTCATTAATGAAGGACACAAGATTTTTGTTAAATAAAAAGCTGTAAATTGAGATTTTTAGATTCAGAATACTTTTAGTATAAAATTAAAATATAAACTTAATTAGGTATTCAATACAAACTCTTTAAGAGGTCTTCCATCAATTTTTATTAATGTAACATAAAATAATGGCAATGTCAAACGAGTAATCATATCATATTTATTGTCTTTTAAAAAACTTTCATATTTATCCTTAAAGTTGTTACAAATAGTTAATGCAACATTATCTTCATTTTGTTCATAATCACATAATATATATTTTAATAAGTTTAAATATGGTTGAGGAATGAAATTCAATTCATGTTCTAATACAATGAATCCAGTATTAGAAATTTTTTTTAACCGTTCTTCTATATCATCTAAAATAAGAAAACAATTAAATATATATATAACACTATTATGAATGTCATATACTAAATATTATAAAATTATTCATGAAAGTTTATTGATTTATAATGACTTTAATAGAATTTACCTCATCCATAACTCTATACTGTTAAATTATATCTATGAATATATATTTATTGTTATTTTTATTAAATATTATATTTCCTCACATTGTGTTAAATGTGATAAAAACCAAATGAATGTACTTTATCACTATCATATTCTGAAAAATGTGCTCTTTATTAAGACTTATAACTTTCTATAAGAAATAATCTCTATACAAAATACATTAAGAATAACTATATTCAAATTATATCCTACACCTATATTCACAACACTGTCATATCACTTCCATATCGATATTAAATCAAGCCTACATATTTATCATTTTTAACTTTTCACACAAATAAAGATAGAATTAGAGAATATAATTTTAAAATTTCAAAATTATTATTATCAATATCCTCATCAAATCTAAATCACAAGTAATATAATAATAGTGTTACTTATGTAATTTGAATAAATAACTAATATTAATACTTGACTTAAAAAAATAAATGTGAAAATTTGTTTTCACCATCAAAATAAATTAAAATTATTTCTTACAAATATCGTGATGAAATCTTAAACGTTATTGTAAAATGTAATCTAGTCTTCTATTAAAATATTTTGGTAATCCATCCATCACTGTATCTATATACGTCAATTTCGATCAATATTGTGAACAATTCAGAAATTATCTAATTATATTGGTACCTAACATACAGGACCATATTACTGCATAAGCACTATAAGCACTATGCCTAAAGTTTACTAACAAATGGACGTCTATGAAATTTTTAGCAAACAATTTTAATTTAATTGAAAAATTCAAAAATTGATAGAAAAACTAATCTTATAAATTTATTTTAAATTTAATTTTTATTTATATATTATGTATATTTAGCCAATTAATGTATGGCATTTTTCATACTGTGAAAATAATGCTTAGAACCCCAAATAACTTATCATGCTGATATACAAAAATAAAAATATTAAATATACATTTTAATTCTTATTAAGTAAATAATCAAAATAAAGTTTATATTCTTGTATTGTATCACTATAGCTACAATAGCTCAATACCTCTATAGCTCTTCTAGCTCTATAATTACCTACATTAAAACACAAGACAATAAAAATGCTGTGTATGAATAAAGAATCTAAATATTATTCGTAGCAATAATAGGTACATTTTAAAAATAATAAATAATTTTATTTATGTAAGTAAATATTTCAATTTTGTCTTCACATCTAACATTATAAACATATTATTTATAATACATGTATTAAAACAGTAAATGAAGTATATTTTTTTTATTATAAGAGTGGTCCATCCCCTCAGTGTGTCTACACTATCTACCTAGATTCCCTAATTCATAACTGTACACACTAATTATCAGATAATTTCTTACTCTAAAATATCATGTATTATTTTACTAATTAGTTGGTAGATATTAAAGTTAATTTATCTGATTTTTTATTTTATAAAAATTAATTGTGTTATGATTGGTAGCTTGTAGTATTAGTCAAATATAAATAAATTTTTGGGTAGTATTAACATTATTCAGTTATTTTAAATATTATATAATTACTAATATTACTTATAAAGTTATGAGTTACACAAATAACACATATAATTCACTAAAGTTTTCTTACCAAATATACTTTTATCTTCTAATTTTTCAATGCCTGAAGAAAATAATTTACTTTTTAACCACCGCTCATTGCATATTTCAGATGGACATAGTGGTGAACTTATTATTCCATAGCTTATTAAACGGCCAATCAATAAACAAAATGCTGATTCTAGTTCAATAAACCAAATAGATTCATTCATTTTGTCAGGATCTAAACAATAGTATTAATTAATAAAATTGACTAATTAAACAATATACATTTAAAAATGTATAAAGGTATTCTTGAGCCAGGAAATAGCCACAATATCTGATAATTATAATGAAAATATTGAATAATTAAAAAAATAGAAAAAATCTAGAAAGTATAAACTTTTTTAAGACTGGAAAATCTAGACCAGACATTATTACAGGTGACATTAAAAAAAAAAAAAAAAAATTATTTTGATTGAATAAAAATAAACATACCATTGATACACATTTTTTGATTTAATATATGAAGAGATTGAACTGTATTTATTAAAGAAGTTAGGACAGGTTGAATATGTTCACTTTGTAAAAATGTTAATGAATTTAGTGTATTAATCATTGTTTCTCCAACTATAGATGAAGACAAGACATCTGAAACATAGATTTAGATTTAATGAGCACATACTTTTTAAAAAATTAAATAAAATTAATATAAATTTAATACCATTATAAAAAATATAGTGTTCATCATTATATGAAGCAACAGTTGTTCTAAATATTGTATTAGCAAATACTAAGTATGATTCTAAATGGTTAACAAAAAGACGGTTCATACTCAGACAAGACTAAAAAATTTAAAAAAGTTATTTAATATTAATATTTATACATAGGTGATAATATGTTTACTTAAATATAACACTAAATTAGTGATTTTTAACTCATGTTCTTTGCACACAAATTTGCCATGAATTGACTATAGATGTACCGATATTAGAGCACACTTATAATATTATTACTAAATTACCAAATATATATACAATAAGTCACACTTAATTTTTATAATAGTATACATTATAAATAATTTTTTTTATACATTATGAGTTTTTTATCAAAATGTATTGTAATAACTAATGTGCTGGATAACCAAAAAAGGTTAAGAACCACTGATCATAATACTCAAATAAAATTATATTTTTTGCAAATTAATAAAACAACTTATTTGTAATAATGTAGATAATTTTTAAAATAAATACGATCATTATGTTTTAAATAAGCAAGGTTCAATAAATGTAAACAATTTTTCAATGTTCATTGATGGAATAAAACATTTTAAGAAATACAACTATATTATTTATAGTAGTCCATGACCATTACTGAAACAATAAAGTATTTATAGTAATTTTCATACCATCTTATGAGTAATTTTTTTATTTTCTCACAGCTATAAAAATATATAGAAAAGTGGTACCTGGTGTATACATAATAATATAATTTATTAATATCATACATAAGGGTGGTTCAGTAACCAAATCATTGAAATATAAGGTATCTCAAAAAGAACACAGGATTTAAATCTGCTATAGATTAAATTTATATCTTTTAAAAAAATATAACAAATATATCATTATCTTCAGGAGAAGTTAAGATTTAATAGTTTAAAACAATATCGGGCTTATGACACTCTCTACTAGTCCTACAGGCGATTATTCTTTCCATAAAATTTACCATCACTGGATAACACATTGTCCCATCAAGTTCATTGAGGACACAACAAATTTCTTGCTTAAGTTCCAAGACAGTTCAAACTCTGTTCTGGTAAACTTGTGACTTAGTGTATCCCTATAAGAAAAAAATCACAAGGTGTCAAGTCGCAAAATTGAGGAGGGTAGCTTTGGCCATGTAATGAGATTAGTCTGTCAGGGAACTTTTCACGCAGCAGAGGGATTGTTTCTTTTAAAGAATATCAAGTTTTGCCGTCTTGTTGTAACTATACAAGAATACCTACTGAGGTCAGTAATATTTTTTGGCCTCATTTGGACCAAATGAGTATAAAAAATGTATGATTTCAACTTGTCACACTTCAAGAAAAAAAAATCACAGTAATGCATGAGAAGTTCCTGGACAGACTAATCTTGTTACATGACCAAAGCTACACCTATACACTTCGATCTTACGACTTGACGCAGTGTGATTTTTTCTTATAGGGATGCATTAAGTCACAAGTTTACCAGAACAAAGTTCGAAATGTCTTGTAACTTAAGTAAGAAATTTGACGTGTCCTCAACAAACTTGATGGGACAATGTGTTATCCATTGATGGTAAATTTTATAGAAAGAATAATCGCCTGTAGGAATAGTAGGGAGTGTCATAAGCCCGATATTGTTTTAAACTATTAAATCTTAACTTCTCCTGAAGATCATGATATATTTGTTATGTTTTTTAAAAGAAATAAATTTAATCTATAGCAGATTTAAATTCTGCATTCTATTTGAGACACCCTACATTTCAGTATTGTTAATGTGACTACTAAAGGTCCACAGTAAAAAAAATATTTTGTAGACATAATGCTCAATATAAAATAAATGTTTCAAAATACATACCCAATATATAAATAATTATCGACATTAATAATAAAATATATAAATAATTATTAACATTAAAATAGAATAGTATTAGGGGTGTTTAAATTAAAAATTAGAAGTATAAAATTCTAAATAAATTAATTATTGATAAATCACAAAAAAATTATTTTATAAAAAAATTAATTTTAGATTTTTGAATTGAATATGGGTACATACATTTTTTAAGTGAACTTTTCAAATACTGATTATAAATAAATGAAAGAAAAATATTTAAAACACTTACATTACTGTAATGGGGGGACTTAATGTTATAGGCCAATAAATGTGACAGTAATAATTTATGAAGGGAGGTAAGTGTCTCATTGAGTTTATTTCCTTTTTTGAATGCAGGATAATTATTTGACTCCAATAAGGTTATCTGAAAAAATTAATAATATGAAGTAACATAATATAAACTTAAGTAAACATGAGTCAATCAATTATACGAAATAGAGAAGCTGTTCTCAAACCATAAACCTTGGAGCACCATAAACACCACAGTCTACATAAAAATAAGACTAGTGTTATGTGAATTAGTATTAGTTTATTATGCATACTACAAGCTCCTTATAATATTCACTGCAAGATATTGTGACTAAAAATGGTTCCAAAAAAAAAGCATCACTGGGTTAAAATTTTGGAAGCTTCTGAATTAGAGTTAATTTAAAAATAAATAATAAACTTATACTTGAAAAAAGTTAATATAATTTTATTTTCCAAAATAATTATAATTCTCATAGTAATTTCATCACTTATAGATATCACTCAAGAATAATTATAATAGTCATAACAAAATGTGAAGCATAATTGTAATGTGTGATCTATCTATCACAGCGGTTCCCAACCTTTTTAGTAGTGCCAAAATCTTTGAAGCCCACCAATAGTTATAAATGTATAATGTGCACATACGTCAGTTATTACAGTTTATTAAAAAACAAATGTTTATCAGAAAAAATAATTCATTGATCTAGATTATTTAAGAATTAAACAATTTAATGTGATTTTTCGTTCAGACAAACACACAGGTTGTCGAAATATAGCCCATCAAGATTCTAAGTACAATTTAATAGATTTGATAGAAATTCTTGCCGAATATTTAACTATTTTACGATTTTAGAGTCCAATTACATAAAAGTTCAATCAATGAATCACTTGTTTTTTTTGACTTTTTGACTTTTACTTGCTGATATTTAATATTTTAAAAATATGTCTAAGTAATATTAATATAATATGGTTCACGGCCCAGTACCACCCTGCTCGCGGTCCACTTGTGGACCGCGGCCCATGGGTTGGGAACCGCTGATCTATCATCTTAAACAATTTGTTTGTTAAACGAGGAAAGATATTTTTAGCTTATATGCTAGCAAAATCTATATAAAGCTCTGAAATTTTAAAAGAAAAAAAGTTTTAAAATTTAAAAAGAAAGAAAAAAAAAGTTTACCAAAATATTTTATTTTTTATTATTATAGTATAAAACTATAGCTAAGATATAATACAATAAGTAATCAAATATTTACTAATATGTCATGAATAATTTTAATTTCAAAATTAATATAAAATATAAGGATTTTATAGTGCTTCTTTTTCTGCTTTTTTACTGTAAACCAACTTATAGTATTTAAAATATTTCTGTAACAGGGATTTTTGTATTAGAATAACTAAAATTACCAGAGCTTTAAAAAAAAAATATTATTTAAAAATGTTATTTTTTTTTATTTTCTCAGTACTTTTTCAGATTTAAAAGAAAAACATAACAGTTATATTTCTCTCGATTATACAAAAACTAAGTTCATATTAGTCATTAATAGTATTATTCAAGATAACTTATCATTTATAGATCACATGTAAAATTTAACAATGGTGTTAACTTTAATTACAATTTATAAATTAAAATACTTTTCAATCATTTCACAATCTTCACAAATTACTTACAGTACTATTTGTTAAATGTTTTAGTAACAGCTTCATAACTTCTTCGATAGATAAATATCTATTTTCATATAAATCCATTGAGTTGACTCTGAATAATGAACTAATATGACTATTATCATTTAAACTAGAAACTGTAACATCTAAAAGCAATTTCTAACCAAAAAAATATAAATATAAATTTAATATAATTAAGTTCATTTGTTATATGTAAGTTTAATATTACTTGTCCAGTAGTTAAATTTGTTTCTTGGGCAAGAAGAGATTTAAGAATACTGAGACGACCAGATAATGGGGGTAAAAGAAGAGATGCACCAGTAGATAAACAATCCATTAAACTTCTCTCCACAACTTCTTTTACTTGCAAATCAACAAGTCTAAAAATATAATTAATTTCATTTTGCTTATACATAAATATGAAAATAACATCAATAATTACTTCAAAAGGAGTGTTCGAAGTTGACTAGTTTCATTACCAAGTAATTTCGAAAAATCATGACCAGATACACGGGCAAAAAATAAATGATTGTTAAGCATATTTAGACTCAAGATTAACATTTCTTCATTTAAACTAAAAATAAAATAAAAAATACTTCTTTATTAATATTTTCTTTAAGAAAATTAAAAAATGATTTACTCATTTGGAGTGGATTGATGAGATTCAATTTGTTCACAATATTTTTCAATGAACTGTCTTAACCATTTGAATGTACTTTCATGCAAGTCAATACAGAATGGACTATGCCAAACATTTGTTTGCCTAAATAAAAGCACATAAAATTAATTAATAGAAATAAGATATCATTTAGTTAAATTTTTAAACACTAATTTCCTTCATATTAAAAGTATACATTTTGGATATTAAATTATAATTTCAAAGAACTTTATTTTAATTAAATACAACTTTTATAGGAACATAACATTGAGCTGCACTAAGTAAAGAAAATGTAACTAATTTTTAACAAGTTTCTGTGTTATAAAAGGTAAAATTTTAGTTATGTAATTAATATGTATTTATTTTACCTATCTGGAGGTAATGTTGTCCAAGCAACACTATGAGAAGTACCAGCAGAAATTTGATTTATTTGTTTACCCTCCAAGTTAATTACTTTACTAGGACGACTAACAGGACTTGTTGAATGGCCTTGTCCACATTGTCCTTTTCCATTAGAACCCCATGCATAAACCTGATAAAAAAAAAATCATAATAATAATTATTAGTTAAATTAAATTATAATTTTTTTAACAAAATCAATTTTTTTTTTTTCATACATGAAATGAAGTGGTTTGTACACTATAGAATTTATAGTCTGTTGTTTTATGTTGAAATATAACATCTCTAAGTGACTTAAATTCTGAGTTTTTCCAATGTTTTAAATTTTTTTTATTCATGAATAACTATTAAACTAGTACTATGTATTTCCCATAAATATTTTGCATAATCATCATTGATAAAAAAAATGATCAAACAGGAATTAATGCAGACCTACATTTGATGATTAGCACTTGTTCAATATCCAAAATATAATTATATAAAATAATAATAGATATTTTTGCTCAAGTTAAAAATGTATTGTAAATCATGAGATTCATGAAACTAAATAATACTATCAATAATTTTATAAAAATTATACAATAAATAATAATTTGTTTTTAATGTATTCAACACATTACAATGTTGTAAAAAAAAAAAAAATTAATTTAATTAAAAAACTAGTTACTATAAGAAAATATAATTTGATTATGTTGATAATGCAATAATTAAGTAATTCATTTATTTTTTCCAAAAGAAAAAAATGCTATCTTACTATATAGGCTTTGTGCAAATTAAGGTGTCTGGTAGAAATACAGAAATTGATACAATAATTAGTTGTAACTATTTTTATGAGTTAAAATAGATACTTAAAATAGTCTAAAACATAAAATATAAGTTAGCTTTATATCAAGATTATTTAAAAATATTTTTCAACTATTTTTGTCTTCGATAGAAATTTAATTATTTAATATATTAGGCTTCCTAAAAAATTAAGAATATAAAGGAACTTGTTGCAATAGACCATTTTATTAGTAAATCTTCATAAATTAACAACCAATTAAAAAAAATTTATTATTTTATTATGCTAATTAATCAACAACACAAATATTATTAAAAAGCTATTAACCTTTATGATCACATTTCACTTACAGCACAGTTCCTAGTTAAAGCCAAACAATGAGAATCGCCTACAGATATATCTATAGTCATTTGTTGCATTAGATCTTCAACAACTGCAGGTGAGAATAAAGTGATTTCCGATGAACCACATCCAAGATTTGATCCTTGACCCCATGTGAAAACCTAAATAAAATTTAAAAAAATGTATTTAATAACAAATATATTAATAAAAAAATAAATAAAATGTATGGTTATACTCTAAAAATAACAACAATATATTATAAAATATATAAATAATTTATAAAAATTAAATGTTCACGTTTTCTCATATTTTTTACTATAAAATATCAATTAAATAATATAAGTTAAACAAAAAATTTTGAAAATGTATTATAGTTCCTTATCCATGTTACACAGCTATTTTTTTTTTTTGTATAAAAAAACCTAAAATCTTTTGTAAACATAATTATATTATATTGAATGTTATTATTATAAAAATAAAAAATAATCAATTCTGTATCAATATAATTATTATTTTATTACATTTAATTTATTTTAAGATAATATTACTAAAACACAAACATAAAACCAAAATTTATTTTTATAGATTTTAGATTAAAAAAAAATTGAAAGTTAAATTATTTTAAGATCCAACTTTAAAGTATAAGTTACTTTTTAGATTCTGGGTAAAACAAAGAATGAATTGACTTTACCATGATGCATTTTTTTTATATAGGATTGATTCTATCATCACAAATATAGGTTTCTGATAAGAATGGTGAGTAGACAAAATTGAGCTTAATAACAACTTTTATGAAAATTTGAATATTAAATTTTAAACAGAACAACAAAAATTACAGAAATCTACTAAATTTTTGTAGCTAAAAATGTATGATTTATTAACAGCCAAAAGAACAAAATTTTTACAGATGAGTGAAAAAAGTTTTACTTAAGGATAGAGAAATTTTGAAAAAAATGTATATTTCAACGAATTTAAATTATAAGATAGTAGTTATTTGGTTGTTATTCAATAAATATTGTAACAATTCAAAAAAAATATTAAATAAATATATTAACATATGCGGAAATCGGGGGGGGGGGCTTGAGGGGACTAAGCCCCCCAAAAATATAAAGTACAGGTCTTAGTCCCCCTAGCCCTAAAAATTGTTAAGTGACTAAATATACAATAATTATTATAATTGTAAAATGCATTTTTAATAACTGAATTAAAAAAAAATATTCTATGATAAAAATTAAATCAAATTTGTAAGGTTTTACAAACTTCTTGTCATGACTTGGAACAATCGCAATTAATATAATATTAATAATATATAATAATACCCATATAAGTTGTTCAATTTAATTAATTCATAATTTCTGTTTAGAATACCTACTCCAAAAATGTTTAAGATAAGGCACCTAATTGGTTTTTTGTTTAAATTGTTGATTAAAAATGTCAAATTGTTAAACTTCGTAAATTGCCTTGTTGAAACAAATAATTGCGCACAGTGGTATCTATAGGTATAATAAGCAAATAATGCTCAGCCCTCCCACAAATTTCACCAAATTTCCGCTTATGTATATTAGCGGTTTAAAATTTTTTAAATAGTTTAATGATATTTACTATTCTTAGAAGCAAAGTTAAGTCCCTAAAATAATATTAAATAAAAATACTAAAAATAATTAATCTATTAATATTTGTAGTATAATACATACTTCACCGGTACAAGCTAATGCAACGGAAAAATGTATTCCAGCAGCAACTTTTTTAATTTTATAATGTCGCAATCCATCAATTTTTTGAGGTTTATACAATCTTAATGTATTACCATGGCCAAGTTTACCATTATCACCAGAACCAAATGACCAAACAGTATTTCCATCACGTGAACAAGCTAAAGTATGAGTTGAACCACAAGCAACATAACCAACTGGCATATCACTTAAGCTTTTGACAAGTGTAGGTATAAGTCTAGGATTACAATCACCATGGCCTAAAGGTATATTAATTATTTAGTATTTCAGATACTCATAATTACACTTAAAAAATACATCTCTATGATCCAAATATTACCTAATCGACCATGGTCTCCTTCACCCCAAGTATATAATTGTCCATCACTGGTAACTGCAGCACTATGTCTATAACCAGCACTAACTAATTCAATTACTTTTCCAACAAATGGTCCTTGAATAAGTTTTGGTTCTTTGTGTGTTGCTACATCTCCATGTCCTAATTTTCCATAATCACCTACATACAATTTATCTTTAAATAATAACATACTATGACTATCAATTTTAACAAACCTACCATCTCCCCAGCTATAAACATGTCCTGTATCACTTAAAGCTAGTGAATGACCATCACAACCTTTTGATGATGAAACTTGTTTGATTTTACAATTAATGTTAATGCGTTTAGGGACAGGTTGATTAGATGAATTTCCTAAACCTAGACGACCATAACTATTTTTTCCACAAGCACTTACGCAACCTTTTGTATCTATAATAAATGTACAATACTGCCCTGCCTCTACTTGCTGTACATCTGATAAAGATCTAACTAATCGTGGTACATCTGTAACTTCTGTTGCTCCTTCTGCATGTTGATTTGAGGAATTACTTCCCCACATAAATACTTCACTTAAAGGTTGTGGTAGTTCAGCAGAATTTTGATTTAAAGGAGTACGGACAACTGAAGTTTCTCCAAAACTAACAAGCTAAAAATGATTTTAAATAATATAATATAAACAAGATATTTTTTAAATATATATTACCTTTTTCATTAATAGTAAAGCCACTTCTTGTAATGGTATAGTATTTTTAGACTTATAACTATCAAATTCTTCTGATCCAAAAGCAAAGGTTAATATAGATGACATTTCTTCCAAAACTCGATAAAGTTTTTCAAACGGTAAACAAACATCATCAATATTTAAGGCCATATCAATCCATTCCAATAAATAAATTAGAGATTCACGCTGATATGCTAATAATAATGATAGTTCTGCAAGTTGTTCTTTAACTGTATAAATTCAAAATTATGTTGAAAAAATACATTTGTTTGGGATAATTAATAGAATATCGTGTTACCATTAATATTTTTTATGAAATCAGCATTTAAACATTCTTTTACAAAAAGCATTACGTTATCTAAACAGTCCAAACCAAGTTGAGGTAATTCAGCTTTACTACCCAAAGAAAGTGGATTTAATTCTCTCATCAAAGTTAATGCTGAACTAAGAACATCTAAACCCATATTTATGTCTTTAAAAAATAAAAATAAATATTATACAATAGAAAATTAATAAATAATTAATAACCATTAATTAAAAAACTATGACCATATTACCATTTGCATTTTTATTTTCCCAACTTTGTTTTAACAATGTAAAAAACATTGTTAGTCCTGTTTTAATAGTTAACTGTATAAGTACTTGCTGCCCAGTTAACTTAATAACAGGCTTTATACTTTCTTCAACAGAATTTTGCGGTGCCATTAAAATTTGAACATTTTTATCATCCTATAATAAAATATAATTTTTCATAAGTTATTCAGAGTCATAAATTTTTAATTCTTAAAGTAATAATATTACCTTAGTTGAATAATATTTAATATGAAGTATATCATATAAATGGTTTAATAATGCTAACTTTCTTTGCAATCTTTTAGAAAATGTCAGACTATCATAATATCTATGAGCAAGTTCATGATGACTTATAATAATTTGTTTCTTCCGTTCATATAGTTTATTCATAGACATACTCGGTAATGAGTATAAATTTTCATCTATTTCATATCCAATTCCATTTATACTCTGTAAAATTTCCATTACATTGTCATCTGAATTATTAAAGTTAAAGTTTGCTAGCTTTGAAGATATTTCTGCATCTCCTTCCATATTGAATCCTGAAAGGATTTTTGAAATATTCACTTCAAAATCTTCCATACTAAATGTATCTGAAAAAAATTAAAATGTAAAATAAAATTTATAAAAAAATTTAGAAATCACATTCTAGATGTACATAATATACTTACAACTATAATTTTTAACAAGAAAAATTATTAATAGTATGTATGTTAAATATTTATAAAGTAATTGTAAGTACAAGTAAATGTAAGATACATTTTAATAAAAATTATATTTCAGTACTATACCTTATAAATATAATTGAAATTAAGTAAAATAACATTTTAACTAAAATAAACAATATACAATTCAATTTTCATTAATAAATAGTAAATATTTAGTAAAATTAAATTGATAAAAATTAATAGATTAAGTAACGATGAGTAAAATATAGTGTACTTTATATGGCTATATAGGGTACTTATATGCATAAAATTAAGTATTTCTAAATTTACCTTACCTTTACTTTTAATACAATCAATTAATATCACATATTAATATATTCTAATCAAATCATCGTATTACACATCTTACATATATTTTGTTATAAATACATACTTAATAATCTGAACGAGAACGATTTTGAAATGTTTTAAATTTAAATCGTCTTCCAAAGCAATAACAAAATCCGTATTCATTAGTATAGGTACCTAATAACTTATCATCAAGTCTATTATCAAATTTGACTTTAGAATCATCAGTAAATTCAATTTTTTGATAATAAGAGTTGGTAACACTTTATTGAAATCTTAAATCATCACTAATCAAAGCTGATGTTAACATCTTTGAGAATAATTTGTCCTATATTTTTGGTTATGTTATTTTCTCTCATTAACTTGAAATCTATCATTTAAATTAAATTTTTTGTTGTTAAACAACTTTAATAATAACTTTTTTGTTAAATTATGGAAAAACTGATAAAATTAAAAACTCTCAATTGTCATATTACGTGTAAAATATGTAGAGGGTACTTAGTGGATGCTACTACAGTAACAGAATGTTTACATACGTGTTAGTACCTATATCCCAATAAAAATATTTTTATTAATAGTTACTTATTTGATTTAGTTTGCAAAAGTTGTCTTGTAAAACATTTAGAAGAAAACAACAGTTGTCCTACTTGTCAAATTGTTATTCATCAATCACATCCATTGCAATATATAAGTTTTGATCGTACAATGCAAGACATTGTATTTAAATTAGTTCCGGGTCTTCAGTTAGGTATTGAAAGATACTAAAGTATTAAAACTAATTTAAATAAATAATTAACAATTATTGTTTAGATGAAATAAAGCGTGAAAGGGAATTTTATAGAATCAGAGGTCTTCCATATCCTAAAGAAGTACCTGCTGGTACTGAAGTTGATGATGATAAGACAGCACAAGATCAAGCAGCAGCAGATTCTGATTATCACAGAACAGATGAACAGGTAATAAAAAGAAGTTTTTTAATTTATATAAAGTAAGAATAATTGTAATATTATTTAGGTGAATATTGGATTGGAATGTGTTGCATCACATTTAAAGTCTTTAAAGAAAAAGTTCCTAAGAGTATCATCTCAAGCAACTATAACACATTTAAAAAAATTTATTGCAGTAAAAGTTTTAGATGGATCAGATAAATATAGAGACGTAAATAACAATTTTTATTATTTTTAAATACTTCAAATTTTAATACATAAAATTGATTTGGTTTTCAGATTGATATTTTATGTAATGATGAACTATTGGGTAAAGATCATACTTTAAAATTTGTTTATGTAACAAGATGGAGATTTAGAGAACCTCCTTTAAAACTTCAGTATAGGCCTAAATTGGATTTATAAATTTATATCATACATTATTGTATTCATTACACATTGTACATACCTATAATTTTTATTATTTTGTGTTAAATCTAAATAAAAAGTAGTATGAATGTAATGAACAGAAAATAAACAATTAAATTTAAATTTTTTTCATTTTAAAAAATATTAACTTATAAAACTAATTAAATTTTTTAGTTTGCTTATATCAGAAAGTATATATATTATTTATATATATTATAATTCTTTAATATATTTTTATTATTGTTTGAGTTTTAGTTTTATAAAAAGTATGAATTATTATTTTATATTGGTTTTTTTAATTTAATTTTAAGTATAAATTAATTAGATTTTAATATATTTATATGTTTGTATCATTAATTTACCTTAACATTCATAATAAAGTTAATATTGATAATCATATCAATAATTAATAATTTGTATTAATATTATTAATAAATAATAATGTTAAATTATTATTAATAGTCAATTTAAAAAAAATAATAGTTAAAATACTTTCTTAATGATATAATTATGTAATTTATTGTGTTGTTTGTTAATTTCACTTAATAAATATGTGTAACTTTTTGAAAATATAAATTTTAATACAATAGAATGTCATTAATCTGAAACAAAAAAAGATGGCCTCATACCATAATAACCTATGAAATGAGCCAAAGTTTCTGTTTACAATTAAGAAAAAACAAATTAAAATAACCATGTATTATATATTTAAGAAATCAACAAAGGGTTTTGTGTCCAAAACTTTTAATTTCTTTTTCTTTTTGTTAATTAATTTTTTGTTCACTATTTTAAATTTTAAATACAAGTAAAATTATTTCAATTATATTTGTTTCTTTAGTTCTCCGCAAATAGCGATACAGTGCGTACATATATTTCATTGTTACCGAGTTATGTTTAACCATTATTTGCAATTCTCAGCGGATTTTTGCGTAGTTTGCCTCAAATTACTATAAAAATTGCACCCAATTCTACACCGTCGCTCAAGTCAAGCTACTACAAAAAAAAAACCACCACAACTTGGAAAAGTAGTATAATTAATTGCACTTTTATCTAATACCTTGCGCCTTCAGGCACCGTCATTACGGTGACCTTTGGACCGCAGATAAGATTGTCACACCATGCCACTTAACAATGCTAACATTGCTAGAAATACTCAATCTAAAACTGTACAGCCAAACAAGCATAAACCCAGTAATCTAACCGTTATCGAATCCACTTCGTCCAGCGACGAATGGCAACAACAAAAATCAAAAACAAAACACACACCCCCCTCAACACCGAATTCTCCGTTAACTCCATCCAACCGTCAACCTGAGATACAAAAACAAAACTTTTCTTCTCACCTAACCGATATACAGTATTATCGGAAAAAAAAGATGACATTACCGATAATGATGCAACCAACGCACCCGCACATGAAACTACTCAAACAAATCAAACTAATAAAAATAAAAACAATCTACCTCCACCAATATTCATAAAAGGAACAAAGAAATATTCCGATCTTATAGAAGCAATTTCTGACCAAATTGGACCCGATAGCTTCATCTGTAAATCTACTACAGCCCATATAAAAATCCAAGCAAATACTAGCGACAACTACAGAATATTAATACACTTCTTACAAGATCAAGGAGCTGAGTACCATACCTTCCAACCTCAAACCGACAAATCAATCCGAGTAGTAATCAAAAACATTCACTATACTACCGATCTCACGGAAATATTAGAAGCACTAGAAGAAATTGGCTTTACCGTAAGGCAAGTAGTAAATATAAAACACCAGCAAACTAAAATTCCACTGCCTATATTCTTTGTTGATCTTGCCCTTGAAGCTATTAGCAAGGAAATATTCAAAATTACCTCCCAACTAAATACAAAAATTAAAGTCGAAGAGCCACATAAACGACGTGAAATCCCCCAGTGTCAAAACTGTCAATCGTACGGCCATACAAAAGGCTACTGTACACACTCACCTCGCTGTGTTAAATGTGGTGAACATCACTTAACATCATTATGCTTCAAATCATCCAACTTACCGGCAAAATGTGCTCTTTGCAATGGCAGCCACCCTGCCAATTACAAAGGCTGTGCCATATATAAAGAACTACAACAACGCCGCCGCTTCCCACCCACCTCAAAACATAACAATCAGCATCGTCAATCAACACAATCCGAAAAACAGCAAACCCCACAAGTCAACCAACAGACTACAGACCCAGCAGCTCCAGCACCAGGGACCAAATTGAAATACTCATATGCAGAAGCAACTGCCACCACAGGTAACGCACCACCGCAAAATGTCCCTAATACTCAATACCCAGTAAATATTAAAAACTTACTATCTAAGTTTATAGATGACTTTAAGTGCATAATCAATCCACCTCTCTCTCTTCTCACAACAGTATTTTCAAATCTATCCAATCTTCTTAATGCTAAACACAACAACTAATACATATACTGACAGCTCCCTCCTGATCTTCTCGTGGAATGCGAATGGTCTTAAAAATCACAAAGATGAACTTCTTCTTACTCCTCAAGACAAAAGAATTGATATTGCACTCATTTCTGAGACTCATTTTACAAATAACTACTCTCTTCATCTACCAGGCTTTCGATTGTACCAAACCAACCATCCAGATAACACCGCTCACGTAGGCGCTGCTATCTATGTGAGATCTTCTCTCGCATTCCATCCACTCCCGGAATTCCAAACTGACTATATGCAGTCATTTGCAGTATCCTTAATAGTCAACAACACCTCTCTCAATAGCAGCCATTTACTGTTCTACTAAACATAATATATCCTCCGAACAATTTAACCTTTATTTTAATACTCTTGGCCACAACTTTATAGTCGGTGGGGACATTAACGCCAAACATATCCAATGGGGATGTCGGATCGCAAATCCTCGAGGTACCTCACTCTTGCATAGTATAACAACCAAAAACCTTAAATTCATCTCTCCTCCAAACCCCACATACTGGCCAACATCTCCTAGGAAACGACCATATATGCTAGACATATTTGTAACCAAAATTCCCAACACACTCTACTCCTCAATTGTAAACACTCATGCCCTATGCTCAGACCACTCCCCCGTATTACTCTCAATAAACTGTCAGCCTCTATCTAAACAGTATAACCCACCACTGTTACATACTCACATCAACTGGGATAATTTCCATAAATGAATTTTACAAAAAACCAGTCTAAAAGTCCGCCTAAAAACAATTAACGATAATGATGAAGCTATGAATCTCCTCACATCCAACATACAAGTTACAGCATGGGAATCAGCAAAACTATTGCAACCACGCATATCCAACATAATTCTTCCTTTATATATTCGCAACCTTATATCACTAAAACGTCGTGCCCACTGCTTATGGCAAAGAACAAATTATCCCTCCGATAAATCCAAATACAATGCGCTTGCACAAAAACTAAAACGGACCATAGCTAACTACAGAAATGAATCTTATACAAAACATTTAGAATCACTCACGACAAAAGACGGTTCTCTCTGGAAGGCTACCAAACACCTTCTTCGTATACGTAATCCTCCAACTATACTGCGAAACACTAATGGTAATTGGGTACACTCTGATGAGGACAAAGCTAGCATATTTGCAAACTACCTGGCTGAAACCTTTCAACTTCATAATAACATTCTCCTTCCGAAAAAAAATTAACATCGTTGAACATTTTCTCAACTCTCCGCTACAAATGTCATCCCCGCCAAAACATACCTCTCCTACTGAAGTTCATTACACCATATCCAAACTCCCACGGAAAAAGTCCCCTGGTTACAATTTAATAACTTCAGAAATACTAAAGCAGCTTCCGCAAAGTTATCGTTCTAATAACCTACATATTTAACTCAATGCTCCGACTATCCTACTTCCCTATCCTATGGAAGTACTCATCTATCATATTCATCCTTAAACCAAAAAAACCACTTGACCTTCCGTCATCATATAGACCTATTAGTCTACTCCCAATATTATCATAAGTATTTGAAAAAATTCTAACTAAAAGAATTCTAAATATTATCGATGAAACAAAAGTTCTACCTGACTCAGAATTTGGCTTCCGCAACAAGCACTCTAAAGTCCATCAAATCCATCGAATAGTTGATAAAATATCTTATTCTCTAAAAGAAAAACAACACTGCACTGGGGACTTCCTATATGTTTCTCAAGCGCTCGACCGAGTTTAGCACGCAGGTCTGCTATTCAAATTGAAAATCATCCTACCATCTAATTACTACCTCTTAATTAAGTCCTACTTAGAAGATCGTTTCTTCTCGGTACGTTATGACTCAGCCACCTCTTCTCCAAAACCAATCAAAGTAGGAGTCCCCCAAGGCGCAGTCACTGCTCCCTTAATATTTAATATTTTCCTATATGACCAACCCACACTACCCACGAGCCTCATAGCTGACGAAAAAGCACTTATAGCCACCAGCCATGATCCTACTGTTGCCTCGGTTCTCATCCAAGAACATCTCTTACTTCTCGAAAAATGGTATAAAGAGTGGGGAGTAAAAATAAATGAATCAAAATCGACACACTGTACCTTCACCCTTAGAAAGGGAAAATGCCCACCTATTACTCTTAACAAGCATACTCTCCCAATCGCAGTGAGCATTCGCTATCTTGGCATTATTATTGACCAACGTCTTACCTGGTCTCCTCATCTCCGTGATAAACTACTATCCTTAAATAATCGTTTCCGTCTTCTCCGCTCTCTTCTAACTTCTAGCCATATGAGTTAACCTACCAAGCTACTAATATACAAACTTTACCTCAAACCAATGTGGACGTACGGAATCTAGTTATGGGGTTCCGCAAAAATCTCAAACATAAACCGCATACAGCGCTTCCAATCTAAAACTCTTCGTGCTATTACAAAAGCACCTTTTTACGTATCTAATCAGTCTTTACACAATGACCTTGCCATCCCACCCGTCCTCGATGTAGCTAGAACTTTTTACAGGCGATTCAATTTAAATGTTCATAACCACACCAATCCCTTAATCAAAGGTCTTGCCTCAGAAAATATACCTGGTAAACCTAGGAAAAGATTAAAAAGGCGGTGGTGTCGGGACCTACTAATCTAAAAACTTTTAATTGTTATATAATTGTATTGTAATGTAATACTAAACCTATATATTTATGTACATAAGTAACCGTCAAAGTGCCTTTACTGAAAGGTTTCTTAAATCTGTGTTTCACTCAAGCCATTATTTTCTCATCACTTTTACTCATTGTTCTATTCTGTAACAGATTGTAAATTATATATATATAAAAAGAAAAAAAAATATTTGTTTCTTTAATTTCTACTTTATTAAATTTATAAAGTTAATATTTATAAAATATTCTTTGTGATGTAAGTCCATATTTATTTAATAATTTTCTTGATAATTTAGTAACCATAGACTGAACTTGATGATTTTATACCTTTTCATGAATAAATGTACATGAAACCAGTTAATTATTTTATTATCATGGTAAAATTTCTAGATTTTAAGTTAAATTTGGAATACCAACTATAAGCAATAACCTCTATCATATAAATGTTTTTTTTTTGTTTTTTAAATAGTACACACACATATATATATATATATATATGTATATATTTTTAATATCTTCTGAATTAAATTACCTGGGGATCCCTTCTCAATATTTTATGTTTAATTGATTTTGTTTAAATTACAATATGATTAAGATAATTGTTAATACTTGATTCCTGGTGAAGAAATGGAACAGTCATTCAAATTGCATATAAGAGGGTTGAGAAGGTTAACAGAATTTTTTTCTTTATATTTTTTCTGAAGGTTTTTTAATGTACAAATTCTGTTTTAGGTCATAGATATAAATATCATGTTATAGTTTTTCATAATATATTTTACAAGATGAGATGCTATAGGTATAAGCTCTTTTAAGTATTTTTGTTGTTACATGAATAATAATTTACCAATTCTGAAATCTGTCCAAATAAATTCACGTATATTAGTACATTAAGTACTAAATTTTTGCTAAAATATATTATTAAATATTTTAAAATATTGAAAGACTGGTGAGACATGATTACTTTTACCGTGTTTACAAAAAGGTTGATAACTTTTGTGTAATTTATATATTTTTAAGTAATTTATTTGAATTTATTAGGTTTATTGAAGAAATTACTATAAGTAGTAAACCTACAAGTTAAAACACAATAAAAAGGTCGCTTAGCCATTATTAGAATAGTTTCATAATAATTTAAGTAACTGCAGGTACATTTAATGGACCTAAATAAGTAGAGATGTCCATCATTTTGTTAACCTCATTGTTAAAATTTGAACAAGAAATTTAGTAATTCAAAAATGTTGGCATAATATATTCAATATTAACTATATTAGATGATATAGTATAAATACAATAAATTTAATATTATAAATATTGTATTTGCTGCTTAAAATTTGAACTAAATTTAAAATTCTACTACAAATAAATACTAATTCCTTAAATTTAAACATATGTTTACATATAGTAAAGGTAAATTACAATTTTTAATTTTACTAAAACATTAATAAGTCCATTAATTAATAAGTCCAAAGGTTTTAAAATAACATGTTTTTATTTTGGTTTAGTTTCTTGATCAGTAACATATCTAATATAAACATTATTTTCTGGTATTGGATCTGGATGTACATCTTGTTCATACATATAAGAACTGCCAATAGCCAAAGAAGAACCTCAAATTTAAAATATTTAAAATACACTATTTAGAATCTAAGTTTTAAAGAATATTATTATAAATATAAATAATGTTACATTTTCAGAGTAAATATTTATTGTATAATTGACTTGAATGTAAAATCACAAGGCTAAAAGTATTAAAAATTATTTTAGAACTACTAGTTTTAGCACTACTCTATTATCAGAGTTAACAAATTTAATATTATTAAATAATAAATATAAACCTTTTCTATAATATAAACTTTATTATAATTTTATGTTGCAGTCAATCATACAATAAAATAGAAACATTTTAATATATTATTCAGTCAATAATTAAATTTTTACTAAAACTCATATGAATAACACATAAAATGTGTTTGTTATAAGCATATTTTATAAGTGGAAAACTACAAAAAACTAATAACATAGTTGATTTTGAGTTAAATTTAATGTTCAAAAAGTAAATACTGTAATTTATATAATACAATATTGTTATTAACAAATTTATTGAATACATTAATTATTGTATATTTCTAAATAAAATAAATAAAATATAAAAATTAAAGTTTTTGTCATTTATCAATTTATGAATTTATTTTTTTTTAAAAAAAATCTATGAAATAGATGCAAAACTAGGAGATCAATTTGGTTTTGGCGAAATATAGGAACCAGATAGGTGACTTTAGCGCTAAGAATAATGACAGAAATACAGAATAGTTTAAACAAAGAAATCTTCATTGCTTTTGTAGACCTGGAGAAGGCTTTTGATAATGTACAATGGAAGTAATTATTTAAAATATTAAAAAGAATAGGAATTAAATACAATAGAAGATTTATCTATAATATGTACAAAAGCCAAACAGTAATAATATAGATAAGATGGGAATTAGCAAGAAGCAAAAATAAAAAAAGGTGTAAGACAGGGTTGTATCTTGTCACCAACGCTATTTAACTTGTACATTGAAGAGACAATGAAAGAATTGAGAGCAGAAATACAGGAAGGAGTGAAAATAGGAGGAACAATGGTTACTGCCTTAAGATTTGCGGATGACAAATTTTTGCGCGGAAAAAGAAGATGACCTGCAAAATACCCTAGTAACAATAGATAGAATACTAAAAAATAAGTATGGAATGAAAATGAACAAAAAGAAAATGAAAATTATGGTTTGCAGTAAAGCTAATCCGGTTCGACTTAATATAAATATCAACAATGAACAAATAAAGTAAGTGCAACAATTCACATATCTAGGAAGCAATATAACAGAGGATGGTCGCAGCAAAACAAATATAATCTGCAGGCGAAAAGAGCATTTCAAAACAAAAGCCACATATTAACTACCAATAGTGTCAGTCTGGAGATAAGAAATTCCTAAAAAGTTATATTTGGAGCGTATTGCTCTTTGGTTCCAAAACCTGGACAATAAACTCAAAGAAAAAAAATAGACTAAAAGCCTTTGAAATGTGGTGCTAAAGGAAAATGTTTAAAATATCATGGACTGAGAAGGTAACAAATAAAGAAGTACTAGATAAAATAAAAGAACAACAACAAGTATGGAAAAATATTCAATCAAGAGGCGAGATGATAGGACACATATTAAGGCATGAAAGTCTATTAAAAAAAATAATTAAAGGAGAGGTTGAGGAAGACCAAGAACAAAATACATGACAGATAATGCAGGATACGAATAAGGGAAGTTACAAAGACCTGAAAGAATTATGCTATGATAGAAAGGCATGGAGAGCTGCAACAAACAAATCTACGAATTTATAACAAAAAACTATTTTCATATGTATTTCTTCATTTTATTTCTAAACTAGGTGTAATTATACCTAATGATGATTTATATTTAAACTACCAATCGTAAGAATTTGTACATATTATATAATGACATTCTTATCAGCCAAGAACTTTTATTTTTTAAATTTTTATCAATTATTAGAAATAATAAATCATTTTTAACTAATTATTAAACTTAGGTAAGAAGTTTTATTACTTCTGACTGATACTGATGAAGAAAAGTTCGAATTGTTTTGTGACAACGAATCGTTATCAAGACTAGCATACATGGATGACATATTTGACCTTTTAAATATTCTAAATGTGTGTGCAAAGATCAAATACAAACATATTTTATACTAGTGATAAAGTTAATGCATTTGGGAGAAAATTTGATTTATTTATTTTTTAAGTATCCAAGAATGATCTTTCAGCATTCGAGACACTAAACAAATTTTGGGAAGACAACAAAATTCAGCCAAATTCGAATATAATTAGACATTTCAGAACACCTACAATCACTAAAATCCAACATTTCATAATATTTCTCTAAGGATAACTCAGAAATTAAATGGATCATAAACTCTTTCGGAGATGATATATAATATTATATTAAGAACATTCTAGATGTTATTTTGACAAAAAAAATCATTCATTGACCAAACTAGTGATTCTGCCCTAAAAACCGCTTTCAAAACCAAAAATATTTCAAATTTTTGGCTGGACGTGAAACAAGAATATTTGGCTTTATCCACACAAACTCTACAATTTCAAATCCCTATTGTGTCAACATACTTATGCAAAAATACATTTTTCCACTTATTGTATACAAAAAATAAATATCGAATAATATATTGAACATAGAAATTAATTTAAGACTGAAAGTTACCAATATAAAGCCCGAAACTGATGTCATCGTTTGTTCAAACCAACCATCTCATTGAAATCATAATAATAATAATAATTATATATATTTTATTTAACTTAATTTCTTTTTGTGCATTAAATATTTATATTATCATAAATTTGTTGTCTTATAAAATAAAATTCTATACATATGCAATAGTTTATATATTTTAGTAAAAAAAAGGTTATTAAATTAGGTTGTACGTAAAAAATTTCAAATTATGTAGGTAGTACACGAATATAAAAAGTTTGAGAACCGCTGTATTACATTATATCATTATTGAATATTGAATTAAAATTAAAATTTCAAATTTAAGTAAAATAATAATAATTATATATTAGTATAGAATTAAGTACCCTTTTTTGAATTAAACATTATGAGCAGTACAAAATTATTATAATAACTAATTAAAAAAGATCAGTACATCTAATATGTAATAATATGTAAATCTACATATCACTACCTAAATTGTATACTTAAAAAATTTTTTATTTATTTTTTATTATTAATTAAAATTAAAATTATTTTCATTTTTTAAATAATTAAAATTAAAAAAAATAGTAAAATTACTGTAATCATAACACAATTATTGACTGAAAAGTATAGATAGTAATTTTTAAATAGTATACCATCATGACTGAAACACAGAGATGTAATTCCTGTATTGTAACGATGGAATTGGCACAATCTTTTTTTATTAAAACCATCCCAAATATTTACATATCCATCAGATCCACCAGTAGCAAATGTATTAAATCCTTGATGAAAACTAGAAACATGTACAATTTATCAATATTAATATAAGATAGTACATTAATTTTTTGAAATTAAAACCTATAATAAAGTTAAATAAAATTAAATTTCAAAATTTTAAAGCTACACAATAATAAGTTATACAATAATAATTATTTACATTAGAGGTTCTTGAATAAGAAATAAACTTTACATTATAAAATATTCAATTTCTACTATTAAAGATCTATTTTATCTTATGATATATCAAAGGGTAAGCAAAAAATAGAAAACAATACGATTTAAGTAAATATTACATTGTAACTAATCAGTTATTAAATTAAATACTATGCTTTAAGTATTCAATATTTTGTATATTAACTCATATTGGTTCAAATTTAAACTTAATAATAGTCAAGTATAGACGTCTCTTAACTATTTGAGGGCTACATACAATATCAAAAACACTTAGCAGACCAAAATTTATGAATACATATAATTTTAAATTTTATAAAATATATATACTCAAAATATAACTCAATATTTAAAAAAAACTTTGGATATTACACATATTTTTAAATTATTTGCTGTTTTTTTTTTTTGAGTGAGGCTACTTAAAAATTGTTTATAGGCCAAATACAGCCCATATGCCATAGATCCCCTACTCTAGTATATTAACTATGGTATAGAGAAACCATTATAAATTCTAGGACAAAATTAAAATATTCAATGTAATATATATTATGTATAAAAATGTACCAAAAACTAACAATAATATGATACGTCAACATAAAATAAAACTGTAGTACAGTGTCTTAGATACAATTCATGTCTTACCATAACATTATATATTAAAAGGATTAACATGAAGCCAAAAAATAAAAAGTAATTAAAAAAATTTTAATTAAAAATTTGAGAACCATTGTAATAATCTGGCTTCGAATATCAAAACTTCAAATATAATTGAAGCTTTCAAAATTGTATTCTAAAGATATTTGGAAAAATAGATTATTTAAAGCAAAAAGGAATTGAAGTTGTAAAATTAGAAAAAATAATTCCAAAGAAAATTGATGAGTTGAATAAATATCTGATTAATACTTAATAGACAATAGCAAGACATTTTCTATGATGATTGAATAATACAATTATAAACTTTTTCATTCAAAATAAACACATTTCCTTCTAAATAAATTCTTATTTTGCAAAATAAAGTGATTACCTGATAGCATTAACTGGATAAATACATTCAATATCATTATCTTTTATTCTGTGACATTTAAAAGCATATTTTTTTTTCTGAATTTCAGGAGCTGTATCAAAATATTCAACAGCTACACGTCCTTCAATACTACTTAAAACATAACCTTGTTTATTTGGCGAGCAACGTATGCACCTTGTCTGAAATTTCAAATTTGATTCTCTCCTTTGCATTATATATGCAGTATTTCGTAAATCCCAAACAAATACTTTACGCCCCGCTGTGCCTACCACAAGTTTTTCACCAACATTACTCATGGTAAAGACCTAAGAAAATAGAAAACTTTTTATTATAACATCAGTACATAATAAAAATAAATAAAGTATTTACTTTGTCAGGTTGTGGTAGAGTTCCTACACATTGAGATGATCTAGTATCCCACATTTTAACATTGCCATCCCAACCACCAGATAAAACTACATTTACTTCATTGGAATATTCAACACAACGAACCGCATTATCATGTGAACCTAAGACACTCTCTGAAATTTCAAATAATATATACACATAAAAAAAAATGTAATTACATTACATTTATATTTTAATCTAAGAAAATATGCATACCAGAATTACTGTTCAAATCATACATCTTTAACTTGTTATCCAAACCACCACTAAAAGAATGAACAGCATCCTATTTTTAATAAATGTTTTTTTATTTTAAATAACCAATTAAGGATTAAACAAAAAGTAAAAATTAACATACCCTGAAATGACTAACTCATTAATTCAAAATTTAAAATGAACAAACAAAATACATATGGTTATAACTAAATATTAGTCATGTCAAATTCTTCAATTGTTGTTGAACTCAGTTGGTAATTTAAACTCAGAATGAAAGTTAAATGAACTAAAATATTAACCATGTAGGTATGTTCAAAATTTAAATCAAACAATATTTTATCAAACAATATCTAAGATTAATTTTCTCTACTTAATAGAAATTAAAATGTTAGTATCATAATAGTACTGGATGTTAATTAATAATTATTGTAATTTATTATATATTTAGGTGTATTAAATTCTAAATAATATAAGTAAAATTTTCATAATTTCAATATTTATGTAAAAAAAAAAAAATATAGAGTTTAAATTTTAGTTTGATAAAAAGTTGTAATTGTTCGGTTCAGGTTTGTTTGAATAATTATAAATTGAGTTAAGTTTACAATACTTTCAAAATGTTTAATTGTACACCAAAAAATCAGGTTCAACCCATCACTACTAAATATTCTAAAACAAAGTATAATTCAGACACAAATTTTCATTTATAAGGAAGTCATCAGCAACTAAAGCAACCAGCCTCAAATGTAAGTTTTGAATCAGTAATTTTTTATTTCGGTGATATGGATAAAAGGGAATGTTAAGTTGAATAGATGAAGACAATGTCAAAAATATATTCGCGCTTGACAGCCATAATACACTTACTCAATTGTTATTTACTTATTGTTATGAGATAACTAGTAATTAATATTACTTATAAAGTAAGTATATTTCAATGTAATTAGCATACAGTAGTAATTATTTATTGTACATTTAACAGAATTATTAAAATTATAAAGTCTGTAACTTTTACAAACTTTAATAAAATATAAGTTTCTTTAGAAAAAATAAAAAATTAACTAGTTTATAGAGTACAATTAACTTTCTCTGGTCTGAAAATACATTATATTATGATTATAAATGAAAGATTTTAATTTAAATTATATTTTTCTAAAATATGTTAAACATATAATTGAAAAAAAGACAGCAAAAATATTTATATAAAAAGAAAATATTAAACTAACGAATGCTTGTAGATAATAATGTAAATAAAAAATAAATTTATATCAGATTATCAAATAAAGGTATTTGATTAAAAAAACTATTGAAGAGTAATAAACATCTTAATTTTTATGATATTAGGTAGCACTAGTACAGTATACCAAATTTCATACCAATCATCTAACCATACATTATTGACAGATTGAAATTCAAAAAATAAAACAAAAAACAATTACATTCAATATCTGTATACCATAACTAATCAATACCCAAAATCTGTCACAAGTTATTCACTGAAAAATTTAGTTGAGTATAATAATTAAAATACTAAATAATAAATAATCAAAATGTAGATTTAATTTGAATAATAAAAACAAAATTTTAATTATATATAGTTTTAAATAAATAAAATAATAAATTTACCTGAAAGCTAACATCTAACACTGGTCGATCATGAGTATATTTAGTACGCATACTGTTTGCCTGAACATCATAAAGTCTAACAGAACAATCCCAAGATGAAACTAATAAAAACTGAGAAGAACTAGGTCCAAATTTCACAGATGATATTCCATCTTCTGGCGGATTCTTAAGTCTAAATTCTGATCTTGATTCCCCAATCATATTGACTAAAATGGTGATATGGAAGAAAAGTATAAAATATTAATACAATAGTTATCAATTATTTTAGCAAAAATATTAAAATTATACCCATATATTATGAAAAAATTGAATATCTAAATATCAAATCTTCACCAATAATAAAACGTTATACTTTAATTATCATACTATAAAGTATTTACATTAAGTAATATTAAATATTTTATACTTGAATAAATTATAATTTTTAACTATAAGTACACCTGTCTTCAAAATAATATTCAATTACTCAATTGCATAAATATGTAGAAAACAGTTTTTTAACCGTCAGAAATATCAAAATCCAAATTAACAAATAAACAAAATATTATATTTAGATTTGAATTATTAATTTTTTTGAGGTTAAAATTCTTATAAACAAAATTTAATGTTGTCAGTAGAAGTACTATAATAAATAAGGTCGAAACGACATTTATTCAAAACCCATGTTTATCGACAATAATACCTCATATTTACACCTTTACAACAATTAAAGATATACCTGACAAAATATATCCAACTAATTATCATCGTCAATTGGACTATAAAATGACAAATGTCTATCATAATTATATTTTAATTCAAAATAATTAATTTAATTAGTTATTTATAACTAGGTAATTGATAATACCTGCCGGGCTATTAGTGAGATACCGACAATTTACATTGTAGTCAATGTTAATATTTCTCTTTTTTGTTAAAATATCTGTAACAAAGATCACACTTCTTTAATCATTATTTCTGTCTTTGTCTACTTATTACTATTTGAATATTTGACATTCAACTTATAATCTAACATGTTTTGTTGAAATGCCGGCTACCCTCCTCATTAATGTAGGTATGTATACAGTGGCGTAGCCAGGATTTTTAAATGGGGGGGCTAACCATTTTTTTTGGTTAAGTAAGATTAGAAAGGATATGAGAATTCACCCTTAACCCCTCCACCATCTACCACCAAGTTTCTAAACGTAATTCAAGCATTTTAGTATAGTTTTAAAAATATTTATTAATATATAATTTATAATAATAATAATAATTTTGGTTTCAGTGTTCAGTCACTTGCTCCACTATGACAGCTGCATTCTCTTAGGCGAATTTCTGGCAAATTCAGTTATTATTTCACTTTCATCAAATTGCTCTTTTTTTATTTATATTAGCCATAGCTAACCCATTTAGTCTGTTTTCCGACATGGAGCTTCTTAAAAAAAATTTTAAGCGATTAAGTGCTGAAAACGTTCTTTCCGGAGTGAAAGAGGTAACTGGTAACGTGGCGAATAATTGTAAAAGTATTTTAATGTTAGGTTGAAGATTGGTGCGATGAGAGAGTGAATCAAGAGCAGAATTCGGTTTTGGAATAATATTTTGACTCCATTGTTGCCTCCATATGAACTGCTCAGCTCTGATTGTAGATGAGGTATCATCATGGAGATCTTGGACATATATTTTAGCAGCTTTTATAATATTTTTATCGTCATACATATTTAAATTGGCCGGAATAAATCCATCAAGTGGCATAACATCAATAAGCTTTTAATGAAAACGAGCATTGATTCTATTAAATAGTCAAGATACATTATACATATAAACACGGCCCATGGGAGAGGCTATAGCCCCCTTAGCTCCCCCCCTTGGCTACGCCACTGTATGTATATGAATGTCTGCGAGCACAATAATTCTACCATTACAATTCACTGATTACACTATTGGATAATAACATTAAAATATAGTAATAACTAGGGCTCGGAAGTTGATGATCTTAAACACATTACAAACTGAACTAAAAAAGATGCTTATAAGAAATAAAAATGACAAAAATGTCCTTTAAAAATTACAAATACTTGTTTTAAATTAATAAAAATTAAATTGTTTTAAATATTTTACTACATTTTACCGTAAAATTCTATGAGTTTATCAAAGCTTACGAATCAAAATCAAAAATCAAAATAACACATTGTACAATTAGAGCGTAGCTGATGTGCAAAAGTAAATGAATATCTGTTTATAAATATTTATAATTGGAAAAACTTCTCTTCACGTTTTTGAAAGTTTTTAATTTTATGTAAAGGGTAACATTTTTATTTAAATTTTTTTTCTTTTTTTTAGTTGAAAGTTGAAAATCTGAGTGTCATATACAAAAACTTTTTTAAGCTGCAATTAAATATTACGCTTAAGAATATGGTTTTCCCAAATTTCTAAATGCACAGATGGTTATTATTTCAAGTAATAGAATTGATTAGACAGTGATTAATCAACCTCTCTACTCCAATGTGCTCACACATATACGAAGTGAAATTATAATTCATTCTAATATTCTAATATTTTTATCACTACAATTAAAAATTTATATAAATTTGGATTTGTTGATAAAAAAAAAAAAAGAATAAAAAAAATGTATTATATTTAAATATTTTGTTTCATAAATTATTTGAGAACCAAATCATAAAACTATTAGTTACAAATTAATTTAGGTAAATAATTTCTATAGTTATAATAAAATAAAATTATACAATTAAAAAGCGAAGAGTAAATATTTGGCACCAATTTATAATTATATAACAACTGTAATGTACTAAAGAAAATATTTAAATATCTCCCAAAAATTATCTTTATTGATACGGTTTACATAAGGCAGCCATGTGATCAACTCCACAACTCACTTTTTTAACAGAAGCACCTACAGATACCTAAAATATCATAAAATAAGTGTTTAAAAATTAAATAATATGATATATAAAAGATAATATTAAAACAATATACGATAATAAATATTATTTACTTGTAACGGAAAATATTGGTCTTTTGTATGACCAAGACCCAATTGGCCCCATTTATTTTTACCCCAAGTATATAGATTCCCTTCGGTTGTAATTGCTGCCATATGAAACAAACTACAAGACACTGATTTAACTTTAGTTTCAGTATTATATTGATTTCTACCAAATAAAATTGGTGGTATTGGTGTAGGTTCACGACTACGGTTTATTTCTGGACCTTTACCCAAAATTCCAAAACCCCAAACATAAACAACACCTTCATCTATAAATAAAAATTAATATATGCTATCAAACATATTATAATTGTTAGATAAATTATTTTACCATTTAAAACTATACAAGCTGATCCAGTTGTTCCAATATCAATAATTTTACCAATAGATTTTTTTAAAGGCAAATTTCTTGGAATATTTACTTGATATTTATCATCATTTAATAACAACTGACCATATTCTGAATTACCCCAACCAAAAACTTCACCTTTATCTGAAAAAAATCATAAACCTATTTAATTATGATTAAAAATCTAAAAGCATATTATATTTTGTCTTGGAGGTGAAATGACTGATGTTATTGTTATAACCTTATTGTATACTAGTAATTAAATATTGTCATTGTCATCATTATATATTATATGAAATAGGAAAATTTAACTATTTAATTATAAACCACTATTCAATATACTATATAGTGATACTCATAGGTACATAAATAGGAACTATAAATTTAATAGTGTTTAATAAATTACATTATAACTATTAAACCTATTATATTTTCCTGATTTGTGTACAAAGAGTAAGTTTGAAATATAACTAAACCAAACCATGTAGTTTTCATTGTCATTTATCGATGCTTTTCATTTGCTTTTCTTATTCTCATATTCATTCAATCCTCTTTCTTAAATACTCTACCATGATATTAATCTTTGATTTTCCATAAACTTACATCATTTATTTTATATATTTTATCTTTAACCATTGCTTTTTAATTTAATCAATAAGTTACAATTTTAGATATTGTAATTAAAATTTGTAATATCATAATGTAAAATCTAAAAGTGAAATTGTCAATTAGATATTTGATGAAATTTCAGAAAGTCTATATATTATTTAAGACTCAAAATTGTAATAACATAAATTTTGAAACACATTGAAATTTTTTAATTTTTATATTTTATATAGGTACCTTATGTCTATAATTAATAAAATATTATAAGAACAAGTTGAATTACAAACCTAAAATACCATAAATTAATGGCTACATAATGCCATTATTTACAAAATATAGTGACATTTTTGTTCTTGTTATTTAACATATTTGATTAATTAACATGGTTTTTGTTGAATTTCAAATAAATTTTGATTAATTATGATTATAGTACAATAAAAACCGTATTAATTAATCAGATATATGAAATAATAACAAATATAATTACTTTTCGTTTTATCATGTAGAGTTCTTTTATAAATTGACATGTCACTCCACATATTTTGATCATGGTGACTTGAGCGTGAAAAATGCGCGACAAACCCGAAATGGATGTCACATACCAATTCATGTGAAAAATTTTTAAGAAATATCTTACAAGAATTCATTTTTAGATTCCAAATAATTTTCGAAATATAATATAATATAACTGTGTGTACTAATTTACTCATCCATTTCAGGAACACTGTTTGTAGCCATTTTATAATATTTTAGGTTTGTAATCAAACTTGTTCTTATAATATTTTATTAACTATAGACATAAGGTGCCTATATAAAATATAAAAATTAAAAAGTTTCAGTGTGTTATATATTTATGTTATTACAATTTTGTGCCTTAAATAATAAAATAAAATATCATTTTAACTAATTATTGACGAATAACTTACCATTTAAAGCTAAGACACAATCAGCCGAAGATACTACTTTCACTATAGTTTGTCCTTTTATATCTCCTTCAATAACAGTAGGGTGAAATTCATTATTATAATGGCCTAACCCTGTTTGGCCATCAGCACCCCATCCACATGAATATACTTTACCAGTTTTAGTTATGAACAAACTAAATAAAAATATTATAGAAACTGAGAATTGGTAATAACTAAAAAAAAAATTACCTATGATCCTGCCCACAAATTATTTTAGCAATTCCATCATCTAAAGTAATACTATTAACATTTCGTAATTTAGTATAGTCTTCATTTTCAATAATTGGCCTTCCACATTGTCCATAACAATTACTACCTAAAGCATATACATCATCTGTATTTGTTAATACTAGTGTATGAGCTCGACCAGCAGCTACTGCTTTGACTTTTGTGTTTAATTGTTCTAAAGGAAGTTGAATTGGAACAGTGGCTAATATCAATCCTAAAGGATAACCTTTACGAGGATCATGATAACCTATTCAAAAATTCAAAAATTAATACTAATACATGCCTATAATTTACCAACTCAATAAATATTATTTTTTGTATATTAACAGTATATGAAAAAACCTTTTAAAAATATATGTTTAGTAACAATAGTACAACTTGGTTTATTTATGTTACCAATTAGTGTTCAAAATTTAAATGTAATACATACAGAAAAATTACTACTTAAATCAAATATTTTAACTAATTAAATTATAAAAAAAATAAATCTTCCACAATGTACAATATATATTATCATATTAAAGTAACTATTAATCTATTGGAATGACCAATTAGTTTGTTTCTTTTTAAGGATTATTAGTTTTGGTCCACGTGTCATCTATCTACCAAGAAAAACATATCTACAAAAATCTACACATATTTATAAATGCCTGTTGGTTCACAGTTGTCCTACTTTTAATAGCCTGTTTGTTAACAGTTCATATTTTTTGATTAACAAATCTCCACCATTCTTCTTGCAGTTGTCTTTCAAGATTGGTCACTTCACGAGCTCTGATTCCATACTTTACTTGCATTTGTTTCCATGAGCATTCAATAGTCTATGTTTGACTACCTGTACGTGAATCTATAAAGTTTTTGCTGTGGTTAACTATTTGGTTTACGGAAGATAGCATACAACGCTGACAATTTGTTGGTAGATAGCATACGACACGTGTGCTTTAGTATTTTTATATTATGATTATAAAGCTTGTGTTAAAAGAATGGTCACAATTAATACAAAAATATTTATATAATAGTTCAACAACAGTATAGGTATCCTCAAAATTATAAATATGTAAAATTTAAGCAAGTGTTGAAATTTGAATGACTAAACACAGCCAAGTAACTTTTAACATTAAATACAATTATTCATATGCCTATCTAATTCTTCTTAGATAATCAAGTAAGTTTTTAAACACAATAAAATTAAATAATTTATAATTATTTTTAAAATGAATGATAACAATTTAAAAAATAATGTGAATTTTAATAATAATGTTAATTCTTATAGTTTACCTATTTGGGAATCTGTATTTAAACCACAACCGAAGAGTTTGTATTGGTTACTATCAACAGCATACACTGTAAATCCATAACCACATGCTAAATCCATGATCTAAAAATATATGCTATAAATTATTCTAATAATTAAAAAAAATGACGAAAAATACTTTATGAGAATATGCAAATCTCATTCTAACAGGTCTGTATATGAACTGTATATTACGCTCTCTTGATCTTATTTTTAGATCCCCTAGTGCACCATGTTCAGCCATACCCCAAACATATAACCGTTGTTGATCTTTTGGTGAATTACTATAGGGCACCACTAAAAGGAAAATAATATAAGCAAAATAATAATTTATAAACCTACATTAATTAATCTTTAATAGGTCTTACTAAAAGGATCTACATCTTTAGATTTAACCTTAACATCAGAATATCGCTTTGAACAGACCGAGCAGTTAGTTTTATTAAATAAACGTAATAATTGTGATAACAACATATTAGACATGATTTATTATTTTTAAACATGTACTTTCCACAAATTACAAGTTTAGGTTTACTTGCAAATTTCAAATACTGATATTGTAAACTGAGCGTTAAAAGATAACCTAGTACAGAATAATTAAGTAAAATTAATTTTCATTATAATTAATATACGGAATAAAATAAATGAAAAATGCACACACAAGTCAGAAACAGACTATATGAAATAATATCTAGTCGGTTAGAATACCGTTCACCAAGCCACTGAATGTTTGATTACTGTTATCAACCTGAAATCACAGAGCCAATAATTTAAGATTATTTATTATTTATTTTCAGACTCAGGGATATATCTTTATGGACTGTTTATTTTTAATTTAATTTAATAATATAGATAAAATTATTAAAAAAAAATCCATATCATTTCAACTATAAAACAGTAATATAGTAGTATCACATAACCACATTAAACGACTTGATACCACGGACGTTTTATAATCATTAGTTTTGTTTATATCAATTTTCCCATAGGTATATTATGGTTGTATTTGTTTCCTGAATTTAATAATCTTTGTATTTTGATCAATTGTAAAATCATTCTTATAATTCTTTAACTTACCTTTTATAAACTACTAACCTAAAACTGAGTAAATAAAGTGAATGCTTCAAAAATGGAATCTTTATATGGGTTACCTTTTAAAATTCTTGAAGTCCCTAATTTACGTTTAAAACGACCATCATGGTTAAAAAAACCATCTGCAATGTTTATGTATGCTATTGTTACGATTTCATACTTTTTAGTGACTGGAGGTAAATAAAAAAAAAAATATACAAAAATATTTGTTTTAACTCAATAATTATTTAGGAATTATATATGATGTCATTATTGAACCACCTAGTGTAGGTTCGACTACAGATGAAAAAGGACATTCCAAACCGGTAAAAAAAAGATTAAATTAAATCATTAAAAATTTAATTAAAAATCATTTTTGTTTAATAGGTTGCATTTATGCCCTACCGAGTCAATGGACAATATATTATGGAAGGCTTAGCATCAAGTTTTCTCTTTAACATTGGAGGTTTAGGATTTGTCATATTAGATCTGACTAAAAATAAATCAACCCCAAAGTTGAATCGCACTCTTTTAACCGGTGTTGGATTTGCGTGCATCATTGTGTCATATTTTACATGTTGGACTTTCATGCGAATGAAACTTCCGTATGTATTTATTTTAAATGTGGAATACTTTAATATGTGTTGTTTTTGTTTATTTGAGATTTACATATGTTAATTTATCTAATGTTTTATTAATGTAATGTATTTAATAATGATTCATTTCAGTATAATATTAATATTTTCCTACTAACAATATGGTAATTATAATTTATATTATCTTAAGAACTTCTTCCAAAAAAATACAATACATTATATTTTTAATGATTTCTTCAATGCCACTTATTTGATTATTTGATTCTTTTTCAGGGGTTACTTGAAGTCATAAGATGAATCAACAATAAAAAAAGAGAAAACCTTTTTGGTATTATACAATTTTCACCAGCAGATCAAACATTTCCAAATTGTATTTATTAAATTGTAGTAAACAAATATTTATTATGATTTACAAGTATAATTATAAATTTTTCAATACATTTCATTCAATGCCTGTGTTCTTTTTAGCCTTTTATGTCCTTAAGTTTTTAAAGTTTAATACTGAACATTCTGAAAAATAAAAGTTATATATAAAATATATATATAAAGTAATATATAAAAAAATTATAGTTAAAAATTAACAAAATACTAAGTTTATCAAAAAGAAAAGCTAAAATAAAACTAACTAGCAATTTATATTATTAATATTATCAAATTTAAATAAAAATTGACTACATTATGTGTCTCAACAAAATTGGCATGCCAGCAATGTATACAATATAATGTACAAATAATTGGCTCGTGGTCATACTTGCATTGCTATTCAATAATTTTCAATTAACTCAAACTTTAATACTAATCAACATGCTATAATTTAATCTATTATGTAGAATATGATACCATTGGTGTAAATTTGTTCACTTTTTTGGTGGTGTAAAAAATGTAAATTATGGTTGTCCATAATGAGTTATCATTAATGATAATATAAAATTTATTCCATCACAAGCTTTTGGGAGGTCCTAGGCCAGTGGTTCTTAAGGAGAACAATTTCCTTACATTTAAATATTTTAACTTGATAAATTGTGGTAACCCAAATTTATTTTAAGTGTAAAGTTCTAGACAATTCCCTAAGTTATGGGTCACTATGTTTGTATTTATTAGTTTATCAATTTAGTAGATTACATACTAAACGTTCAAGTTTTGAACCAACAAATGCTAAAATGCATAATCAAATACCCTAATATTTAAGAATATATAGATAAAGTCTCAAAAATGCATTTAAAGTTAAATTTATCGTAAAATGCAAAATAAGAACTACATTAAATTAATCAGAATCGTTTGAAATACATTTTTTTCTTACAATTCCATGTTTTGGGATATCAGAAAAAAAAATGCATTTGCTTCAAAATCTCAGCTATATTAATAAGGATCGTGACTCCATCCATAAAATTTCTCTACAGACCTAAATCATATAATTTTATTTTAATAATCAACCATCCCAAAATTCAATTTCATAAATAATTTTTAATATTTTAACATACTTTTTTATATTATAAGGGTTCCTAAAATTAAGAAAAGTTTACCATTTATAATTTAATTCATAGTTGTGAAATAGAGAATATTTATTTTTAAAGACATAATATTTTATCATACATTAAAAAAAATTACTTTTTTAAATTAATAGTATAGATAAATTTTAAATATGTTTAACTTATGCAATATTTTAGTATCTGCTTATAAATTACAATCTTAAAAATTAATAAATTTAAAAGTATAAATGAATACACCACTACGATTTTAGTCAATAGGTTGATGAAAATAATATATAATGATGAAAAAGATGCTTAGTAAATATTGAAAATCTAAAAAATATAGTTTATTATAGGATGTACATCACTAAATAAACTATTTTAATATTGTTCTGTATTCTTATTTCTTATCAAATTTGAACTTGGAAAACTTTGTTACCAAATTCGAATAGACTGAATTTTTTTAAGTCATTTTGACCAATTAACCATGACTCTAGAACCAAAATTAACTGAATGAGAGTCATTTCAATTTTAATAAATAACACATTTTTACAATTCATTACAAAATGCATAAAACCATTTATAATTTTTTATTATTGGGATAGTCTCGCGCGAACAGCCTAACCGCACGGTCACGCTATTACTGTTAACACTCATGTTAAAAATTAATTGCCTTAATTCAAACGGAATTTTTCGCGCTAACTACCACTCGCCTCAGTTTTTAACGCTGTATTAGATCCCTGTGTCTACGAGTGGCTTCAAGCCCCAGTAGAGAGTTAAAATTAAAAAAACTATAATAACTTACGTACATACAATTACGCTCAGTGTATAATAATTACTTTTCTTATCTCTTCTCCAAGGCATCGCCCGTGGGGTGACCTTTGGACAGGCGATTACTCTGACTCACCGTCAATCACCAAATCTTTAAAATTAATAAACAAACAGCAAACAATTCTCATAATAAAAATACATAAACCAAAATCATACCTAATCAAAACTCGTCTCAAGCTATATCTAAACAAAAACAAGAAACAGGATCAGTTGGCACTGCAAGCAGTTTACATTACAATCGTATACAGAGTGGATCAAATGATGTCTATAATTCTTCCGATTCAGCAGACAAAAAAGACGACAAATTCATATCGCAAAAAAACAAAAAAAATACATCAACTCGAAACTTTTCATTGACAGACACTCCCAACCCCGAACCTAAAAAATTCAAACCTTTATTTATAATGGTAAACAGATTTGCTCCGCTCTCAAACAATGACACTATGATGGGAAACACCGAAAACGATTCCACTTCCCACGACAATTTAACTCCATCCAATGACCAAAATTATAAAAGAAAACTTCCACTCCCAATTTATGTCCGTGGCATCCTTGACTTTGTTGAAGTGCGCAATGAACTAATTAAATTAATCGGTACCGACACATTTACTTGCAAATCATCTACAAACGATTTAAAAATTCAAACATCAGACTCTAAGTATTACTGTGAAATAATCCATTTTTTAAAAGGTAGAGAAGCCCAATATCATACTACCAACCACAGGAGGAAAAAGTCTTCCGAGTAGTGGTACGTAACCTTCACCCGTCTACTCCAACAGTTGAAGTCGGAATAGCAATCGAAGAAATCGGTTACACCGTCAGGCAAGTTTCTAACGTTCTACATAAAACATCCAAAAATAAGCTACCTATGTTCTTCGCCGACCTAGAGCCAGCCGAAATCAATAAGGACATTTTTGGAGTAACGTCACTACTCCACACAAAAATAAAAATCGAAGAACCACATAAACGTAAAGAAGTCATCCAGTGTCACAACTGTCAAGAATATGGTCACACAAGGAAATACTGCTCATCATAGGCGTGTCCAGATCTCCATGGCTGGGGAGGCCAGTAATAAAATTTAAATGTTTTACTACTGCAGCGATCTATAATCTGTATCTATATTTGCGACTTATTTTTGTTGTACGGAAATTACATAGCACCTGGAATTTTTTCATCCCGTCAAATTAAAAATTTTCTTTTTAATCTTAAAATCTTAAAATTGGTTTCCTATGCTATTACAACTATGAACTAATAAATAAGGCCTATTAACTAATGTGCTACACATTTATTTTTTATAAATATTTTATCAACTATACATCAACCATCTATACACATCTTATTACAGTTATTTATCAGTTTGGTTAAACAAGTAATTTATTAAAATATTACAAATAATAAAATTCAATAAATTTAAAATTTAAATTCACCTTTCTACCTAAAATTACCTACTGTTACTGTTTCAGCCACGGATATAGTTACTATATATTCGTGGTTTCACCATTATAAGCCAAGAGGCCAAGAACGTCGCTGGGGAGGCCGGTGCCCACCCTGCTTCCCCCGTAGACACGCCTATGCTGCTCATACTCTTCCAGATGCGTCCACTGTGGTGGTCATCATCCTTCCCCCAGTTGCAATAAATCTCACAAGTCTCCTGCCAAGTGTGCCCTGTACGAAGGCGACCATCCAGCGAACTACAAGGCATGTCACATCTATAAGGATCTCCAACGATTCCGCAAGCCAAACTCTAACAATCATGTCTCCCAAAGCAACACCATTAAAGGTCGTAACAGTACAAATATTAGTAATAGTAAAGTTTCCCAGCAGCAATCACCCGACACTAAATCACCCCCTCGTACCTATGCTCACGCAACATCGGGCCACATTCTCAACACAAAATCTAATGATAACTAACGGACAAATTTTCTAAGTGAGTTTAAAGCTGTAAAGTTTTAACCTGCTGTTATATCTCCTCACCACTGTCCTCGATCGTCTTCTCGCTCAAAATGTTAAGTAATACATTCACCTTCCAGTCTCTAACCATCCTTCTTTGAAATGCCAACGGCCTAATCAAACACCGAAATAAAATAATTACATCTTTAAACGATAAAAGAATAGACATAGCATTAATCTCAGAAACACATTTTACGTACAATACAAAATGTTCTTTTCCCGGGTACAGCACCTTTTCTTCATGCCATCCCGACAACACTGCCCACGGTGAAGCCACCATCATTATCAAATCATCACTCCAACTCACCGCTGCCACTTCAGTTAATTATAACTTTTTACAAATGGCAATAGTAAATATTAACTTGAACCACGTGCCAATTACTGTTGCAGCAGCATACTGTCCCCCAAACATAAAATCACGCCTTCACAATTTGATTCCTTTTTCAACTCTCTTGGTCACTACTTTATATTAGGTGGTGATCTAAACGCCAAAAACCAAACTTGGGGCTGCCACTCAACAAATCCAAAAGGATACTCTTTATTCCAATCAACTACCAACAATCATCTCACTATCCTAAATCCCCCAAATCCGACCTACTTCTACCAGTAAGTGACCAGACATACTCGATATTTTAATTACAAAAATTCCAACTAATTTAAATCATTTAATAAAAAATTAACTAGATCTAAGCTCTGATCATACTCCAATCTTTCTCTCCTTAGACGATCATCCTTCCTCCAAGCCAAACAAAGCATGTCTTTCAAACACTTCTACGAATTGGACCAAATTTCGTGAAATAATAAATTCAAAAATAAACCTCAATATTAGTTAAAAGACTCCAAACGAGGTGGAAGACGCAGTCCAAAATCTCGCCGAATCCATACAATCAGTTGTTTGGAACTCCTCTAACTTCCAAGGTCATCTTGCAAACTCTCATTCCACCCTCACTTATGTTAGAGAACTAATTACGCAAAAACGCCGTACTCGAACCAGATGGCAACGCACTAGACTTCCTTCAGACAAAAATCGTTTAATAATCTCGCCTCACCCTTAAAACGAATGTTAAACAAAATAAGGAATGAATCTTTCAATAACTGGACCTCCTCACTTACCGCCGAAGGTGGGTCACTCTGGAGGGCAACCCGCAGCTGTCTTAAATAAAAAACGACCCAAGCTCCACTAAAAAATAGTAACGGTAACTGGTGCAAAACAGATAAAGAACAAGCAGATACCTTTTGCTCACACCTTTCTGAAGTCTTTCAACCCCATAAAGATATTGTCAACAATATTTCAGACTCAAATATTGAAAACTTTTTCTTCTCCCCTCTACCTCTTTATCTTGCCCCCTAACCGTTCTTGCCAAGTGAGGTCCAGTACTACATTAAATCTTTTGTTCTTAAAAAATCACCTGGGTTAGATCTAATCACTGCTGAGGTAGCTTGACAACTCCCTAAAAAAGCAATTATTCACCTAACTCATATTCTCAATTCTATATTAAAACTATCTTACATGCCACTCCAATGGAAGGTCTCAGTAATTATCTTATTCCCGAAACCTGGCAAACCCCCAGACATCCCATCATTATATCGCCCGATAAGCCTCCTTCCTTTCTTTTCAAAGCTATGTGAAAAATTAATTATCAAACGCATATCACAGATCGCTAGTGATTTAAACGTAATTCCTCATACCCAATTCGGCTTTCGTAACGAACACTCCACCGAACACCAGATTCATCGCTTAACTGACGTCATTGCTTACTCTTTCGAAAATAAACTTTACAGCTCCGAAGTTCTGCTAGACGTTGCTCAAGCATTCGACAAAGTCTGGCACACTGGACTTCTGTATAAACTAAAACAATTTCTCCCTTCTCCCTACTTTTTATTCTTCAAATTCAACCTGGAAAATCGCCATTTTGTGACTAAAGTAGGCTCAGAGTTCTCAAACCTAGCACCCATCCTAGTAGGCGTACCCCAAGATGCCATTTCATCTCCAATTCTATACAACATATACGCCGCAGACCAACCGATTTCTCCTTATACCTCAGTAGCTGAATTCGCAGACGACAAAATCATCTTCACTTCTAATGAAAACCCTCTTGCCGCCCGCCATCATCTACAAAATCATCTTAATGACATGGAAATATGGGATTCAAAACGGAAAATAAAAATAAACAATGACAAGTCCTCACATATAACCTTTACACCTTTACCCTCAGACAAGGCGTAGTCCCATCGGTCTCTCTGGTAAACAAAATTATACCACCAGTAACCAAAGTTAAATACCAAGGTCTACTCTTAGACAAACGCTTAACTTGGGCCGACCATATTAAACAAAAGCGCCTCTTATTTAACTCCAGACGAAAATGTTTCTACCCACTATTAGGCAAACAATCCAAACTAAACCTTAATAATGAACTATTCCTTTACAAAACCCTCCTGAAACCCATTTGGTCTTATAGTATCCAGTTATAGGGAACAGCTAAGAAATCGAACATTTATAAAATGCAAACTTTCCAATCAATATCACTTTGTGTAATCACCGACGCTCCCTTCAATGTCACTAACCATACTCTACACTCATATCTTGGACTACCAACTGTAGCCGAAGTAGCCTCATCATTCTACAAGCGGTACCACTCTCGCCTCACAAACCACCCAAATCTTCTAACTATTGCCCTTAACTCCGTAAACATCCCTGGTAATCCCCCGAGAAGATAAAATAGGCGCTGGTGTCGCGACTTAGCTATCTAAATTGTTTATTTAATACTTAAATAAATATATAATGTATATATGTAAAATAGCCTAATCAATTTCACATCGAGTGTTACTGCTAGGTAACTACTCCTCTCACGCTTTCATGTCAACCTGTTTAATAAAAAAAATACCAGCTCATTTGCTTGTTATAACTAATATTACAGTTTGTAAATTTTCCAATAAAAAAAAAAAATTTATTATTGGTTACTTTTTGAATATTTTTACGTATTTTTTTTTCATACGTTTTATAAACAAGATTAACATAATATCGGTATACAATTATTTAATTAAAATTGATTACATTAATTATATTATAAGTATTAGGCACATATTTTATTGTGTTGATTCACTCGTAAAATGTAATTAATTAAAATAAATGTTGATTGTCAATTTCAATGACATTTATTTATTCATTTTTGCTTTCTTTACTATGGCCTGCTAGATTTTAAAGTTCTTAAAATTGGCCCTTTAGTTACTTTGGGTTGCCAATCCCTGATCTATAATATCAAATATACACTCCTAATTTAGTATGTATCAATTTTTTTTACTGTTCTTCAATATTTAGCGTTCAAAGCATAGGTGCCATGTAGATGGATGCCCGGGAACTAAGGCACCCATTGAAATTATTATGGAGGGGCTAGGCACCCATTAGAATATTGGATAATTAAAACGTGTATTTATAATCTCTTAAAACTTTGTATGATAATTATGCAATATTAATAGAATTTCTTGATAATATTTCAAAGAAAAAAAATTAAAATTGAACAAAAGCTAGTGGTTATAACAAACATTTACTTAATTTTGACTTTTTGTTTTATATGAAAGTAATGATTATTATTTTTGAAGGATTGAAATCCTAAATGCAGAACTTCAAAGAATATCTCTAAATTTTCAAGAAGCACTATTAAAAATTGAAAACATTATCATATCTAGTCAACAACTAAGAGATACGGGATTTTATGACTTATAGGAACAAGTTTCAGTAAAGTCTAGTGAGCTAAAACTGAAAAAGCCAAATAAACTGAGAATAAAAAAAATTATAAAAAGTTATTACAAGGCAATAGTGAAGGGCATACATTTTCATCAGTTAGAGAAAAATACAAAATTACATTTTACGAACTTCTAGATGTTATATTATCATAAATAAATAACCAATTTCAATAAAAATTAATTAATCATTTATGCGATCTTCAAAAATGTATAATTGGTAAAGAAAAAAAAATTGATAACATATGTTAGTTCCTTTTATAGGATTGATTTCAATCAAGAAAAACTTAAGTTGCATAGAGATATGTTTCTAGATATTGTAAAATCAAGAAAAAATAACAGAAACAGTATACAAGATACTATAAATGTATTTAAATCGGATAATTCATTTGGAGGTATTTTAACAGAGTTTAATTAACTTCTAAAAATTATATTGACGGTTCCAGTACCTCTATCGTCTTGTACTGCGGAAAGATCTTTTTCAGCCCTACGAAGATTAAAACATCTTTAAGGTTCACAATGACACAAAATCGTTTTAACGATATTGCTTTATTGCATGTCCATCGTAATAAAAATATAGATATTGAACAAATAGCTAACTCATTTAAAAATTTAACTAATATACGTTGAAATATATTTTTTATGTTAACAGTCAAATTAAATTAATTTTTTTGTTTTACTTATTATTATTTATAAATAAGCTATAAATTTGGTATACATTTATTTTGTTTTATGATTATTAATTAATTTAGTGTACAATATGGTTAATATTATTATATTGTATTATTTAATATTTATATATACTAATAAAAATTTAAACGTTTTTAGTTAAGTAATAATCATAATACCAATATGTGCAATTCGGAGAGCCAAAATTAAAATTTTACAAGATTAAATTATAACTAGCTTCCAATGCAATTTCATGCATTTAAATTTTAGGGGGACGTTGTTATTGATCAGGGGCTAAGCCACATCCTCCAAATTGTGCATTTATGCTTATGATACAAAGGCCAGACAAGGCACCCATTGAGTTTTTTAAAACCTGGCGCCTATGGTTCAAAATATTTATAATGATGTTTGTATCATTAATAAACATATTTTGAATAAAAGAATAATGTCCATCATTTTTTTAAATGTTCATAAATAATCAACATATTTTAAAAATAAAAATATTGAGAATATTTGCAGTTTAAAACTTATAATGGTAAATTATAGATTATTTTTTTTTTTTAATAATTTTAATCATTTAATATATATAATCTATATAAGTCAATATTATTGAGTCATTCATATGTATGAATAAAAATAAAAATTGTAACTTATATACTTTAAATTAGTTAAATTAAAACACTTCAGTAAAACAATCAACAAATATGCATGCAAAATAAAAATTATAGAACACAAAATCAACATCAAAGAATACAATTAAAAAAAAATGTTACATAGAATAACCATCAAATATATTTAATGTAACATTATAATATAACATTATATGTACTAACTTTACAAAATCTGGACACATATCAGTGACATGTTCAAATTCAGTAAACGAAAGAGCACCATCATCATCAAAATCAACTTCTTCAAATATTTTCTGTACTAAACGCTTAAGGTCATTATCATTAAAAGGGTTTAGTTCTCCAACTAAACATTGAATTACTTTTTTAATATCCCCAACACCTAACATATCATCGCCATCAAAATCTAAAAAAAATAAAAATAAAAATTTCTTAAATTTTTTTTTCAATTTTTATTTAGTTTTCAAATTATTATTTAACCATATATATTCTTTAAAAATAATAAATTCTATGATAAAAATACAAATAAATAAATAGTTAACAATATGCAGGGAATGATTTAAAAAGGGCATGTTTTTCAGTTCATACAATGTATAACTAGTTATATTATTATCTGTCTTAAGCAATAAAATAATTTTGCTATTGTTCTAAAATTAATTATAATATCCCTAATCAAATTCTTTTCAGTCCCATTTTAGTCCATTAACATAAGTATATTTAGAATTTGAAGTAATGTCGTAAAAAATATTATTTAATAACAATGGTAGTTTATTTCTGCAGTTTTACTTTAAAATAACTTAAGAGGGCTGAAGAGCATGATTAGCTTTTAGTTGAAAATACAGTAAAATGTAACAAATATTCAATATTTAGAGCAAAAATTACACTTGAAAAATGTTTATTTAAAAATGTATTCTAGAACAGAGTATTTGGCTTTAATATTTTTATTTAATTTAAAAACAAGTATTTAGAATTTATTAAAATAGGCAAGTTTGATATGTTAATAACTAATACTTATCGAACATTTCTGCCTTGAACTTAAATTTGGATTTTTTAATTTTTATTTGTATAAGTATATTATCAAATAAAAATATATATAATTTTACTAAAACAGAATTAAGGGTTTTCATTCCATAAACTCATCAGCTATGGAATAACCTCCTAAAATTAATATTAAATTTAGTTTTTATGTTTTTAATGTACTTTTTCCTTAAATTACTAATTTTTTCAAGACAAATAATACTGTTGGAGAAATAATTTGTTTCATAACAACTTCATAAAATAAAACATGTTTTGCACAATTGCTGATTTCCTCATCATGTGCAAGCCATATATTTATCAATAGGGAACGGATTTATATTTCAATACATATTTTTATTAAAAAGAGGTACTTAAGATTCGATAAGAAATTTTCATGATTTAAATCATTCCTATTAATATGATGCTACTTTTATTTTACATATTTTTACATATTTCACTAATTTGTAAATGTTTTTAAACATATTTTATCATTTCATCATTCATACGTCTTCTTCGTACAAAAATACAAGAAATTATTTCAAATTTAGATCCATTAACTTCTTACTCTATTAGAAAAGCTCAAAATATTATGCAAAATGAAACATTAAAAAATAATTTTCATCTCGGTGAATTTTAGTTTTATTGCATATACATTTACAAAATTAGAAACAAAAATATGTTCTTAAATGAAAGTATGCAAATTGTCGAATTAACGATTGCAAAATGAAAACTCGTAAGCGGCCTAATAGATGTTATAAAAAAAAATTAATGCTGTTACAGAAAAAAATTCTAAGCTATATTGATTTTCAATCAATGACATAATGAGTGGCAGATACCTATCTAAAAATTTGATATTATCGCCTTCTGATATTATGCGCTTCAAATATGCTTTAATCAACCCATGTAGGTTGATGTGGAACGATCATTTAGCCGTTTTAAAAATATTTTCAGATCTCATAGGCAACATTAATATTTGATAATTTAAAAGATATTGTAATAATTTAATGCAACAAATCATTTTGATAATTTAATAATTAAATTTTTTTCCTACATATTTGGATGTTTTTAGCACATATTTTATAAATTATACTTACATTCATATGTACATATTTCTGTATTTTTATTACATATAAATCCGTTCCCTATTTATCAACAATGTCTTAATATTAATGAATTAATCTTTCTTAATGTATTACCATTCTATAGATTGTAATTTTTTTGTTTTTGTTTTTGAGTATTACTAAAAATCTTCAAATATTTTTATTTAAAAATACTTTTAAGAATATTGAGACTAATAATTAAATAATACCACTAATTTAAAAGGCAATTTACACAATAACCATTATTTCAGTAATATTATTAATTTATATTCATATACTATATTTGATGCTGTATGTAAAAAGTATGTACCAGCTTACAGCCTTAATAATTTTTCTATGAAAATCTAAGTTTAATAAAAAATAATAATTGTTTTAACTAATATAAGATTGTTAAAATCAGTTAAATTTTTTTTTATTATTAATTAGACAAATTAAAAAATGTAGATGCATATGGTTGTTTATAGTTGCATATAGGTTGCATATAGTTTAACTACCTAGGGGACAAATTATTTAATTCACCTCAAACAAAAAGGTTAATTTCAATAGACTATATAAATTTAATAAATAACGTGTTCAAAATTTATTAGGTCACATAAAATTATAAATATTCTTACCAAAAATTCTAAAGACATGTTCGGCTTTAACATCTGCAGGTGCAGTAAGACTAAATACAGACATCATGTCTAAAAAATCTTCAAATGTACAATCTCCATCTTGACTAGAACTGAATACTTGACACATACGCTCACCAAAAGGATTAGCTGCTAATTCTGGAAGCTTAAGAACCTTATTAAGTGCCAATTTAGCATTTTTGTTATGCCCCACTTTTTCAGGTGCTAAAGATTTGAACTTTTCATGTGCACTAAACATTTTATTATATTTTTATTTTTACATATAAAATACAATTTCAAAATAAATAATATCTTAATAGAATTGTATTTTAATCTATACCTAATAATTCATAATATACTTACACCAAAACTTCTTTTTTTGTAAAATAAGTGAGATCCTAAAAATAAAATAAAAAGGAAAATATAATATGTTTATATTTTAATTTTTTTTTTCTTAATGAAAAACTGTCTATTGTAAAAATTAAATTAAATGTTTATCAGGCTATATTTTATTATACAACAAATAAAAAAACATATAATATATTACATTAGTTCTAGTTATTATATAAAAATAATATACCTAAATATGACAACTAATTTTCAACATTACTATCTTAAGTGTGTAACTTTGGTTTTTACAATTAATAATATACAATATTTATTTTTCTAAAATTAATAAATAAATTTTAATGGTCCCAATCATGATTACTAGGTCCTGCATCTGGTTCTTCTTCTACGGTGGGCATTGGAGATCGACTTTCAAATAATGGTGACATTGCTTCAGATGTATTTTCCCCACTACTGCAATGACCACTATTCTTGTGTGTACGTTCCGATTGTTTCTTCATAGTTCTAAACCTTTTACGTTCTTCCATTTCGCATGCTTCATGATGAGCGCAGCGTTTTCCATCATCAAGGTCTTCAACTACTTCTGGTTCAGGGATTGTTGTAGAAAATTCATTTGGGTCTACATCTAATTCTTCAACAATCCGCCATTTAGGTGTTACTATTTCCTTATATTTCACCATTTCTACCCTTGATGCAGCAGCAATACTATAAGGTATTACAATGTTATCAATATCATATTCACGTTTTGCATTGTATGTTTTATCTCCAGTTCTTGGAAACCAAGGGCTGTAATCTGGATCTGAGTCATAATTGTCTTCTTCATATACCTCATCAAGATCATCATCGTCACAAATACTTTCACTACTTCTGCGACTGCTATATTTATAATCTTCATCCATTCTACTTCTTTTATGTTTACTATAGCGTAATCGTCTTTTTTTTCTTGCTTGTCTTTGATTTCGATTAAATTTTGTAATTGGATCATTACGATTTGGCCAAGCATTTTGTAATTTAACAGGTGGAACTTGTCTAATAGTAGAATTTTGTTCGGGTGTTCTATCCACAAAATATTTATTAAAATCAGTATCAGATGCAGATTTATTTTTTTGTTTCTGATGGAAAGATGATTTTCCTAATTCATTAGATAATGCAACATTTAAAGAAATATCTTTAGAATAAGATAGAACTGGATGATAAGTATCACTCAAACAATGACCAGGATCATTTGAGAGACGCTTAAGACTTACACAGGTAGGACAAGAATCAATACCATAGCAGTCACAAGGATTAATACGATTTAATTTAGCTTTATCACCTTTTTTCAATGCCGCAGCTAAATTTATAAGTGGAGGTTGCATCAACATTCTATGTTGAGTTTTAGGTTCATATGGAAAACATCTCCTACCAGATTCATCTTCTTGATCTTGGATGTATGAATGAGAAGTATATCGATTCAAAGCTTCATTATAAAAATTGATTTTGAATTCTATGTCTGACATTACATTAACTAACCAAGTTAATCGGTATGCAATATTTGCTCTGTCATGAAGCCATTTCCAAGAATTTCTTTTTTCTATAGGATAATTAGAAACTTGTACTTCTTCTTCACTAGTTTCTCCTAATGTATCCGTTTCAGAATCACTAGCTGTTGCCTCAGAATCATAATCTTCATTTAATGTTTTTATTTGTGACTCTAGCATTCCAAAGACTTTTTCGCCATCCTTAATTTCATCACATAATAAACTTTTCAAAAATGGATTGGACTGACGTTTTTGAACTTTGAGTAATGTAGATTTAATATTTTTAATGGCATTACTTTTTTGTGATTGTAAAACATTATAAATTTCTTGAGTAGAACATTTGCCCATAGTTTTTAGTTGAATATTTTGTAATTTTGATATGATTTTTTGAAGACGTTCTCTTAACATATTACCTTTGATCATAAATGTATGAAAGTTTTCTTTTACAGTTGGAGTGTCGTCATATTGAGTAACTACTTCTTCTTCAGCCATTCCAATTACATTATCTAAAAGATCTCTTTCAAATGAACTTAAATCATTATCGCCAATACCAAACATTGCATCTGCATCGCCATTACCAATTTCTATTTGTTCCGTATCATTATCATAAGACATCAAACCATTTTTCACCATTGATATGTTTTTCATGACACCAAGTAAATCATCAGAAGAGAGTTCAATAGGATCACCATTTTTCAATGGTGGATTCTCATCCATGGCTGGTACCTTGAACATGCAAAGGTTTTGTAAAGCAACAATCAATAGGAATGATTCGAAAGAAGACGTTTTCGTAGACAAAAATATAATTTTAATAAATACTTTTTGTAGTTATACATTCACTTGAAAGAATATTGATGTCATGCAGTGATGGTAGATGACAGAGAAATTCCCTCCACGCAGGGAAGTTTGAGGTCAAAATTTATAAAAGGGAAAATTGGGAATTTTGAGCTTATTTCACGAAAATAAAGGAAATTTTAACTTTTAAAATTAAAGAAATTTTTTTCCATTATGTAGCTTTATTGACAACCACGGACTAAGATAATATTGTTCCACAGACCAGCTCAGGGGAAGAACCATAGATAATATAGTAATTATTCTATTATCTATGGAAATGTGGTAGGTCACAGTGCTTCCTCACCGAAGTGACGCGGTGCCGCCGTTGGCAATCGTGCCCGGCACCGTCCCGCCATCGCGTCGGGTCGACGAGCCCGCGCTAGCGCTCTTTCAATTCGACCATCGTCCGCGTCGCACGAAAAACATTTTTATACCCGTTTCTTTCTTCACTATTGGTTTCGCTTCACCAGACCTGGCTCTTCTCTCGACTGTTGTACACGTTGCACGGAAAAGCTCGCCTTTCGTGTCACACGCCGAACCACGACCTCGTTTCCTGACACTGATCGCGAACGACTCATTTTAACGCTTCGTCTTTTATTCTTTGTAACCTACCATGGCACGCGTGAGAAATTTGTTATAATGCGTATACGTTTTGTTATATATATTTTTAGTTAAGTCACGACTATATTTTTATAATATATTTTTGGGAACGAGTCATGCGACTCCCATCGCGACCCATGCTCGTTCGCCACACTGGTGACCTCGACGTTCAAAACCCGTGCCCGTACGCCACAGGAAGAACTAGTATACGCCTGGTGAATATGATCTTGATATAGATGATATCAAAGTCTTTCGAGGTAAATTATTTTTGTATAGTGAATACTGAATATATAGTAAAATCTGATGTAAACTTATCAAACATAATGTTTTATTTCATGTTCATTTTTACAAGTCTTATGTTAAATTGCAATTTTAAAAATTTAAATTTTTAGATGTTTTTTAAAATTCCAAAAAAAATAATCTATAAAGTGAATTAAAAAAAAATCATATACTAATGTGATAAAGTGTTGTAAGCATATTAACTTTCAACGGCAATTTTTGCAAGGAAATAAGCCTTATAATTGGGAATTCTAAACGCTATCATCTACCAACACTGATACCATGACAAAACACCGAAGATGCTTAAACGGTGGTCGTTCATCCGTATTTACGTAACATTTGCTCAAAACTGTCCCGATAAATTTAGGGCAAGAAAGTTTGTATTGAAAACAATACTTACAAACGTCAAATAATCGTTGAATAGTAATGTTTACATCATATGTTGTCACCCGTCCTGATGGCTGTAGTATATTTTATACTATGAGGCCCGCGATCAATGAATAATAATAAACTTTTACACTTAACTAATTCTAACACTAAAAGATTTAAAAAAAAATTGAAAATCAATTTGATAGAAATCTTCGAAAATAAAACGTCACAATATTAATCACAAGCGCGCATTATTTCAATACGGTTCCGTTATTTGTGTTAAAAAGAGAAAGACATAATAGTGGGAAAAAACTGTCGCTTTCTTAGTTTTAGGTGTTGTCACAAAAGTACCGACTGTAAACGTTCATGGAATAAAATATTAAATTATCAACTTTATAAAAAAAAAAAAAAAATGTATTTAGAACATATTTTTTAATTCTAATTATATTGAGTAATTTAACTAATTAATATTGTACATTCATTACACAAGAACATTAAACATAAAGGTTAAGCCAAATTCTGTTAATACTTAGTTAAATATTCGATTTAAAAATGTTTAGTCAGACTAGTTATTAAAACAAATACCTTGTACACATTTTTAAACTTAAAAAATTGTACAAATTTATTAGTAATCATATTGAAGTTAGTTCGATTCAATCATAAACAATACATTTTTATGCTATCATTAAATAATTAAATATACTTATGTAAATATATTTATACACAATAATAGGAAAAAAAAACATTCGATAACTGAATAGTTTATAGTTTAGGCAAATGTAGAATTTAATTTGAAATTATAAAACTTATGAATTATAATATGATGATTAATATATTTTTCAAAATTACCTGATAATCATTTAATTCTTCGACAGTGAATTGACTAGATTTTTGACCCATTTGTTTTCAAATCTTAACAACTAAACATATCTTAGAAGAATAAAATGAGGCTAAAATAAGTACAATCTTTTATCCGTCAAGACAAAAAACACTTTTACATTCCCAATAATAAGCTAATAGTATAACCACGGTCTTAAAGATAAGGCCCGACCACTTCTCCCCCGATGATCAAGTATAATGCATTGACTTAACTAAGCGAAAACATTTCCAATTTTGACCACCTTATAATAGAGCGCTGATAGACGTTTTTGAGGTTAGGGAATAAATGTTAGATACATAGAATACCGCTAAAATTTGTTTGAAAAATTATATACAAAAATACTTATAAAAATTTATTTATTTATTATATAACATGTAAAATTCTTTAATTGGAATAAAAATAAATTTATTAACATATGTCCACTGACTTATTGTTTTTCACCTGTTTTTTTTTATTTCCCAAGTATTAATTTTATTCTTCCAACAGTTAGTGTTTCCTTATAAATTACAATATTTCGTGATTCATTTTTTCCACAATGTCAAAAGTGTTTCTTTGATAACAATTTAGCTTAAAAAACTTTGTGTAAAGATAATATACCTAAAGATAACATTTTAAAAAATTAATGGTTAAGAGTATGTCAGAGCAGCTATATTTCGGTATAAAAACACGTTTTCAAAAAATAGGTTTCACTCCGAAAGTATTATACTTAGCGTAGTAAAACCTATTATACAAATTAAAGATAACAACATTATTTAGGGAATGACATCCATTTAGCTTTTTATACGTTTTTAACAGAAATACTATCTCTTTAAGTTGTTGAAAATTGTTAATTTTTTATTCTTAAATAACTACCGTTTCAGTTGTTTAATCTACAAATGGATATGTCATGCCCTAGATGATATTGTATTCTTTAATTTTGATGATCAAATATTTTTCTCTAAAAACACTAAATCTTTCTATTAGCCATTTTTCGTAGACAAGTTTTTTTTTGTCGAATTAAATTTTTTATTTGTAATGTGCTGTCGCCTATGGACGGCGGTGGCGACGTCGACGATTACTTCTCCCACCACTACGACAAACGGCGGATTTGATCACGTCTAGCCCACACGATCTATTTTAAACTATTAGGCAATTCGTTTTTTCCAGGAATAATAATAATGTGATCGTTGATGTTGAGCTAAATGGTATCTTTTGAAATTTAATAAAAATAAATATTATTGTAATGTTTCCAATCTAACGATAGTACGGCCACAGAAAGCGCTACTCCTTCGCGCATACAAATGATTGAGCTCCGTAGTTTCGTCGCCGTAAATTCCTTTAATACGTAACGGCCGATGGCTTAAGGTCCCCATACACTGCCGCGGTGGCGGTTGCGTTAAATTTGTACACACGTATTGTAAAGGAGTCCGCCCGCACACTGCTGCGATAATTCGGCCGCAGTAAAATAGCGCCGCTGCCTCGGCGCAAAAAAAAAAAAATTGGTGCCCCTCTAAGGGGCCTACCCACGGAAGATATAAGAGATAAATTCTCATGAACCTTTTAGATATTCTAAGATCAATTTTTTTTTTGTGTAGTAGGCATACGATAACATAATACGCCGTATTATTATAAATAACGTATTTATTTACATTATCACAACAAACTAATATTAGGTATAATTTAATATTCTGGACCACTGATAGCTAAATTGCTAAAAATATATTAGTTCATAGTTGTTTAAATTCCAAACAACATAATACATTAACATTCATTTATGATACTGTTATGAAATACAAAAAAAAAAAATTAATCGAAGGTTCATTGGCGCAACTAGGTCTAAAATATTGGGGGGGGGGGCTGAAGCCCTACGAATAAATTTAGTCAGTATGAGCCATGAGGGGCTTTACCCCCCCCATTGCCGCAGCCATAGAACAATAATTATTAATTTAAATAAAAACAATCATAAAATATTATTACCATACTATATTATTAAAAATCATGTACTTACTTCTATGTAGTATATTTTACATAAAATATGACCTAACACCACCAAACTTTTCCACCATCGTCCGTCACATTTATTAGATAACAATATTAATTATGTAAGATTGTAGGAATTACAAAATAAACTATAATAGTAATATTTTATATCTATACAATTCACTTTTGAATAATTCTCTGCGTCATATACTCATATTATTTAGTATCTCACTATCCCATGCTTAAATTATCATTAAATTTTAAATAATCAAAAAAATTTTAGGGGGGCTAAGCCCCTAGGTCCCCCTCTAGTTGCGCTAATGCGAAGGTCTTCTTATCGACGGATGATATTGCTCCACTATTATTTATTTGTTAGACAGTAGAAAAATGTTATTAACATTTTTTATTTGTATTGTAAAGACTAAATATTTTATACCTGCTCTGGATATTATACTAACTGATATTAACTTGTACACTGTAGATTTTTTTCTCGTAGAGTTCCTTTAGCTAGAGCTCTCTACATTCAGTCTAGAAGTATACACAAGATCTAGAGCGCTCTAGCGGTTGCTTCTCTAGGGTGTAAGGTAGACTAAATAGAGTAAATGAAAATCTACAATGTACACGGAGATTCTATACTATAGCTAGAGCAGTCTAGATCTATATGTTCAGTTGAATAGACTAAATAAAGCACGTGGACATATTTAAATTAATTATCAACAGTGTTTTCGATATTTTTTTATTTTTTTATTTTGTATACATATTTTGTTTTGAATTATTTGTACAATGGCCACAGTTGTGTGGAACAAGCAAAAAACCTATCAACTTATTGTGCTTCTTGAATCGTCTTCTGCACTGTGGAATTGTACACTGTAGTAACACAGAGACAGGTAGGTAAAGGTAAAATGTATGAAAACAATTGCACAAAAATTAGAAATAACTTGTGCAGAAGTTGAAAGAAAGTTACACAATCTTGGGTGCCAAATGAATAGTGAACTCCGAAAAATTATAAATAAGAAAAGTGTGGCAGGTGCAGATGAGACCGTGAAAAGCTCTTGGGAGCTTATTTTTTTGTAATTTAACTACACACTACAACCTGCAACGCGTTTGCGGTCCGAAATTTTTCGTTCAAAGAAATATTGTTACCAACTTTCCCAAATGCTCTCTCAATAAGAACTAGGTATCTAATCTATAAAGGCTGACTAATGTATATGGGCCGTAGATTTAATCTATGCGCTCTCATAAACTGTTCTATTTAGAGCACATTTCACTATAGTGTAAACACACTTCTAGTGCAGTCTAGCTAGACCGATCTAACTTTAGCTGTATTTCTCTCTATAGTCTACAGGTACCCAGTGCTTGAAGTGGGGGGATACGGAGGGATGGCATCTCTCTACTTTTGTGTAATCACAGTTTTCATCCCTCTATCTGTTTTTTCTAGAATAACGCATTTTTCCTAAGACTTGTATTTTAAAATGATATACTTATTATCATTTTTATATTTATATATAAAAATTTTTTTTTTGGTGAAAATAATTGTTTTTGACATTCAAGCCCGGGTGCCCAGCTTATCGTGTTGTTTAGTATAAGCCGTTTCGCAACCCGTATTTAGAGCTACGGACTAAGATAATATACCTTATGTGAACTATAAAAAAAAAAAAATAATAATAAATATAGCTACATAAAGTGAAGAATGTTATGATGATATCAGGAAATCTGAATTGTAAGGCATCCCTCCACTTATTTTAAGCCATTTCGACCACTGCAGGTACCTTAATAGTATATTACACAGAGCACACTACGCAGTACTAGTTTGTCAGTGTATTCACGTCAGTGAATTATGGAGTTGTTAACCACGAAAAAAATGAAATTATAAATTTGCCAAAAAAAAAAAATCATTACGAAGATAAAATAAAACAACATTGTATTCAATTTAAATGTAGTAATGATAATGATATTTTATATTTTTTGTAAAGAATAAGTGATCTAATATAAATAATTGTGTATAAATAAATCTAAATAATTCCTGGGGGCTAAATTTCTTATCTTGATAATATGCGGTGACGAAACGTCCGCGAACCTGACAATTTTGATTCCAATCGTGTGATTTATAAAGAACATTTCACAGTAAACCAAATGAAAAGTATAAAAAATTGTGCTGATAATTTAGGAAATGTTTTTTATTCAGTAAATACATAGATTAAATATACATTAATAAATTCAATTTATGGTAAGTAGATATTAAATTAATTAATAATCAATGGTATAATAATAACTTTAAACTTTATTATTTCATTGAATAATTATTTTTTTTTTTTTTAAGACGATACATGTTACTTCATAAGGGAACCTAATTTTATATTTGAGGGTGACTGTCATTTTTTTTGTAACTTTTTTTTACAATATAGAGGGTAGGCCAGGCCCGTATTTATGGGGAGAGCATGAGTAACCACATGCCCGGGGGGCGACAAAATATTTTAGTAAAATTAATTTTAAAATTTATGTACCGAATGAAAATAAAAAATAAAACAAAAAAAAATTTTTTATTATATTATAATTTGTTAATTAAAAAAAGTATTAAATGATTTTCATAAGTTATACTATTATTAATTATTTTTTTTAGGGAGGGAGCATAAATTATATGCTCGGGGGCGGTAAATTTGTAAATACGGCCCTGGGGTAAGTTATAAATAAATTTAACAGCTTTAAACATGACAAGGAACTTAGTTACTTAAAAAATGAAGGTGAAAAAATGTTAGTGAAAAGCATTAGTTTTTAAGTTATTCAATTTTTGAAATTACGAATTTTCAGCTATAGCATATAGACATATGGTCATAAGGGGCACTTGCCCTTCCACAATTATGCCACTGGTAGTGCCCATCACTAGTAAAATAGAGTTTATCATTTATTATCAGCTGTACTCTTAATAAATAATTATTCTTTATCTCGATACACTCAATAACTGAATGATAAATTTTTCGTTATCTTAATAAATAAACATTAGTCAGTGAGTTAAAATAACCTATTTAATTACGGTGGTCGGAGTTAACCCCGAGTGAACAACTGGGCGTTACCAAACGATAGCGCGGAGTTAACTCTGACAAGCCGAACGACGTTGGGTTACTCGAGTTAACTATAATTGAGTTTTCGAATACAAAGATGATTCTGAGTGATTAAACCTTACAATGTACTAATTTATTATTATATTGTTTAAATTTATTTTTAATAATATTAAAGAAATTCTTTTGTGGTCGTCAATGTATCTTTATGTAATGTATTGTCAAGAACAAGAATTTATAATAAAAATATTGAAATATAAGTATTAAAATGAAAGGAACTACAAAAATATATGTACCTATATAAATAGTTGTCATTTTGATGTTTTAATAACAATGTTGTACATTCTGATTTTATTAGTGTTCAAAATAATTCTTAGACCATAAATTAAATTTTAAATATTTTAACACCAATCGTTTTATTAAGTACAGTTACTCTCCAATCACTTTACCTAGTTGAACAATGACTCAGTAAATGACCAGTTTATTAATTTTGAATAATTTACTTTACTGAATAGCCAATCTGATATTAGGATCACATCATAAACTGAAATACAGTTTAAAATATTTTTCATGATTTAATTCAAGTTTCAGATTGAATATAGAGTAAAAACAAATCTTTGGAAAGAAAAAATTATTGAAACACTTTCAATAATTATTAGTTACAAAAAAAAAAAAAAAATAATTTATTAATAAAATAATTGAGTTACCTACAATTAAAATTAATATTTAAATTATATTATAAATCGTAAAGGAATCATAGCTTTACAGAATTTATATATTTATTTTAATTATAACTAAATTTGTGGATTGACAAAATGAATATGCCAAATAATCATAATTTTATATATAAATATAGGAAAACCACTATATTATATATTAACTAATATGAATACAGTGTTCTTAGTTAATATTTATGTTTGTGTTTTCTTGATGCATGTGATACAGGTGTTGGTGGTGTACGTACACGATGTCTGTGAGGCGAACGTGAATGTGATCTTTTATGTCGATAATTATGTCTTTCTTCACGATCACGTTCTCTTCTTCTAGAAATCGATCGAGGAGAATCAATTGGTGAAACTCTTGATTTTTTATTATTACGTTGAGGTGAGCTAGGTCTTTTTCTCAAAGGAGGACTTAAACTATCACTTCTGAAACCAAAATATTTTATTTTAACCTATAAAAAAATATACTGATAAATTTTATCCAACCTCATACTGTGTGATGACCATTTACTATACGCAGGACTATTTGAAGGACTTTTAGATCGTTTCTTTTTTTTAACATCTCGATAGTCTTCATCAGGACTTAATCTTTTATTAATTTTGTCTTTATCTTTTTTATCTTTCTCCAATTTTAATTCTTTTTTCCTATACATGTAAATTCTAAATTAAAGACTACTTAATAATATTTATGTATGGTAATTTACCGGAGATTTCTGTACTTTTTTGAGAAGTTTTCGTCTATAATGTTCAACTTGTTGATATATATTCCATCCACCTTTCAATGCTCGTTTGCCAGATTCTAACTCATCTTGATATTGCATAACTTTTACTTCAACTTCTCTTAATTTAGCTCTTCGGTCATCAGCAGTTTCTCTGAAAATTAAATTGATAAACTATATATACTTTTAAGACTAATATGTTTGAAATATATATTTTTATAATAACAATATACTACTTGTAATTTAAAGTGAAAATACCTTGTTTCATTCAAGTCATCATCTTGTGAGTCTAGATCTATAGACTCACTATTATAATTTTTATTTTCTCTTTCTAACATCTCCCACTTGCTAGTAGTCATTGCCTGTTCTTCGGCTTCATGTGGATCTACAGTTTCCCATCTAGATGGAACAAATGCAGCAGCTTTGATATTCTTCCCTGTTGAATCGCCAGTTAATGGCATGCCACCAATATCCTCATCTATTACTACATACATAAAATATTTACATTTAATAAAATAATTAATAATTTATTAGTTATCAGGTTTATTTATAAAAAAAGATTAATTTGTAATTTATAATAATCTAAGTTTTTTTTTTTTAGAATCATGTAAAAATATCCAAATTATTAATTGCACATTTATTTTTGTTTTATAAAACATAATGCAAATATAAATAAAGTAATAAAATGAAAAAAAAATAAAAATATTTGACAGTAATATATGGTAGTATTTTATTTACTAAAAAGTTAATTTTAGTTGAATTTAAGAAAAACAATAAATTAGTTAATTGGAATAGAAAATATACATTAAACAATACATTTGGATAATGGTATTATTATTTAAAGTGTGAATAAGCATGCATAGACATGTACACAGTATTCAGAAAGAATTCCGACAATTTCTTCTTAGAAGAAATAGATTAGTTTTTTATTATAAATTTGTAAAAAAAATTGCCAGCAACTCTAAGTAAATTTTTTTTTTTATAAATCATGTATACATTTGTCATTTAAAATGGCAAATGTATATTAACAACAAATTCAATGAAAAATTATTTAGAAACTTAGTAAATTTAATGTTTGCATATCACAATGAATTAAAAATTGTTAAATACATTTAAATAACAACTTACATGGTATACCATCAATATCAGCATTACCAGGAGGTGTATCATCATAAGCATGTTTTAACAATGCAGCACCGTCCAAAGGTATACCATCTAAATCTTCATTATCTGGATTATCAGTATCTGATAAAGGAGCACCATCTATATTTTCAGAATCATCAACAGATTTTGAATTTGTACTATAATGTAAATCTTCATGAGTGCTGGTTAATTCTGGAGGTACCTAAATATTCAAAGTTCAATTATAAAAACTGTTCAATGGGATACAGATCTATAGGTTATAGATAATTATTATGTACATAATATATATTGATATTATAGATAAGCTATAGAGACTAAATGTTTGTTTTTTATCAGTTCATCACTTTAATTATTGGACAGAATATTGACAGTAGGTGTAGCAAGTTTTTTTTCAAACTACTTGTAGGATACAAGAACAATATACTTAATTATAAAATAATTTTAAAAAAGGCTAAAATAATTTTCATAATTTTTTATCTTTAATAATATAATTGGAGTTTTTCACTTAATAAGAAATTAATATTCTAAAATTCATAGAATTTAGCTAACACCATGTTACTGTTAAATTTAAAGAGGTATAAACAAGTTGAATGAATGCCTTAACATTCTTTTCAAACATTAAGAGTTGTTATTTTAGAGACCAACCCCAGATAATGTAAATAATGTTAACAAAGTCTTGTACCAGACTTGATAATTATAAAATATTACTGCTTGAAAAAATTCAAAATAATTGAGAAAATTAAAAAAAGAACTCTGTAAAACACATGTGATTAATTTTTAATCTCATAAAGTACTGCATACACATTAATATAGTTGTTACCAAACAATTTTAATAGAAATAAAGTAAAGTATACTAATAAATTATATATATATATGTGTGTGTATGTGTGTGTATTTATATACAGTAAAACCGTCTTGTGTGGAGCAGCATGGAACAAATAAAAAAAAATTTAGGCAGTTTCCGCCTGATAATAAAAATTAATAAATATCATAGATTACGATTAATTTTAATTTTTAGTAAATAATTACATATTATCTATTAAATAAATATTTCAAAATAATGATAAACTATAATAATAATTTAATGAAATAAAGTATTTTAAAATACAATTGCGAATTTCAAAATTCAAGTATTTTGTCTGGTTTGTTTTTTAACAACATTTTTTTCAACTTGTATTTTTGCCAATGATATAATTTCCAATAACTCACAATCACACTTATCTATATAAAATTGTTCCAGACTATTTGTATAAATAATATTTCATATGAGCTTACCTTTTTACCTTTCATTTATTCTTTTGAACTTAAAAATTGTTTTCAGACATTATGAAGACAATATGAAACAAAAATTATAGGAAAAATACAACCACAGTGACAATAATAAGCACTGTTGATATACATTCAAGATAAAATGTTATTCATCAATGGATTAATCACTAACCTTAATAATTGTTTGATAGCAAAATAAATGGAGGTATTAAAAATATCTTTCAGATTTACATTAGATAGGTTCTGTTTTACTAAGAGTTTAATCCCATGTTAAATTATAGAAGACTGCTAGGGCCATTATAAATTTTCACACAGAACAAGATTCTGTTTTATTAAGGGTCCAAATAGGATAGGTTTTATTATATTTACCTCATTTATCGAAAGTCCAAGGAAAGTATTTTGACATCTAAACAAAAATTCTTTTGGATAAATGTCCCATTCTTCCCAAGCTCTGAAAATTTGCATTATACGATGCTTGAAGCCATCAGCTTGACTTTGAGAGTCTAAACTATTGTAAGTCTTAAGAGCTTCTTTCATTATAGGGATTAATCTTGTTTCAAACCTGTTGTTTAAATAATATTTACAACAAATTAATATTTTTAACCTCTTAATAAAAATGAAATAAATAAATACCCTCTTCTAAATTGTGTTGCATTTATAACCTTTAGACCACAATTGTGTAGAACATCTGATATTAAATAAAGCCGAGCAATCTAAACCAAACAAATTATGAGTAAAATATGGTTTGAATTATCACAAAAAACTATAAATTATTTCATATTTTTACTTTCTTGGGCAATGCAGTTGTTGCATTTGACAATGACTCTTGAATACAATCACATATTTCTTCTACAGCATCACTATGTTCAACACAAAATACCATGACTTCAGCTACTTTCAACCGATCAGGAGTCATATTTCTTATAAGTTCTTCAAATCTCTCTCTTTGTGACACACTTAATGTTCCTTTAGTTCTTGTTACTAAATCTTCTTCGGGAACTAATTCATCCGGCATGCCAACAGTATATGGATTCATAGGTGGAGGTCTCCATATTGATCCATTTTTAAACATACGAAAATCATCAATACGCCATTCTTTGGTAGAATCACCTTGTAACATAGAAAACAACTTCCATCTGTAGTACAAATGAGTTGGTGAACAATTGTCAAACAGAAACCTGATAACAGTATAAAAATATTATTTTATATAAATATAAATCAGATAATCTCTCTGAGATACTCACTGAAACATAGGGTTATTCAGTTCTTTATTCATTATCATAGCTTCAAACAATGGCCCTTCTCGAATTACAAATTCTATCATATGATGGATCAACATTAATAAATTCCTAAAAAAAGATTTTAAAAAGCATAAATATTAAAAATTAAATATTTTTTGAATTGTCAATTTTTCACTTTGCTTCAGCAGGCTGGCAACAATAAATAGTTAGGAAATATCTTCAGATTCTTATTTATACCTTAAGGTTATTAATTAATTTACATCAGACAAATGAAAATGTTACCTTTCTGTGGGTATAACCACTTTAATGATAGTCTGCGGTAATATCTGTCACAAAAAAGCAAAGTGGTATAAAATATTGTTTATGGTAATACTTATGTAAATTTTAATAAATTATAATAATTCATATTATTATTTTAATTCAATATAATTAAACATCAATAATTACATATTGAAACCACATAATGTCTCGATCCGACAATAATATATACTATATTTATTATTTAAAAACCTTAAGCTGCCTGCCTGCTGTATATTTGGGCAGTATTTAAGAGATAGTCGGATCGAGTAAATTATATACTTAAACCATTAAAATAACAAAATATTAAAAAATGATACCTTTTCTATAGGTTGATTTCTATCAATATAAACTCCATCTTGTCTTATACGTCCATGATTCTACAATAAATATAAGTTGTATAAACTTTAATAAAATACACAATTAGGATACATCAATAGCTAAAATGCCTAAAACTAAGAAAATAATTTTCACATAAAATCATTATATTGAAATATATATTCTATACAGTAGACACTGCTTAAAAGGCTCATGGATAATATTCAGCCACTTATTAGACTATTAAAAAGTAATTTAGTTACAAAACACTTAAAACTTCAGTTAAACTCAAATTTCATAAAATGAAGGTAAAAATATGGATTTTTTTGGCAAAGTTTTGAAAATAATTTGTTCTTAGTTAATTTTTATGAGGTGTAAAGTATAAATCCTCTAATTTGTTTGAGATGTCCCACCAATGAAACTGGCTTATACTTTAGAGCAAAATCTGAACATACTTACATTCTTAAAAAAGCAACAAAAATTTGCAAAGAATAAATAATGCTTATGTGCTATACCAATATGATAGAAGAAAAAAATAAACGGCTAACTAATATCTAATTTATAATAGTAAAAGTAAAATAGTGAAAGAAAGTTAACAATTAATTATAATGTTTGATTGTCTTTTCCTACTCTGCCTATAAAATTAATTTGATTATAAAGTCCGCTTAGTGCTAATTCCAAAGTGTGTCTTATAAACGGTGCCCATTATATATAAAAATAAATCTTATTGTTTTATATAGTATAAGAAATATTTTACAATTTAAAATAAACATAAAATCTTTTGAAAAAAAAATTAATAAATTATAAATTATAAATCTTTAAATATTTATTGTTATGAAATATAAATTAATATTAAATTATCTATCAAGTTCTTTTATCAATAAATACTATTTATAGATAATTTAAATTAAGCTTAATTATTCTTACCTTTTTATCTTTTTGAGGCAAAATAGGCTGAGCATTAAAAGGTAATCCAGAAAGAGGTGGAGGTAATGTTATAGCTAATAATGCAGGTGGAATAAAAATTGGATGAGGAGGAATGGGTACACTTTTTCCCCAACCCATTTTCATTTCATATGACATAACATCTTTTCCTAAAAATGATAAATATATTAAATATTTAATATAGAAATATTTAAAAGTAAAAATATACCATTTAAATTTTTAAGAGCTCTTTCGCCATCTTTGCGACTCATATAAGCTACAAATCCACAATTGCGCCCTCTTGCTTTTTCTTCATCAGATCTAGGCCACATAATTTTAATACTGGCTAATGGGCCATATTTTCCAAAAACTTCCATTAACTGAGCTTCAGTAATCTACAATTAATGTTAAAATATTTAATAACATATATATGATATTTATTATAGACACAACATATCTTATATATTACTTTAGGATTAAGATTTCCTAAGTATAGATTTGTAGTGTTTGGATCACCTGAATCAAAAGAGCCTTTGATTTCATCAGGTTCGACCATAATTAAATCTAAAAACCAATTTTTAAAATATTATAAAATTTGATAACAAGAAACATAAGTAAATGTTTAAAATATGTACTTTTAATTTCAGGATCTTCAATAGTTTTCTGTAAAACTCCTTTAAACTTATGTCTTTCTTCTCTTTCTTCTTGGATCCTAATTATTTAAATAGATTTTTGTAATCAATTATTTGAATATTTAGAAAATAAATATAAAATGTAAAATTTCTATAAATGGTTTTTAAGTACATTTTAAGTTCTTCTTTGAATAATTCTAAGTTACTCTTTTTCTTTTCGCCTTCTTTTTTTTTCTTTGTAAGTATTCGTTCAGTTTTTCTTTCACCCATAAAACGAGAAAGATCGTCTCCTTTATCAAAAGAGTCTGCATTTCCTCGGGCTTGAGGTTTATATAATTTACCCTTTTCTCGAGTATCTTCCTCTATTACATAGTAAAAGTAATTATAATCAACTATTGTTACATATATATTTTTTCTTACGTCTTTTTCCAGCATCATAAGTACCAGCTTTAACCCAAACTTTACTGGACTTTTTCCCTTCGTTTTGAAAAGTGGCTACAAACTCTTCAAAAGCCTGTGAAGTTGATAATTATAAAATTTAAAATATACTACCAACTAAAATATTTGAGTAAATGAAAATGATAAAATTGACAATTACTTGGGCTGCAGCATGTTCTTCTTCCTTTTTTTTTTGTTCACTTAACTCTTTTTTAGATGGTTGGGTTTTTCCCATTGCCCCAATAGAAAATGCTTTAAGTTTTTGTTCTGCTATATACTAAATAATAATATACACATTTAAAATTTTATATACATATTTTCTTCAAAAAATGGTTAGGTAGATTAATTTATATCTCTAATTGAAACCTTAAGCTTATTTAAAAATACACAATAAATAATAAAAAATTTAGCACTAAAAAAATATTACTAAAAACACTTTTAGTGTTTTAAATAAAAACAAAAAAATAGACCCTATATTTATATATAAATGTAATAAAACATTTAAATTCAAACATATTGAAAAATACAAAAAAAATGTATTCCAATATTTTCCAATTTTTTGATCAACTTAATCATTTAGGATAAAATTCTAAAGTACCTATACAAAATTAAAATTAAATGGACACATGATTATGTAATATCATTCTAAAATCAATCGTAATATCAAAATTATTATATTTTATAAAACATTTTTAGCCAAATAGGCAATCTAAATCTAATATATATATAATTTTATTTTTTGACTTTTTTTAACAGCATGACCATTCAAATTAAATTAATTATTAATTATATGTAAATAATATGGTTTATAAGGTTCACAATGTTATATTTATAATTATATAGCACAGGAATATCTACACTTACAAAGTTATTGGTAAATTCCTTGTCAATTCAGTTTTAGTAGATGAGCAATGTGGTTTTAGGCCATAATGCTTAGCTACTTTAAACTTAATTGTATTCAATAATTACATTCATGATATAATTGAAAAACATTCTCAAGTCGACATAATATTTACTGATTTCTTAAAAGCCTTAGCCCGAATTGATCACAAAATTCTTATGGAAATTTTGTAAAAGGCAGGTTTTGGTGAATTCATTCTAACCTGGTTAGAATCTAATATGTGAAAATTCATGGTGTTAAATCTGCTGCAATAAGGGTCACATCTGAAGTTACCCAATAAGGACAACCTAACCTTTATTATTTTCATTATTTGTTAATGGTTTGAAGACCATTAACCCAAGTTCCAGATTCCTCATGTTTGCAGAAGACTTAAAACTTTTTTGTAAAATTGATTCCGTAGTGGATTGTATGACTATGCAGTAAGAACTGAATGCTATTATCTTATGTTTTAATTCTATTGGCTTGCAGTTTAACACTGAAAAATGTCAATCAATGTATTTTACCAGATGCTGCTCTCATATTATCTATTCATATTGGATAAATAATACAGATATTGATGTAGTCACTATAAAAAAAGATCTAAATATTCTATTTTATCCATATCTTAATTTTTCTCTCACATTGAGTCTATATCTACATCCTTTAAGACTCTTGGTTTTCTAATTCATACTATAAAGAGCTTTAAACTGTCATCATTGATCAAAGCACTATACTGTACTCTTGTACGATCTATATTATAAGAATATGCATCTGTTCCATGGAATCCCTCTACAGTGACTGATCTTTGCTGTTAGAACAAGTACAATGGTGATTTTAATTATCAGTCGCTTTTATCTTGAAAATTGAACATATTTCACATAATTACCTACCGGTAATAGAGCATCTTGAACTCAAGTCATTAACAGACAAGCATGTGTCAGTGAATTTATCATTCTTGAGCAAGTTGGTAGATGGACTTATAAACACTACCTCTCTCCTCTTTTACTTTAGAGTTCCTACTCACTCCACTAGATCACACCATCCCTTTGTGTCATTCGCTATCACAATACAAACTGTGGTAGGAATGATCTAATTGATCAGATGATGCGACTAGCCAATGAACACCCTTCCACTTTCGTATTTCATTTTATCAATTATATTTAGCTCTTAAAATTATATAATGTAGCTTATTAAGTTTATCAATATAACTACTTTATATTGCTATTACATGTTAACTATTATGTCATATATTGTACCATTGGGCTAAGCCTGTTTATAATAGAATAAATGAATAAATAAATACTGATTTATAATTATAAAAATAATGTTGTATAACATTATGGTAGGTATAAATGTAGTTTAAATAGAAGATTGTGAGGAAAGCTCTTTTTTAATCAACCTTCTGATAGACTTAAGTGTAGATTGTAGTGGTGCAAGCCTGTTTCTGTTGAGTTAAAAAGTGAAGTATGGAAATTATTGGCAAAAGTTTATATGTGGTTCTTGGACACAATATCTATAGATTTATGTGTATGTATATGTATTTGTATAGATTTACGCTTCTTATGAACCAGAGAACATTTGTAATTACGCTTGGAACTTTATTATGGAATATTTATATTTTTTTTATGTACAAGAATGCGTATTTTCTTCACACTAGGCAGGCATAAGGGAGTAATGGGCATAAGACATATTTGTATATTTAAAGTGACCATTTTCTATATACTATTGATTTTTTTTTTTTAAATAGAATATAGCATTGAAAGGAACTGGTATGCTAGTTGAAATTTTGTTGCTATTTCAAAATTATTATAATAAATATAATTTTATTTTTAATAACATTTTTATCTACTGAAATGTTTCACTAAATAAGAAATGAACATAATCATAACATTTTATCAACAAAAAACTATTTTTATGGTTTTAACAAAAAAAAAAATTAAAATGAATTCCATTTTTTTCAAATAATAAATAGTTCTTGTTAAGACCTGTCACAGAAAATGACAATATTGGCGTGGATCACCAAATACAAGTTAAGATAAAATAATATTGCTTGAAGAAATAATAATTGTGTAAAAATTAAATTTTAATAAATTATTGAGAATTTTATACAATTTTATAAAACCAAATTATTTTCTTTTATAGTACAGCAGTAAGCATTTATATTTATCAATTATTTTAAGGATGATGAATACTTGAAGATTAAAATCATCATATATCTTCCATTAATTTAATTTCTTATTTGTTCAATTTGTGCAAAAAATTGTATACACCAAATTTTAAACAAGAAACACTTTATACATGGTAGAATGATTTCATAAAAAGGTTATTTATTTTATTAGTGTTATATTTTAATAATCAGAAAACTAAACAAATTATTTTTAACTAATGTCAAATTTTAACTAGCTAAATTAAAGATTTTTTCTCAATAATCAATGCTGCTATAATTTAACTTCCTAATAAATTTCAGATATTTAACTAAAACTTTTACAATTATACATTAGATAACTTACCTGAAATTAACTTTGTATAGCCAAACAAAATTAATATTAGTTCAGATTTTGCCTAATATTATCTCTCAATAAAAGTTATAAATAATTCATCAGTTATGAAAAATAATATAAAACAGCTAACATTAATTGATATGATGCAATCTAGATTAAACTATTATTTATGATTATTATTTATTTATTTATAAATTATCCTTTATAGATGTGGTTTTAAAAACTGAATAAATACCTATATTATTGTCAGGCAGAAGGTTTTGTTGAATATCAAAGGCCATTATAACATTATCGCTGATTTATGTACATTAAAAATAATAATTATCTAATTGTTAATGACAAAGCAGATACTCCTATTGAAGCCTAAACATGTACATCTTTGTTTTCTAAAAATATTATGTATTATACCTGTCACATCAGCACTTCAGATCCACAATGAATTAGAATAAATTCAAAGAAATATCAATACTTCATATTAATAAAGATATAGTTTGATATACTAACTCTAGAAGAAGTATTATTATATTGGATATATTTACGAAAAAAACATAAAAGAAACCTTCAATTAGTTTTTTAATTACTAGGTATTAACAAATGTATTTTATTTATTTATTTATTTTATAATGTATGTTAATTTAATAAATAATTTATAATTAATTTAATATTTAATAATCATATAAATAATGAGCACTCTACTGTAGAAAAATTTTGAATCCACCACTGTAAGTATTTTTTTTTTTTTTTTTTTTGTGGAACAGTAGAAAAAATATTGAGTTGGTTGTTATTTCTAAACAGATTAATCAGAAACTTAAATTTTAATCTGTTCTTTACTTTATGTATTAATTATTTTATTAATAAACTATTTGAGGATTTTTTCTTTTAGAATAAATAAGTAAAAAAAATACTTTGAAATTATTTATAAAATAAATTAAGATAAGCTACATTCAAAAATAGAAAAAATGAAGCCAATTTATGATAGTTAACAAACATTGTATCCAATTATAATAAAGGATTATATTCAACAAATATTTTTCTTAGTGAAACATGAGATAGAAGAATCGTGGATGTTAGGTTAGTTTATATTTATAATTTATGTTTACTTAATATTTAGTAATTTAAAATTCCAGGGGACCAAATGTCCTATCTTAATAATAGACGGGGATGAAACGTCCATTGATTTGTTTTTTTGACGGGACGAAACAGCAGGCGCGAAACGTCCGCAAATCGCGATAGAAATAATTTATAGATACACATATTATATATAAGTATTAACATTGGTATTGCTGTAATGATTATTTATTATATTATATATTTAGTGATATTTTATTTAAAAAAAATATATTCAACAATACTATTATGTTTATAATTGTCTAATATATTCAATGCATTAATATATGGATTTAAATATAGTGCAGATAAATTGCATCTCACCTTTTTAAATTGTCCTGAATCAGCCATAATGAATTAATTAAAAATATACCTAACGTCTTAAAAATTTAATTTAAAAAGTAAACAAATTTATAAAAAAAATTACACACATTTAATTCAATTAACATTTTCAATCAAAAACATAAATTATAAACAGACAAAAATGATTCCTAAATTATTATCTTCAAACACACATAATGATTACACTGTTACAGTAATACCCGTTTCCATATTTGTTTTTTGGTATATTTGATAAGAACCCTTGGATTATAGTACTAGTTGTGCCTTTATCATCATGAAGCCATGGAACAAAATAACAATATTATGTGCTACTTGAATATTCCGAATTTCCTACACTGTATAATATGAATACAATAAAACGGGTTTGGGTCAGTTTTCCTCATTGATAAGAGATAAAAATGATAAGAAAACATTTTATAATGATATACCAACTGTTCGGAATCAAAATTTTTACTGCCAGGAATTTAACGCCAAAGAATTAGGCAATACTGTGTTTATGTATTTTATGTATTTAACGGTTTTACTGATTACATTTTAAAATTATAAATCATTATCACTTTGGTTATTGTTTAAGACTACAGACTTCTATACTAAAGTAATATACTTTAAGTTCTATACTAGTATAGAAGTCTGTGTTTAAGACTATCACCTGCGATTATTTCATGAGAAAACTTTCTGCGATTATATTTAATAATTAATCAAATAATTTATACAATTTCTTGTTACTTAGTTTTGACTTAGATGTACCATTTTTGAGGGATGCAATCAGTGAAAGGGGTCTTGATCATACAATTAAAACATCGTTAGTACGAAGCATTTATAACTGAAATAATTAGTTAAGTTTACTTTATTGTATAATCATTGTTATGTGTATGCAATTATCAGAGTTATAAAATTATAATTCAAATGAAACTAATTATTTTAATACACTTCTATTTGATTAGATATGTTAGGATTTAAAAATATTAAATTTTAATGATCTTTTCTTGTAGCATGTTTATATACAAAATCAAAATTTAGGACAATTTTCTTTGATTAGACTAATATAATTTTTTTTATGTTTTATAATACTATTAAAATCATTATTTTATTATTAATATATTTATTTGCTAACAAGTGACTAACAGTGTTTTTTAAATTGTAATTTGTGATTGAACTGTAATTTTGCTAGACACTAAGAAGCAGCCACAAAGTATTCGTGCATCCAGTCCTCAGTAAGGTTGAAAAAGATGAAAAGGTTGCGTAGACCAAAAACACCGCACACCATCCATGAATTTGCTGCAATGTTGAATGATCCTCAAAACACAAATTATGCATCCACACTTCAAATTATACCCTCAACGTTTTTTCAACAAGAACTGATTGTGAATGGAATTAGTGTTGCAGTTGTTTTTGCCAACATTGATGCGATCCATAGATATTGCGAAGAGTTAGCTTCAGTAGAGCTGGTTGGAGTAGATGCCACATACGAGTAAAAACTTCCTCAAGTGCCAGGGTACTTGCCAGACAATCTTTCCTAACATTTCAAGTACTCTACAAAGATGTAAGCAATATCTTCTGGTTATAATACTGTTAATATACAGTTATGATATGATTTAATACGTTTTATTTTTCATTTAGGCATTTCCAATGGTCTATGCCTTTTTGGGGAGTGAAACACAAGAAACTTACTCTACGTTATTAACAGTACTGCGCAATATTTTACCTCTTTGTTATAATGGAATCCGTCTTGTCACTGATTATGAAAGTGCTCTTATGAATGCTATCAGGGAAGTATTTCCAAATAGTCAATTAGTATGCTGTTGGTTCCATTATACAAACATAAATATCATTTTATTATGATAATATCTGCCAGATAAACTAATATGTATTTTAGATGTTTTTTTTTGATATAATTTTATATATAATTTATTTTTATTATCCAATATTTGCTGTATTTGCTTTAACTGCACTATTGCCTTGACATGCTTAATCTGGTGTTGAGTAGTTTTAATAATTATTACTTCAAATACTATTACTCATTGTTTATGAATGTATTGTTATAAATCTTTATTGTATGTCTAATATGTATGCTTAATTAATTGTATTTTAGTCATACTTGCATGATAATAAAATATTTTTTAATTGTTAACCCTAAAATATACTAATATTTTAATTTTTTCAACAGAAAAGCTGATTGTTATTGAGAATCAGTTCTTTATAGAATTTCAACAGTGCAGATATGTTACTTAAAGTAATAATTTGATTTTTTTTTTTTATACATATAATTAGTTTTTTGTGTTTCAATTATGGTTTATTTCTGTAAATTGTATGTACTTTACTAGGTTAGAAATTAAATGTCCAAAAAAGAGAGGGAAAATACATCTATAATGATAAGATGATGCGTACAGCAGCTGAATCAAGACGGTGACTTATTGATGTTTTTTAGGAGAACTGGTCACCATAATTGAATCAGGTCCAGGACCATACTTTGAATTAAGGTTATTTAAAACATTAAAAACTTCGATTAAGGTGATTTTACATGAAAATAAAGGTGCTAGCAATGAGTTATTCGAAGAAACTGCACTTAGATCAATATATTTTGAGTTATCATAATGTTCATAAACAATAGCAAAATGTTGAGTAAAGGTTTCAACAATAGAATTTGGAGAGTTAAATTTAGAATTATTTTAATACATACAGTCAGGTAGAAATGTTTTTTTGCGTTTTTCATTAATAAATTTCCAAAATTTGGATGGTTGATGTTTAAAATCTTCCTGGATATTTTTTTAAATAATTTTGGTAATTTAATTTAGAAAGAGCTTTACACTGGGCACGTAAATTTGAGAATTTATTATAATCGTTAATAGCACCAGAGTTTCTAAAGATTTTATGAGCTATTTTCTTTTTAAATATTAAATTTTTTAATTCAAAACCAAACTTTATTGGATATTTTAGAACAAATATATCAATAATTTCATAAATAATAGAATAAAATAAATTTGTAACTTCATTTACATTAAGATTTGAAAATATTTCAACCCAATTTATTGAGCCTGAGCATTTAATGATATCCGAGTAATTACACGAGTAAAAATCATAAGTAAATAAATTATAATCAATAGGCTAATAAGTATTTATAGGAATAATTATAAGTAAAGATGGATGGTGAATATCACAAAGAATAAGAGGAGTCATAAATTTAGAAACTGTAATATTATCAATGTTAGAAAGAATTAGATAAAGAATGGTGTTATTTTTATTTAAAACAGTATTGAATTGGAATAAATTTAAAAATGAAATTTTAGATGAAAAGTTTACTGACAATTGATTTAAATTTGAATAGTTAGGTGAAGAGGAAGGAGAAAAGAATTACCATTTTATGTTTGGCGTATTATAATAACTTACTAAAATTACATTTTTAATGTAGGGATAGGAAATTAATAGATCGTTAATAATATCAAAATGTTTATTGTATAATATTATATGTGAGCTAGGAGGAAAATAAGCATTAACTAAAATATAGTAAACAAAATTAATTTTGACAATAACATATAAATGTTCTACGGAACAGGGAGGTAAAGGTAAAATATGAGAATAGTATTTATTATTTATTGTAATTAGCACACCACCACCTTTTAAACAATCATATATTGTATTTCAAATACTATTTATCTATAATTTTCTATTGGTGTATACTGTATGGTATTTAAATTTGCTTCGATTCTTTTGATTACAGTCAATACTTCCATTTTTAACTGTCACTACTGACAAAAGTTAAGGAGTTTGAAAAAATATCTTCAGAATACTACACCTGAGGTATGGCTTATTGGCTAGATCTTTTTTCAATTCATAGATATGTAAATATAATGGGCGATATGGTAATAGATAAGTTTTCCAATAGTGGCAAATTGGTAAAGCTAGACGACTAAAATTAAAAATCTAATTTAGTTGTAGGCTTATTTTATGGTTTTTTAATTCATATGTTAATGCTATTATGATTTTATTTTGTAATGTAATATGTTAAAAATACCAAATACCAAAAAAAATACCTGGATATGCCATTGAATATTATAAATATTTATGTACTAGACTCCATACTTCCAACTAAGATTTGCTTATAGGGAGTAGGTATCAACACTAATATTATAATTTATATTTAAATATTATGTATGTGATAATATTGAAATACCAAAAAGTCAAATTAAATTTTATCCTTTGTTAATACTTTTTCATAAAATAACATAATGTTCATATTGTTTTTCTTCATCTTTTTAGTTAAATGTATAGTCATGATTTTACAAAATATTTTCATAGACTGAAGTTAATTATTTGATGAGTTATTTCAATTACCTAATTATTTTATTTATGTATTAATCATATTTTTTTTTTACTATTTTATGTAATTGATATATTAAAATGGTTTATGTGATTTTACTTTTGTAGAAGGACTTTTGCAGATGTGAATAGTTAAAGTGGAAATTTAATTTATTTTAACAATTTTCTTTTAAATTTGACAATTAGAAATTTTACATTTTCATATGCGTTTTGTCGATCACCTGATTCATCAACCTTACGAACATTTTTCACATAGATCTACTTATAGTATTTTACAGTATGGCCTGTGGTATACGCCACGCAGAAGCTTGACATATGTAACAGATATATTTCGATTATTGTGTCTCAGACTGTCAAAGAGTAAATATCGATATCTTTCAGTTAAAACTTTTTTAATTCTCCTTTTGATGACCACGATAACAAGTACTGGACAAATTAACAAGTACCACAGGATTTACCTATACTTTATAACTCTAAGATATTTTTACTCTCGAACAATTGACCACGATAACGAGTACTGGATGAGAAAGTAAGTACAGAACTTCATACGAACAGTACACACACTAGGATTTGATACTCCCAATTTACTAGGAAAAAATGACAAAACAAACATTTTATAGTTTAAAACCAAATTAGATTATAATAACTTCAAAGTCTCACAATAAAAGACACAATTTACTTTTAAATAAAAACTTGTCGCATGTAGAGCTTTAAATGCATCATGGTCAGAAATAATAAACTCATTATCACTTATTAAGAATAATGTAAACGAAAAATGTATTACCAGAAACGAAGCCAAAGGTCTTTTTAAAAGTTTACAATCATTGGAAACCGCATTTTTGACCGTGTTTTGGACATATGTATTAGAACAGTTTAATATAACTAACAAAACTTTACAAGATACTGTAATTGACATTGGTACTGCTTCAAAGTTATATACATCGCTTATTAATCTTATTCGAGAAACTCGAAATAGATTTGACCATTTTGAAGAACAAGCAAAAACTATGTCAGGAATTGAATTATATCAAGATGCAAAGTCCCGTCTAAAAAAAAGGAAAGTATTTTATGATGAAAAAAGCGATACTGATACATCAATGAATGGTCGTGAAAAGTTTAAAATATTTACATTTTATGTGGTTATTGATCGAATAGCAAGTGAATTAGAAAAACGGCGACAGGCTTATGATTTTTACTATACAAAATTTATCGTATTCCACAAGCTTATTTCTTTAAGTGTTTCGGAAATAATAGAATTTGCCAATAAGTTACAAGAATGTTACAAAGATGATATTGAGAAAACATTTTCAACAGAATGTATACATTTTAAATCCTATTTGGAATCTTCAAATAAACAAATTAATTGCATTTCTCCTCTACAAATATGTAAATTATTACGAGAAGATTCTCTTACTGACGTGTATCCTAATATAGATATAGTACTTAGAATATATGTTTGTACTCCAATTTCTAACTGCACTACTGAGCGTTCTTTTTCATGTCTTAAACGAATCAAAAATTATTTAAGATCGACTATGGGCAGTGAAAAACTCAATAGTTTGGCTATATTGAATATCGAAGCGGATTTACTGTCGACTTTAAATTGCGATGATTTAATTGATGCATTTGCCGAGGAAAAAGTAGAAGAAAAAATTTAAAGTTTTAATATTTGTAATTTAATGTTCATTAATAATGTATATTTTTTAATATAATATAATAAATTGTACATTTAAATATGTTTTATAAATAATTTTAGGAATGATGGGGGGAGGCGGCAAATTGGAAAGTGCCTATAGGCGTAAAAACCTTAAATACGCCATTGAGCACTGAGTAAAATAAAAAAAACATCCATGTATTTTAACATCAGTGTATAATTCTTTAAATGATTTTATAAATGCTTGTTCGAAATCTATCACAATAGTTTTTGGTTGTAAATTTTATTTGAGTATATTAATTTGATTTAGTACTTCGGAATAACTATTTTCGTTTTTATTACACATTAATATATATATAAGTGGATATACAGTGCAGTCAATGTTACCGTGAATGGTATACAGTTGATAAAATATATTGGGTACAGATTTAAACGTTCCATCTGCGAACCGTATTTCGGAGACATTCAGTATATTTAAATTTTCATTTGTTGTGAATATCAATATTCTGTTATTAATATTCCAATTTTCATTATTTTTACTGTTATATAGCAAAAAAGGTAAATTACTTAAGGTTAATGTGTATTCTCTAGGTATTACTAAAGAATCAACAGTCACAGGGTTGAACGGAGGTACATTATTTCGATTTCGAGAACATTGAATTGTTCGACTAAGCACAACAGTTGAAGGTAACCTAGCTCCAATTGGCAAAGGTGACTAAGAAATGCCTCACTTATAATATTTCTTGTTGTCTGATTAGAATCACTAGCTTTTTTTATTCGTTCTATTACCTTCTTTGATTCTAATCCGGTTGCATCTGGAGCGTGTTCATGATCTCCTCTTATCAAGGAATTCCCCTACAAAAATAATAATAATTGTGACAATACGTATATGACAATATAATATTATATCCAGGCCTATTGAGAATAATTGTATGAGCAGTATTCGTTTTACAATTGTCATCAATTTTATATTACTTAAAAATCTTATATTTTATTATTATATTCGCGTCCTAAAATGTAATCATAAATCAACAAACCTGATTCGTCGTCTGTGGTTGTGTAACATCTTGTCAAACAATTTTTTTTTTTATAATCAGTGCAACGCCAAATTATTTTTTCTTCACTCTTCGATGTATACTGAATAAATATCCTTCAAATATTAGTAAATTATTGCCTTTTTGGCTTTTAATAAATTCTAGCATTTTTTAATTAAATATAAAGTATTAGTTAAATAATTTGATTTAAGACTGTTAAACGTTCACGACACGGACTTTAGGTAATGATATATAATAAAACACTATAATACCATTATCAAAATAATGAATAATACTAGATTAGATAAAGTGCGATTGTTACTTCTAATTGCAACAGTTAATATATTATATTTTGTCGAGGATATTTTGGTTTAGAGATATTTGGTCGGGGATATTTTGTCGTGGAACCGAATTTAAAACATGTTTTAACTATAATTTATTTAAAGGAATATTTACATGCTTAAAATAATAATTTTTGTAAGTTGTATACATCAGATCATTAATATTAGCAGTAGCGTAATTATGAGGAAGGGCATAGGTAACATAACGTAATTTGCTTCTAAACCATAAAATGAGTTTTAAGACTTGTGTAAAAACAAACAATTAGGTAAACATAGAATACACTTAAATATAATACAATATTTTTACATTTATTAATTTAACTATTCGAATTTTTGTCAATTCGATTGAAAAACATTTCCTTTCGATAGATCATATACTTTTATTAATCTGGGTTCATCTCACTGAGAGAAATCTTGCGTTCAAACTGATACGATACAAAATAAATCTCAATATATAAAATATGATTAGTATACGATGCAACTATTCAACAAAATTGAGTTAAATAATAAATGTTGAACCTCCTTAGGAAGTCATTCTTTATTTTAAGTTTTAACCAAATGTGACCCTTGTCTTAATGGGATTTACTTGGTTTGACTCTTGATTTGACTCTTAATGGGACTTAATGACATTATATATATATATATTATGTATGTAATATATTCCTTTTTCTAAGACAGTAGCGAGACTAAATTTTCATTTAAAGCAGTAAAATTAAATGTGCAGTCCGAAATTGTACAAATAATAGGGCCTGATGTATAGTAGTATTAGTAATAATATTTTTCATTGGTCCATTTTGGTCAATATAAGCAGCGGCCCACCGGGAAAATCCTGGTGTCCCGACGGCTCTATCCGCTCTGTTTAAAATATTTTAGGTATTTAGTATTATTTTCGAAGTTTTTGTACTATTATTGGCCAATAAACATAATTATATAATGCATTATTTAGAATTTATCATAAATATTATTTATATTGACTGAAAAATAATATTAACTTATGTATAATAAGAAAAATGTCCACATTTTTGTTTTTTTATCACAATTTTTTAAATTATTAACAAAAGTCCATTTTAGTTTTTTTATAAATCTATTAATTCATAAGACTAAATTATAAAAAAAATAAAATAAACTGTCAGTAAAAGATAATAAATTTAATTAAATGTTGATATACTTTTCTTTTCTTTTAATTTATATTTTTAAGGCATATTTTAAGGTGTTTTTGGTCATATCATAATGCGGATTTGAGTACTTTTTAATGATATCCTGGTTATTATGATTCACAGATAATATTCGTCGTAATATAAAGTGAAGTCAATATACTATGGAACTTGGTACTAATTCTGAGCATTATTTTGACCAATCCGGATTACGGATTACAATTATTTAATCTGAATTTCGGATCCAGCTTCATTGTTTTTGAGATAATCAGCTATTTGTTCATTATTATCAACCTAAATAATACGAATTACGATCTCAGATCTATTGACAATCGACTCAATGTTATAAGACGCCTAAAAGCAAATACACCCGAGTTCTACATAAATCTTAGTATATTTAAAGACAGTGGCGCACACTGGAGGGTTCAAGGGTAGCAGCTGCTACCCCTGAAAAATTGGGTTGGTGGGTGGTCCTCCTGGCCCCAAAATATCTACATCTACATGACTACATCATAATAAATCTACTACGTACAGTGACGTGTTGAAGAGGTTTTTGAGAAGCCATGGCCTCTACATTTTTAGAGGTGGGTGGTTTGGGTAGCCGAAGTCTCATGACTTATATGAGGTTATCAATTCAATTATACCTATACCTACATAAACTATAATAATAATTATTCAGGGACATTAAAATAGGCAAGCCTGTACAACCGTTCGTTATTCTATTGGTAAAACGGTTTAAACGTGCTACGTGTAATAAAAACTAAAGAAACCCGAAAGAACCTTTTCTAAATTGACAATTATTAAAAACAAACTTCGTAGTACCATGTGTGAAAGTCGGTTAAAAAATTTAATGTTACTATCATGTGAAAATGATATTAAAATTGACACAGATACTATAATTAATACATTTTCAAATAATAGTAGCTTATTGCAAAAGGCTTTATTATATTAATTTAAGTTTGATGTTTACTCCAAGTGTGCATAATTATTAAGACTTACAATAATCAATAAAAACTAATAGCTAACGAGAACCTGTATTTTATTTTATTAATATTCAATACTTTATTATTAAATCTTGAAAGTGATTTAGTGGGTGGGTGTTATTTTTCCATTCAATATGCTACCCCTATTCATTTTTGAGTGTGCACCACTGTTTAAAGAACTGAAGAAATCCAGGCGAGCACATAATATTGTTATACATAATACATTTAATATTTATTACAACAGTCTATCTTTAGAATAAATTATAATTTAGCATTATGAGAAAGAAATATTAACCATTTGGCTGTACTAACGTAATAACAAATTACTGAGCCATAACTTGTAAGTAGTAATTAGTAACTATCGACTATCGAGTACAGACTACAGAACAGTGAGTACTGAAAATAAATAACATTACCTCATGCCTGTTATTAAATATTAATAAAAGTATAATTGATATCAGATAACACATAGAACGCAACACAACATTTATTTATAGCACTTCTGAACAATAACAATACACGCGATAATAGAATAACCCATGAAAATAACAAGATTAAATACTTGAAATTTTCACCAAATGTTTATATTAGTGTTATTTATATACAGTAAATTTTCAATTTAATATTTGTATCATAATCCGGATATGGTGCTTAGCACTATTTCAGTGTTTCTCAAAGTGGGCGATATCGCCCCCTTGGGGGCGCTAGAATTATCCAGGAGGGCAATGGAAGTTACAAACTTAATTGGGTGACATTTCATTACAAAAAGAGGGTGGTATTCTTAAAATGGGCATACCCAAATGTTACCCCAAATGGGTTTTAGATCCATTTTCAAATATAGAAACCATAGATTCTGCAAAATAAGAAAAATTTATAGAAATAACTACAAACGAGGAGTTAAAATTGAAGTTCAAGAAAGGTTACCAAGTATTGTGGCTACAAAAGCAGATAGGTACCTATACTTTATCCTGGATTGTGGGCTGCTGTACAAACATTTTTGATCGCATTTCCATCATTCTACTTGGTTGAACGTGGATTTAGTGCAGTAACCAATCTACTAACTAAAAAAAAACAAACGTTACAAACAACTAATCGTGGGTACTTAAGAATGCTGTTTACAAAAATCAAAACTAATATCAACGAACTTCTAGCAAAACACCAACCTTATCCATCTCATTAAGATATTTTTATTCATTTGTACCTATACATTATATATATATATATATTTATTAATAATAAATTTCATTTTTCATTGAATACTTTTGTAACAATATTTTTTTTAATGGGGCGTCTGTCGAATTTTTTATTTGAAACTGGGCGGTAAAGATAAGAAGTTTGGGAAACACTGCACTACTTGGTACCTACTGTCTATAGTATATATACAATACCTTTAATGTCATAATTTGAGATCATCAATTATCATTATTAATTCATCAATATTAGAACGTCTTCATTTCTACAAATAAGTAATAACTGGACAACTGGTAAGTAACCTAGTTTATTATGTCTAATAAAAATTTATTGTATCAAAAAAATGATGTTCTATAACAAATATTGGTGCTAGGGGTACCCACCAATCCTTCAATATTTGACACGAGAAATTACACGTTTTGGACCTATGTTCACCATTTCGTACACTGGGCGACAGACATAGCCGTCACCATCGCCTTATAAATGTGAATGCTGCATTCGAGTTTCAGTCGCGAAACGAAATATTTATAGGTTAAATTTAACATTAGTGTTAAAACTATACACATTATAACTGGCATTGAATTTCAATTATAATGTCAATTATTATTTTATGATATATCAGTTTACAGTTGTCTTGCAATTTTATTGGGTAGTAAAATGTTACCAACCAACAGGGCTGGATTATGGTCATAATATTAAGAGCGCCTATTACATTTGGTGAGGCTTTTCCACTCACAACAATATAATTTTTTTTTTCAGATTCAGTAATTTGTAATAAATATTAATTAAATAAATATAGTATATTTATGTACCATATAGTATACTATAGTACAGTCAGAAATGATTGATAAAACAGAAATTATATTTGTTAGCCAACAATAATAAAAACACATTTTGGTTCCTTTCAACTTGCGACCTGGAGCTACAGCCTCTTCCCTCCTTGATCCACCTCAGAATTCTTCAGTCGGAAAATATGTCATTTATTTTTATATAACTAATACACGTCAATCAGAGGCGGATCCAGGATTTTTTTATGGGGGGGGGGGGGGGGTTTGAAAATTGTTTTCATTGGCACTTGGGATATTATTTATAATATTGCTGTCAGTGACTGATCAAGGGTTTTTACTTTTTAATGCAGTAGTGCACATTCGTCTTTTGGCAATGTTTTCAAAATTTTACGTATAATGGTAATCTTGCCCGTTTCAATAGCTACGCCTGAACGAAGTTTCTCATGTTTAAAAAGAATCAAAACCTATCTGCGAAATACAACAGGTCAAGAAAGGCTCAATGGTCTAGCTTCTATGAATATTCATAAAGATATTAGTGTATCAGTTGATGAGGTTTTTGAAAAATTTTTCAAAAAAACAAGAAAAATTTAATTTAAAACTTTTAATTTTATTTAAGTGTATGAAATAATTTAATTAAAATAATAGTCAGCAGTATAATACATTTATTTAAATCTAAGACAACTTACTTCTTGTACGAATAAAAAAAAAATGTATATACTTTGCCTTATACTTTAAAAAAAAAATCTTTTTCTTCATTCATAAAATTATTGATTTTTAATATATATTTTTCGTGATGTTGGAGGGGGGGGTTTAACCCAAAACCCCTCCCGTGGATCCGCCACTGACGTCAATAATAATGCCGAGCATTCGTCAATATTTTGATGTCACCGTCGCATGATTGTTGGATTTTCAGGTTTACGCATATATCGCGTGATAGCATAAGACAGCAAACTATAATAAAATATTTCATCATCATAAACTGTAGGTTTATTTATTTACAGGTTTCAAACATAAAATAAAAATGTAATATACAAAAAAAGATAAAACGCGGTTGGGATGTAAGGATTTGCGTCGTATTACTTGAGTGTGTACTGCTTTTTCGTCTTCGAGCGAAATAATACGGCACTCGTGATCAAAAGTGTTGCTACCACCAAAACGGCTATGAAAAAACCGCAGGAGGCGGTGAGCGTTTTCAACGAATCGGTAACGGAGTGGCGAAGAATGAACTTATTCGCCACGTCGGTCACGAACCGGTCGCCAACAGTGACCACGATACCGTGCACGTCTCCAAAGTCGGCTGTCGGCAACGTCAGCGCGCATATGATGCGGCCGGGCACGACCTCGGTGACGGTGCAAACGGTACCCGATGAGTTTCGGAACGTCACGTTCACGTCTTCGACGCGATATCCACGCCCGGAGTCGCCGTAGATGATGAGTGTGCCGAACGTATCGTCCGTCTCGAAACCCGTGTACACGGGGTCGGCATGCAAGACGAAATCGACCGCAACTGGGCCGTGGTGCAGCAAGTCGAACGCGCGACTCCCGAAATCCCGCGCCATCACCCCGTAGCGGAGGTCCGTCGACGTTTCCCCGGTGTACAGCACGCTGTCAAGCCTGGGCGCCCGACACACCATCAGCGAGTCGTTCAGCACGCGGCACCGGCCTGCGGCGTACCGCCTGTCGCCGTGCCGGTCGATCACGTATAACGTCGCCCGCTCCAAGCAAGTCAAATGGCGACCGTGCATCGGAACCGCGGTGCCGCCCGATACGATGCCTTCGATCGCTTGTCCGGCGTCGACCGCGGGGTCGTTGGTCACGTACGTGAACGCCACCGCCGCCTCCGGGCCCGCGTACTCGCGCAGGCTACCGTCGAATTCCACGCGCACCCTGCCGCGCGCGACGGGCAAACGGATGGCACCCGTCCGGCACGTGATGGCGTTGCTACCGCGCGTCACCGTCTCGCACGCAATCGCGTTCTCGTGTTCCCCGTCGCCCACAACTACGGAAACGTGAACGTCGGCGCCCGCATCCAGGAATCGGCCAGTCACGGTCAACAGGGTTCCACCACCGGGTGACCCGCAAACCGGATGTACGGCCGTCATCACGGGGTCGACGAAGACCATCGATTCGGCGGACGTGAACGTAAACCTAGCGGTCGACGAGACGTACGTCACCCGAACCGGGCCGACAAGCTGTTGCAGCTTTGACTCTGACCTGACGACCGTGCACGCGATCGTCTCGTTATCAACCGCTGCCACCGGGTTCGCGCACTCGCGTCCCGCTACGGTCACGCCGACTGTTTTGCCCTCAGCCAACATCCGGTGGTTGCGCACCACTATGCTCAACACCGTACCACCCATCCTCGGCGCGTACAACGGCCAAAACGACCGGATCCCCAATTCGGCGCATTCGACGCGAACCTCGTCCGCGGTGGTCCGGCATTTCTCATGGTTCCGCACCTCCCGCTTGTCGTACAGTTGGTACGAACCGGTGCACCGATTGTTGACCGGACACCATTTCAAATAGTGCGCGTACTCGATTCCGCCGTCTCGATCGTTCCACAAACACGTCGCGCAACCCTCGTCTCGGTCCGCGGTTGCACACTTGCGATCGTAAATCGTGTAGTAGTACTCGGTTTCCTCGTCGAAATTCAACTTCACCCCGTTAAACGTTACGTACACGTACATCACTAGCGCTCGGGTACGATTTGAGAAGTACGATAACGGCGTGTGCACCTCCGCGCACACGATCTCGTCGGCCACCACGAACCCGTCGAAGTCGCAGGTTTCCAAACAACACGTGATCTCGGTGGTACGCAGGAACGCGGCCACCGAACCGTTCCGATCATCATTCGATATCCGCACGGTGTACTTGAACGACGTGCCCACAATCACCGACTTTTCCACCACCGCGAACCGCGGGCAATACGTCTCATTGTGTACTATTAGCGATTTCGGCCGCACTTGTTTTGTGCTCACGCACGTCTGTTGTTCGATTGACCAACTGCAGCACCCCGAAGTCTCGTTCGTACACCTCGCGCACGTCTTGTGTTCCGAGCAAACCGTCGCAGTTGTTTTATCCGAGTCTACGGTGGCCTGCGACCTCGTCACATACCGCGTGCATACCTGCTTGGTATTAAAATCATAGTTGACCACAAAAGTAATTTACAAGTCGTTCAATTACCAATATATATATATTTTATCGTTAAAACATAGGTAGTAAATGATCATTTTTTGTCTTTCAGAAATGTATTGTTTCTGCGTCTCATGATACCATTTTATAAGTAATGGTTTATTACTCTGACAGACTTTTTCTATAACAAATGTACCAAATGTTTGAAACTTAACGAGTACAAACAATTTTCTATTAGGTACTCTAAATAAATCGCCGTAATACTAAACTTAGTTTCATTATTTTAACAAATTATCAACGAAATGGTTTATTTACTTATTATATTTTACTTTTAAAATTAATATTTAAAAAAGTAAGCATAAACAAAAATACAAAACAGAAAACTATCTATATAATTCTATAACTCGTATATCTATATGTTACGGTAAATGATGTTAAATGGAAATTAACGTTATTCGCCGGTTATTAACGTTATTTACCAAATACACAGGTAATTATCGTTATAAACCAGATAATCACGTTAATGACCAAATACACAAGTAAGTTGTTCTTATATACCAGATATGCACGTGAATCTCAAAAAATACCTACTAAAATTTGAAAAATGATGTACCTAGATACCTATATTTAAAAATAGAAAAAATGCATTATTATAATTTTAAATAAACCATAACTGTTTCGTTTGTTATATTGAAATATTTATTTTTCAGTTTTGCCATCATTTCGTCCTCCATGGCCGATGGCAGAATGTGTTTCGTGAAGAATATCAAACAATTCGTCAATTTTAAAGTAATACAACATATTTTTCGTAAACTGGTCTAACAAGGCGTTCTTTTCCATTTATTTTTAAATTATCTTACGTACTACACGATAGTCCTTCATTGTTTTAGCTTCACCGACAGTTTTTAAACACGCTTTTGATTTTTTAACTTGTTCAATAACATCATTGTAATCTTTAGTAGACAAAAATGAGTTGTTGTCTCGTTTGTTCGTAAGAATATTTTTCATTTTTTCGTTGAAAGTTGTGCGAACAGTCTGTATATTGATAGCCATTTTAAATAAGTGGTAAATACGACGACAGTTGAACACATACTAAAGCAGTGCTTCTCAACCTTTTTCAAACTGCCGCCCCCCTAAGAAACAAATTTTTTTTTCAACGCCCCCCCCCCTTTCACTTCATTAATATAAAAATATAAATAGTATACATAAAATGTTTATAATTTAATAATAAATAATATAGATATAAATGTAAAGATAGTAAAAGTAAAATGTAAAATTTATATTTAAATATAATTTAAAAGGATAATTTTAATGTTTTGAAATGTATTGATCAGTGAAATGCTTGGTGATTCAAAGCCAATTTTTTTTTACGTTTTGTTCAAAATTTGTGAGATGAAGCCTCCTCTTTTGACGATATCTAGTCGATTTCTTTTTTTTGTTATTAGATAATAACGTACTGCCTCTGATATATGTAGTTAATATTTCATAATCACAAATTTATTTTAAAAATCAATAAACAGAAAACAATTACAGATAAATCTTGGTACGTTATTTTGAACGGAAAAAAGTTCACCGCTCCCTAATCGCCCAAAACGAGCTCACCGTCCCCCAATTACCCTAAACGAACTCGCCGCCCCTCAGTACTCCTTCACCACTCACCGGGGGGCGATATCGCCCCTGTTAAGAAGCACTGTACTAAAGTAATAATCTGTATAAGCTTTCGTTAGGTATGATATTTTCAAATTTAACCTCCACGGCCCACAGTGGGAGGAATTGCATTTCTAGCTGGCCAAAAATAGAAAATTTAGGTATGGTGATTAACGATTACAACCAGGAATATTTGTTACCACTGATATGACATGACGATGGTAAATATATCAAATTATGTAATAATTGTTAATGAACTGATAGGAGTAGGTAAAGTACTGAAAGATTATTGAATTTAGCGTATCATATAGTAATCGCTTGTTATTCACGCAATTTTCATTTTAGTTTGTCCATTGTCGTTATTTCATAAGTAAAAATCTAATTGTTTTTTGCTAAATCAAAAATAAATTAACCAATAGAAATAATTAAGTTACATTTGTTCTCAGTACTATTTATTAATTAAAATGTCGTAATAAAAATTCATATATATATATATCATGAATTTAAAGAAATTCAAATTTATTTAATTTTCATTTTGTAGACATTTTTTTTAGAGGCTCTTAGAGGTGTGAATTTTTATTTAGTTTAAGCTTATATATATACATTTTGAAATATGACATTTATAAGTTGCCCCAATTTGCCCCTTATTGAAATAAATATATTTTTCTGGATGAAAAAAGCGACGTAAAATATCGCTGTTTTTTCGAAGTTTTGAAAAATAATGTTTTTGCATCAAGTACTTATGAATCACGAAACGCAATGATTACTTACAAAACTCATAGGCTGGGAGAAAAGTGGGAGTTTAGAAGGCAATGAGAAATTTGATTAATGTATTAAAAAAAGTTGAAGAATTTAGTAGTAAGTTAAATAAAAAATAGTTAGACTCAAATCACTTTTTGACTAAATTTTTTTTAAAAAAAATGATGTGGTTGGATTTAGAATTTAAAATTTTTTTATTGAAGAAATGTAAAGAATCGTATGAACCTTTTACAAGTTCTGGTAGGCCACGTTAATCTTTTTTAGATATATTTTCTAAGCGCAGACAAATAAAAAAACTTGAGAGAAATAATTTCATCATATAAATGAATCTGTACAGTAAAATTGACATTGTATGTTGAAGAAAAACGTGCTGCATTCGATCTTGTTTCTCACGCAACCGATTATTCTCCTCAACGTGTGATAAACATTAGAAAATTTTATAAAAATGAAACAAAAAATAAATATAGTTCTTACACAGATGATAAGGATGTAGCATTTATCATTAATACTCGCATGACTAAAAATTCGTATCACAAAATTAGATTAGGTGCTAAAAAACATGAGGCTGATATATATCCTTCGTATGATAGAGTTCAGTTAGTTAAAGATAGATGATAACCTGAAAATATTATTATAAGCGAAATAATTCCACTTTAGAGGCAAGGGAAAGTCAAAGGAAGATTCCCAAGAGGCAAGTAATAAAAACTATAATCGATTCAAAGTACATCATTTTCGAAAATCATAACGTATTTATACAAACACATATTTTTTTAATTTCTTATTAGTGTCATCTGATCTATTAATTACAAGTTTAAGAACACAACTTAACAAATCAAAAACTAAATTATCTCCAGAAGCCATTAATTTACTTGATATCGAAAGCTTAGAACAGAAAGAAATAGAAACTTGTAACAGTGAAATAAGTAGTAGTTATTCTGAATTGTTTTGTTATCCGATTAAGTATAAGATAAATTAAATATTTGAAAATAATGCATTTTTTTTAAATTTCTTACATAAATGTTTATTGTTAAAAAATAACATTATTTTGTTTGTAATATTATCCAACTTCTTAATTTCAATGTTTACTTGCCTCAACTGTATTTTCTAAACAGTTATCTATATCGAGATAAGTATTGAAGTAAGTTATTAAAATTAAAGTAAGAAAATGTTTGTGCATATTAAATCAATAAAAAAATATTTATTTGTGAGTGTCGAACTTCGTTTGATAGGTGCTAAATTTTTGGCTAGCTAGAAATGCAATTCCTCCCATTGTGCGGCCCCACCGATGTTATAATATGTATAGTAATTGTATACTGTATAGGACCAGTGTCCACCTTATCTGTGGCCTATAAAGTTTTATTGACTTTCCCAATTAGTATCACAATTAGTTTAGCGATCACTTTATCATTGCTCGTTGGCCATTATTTTAAAATAAAATCAACATTTCCCAAATCATAGGGTTATTAACGTTGTTCACTAGAAAATAACAATAATTCCCACATTCTTAGGTAAATAACGTTAATTTCCGATATAAAATATCATTTACCGTAACATATATATGTACAAATCTCGTATCACAGCATTTGTGACCATACTCCTCCAAAACGGCTTAACTGATTTGAATGAAATTTTATATGTATATTTGGTAGGTCTGCGAATAGGTTTTTATCTATTTTTATACTCCAAAGTGCTATTGTTTAATTAATCGTAGTTTAAATTAATAATTTTTGACTAGGTAAATAACTGCGCAATTGAAAATGAATTACTAAATGATACTATTAAAAAACTATTAAAAACTATTTAAAAGCTATTAATTGTATTTTTGGTATTAAATGAAGGGTATTGCATAAATATTAAACAACAAGATCCCGCAACAAGTGCCAAAACAAACAAGAATGTTAGTTCCAAGGATTATTATGCATATCGATCAATGGCGTATTTGAGAGTTCATGTCGGGGGGGGGGAATTTAATATGAGTTTACCCAACTACTCACACAAACTTACCAAGACATAATGAATTTTATATTGCACCTGTATAACCTATAAAGTAATAAGTTAAACAAATATGATAAAAAAAGCAACATATTTATAAAACAAAATCTATATTTTTATTTTTTTTATTATCAAATCTATTTATAACATCATCTATTGATATAGTTATAGTATGATGTATGTTTAGCAAAGCCAAACCAGTCAAGCGTTCTTGCCCCATTTTGGATCTTAACCATGTTTTCAATCTAACAAAAAAAAGCAACAAAAGTAAGCAAAGAGAAGAATTATAAATTTGTTTTTAATGTAATTTAAGAAAAATAACAAGTCTTTAATTTCAAGCAATATAAATATACACTAAATATATTTATAAAATATACTCGATTTCGTTAAATTAAATTTTTAAGTCAAAGATTTATTTTCTTTGAATCGACTTAAACATAATCATTTTTCATATAAAATAATTATATATATTATAGTTAAAATATTTTATAAAAGCTTGCCATTTTGTTATTCTAATAATAAACACATGGACCAAACCTTCTAAGCGTAGAAAAGCTGCGTTCTGCGGATGCTACACTAATAGGCAAACAAGCAATTATACTAAGTAATTTATGCACAGTTGGATAAATGATATTATTACAATTTTCTATTGATGACAAAGCATCTTGACAAACATCAACACAATTTTTCGGAATTTTTGTTTTGTAATGAAATACTCAAATACCCATTAGTTATATAAAATTTTCCTGGTCTAAAAATATTCGGGGGGGGGGGGCGATTGCCCCCATCACCACCCCCTCAAATACGCCACTGATATCGGTTGATGATTAGATGCGATCAGGATAACGTTATTCTACGATGTCGTGAGCTTTGTCGACAATTCATGGTCGACATGTATGTAAAGATAGAGAGCAAAGGATTACGATACCTACGATTCAATTAAAAAAAGCTGCTTGCAGAAGATTCTCAAAACAATTGTTAGAATATCGGTGATAGGAAAGTTACTACATATGAAACGGGATGCATACAATTACCGACCAATTTCTGCACAATCATTGATTTGCAAGATGCTCTCATTGACCAGATATTTCTCGATGTATACGGACAATACATAAATCATGAGTGGCTGGTAAAAAGAGCAATTTTAGCAGTAAAAAATATGGACGTCAACGAATTGAATCTGAAGATACAACATTTGTTACCAGGAGATTTGGTGTCATACAAATCTATTGATACAGTTTGCGATGCTACTGAAGCTGTAAATTATCTAACAGAGTTTTTAAACTCATTGAATTAACTAGGTATGCCACCGCATAATTTACAACTGAAGGTTGGATTTCCGATTATTTTGCTTCGTAATTTGAACCCACTACGGTTGTGCAACGGCACGCGATTAGTCATTAAAAAATTAATGAAAAATGTTATCGAAGAAAATGTTATGCCATCATTTTAAATGGCAAATTCCGAGGTGAAAATATACTATTACCGTGAATCCCTATTATACCCACAGATGTGCCAATACAATTTAAACGCCTTCAATTTCCAATTAAATTGGCATTTGCATTAACTATTAATAAGTCTCAAAGCCAAACGATGTCTGTCTATAGCTTGGATTTGAGCACATCATATTTTTCACACGGACAATTATACGTGGCGTGCTCTCGAACCATTCAGTTTGTTGGCGAAAGATGGGATAACAAAAAATATTGTACACTCTGTTGAATTAAGGGATTGATATTGTTTTTTACTATTATTGTCATAATTAGTGATATATATAAATAATTTTAAAGGATCAATAAACAATAAATTATTAAAAAATTAAATATTTGATATTTTTTCATTTTTATAATCCGTCACCGTTTACAGCACTCCATACCTCTTTCACTTATACACCACATTCTTACACACCTATATTAAATTAGTTATTTTTTTCTAGCAAAATATTCTCTAGAAATAATTTATATAACATAACAATATTTATCGGGTCAGCTACTATATATATATATATATATAAGCAAACGTAAATTGCGCCTAACGAAGGGAAACAATTGTAAATTGCACCAGGTATTTTTCAGGTATAAAGTTTTGTATAGTAAATTGCGCTCTGTATTTTTCAGGTACACAATTCTGAATAGTAAATTGCGCCCAAAAAAATATTATTTTATGATAGTCATTTTGCATTACCCAGAGGACATCACGAGAAGGCGACTATCACTGTCCTCCAAAAATGTTTTTTTAGTTTACTTGAGATGAATAAATTAATTAATAAAAATAGGAAAATACATTTTTTTTTCTTTTAAATATTATGGTAATAATTATAGTTTTTTTAATATTTTTTGTTAGGTTAAAAATGTTAATAATAAAAAATATAGTGAGTACAGGAAAGATTCACAAGCCGAGTTGTCCTTTAGTTGTCTGAGTTAATGTAGCGGAAGCTGATGTTCAAATACTCGAAGGAAAGTCAGCGAATAAAATATACGTGTTCTAAACATAGCAAGAAAATTGTCTTAGTCGATTATCTTCAGGCATCATAGGCATTAATTCATAGTTAAAATAATTGCAAACATTTTCTGGCTCTAAAAATACCAGGTAATGATGAAATCAAGGTCACTTAGATAGTAGATGATACTATGGGCGCAATTTACTATAGTATTTTTACTACCTACTTAATACGGGCGCAATTTACAAACGCCCATATATAATACGTGTTAAATTTACTCATCTATGATACATAATAGTTGTAAGACTAGCCGGATTAATTGCCTATATCTTAGATCATATACCTAATAAGGCAGCGGTTCCAATATTTTTTTGGGTCAGACATCCCAAAACAAAAAAAAATTAATCGCGCCTCTCATGATTAAATAGAACAATATTTTTGATTATTTGAATATAAGCAAAATATTGTCAATATAAAAATGAATATATAGTAGTACAATATAAATATTTACCTTGCGCCTCACAAGAGAAGTGCACCTCACAATTTGGGAACTGCTAAATTAAGGTATAATCTCAAATGGTCTAAACCTTATAATATATAACCCGAAAATTTCAATTATTCTACATAAGCATATGTTACATAATCTTAATATCTGTGACTAAAAATTATACGTACCATTGTAGTTATTGCTAAAAGCATAATAATATAATTACAATTCCATATTTTATCATTTCTTCTTAGTCGATTATTATTCATTGTGTATTGTTTAAAAATTGCGAATAGAGTCCTTTAAAAACAAACAATAATATAATAAAAAAAAATATGTTTTTAATATTAAGTAATTAATTGAGTATATTAAATATGTTGAATTTTTTAATTATAATATATCTTCAAATTTATATTTTGTGTTGTATTATTATTTGACTATTTTTTAAATTACTTAAAATTCCATTTCCTTATTGTCAGTAAAAATTGCTTTTATTTATTAATCTAAAATTGTTTTACACCTTTTTACAAAACAAATTATTTAGCACCTAGTAATTTATATCGACATAGTATATTCTAAAATATATATCAATTATTTTAATAATTATTATGAATATAATTTTAAGTAAATAATTTGATAAAATGTATTAATTTTACCTGATGATTAGATTTAAAATTTCTATTTCATAGTACGTTTTTGAACAGTGTGTTTTCAAATAATTAAATATCAAAAAAGAGTAGTACTTAATTTGCTTGGAAATTATATTCACGTAAAAGCAATAAATTCCAAATTAGACTATAAATTAGACTTAAATTTTTGCATATATGGTATTGTATTCCCGAGTTTTTTTTACTAAGTATCGCTTAGTACTAGGTAATAATAATGGCTGTAGACTCTTGAAACATAATGATTCTGATAAAAAAAAAAAAAATACTCTTATGTATAATGTGTATTATCACATCAAACCAATCAGTGGCATGGCATGATAGGAGGCCTGGGAAGGGGTGTTGGAGTGAAACCCTCAGAACTCTCTTTATAGAAAATCGTCTACAATGGATTATGTCATTTGCTATTTTTTTAAATATAATATTATAGTTAGTTAAAAGTTCAATGATTAGCTACTTATGTAACTAATAGTTTAAAGATTAATATACTAAGAAATTGTTAAAATTTTCAAAACGGGTTTATTTTTATTTTTCTAGTTAAATAATTTCTGTCTTTTCACTATAACCAGAGATTATATTAAACAATAATTTTATATAATAAAATTATACAGTCTGTTTTGTATGATCTGTGGTTATACGGGTTACATCTGAATTGGGTCCCAAATTTAAAATTACTACACTGGTTGGGTTTCAAATTATTTTGGGTATTACACTAGTTAGGTCCCGGATTCTTTTAAGTACTACACTAGTTCCTGAATATTTGTTGATAAGTACTATATTATACTAACATTTTCCTTCCCATTTTAACAGACTTAGGACTGTCTATGATCTATTTAGACCACAGGTATGGTTATAAATGCTTTTTGTAGTTTTTTTTAGTTTTTTAATTTATTTTCCATTAATTTTTATTTATATTATATAATGATTTTAACATTTTTAGTATTTTTATCAACACAATTCTAATTATTTATATTTTAATGGAAAAGAGTACTTACCAAAAAATATTCAAGAACTAGTGCAATACCTAAAATAATTCAGGACCCAACTAGTGTAGTACCTTTAAAAATCCGGGACTCAACTAGTGTAGTACTTATACAAACCTATACAAATCTGGGACCCAACTAGTACACTACTTGTGTTCAGTGGCGTAGCTACACAGGGGAGGGGTTCCGGTGCAGTGAGTAAATTAGGACCCCTAACTAATATTATTTTTACATGCAAAATCAAGATGTACACATCATATTATGACTATATTATTGTTTTTTTTTGTTTTTTTTTTTTTTTTTTTTAATATGAATACTTATTTATTATGGAACGACAAATAAAATTAATTAACAATCGTGTAAGGTAAAAAGAAAATTGAGTTTATTAAGTATTTAAAAAAAACAAAAGGATATTGCATGAATTATTATTCTATTTCAATACTGATTGTTACTGGAACCACCACGTATGATTTGAAAAGTTATTATTAAACACCATGACACATTGTCAATTATTTTAGGGAAGTTTAGTTTCAGAAATGTCCAAGGCGCCCCGGGGCACTGCCCCGCTTTGCCCTATGATAGCTACGCCACTGCCTGTGATTAGCACCTAGTACTCGGGACCCAACTCGGATCTCCGGTTATGTTATCTTATTTAGATAAATGTAATAGTTATCTGTGTCAATAGATATTGATATTTTAATATTATTAATTAATAATATTATTATATATTTATTATTAATTATTTATTTGATATTAATCAAATAAATATTATAATGAAATGAATAATTTGAAAATGTTGAAATACTGATATAGGCAATAATATACCGGTACTGATGTTATTATTAATGTTATTAAAATAGTATTTATAAATTTATAATCTTAATTTTTATTTTTAGTTTTTACAACCAATATATTAAAATAATAATATTAATATATTAATATAAGATACCGAATGTAGCATATCCATTCGGCTTTTTCTGATTCTTGAAAGCAGGAAAGGTCGATTTTATGAATCATTCCAAATTATTGATTTATTAATAGGGGATTACAATCAACTCATTTGAAAATCAAACATTTTTTAAATAATGAAAAAAAGAAAGAAAAATAAGTACATTATTATCATATCACAGGGGTGGCCAACATATCTATGTACACGAGCCACATGTATTAATAAGATTATATTAAGAGTCAAATTATCTAATCGGTACTTCTATACTACAAAAGTAATTAAGAAAGCTAACAGTTGATAAACATATATATATATATAAATATCTAAGTTAAAATATCGTTAAAATTTCACTAATGATCATCTCACAGAATTACTAAGAACTACTCTTACATCAATTCAACCAGATCTTAAGAAGCTTACTAAAAAAGTGGACATGAAAAAAATACCACACAAACAAATTTAACTTGATGTTTAATTTTTTAATTTATTATTCATATAAATAAATTTTTTTTTGTTTATTAATCTGTACACTATAGCCTCGTATTTATGCAATAAAATTTTTTTTTTATAAATGTATACAAAAAAATTAAAATATTTTGGTTTTTGTAAATAAGACCGCGAGCCGCATACGACTATGATGAGGGCCGCATGCGGCTCGCGAGCCGCAATTTGGCCACCCCTGTCATATCATAATAATATGAACAATTGTGTTAGTATACCATCAGTTTACGTCATTGTGTCAATAATAACAATAAAAATACTTTAATGATTTACCTGTGCATCTAATCGTTTAGATAATTAATATAATCATGAATTTTTTCTGCGATAACTAATTTTTGTAAAATGCATGCAAGTGTATTAACGTTCATTATAGCATAAGTTCATATTTTAAAATCAATAAGTATAATCTAATATAGAGTCTAAAACCACCAGGTTAAAAATTATTTTATATAAAATATATTTTAATCAAAATAAAAACAATCTTCAATATATACCAACCTATTGCAAAAAATAATTAGTTTAATATTACATAAAAATATAATAAATAGAATTGGTACAAATAAATCTATAAATAGGTATGCGCATGGAAAAAAAAATTTACAATTAAATTTATAAAAAATAAAAAATTATAATTTTATGTAGTTATTATTGTTGATGGTGTAATATAAAATATTATTTGTACAATTGTACATGAAGTGCTCAACGGTTATTACGTTATTAATGCTTTTATAATATTATTATTAAATTTAAAATTATTTATTTTTCTATAACTGCAATTCTAATTGTTATAACATTATGGGAAATAAAAGAAAAAATACAATTCTATCTTTTTTAAAAAAAAAAACAAAATCTAATGAAGACAAAAACACAGATAAAAATACTGAGGTAAGAATGATACGATTCAATTTATTAAATATTGAGGACATTTATTTATGAAAAAGGCTCAGAACTTTATGTGCTTAAAAGTACTAAAATATACGCATAAATTTGCGTTAAAAAACGGCTGCAACACGATTGCGCAATTTTTCCTTTTTTGACCCAACTAATTACTTATTTTTTACACCACGATTGCGCAAAAAATTTGCAACACAATTGCACTCTGATCCCTTTTTACCTGATAAAATTACAACACCATTGCGCTCCAAATTATATGTGTGTATAATAATTTATATACAACATAAAATAATGTATACAATACATACTTTCTACATATAATTTTCATATACATGTACTCAAACTTATTACCTATTAATTCACAATTTTTTTTTTCACTTAATACAGGCTTAGAACTGTCAACAAATTATCATCGTTGTCTTGGTTAAAAATTGTTTTTTTCTAAATTACATGTACCTATGTTAAGTATGTATTGTACACATTATTTTATGTTGTACAAAAATGATTATACATAGTATATACACGTATAATTTGGTGCGTTATGGTTTTGTGATCTTAACAGATAAAAAGGGATCAGGGTGCAATCGTGGTGTAATTAGTCGGGTCAAAAAAGGAAAAATTGTGCAATCGCGTTGTACCGTTAAAAAACATCAAAATATGCGGTATAATATGCAATAGAAAATTGGAAAATAATTCCTTAAAAAATAATAGACTGACTACTGAATAGTGTGCACTGTACAATTAAGTCGCTTGTATGCAGATGTATGCAGTATTATAACGAACATAAATGATATTGTGTATAAGCTGATAACCTAATGGTTAAACATAATTGTTTACGAATTACCTATGGTGATACAATTTATTTATGTCATGTTACAAAATAACAATACAATGGTAAATTTGTATAAAAATAAATACGGGCCAACGGTGGTCATTATTACGAGTTCTCGGTACTATAAAGATTATAATATTATTGTTAAGTGCATTTGAAGCCGGAGTAATACAAATAATAGACGTTGATGATTTAATTTATTTGGTCAAACGATATAAAACTTAGAATTTTGGTTGTCATATATCTAATATTTTATTATTAAACTATACATTTTATTAAAAAATGTTGTTAAATCCATAAAATATGAATATAAATGTTCTAAAACCCAAATATGCGAATTGGTATAAAAAATAACAAAATATGCAAAATTATGCTACAACAATTTTTATACCTAAAATATACATACTATGAATCGAATTTGTATCGAATCAGAATTTCAATATGCACTTTATAGATAAATATGCAAATGCCTAAGGTTCCAAGGATTGGTTATGAATTACCTTACTCGTTAAATGTTCTAACAGGTATAGTCTATACTATACAATTATTAGGTACCTATAGACTCTATAGGTACCTAATAATTGTAAATTTTACAGGAAATTGTGAATGATTACCATTTATCTAAAGATACTGAATATGACATTTAAAAAGACAATAAATTGAATCAAACAAATTCACATGAAGTAAGAACTTAGAGTTCTAAATTATTAAATATAATTAATGAATTTTAAATGTTAATTTGTTGTACAATGTACATACAAAATACATGAATATTATATTATACTATTTTATTCATAAAAAAAAAAAAAAAACAAAGTTGGTTATCAGCAGGGCTCGGAAGTTAAAGCATTTATTTATTTTTATGGATTGACTTAAAATGTAACAGAGTGCTATGGAAGTATATGTCAAGTTATAACACGTACATATTGTTGTCAATATTAAATTAATCAAAAACGTTTTTCCTGTACCACCAGGAACGTCCAAGAAGTAAATCCTTCCAGTTCCATCATTTATTACTTTCATAAGAGTATCAAATACATACTTTTGTTCTTCATTCAATAGTGGAAGATTTATTTGAATCGATTCTTTCAAAGTATTAAATCATACGATTTTTCACGTTGTAACTCTTGATGAAAAGCATTGTGCATTAGGCAATTGGGCGCAGCCATCCTCAATTGACATCATCAAGTACATATCCTCTATCATCAATGGAAATTAATGCCTGATTGTAAATTTTTTCACATATTTGTAAATTCAGATTCCCTGTTCTATTGCGTATATTAAATAAAACATCGTCACACATATTATCTTAGTATTTTATCCACAAATCAATTGGTTTTGATGGGAAGCATGTTCATATGATAGTGGAAAACAATGTTCGTATTTGATGCGTTTGTGATAAAATTACAGCATCATTGAGAGTTTGACCCCAATGTGTATCGTTTTATAACAGAAGCAAACGATAACAGGCTTCTGTGTAAGATCCACACAATTCACCATCAACTGTTCGTAAATGTTGGAATGATGTTGGACTACGCACATTGACTAATAGCAGCCATAAATAAAAACATTCATTATTGCTTGGTTTTGGATGAACAGAATAAATTCGACCTATTGCATCGGTTGAATATACACTTAGGTATATATACACCTTCCATTTTCTAAATTCACGGCTAAGTGAACAACTGTGAGGTGTCTTTTATGAATTGGAAAATAAAATAATCACCGAAATGCTGCATTATTGCTAACATAGCGGCCCATTTGGTATTGAGTACTTCATCATTTGAATTCTCTGCACCAAATCCAATCATTACCATATCACTTCCTTTGGTTACATATTTACATATGTACCTACTTGATAGATTTTACTGAATGGCAAGATTCAACATTAATGTAAGTTTTGAAAGTTTTTTTTTCTATTTCAATAACTTGTTCATTTACTTTGACAATTGTTGATCTTTCATTGTCTGCTAGTGATCAACGCCGATAGAGTGGGTAATTATAATTTCCAGTAATTGTTTTCGATATTAATGTCCGTGGATAGCGCTTTGAACATATATAATCTATCATAGACGGTTAAATACTTATATTGTCTGGAAATTATCGTTTTTGTATTAAGATGTTAACTTTTTGGTTAAGTTCAAACTGAAAAATTGAATTAAATTTAATTGACTTTAAATTTTACTCTTTTTTAATATTCTGTATGAGAATATAGAAAAGTGTTGTTTTTAGACTTCTTCAGGTAATTTTTTAAATGTTTCTTCGTAAGAACCATCCTCGTATTTCAAGGAATGTATAAAAAAAGAATTAGCCAAATTGGTCCGGCCGTTTTCGAGTTTTAGCGAGACTGACGAACAGCAATTCATTTATATAAATGTATTTTTATATTAGCTAATAAACATTTAAATTACAAAATTATATACCTATTTTGTTTTCATATCAAAATAAAAAAAAAAAAGAGTCATTCGGTATAATGGTTTACGTTTAGGGATTTCAAAATTTGGTAACCCTACCTATTACTATTATTCAGTTTGAGGACCGAAGAGATGAAGGACGAATTTCCACCACTATTATTTAAATAATAAATTAATTTATATTTATAGAATAAAAACTGTTTTTCTATACATAATGAGTAATGTGTATTTAAATGTGAATTAACATGAACACATTTGGCGGTGCTAATTTCGAAAATGGGGGTGCTAAGTACACCCAAGTCCCCCCTAAATTGCGCCTGTGAAAGACAGTACAGAATTTATAATAAATACCTTTCATACATGGATGACAATATTTACACAACGATTGACTACGTTAACGTTTAACGTTCAGTACGACCGTCTCTGAGATAATAATGTAATAATATTATTAACCTATCCCGCGAAGACGTCGTCACGTAGACATTGGACGCGGCAACGGTTTGTCGAGACAGCTGCGATACGGCGTAGAAAGCAATCTATGGAGGGTTGTATATGTTTTATTGTTTATGTTCTATTCTGTTTTATACTTATTGTATAAGGTCTATGGTTTTATAATAAAATTAATTTGTTGTAAAATATGTTTATGCACACAACCATGTTTTTTTTTATCAGAAAGTCGTAGTTGGTGATACGTATTATCATTTGAATATGTTAAATGGTTGTATTTGGTTGTATTTACTATAGTGTATAGTTATAAAAAAATACGAATTGCACTACGAATACTGAAGTGTAAGTTGTAGTTATAATTTCTACACCACCGGCGGCATAATATCAATATTGCATTTTATGTGATCCACGATTTTTTTTCAAATAGTCATACCAAATAGGTGTTAATATTAACTTGACCAATCAGCGGAAATCTATCAGTTATACGATGTATTTTATAATGTAACTAATGTAGAATGATGTATCACTTACTTTAACGTTTCATTTGCGGATAAATATAAAACGTTTTCTCGTAACTTTCATTATAAGAAATTCCAATCAATATAAGATATGGACGCTGATGGCATTAATGTTGTGTTTGATATGGAGACATTCTCAAAGGTATTTTATTAGACATTTTTTATTTATCTTTTTTTTTTTTTAATTTGTGTATAATGTGTTTAATTCTAACAATTAATAATAAAATATATTGATTAAACAGAACTAAGAAGATAACACCAATTGTTAATACTATATACCTATTAACTAATAGGTTATAATTCTACAAAAAATATATTATAAACATGGTAGATGCTATACTACTACTTACAAGTTACATTGTATAAACATTGGTTTTTATCAATAAAAAATAAAAATATTAAAATGATCTCAAAATTTTAATTAATTAATTGAATCTTAAGGAATAAATAACTTAATGCTTTTAATATTTCTCTGTTTATGATTGTTTTTTCATACTACAATATAAAATCACTTTCCTGAATTTAATTCTACAATTTATAATTTTAGTTTTACATTAAATTATAATTTAAATCCTTTAAAAATTAAATACCTTGTATTTATGAAAGTTCAAAAATCTATTTTATTTAGGATAACTTAAAAGTTTATTTTATAATTATAGAACACTTTAAAATAATACTGCTTAAAAAATATTTAGGTACCTATTCATAAATATGTTTTATATAGGAATCATTTTCTGTGGATGAATTTTTAACTGAAAATCGCAATAAAATGACACTAGAAAACATGAGAGTTGAAATGGGTATCTTTCTTAAAGATCTACGAAACAAGATGATTAATTCATTAAATGATGACTGTGACAAATATTTTCTTCTATCTAAGGGATTAATTGGTATTGATCAACAATTGGCTACCTTAAAACCTGGTTTATGTTCATTAAGCAATTCTGTTAATGTATGTTATTACGTACATAAAGACATAACTAGAAATTTAATTCTGTTATTATTTTTATTTAGTTAACTAAAAGTAATTTAGAAAATACATTGCATGATCTGGACAGTGAAATACAATTGAATAAGAGATTATGTAAAGATAAACAGGCACTTAACGCTATTGTAAAAGTACAAAAATCTCTAAACAAACTAGATGAATTATTATTGGAACAAAATTATGATAGTATAATTGTTTTATCCCGAGCTGTGGCTGAATATAATCAACTTGTGTCTAGTATGACCAAATGTAGTAGTTTATTGAAAACTATACATCTTAAGGTATAACCGTTACAATAACTAATCAATTAGAGTAAAAAGAAACATTCAATTTAATATTTATATTTTATAGCTGGGTACAATTTTGTTTTTAGAGACAATCATTACTGAATGATTCACTAATGGACAAATTAAATCAAGTATTTGTTTCTTCGGTGGCAACTAAAAAAAATACTATGAAACGGTTGCTTGAAATGTATTTATCTCTAGGTAGAATTAAATCTGCAGAAAATATTTGTCAGGTTGATATTATTAAACCAGTAATGGAGTCTATATTGAATGAAAATTATTTAAGAAATTGTAAAGGTGGCTTAAAAGAGTTGTACAATCAATGTTATACATTCCTCCAAGGAGATTTAAAAAATTTACTTCAAGCTGCAGCTGATCAAAATAATGAGTATATTTCACATACAATTGTATTTATTAATTATTAAGACAAAATTAATTTAATATATTAATAGATAAACAAATAGTATATAAAAAAATTATATATTTATATATTAATCTCGATTTTATTGACTTTGTATTACATTATGATGATGAATTATTAATTTGAAAACCGTTTGTATTTTACAAATATAATAATACTCTGGATTAAGCATTTATTTCTATGTATAAACTATTTGTTTATTTATACAGTATATCCCATAAGTCCCGTATCCTGTATCACCATTAATATCTCCATGGGAAATCAATATATTTAAACACGGTTTTTTTTTTTAAATACTTAATATGCAAATTCTGATTGAATGGCATAAAATTCAATTTTTTTTTAAAAAAATTCAAATATTCAAAAAACATTTTTTATGCATTTCAGAACTTTCAATTTTTAAGATAGCCATTTTCTTGAGCATATTTTTTAAAATGGTTAAAAAAAATATATTAAAATTGAATAAAAATTCTACTACTAAGTATTGTAAAAAAAAACCGCGTTTAAATATATTGATTTCTCGTGGAGATATTAAGGGTGATACGGGACTTATGGGGCATACTGTATATTAATTTATGAGTATTAACCATTTACTAATTTTTATTTTTAATTAAATTTTTATTATTTTATTAAATTAATTTATACATAATGTTAGTGAACTATGGCATAATTATAAAACAATTGGTTGAATAGTGCTGCTCCAAAGACACATTTTCTAGAGATTTTTTTTTTTTTATAACATACTATTAAAATTGATATTGTTTATGAATTGTTCTAAAATATATCAATTAATAAGAAATTTTCATTGACCGTAAGGTATAATGCATATAGGTAATAGTATTAAGTTAATACTATTTATAATCAATGCCACTATATCTACAGCCTATTTAATAATTGAAGACTAATGTGGCCCTCTGTATAATTCTTTGTCCCTTCGTTCTTATAAAGTTTATTATTTCAAATTTATTTAAATAACATAAAACTATTAATTATTAAAAGTTGTTATGCTTTTAGTTAATTTTTTTTCAACTGTTATGTGCATTCCTAAAATTTTTATTTTTTTAATGTATTAATGGACCAAATAATAAATTTAATTTGTTTAGCAATGAGTTAAGTTTTAGTAATTTAATTAACATTTATACTTAAAATATTTATTTAAAAAAAAATAAAAATATTTATTATTATTAAATGTATAACTTATCCTCAAAGTTATCATAGAAAGTGGCTAATTATTAAAGCCTGTAGAGTTATACAATTTTAATGTGTTTCATGAAGGAATTAATTTTTTCCAAAAAATATATTTTATAACCAAAAATATTGTCTTAAACCTAAATATAATCCATTTACAAACTGATAAAAATTTAAATTTTTTTCTATTTTAAAATATATTATATGTACTAATCTAACTAGTGTATTACCCTAATTGTCAGATACAGCAGAAATTAATTAAAAAATGCTGTATACTAGTTAACTTAAAACTTTCCTTCTGAATATAAAATATATATAATACTAAAATATATTTTATTTATTTTCAGAAATTATGTGTTTGAGAAATTTGATTTTATTTCAAAAAGCTTTTGGCCTGTTGTTTTTGATCAAATAAAAAACAATTTACAAAGTATCTTTAACTTCAGGGAACCTGATATTTTCATACAAGTATACATTTTTTCATAATACAATTAAATAATTTAAACAATATTATAACTAAAATACAATTATTTTAGAATTATAAAGTAACTTTTAATGAATTTATGAAACATTTAAATGAACTGTCAATCTCACAGTATGAAACTGAACCATTACACAAAATGCAAAGTTGGAACGATTTTAAAAAATGTTGGAATTTGCCGATTTATTATCAATATCGGTAACATTTACATACTTTCATTATTTAATATTTTTCCTTTGAAGCCATTTTTAAATTGATTATATTTTAAAGTATTTATATTAGAATAAATCAGATTACCATTTTTCTTAGATTTTGGTTTAAAATTATTGAATTGAATTTATATTTTAAGGTTTCAAGAAATTGGAATTTGTGCTGAAAATGTTATGAATAATGAAAGTTATGAATTATGTAATGATGAAACATTTAAACTTAAAGTTACAAAAACAGTATGGGATTGTATGAATTCTTGTTTAGATCCAAACATATTCATAGTTCAATTGAGTCATAGGTTATTAAAATTGAACTGATTAATGGAAAAATAAGTTTAATTTACATACATAATGTTACATTATTTCAGATTTTTCAAATTTATACTGCAGTTAATATCTAGGTATCAAACTTGGGCAAAAGATGCTAATGTTAAATCAAAAACTGAATTGAATGACTTTAGCACTCGTATTACATTTCTTGAAGACTTGGAAAGTGATTTGAAAATATTTTATTTTAAATTAAATGATATATATTTAATGTTTGAACAATTATTATGCACAAAGGTGCCAGTTGACATTTTAGAGTTACAAAAAAGTGAGTGCACTACAACTTGGTATAATTATATCTTTTAATTGTATTTTATATATTTACCCATTTTTTGTGTAGGTTGTATTCTAGACATAAATTTAAACTCTTTAATAAATGATATAAATAAGTGTAAATTACAATCTGTGACGGATGAAGTAATGTCATATGTAATAAGAGTAACCGATGTACCAAGGTTATTTAGACATACAAATCGAGATTATCCAAGAGAACCATGTGCTTATATGAAATCAATTGTGACAACACTGAAAACTTTACAAAACAAAATCTGCCAAAAGCAAGTATTGGATCATATTGTTACTCAGTAAGTAAAAATATATTTATTTATTTATAAATAAGAACGGGCTAGGAGCTCAAAAGTACAACACAATTATGATAGTAAATACGAAAAATATAACAATAAAGTAAGCAACGCCAAACAATATCTAATAGACAAATGGCAATTGTATAAAAAATAAATATAAAACAAAAGTAAAAAAAAAGGTAAAAATAATAATAACATATTGAAGTACTATTATTAAGCGTTTTAAAAGAAGCATAGGTGCTCGTTACAAATGCACATCATATGATGAATGGGATTATTTCTACCGTAGTTGGTGCTGTAAAAAGGAATAACAAAGGAAGAATTAGGACCTAGTTATGTGAGAGGGAATTTTAAAATTAATTAGAGAAAGAAAAAAGGGAGCATTCACATGTCCGTCAATCAACTTATGCAAAAACACCAAATTTGCTGCAACTCTTCTATCAACCAGGGATAAGAGTCCAAGTTTGTTCATAAAAGGTCTATAATCATGCGATGGATGTGAAATATGTAAAATAAATGACACCGAAGAACAAAAACACCTCTGGACTTTCTCTATTTTAGAATATATATCTGTTAGTTTTTACAATTAATTAATATGTATTACAGATATGTTGCTTATGTTGATGATGTTATGAAAGCAATAAAAAAAACTGAAGAAAGCTTAAGAAAATTGAAGAAAATTAGAGATCCAAACTACAAAGTGAATTCTGATGATGATAAAATTCGACGTCAACTGTCATTGGATGTGAATTACTTATTGTTGTCTGTAAGTAAAATTTAAGCTTTTTAAACTTCTGTATATTATACTCTTATTACACATCTACATTGTTGTCCCTTTAATATTCACTTTATTAAACACTGAAAATTAATTTTAATTTAAAATAATTAGCCAAAAGTAAATTGATTTAACTGATAAATTGTTTAATTTTTTGTAATCCGTGGTATTTCTGGATGTTGCTTATGGTAAGGTTACAGCTGTTGGGTAAATTTATATTGAAACAATTGATTCAGATGTTAACAGTTTCTTCTTTTAGGTCAGTGGTTCTACGTAGAAAGTCCTAACTACTATGATGTATTAAATATAATCATGATTCATAGTAAAATTAAATAAACAATATTTTTACAAATTATAACTAAATGTTATGAATTGTATAAATTGTAGCTGTAACAATGTTACAATGCCCATGTAAATAATTGCTTGTTAAATACCCTACAAAAATCAGGTATTTTTGTTGAACATTTGTGAACTATTTGTGGCAATAGACATTTTAGCTTATTGCTAATTTTATTAATTTAAAAAGTAAGATTCAATTTTTTTTTTATACATATACGTCTGTTTTCAGTGCATAGCACTTATAAATGTATTTTCAAGTGCTTTAAGTTCTAAGTCATGATTGTTACTACAACTTAACTAATACTATGTATATGTAAAAAAAATGGGTTGTTACTCCTTTACACTATCTCTGGACCACCTCCAGTGTAAAATCAGGATAAAATGTTTTCTTATCTCAATCCCTACACCAAAATTTCTAATTTCTAAGTTCTGCAGTTTAATTGGGTTTGTTGATGAGTGGTTGAATCGGACATCTTCCTTTACATGGATAATTTTTAGTTTAAAACTATTTATTAAAATGTATAAAATTTACTATTAAAAAATATTGAGACTTGAGCTACTTATTTTTTATATTCAAACTAAACAAAAAAACTTATTTAGTTTAATTTTAAAAAATATAACTTTATGAATACATAAAAATTTACCGTAAGCATTAAATCAAAAATTAAATTTTTTACAATGAAATCACATAAAATAATAGTTTCATATTTATTAATAAAAAGTTTTCAAATTTAAATTATTAATAATTTATTAAAATTAAATGACAATACTATATGAATAAGATACATATATTTTTAAAATAATATTCATAATATAAATATATTTATTCTTATTTATTACTTACACTTTTATAATGATTTATATAACCTTCAGCTTAATAATAAAAATATTACATTAATATAATAATATAGTTATTGAATACAGAATTATATTTTATGAGTTTGTTTGAACAATAAATAAAACACCTAAGTGAGTTTTATTAACAGAAAATTTGAATGAAAATAAAAAAGTAATAGTTACATTCTGTACCTTGAAATAATTTAACAATAGTACCTAATCATTTACGAAATACAAGTTTTAATAAATATTCATACTTCATATGTTTAAACATTTTACACAAGAAGCACCACATACAATTGGCAATTTTAAATATTAAAAAATGTAATGTTTCACACTCTAGTATTATAATTGATTAATGATAATAGATAATATATTTTATTTCAGATTGGAGGTATGCATTTACCAGATGTTAAAGATATTGAATTAAAACTGGAATCTGTTAAAGACACAATTGTTGTTGATAAATTACCATAAATATTAGAATTTTAATTGTAAAAATATATATTGTTAAAAACTTACCGATTTTGTATATTTTGTATTCATTTTTAACTTAAGCGGTAACCATAAAACTGTTCCAACATTGATCTTGCTTCATTCATATTGTCCGCATCCATTTCTTCTTCAACTGACCTCCTCATGCCATTCATAAACAATTCAAATGGATCAGCCACCATACGTCGTTGGTTTAACAAAGCTGTTGCATTATATTGTTTTATTTCATGTTTATTATCCAAATCCTATAGCATAAATTATTATTTTAGAAATCTGAATTCACATACTGTAAAATCAATTACTTCTGGTAATGGAGTCCATAATTTTACTTCATTATCAATACCGCTAGTTGCTAACATGAACTCTGAAGGATGGGGTTGTACACAATTTACAATTGAACTATCTCCTTTTAATACAAGTAAATTATTTTCTGTATATTTGTCCCATACAAAAAATAAACCATCATCTGAACCAGCAACTATGAATTGACTTTGGCTATAAACCAAATTGAACTTTAACTGTTTCAAATAATAAAAAAAAAAAAAAAAAATTAAAAAACTCTAGTTACCTTCCAAAAAAATTAGCTTCTTTGATATCAGTTGATGTATTGCAATGTCCATAATATCTTTGATGGTAATCATTAGCTTTTTTACGAAGATATGGCTCAAGTGTATTTTGAGGTTCTTGTGCCAGGTTTCGATCTTTTACTACTTCACTAATAATTTTTCTCAATTTTTCTTCTGTAAATTATAAATAAATACCCAACAAAGTATATGAGAAATTATAAAAAGACTAAAATCTAATGAACAAACAAATCAAAATATCAATGTAGTGATTACCTTCAATGAGTGCTTCTTTTTTTCTACGTATTGAATGATGTATATTGGAGTGAATTGTTAAGAAAGCTTCACTGGTATTGTATGACGGAAATCTTTTTTTAAATTCTTCGAGATACATTTTAGAATCATCTAGCATTCTTAATTCATATAGACATACTATAAGACGAAAATGAGCTTTCATGTGATCAGGATCCAATTTTAATGCAGTCACACAGTCTTTAAGAGCTGCATAATAGTCACCTTGCCATTTTCTTTTAATATAAGCTGCAGCTCTATTCGAAAACAATACACTAGATGACTTAAAAATATGTATGGCATAATTGTAAAAGTTAATAGCAGCCGTATATTCTTGTTTGTCAAAGTACTGATTTGCCTGTAAAATATATACATATATATATATATATATATATATATTTATTATTTTCAGTAATAAAATTAAATATTTTCAAAATAATTGATAAAATTTAACCTTTAACTTCAATTCTTCAACTTTTAGTGGTAACTTAGTATGTGTAGCCGGAATTGGATTGAATAATGTGTCTTTAGAAGTTCCTTCTCCATTTTCTCCTTAAACCAAAACATTTTTTCACAACATTTTTTAAATTTTAATGCTATGTCTTGAAAAAACTTACGATAAACTTTCATCACTTTTGGAACGTTGGAAAATGCATCTTGAACTTGTTTCGATAAATCATAAAGATATACGTATTCACTACCATAATTAACTAAAAGTTCTTGTCCATCAGGACTAAAAGTTAAATAAGTAATTCCAATATTTTTGTTTTTATTAGGAGGTAATTCAGGTCTATCAGGATGAATATGACCAGGTACAAAGTATTGAACAACATCATCAAGGGTTCGTTTAGCTTTTTTTGACCGATTTAGATCTGAATTAGAATTGAATACTAAACCTGAATACAATTCTGGAAATGCCTTGTGGTTTGGAATTAAGGACAATGAGGGAACCATTCTGCGATCGTACAATCTCACATAAGGATCATTAGCACCAACTGCAAGCTGTTCAGTTCTTAGTTGATTTATGTCCAAACATTTAGCTTCAATACGTTCTCCTTCATAATTATAAATGGACAAAATACCTATTTTATTATGGTCAGAACTACATTCATGATTCATTCGCATATCATGTTGTCTGTATGAACATAAACAAATAATGTTATATTTACAATGATACATTTTATTTATGTATAACAGATTTTATACAAATAAATTTCACTTTGAGTAAAAATATATACCTAATAATGCCGTCCTCCGATGCACTCCAGAAAACACTGGGTGTATCATTTGCTACAGCTATTCTTTTTACTCTTCCTTCAGCACATGTGCAAATACTTAATCTTTTTCCTGTAGTTAAATTATATGTATGTGAATTCCAATCAGCTGCTCCAGTTGCAACTACATCATCATTGCAATTAGGTAAAAACTATATCAAACAATAATTGTACTGCAATTATAACTAAGCATAATAAATATGTTTTAAATATTATTTACAATTCATTTCAAAAATAAATACTAAGTATGTTTACTTTTTCAAACAGACAGTAAAATATATCAAACAAGAAAATAATGTATTATTGTTAGTAAAAGACAATAACTAAGGGTTAAACAATAAATAAATACTGAAACATTGAAAACATTTTTTTTTGTCAATATTAATTTTTTACCACAAAATCTTGAAAGCAAATTCTATAAATTAGTATTAAAATAGCAAAACTATTAAATACTTAACTAGGAGTACATTTATCTAAACTCAACTTTGTTAAATATAAATAATGAATGAAAATCAAATTTTAGAGTTTTTAACAGAATCACTTTATTGCCACTTTAATAAATTACTTAATACTTTTACAATTAGTTAAAAAAAAAAATCATTTACAGCATATTTAAAACCTTAAGAAAAAAATGAAGTTGGCAGTCTTATTTAAACCTATAAGTATATAGGTTTATATATTAAACAGGAAAGTTTTATTAATTATTAATCATATTTAAAAATATTTCATATTTATTCTCAGCATATGAATAATACAAGAAAAACTACTTGAAAAATTGAAAAATAATTTCATCAGTCTAAGAAGCTTCTTAACTATTGTGGAATTATATATTTTTAATTCAATTTAAAAGGCATTCGATATCCATTCAGTTAATAGGGATGCAGTCAATTGGATACAAAACCTGGACATTAATTTATGATCTAAAGTTTCAAATATCTTCCAGCTATAATAGTCTCACTAAGCCCTTAATATCACTATCACTGTTAACCTAGTTTTTGTAATGTATAGATTAGCTTGACAAAAATTAAAAATAAAATAAAAATATGTATAGATTAGCTTATTTTTATTTTATTCTATTTTATGTTATCTATTTGTTAATATTCACATGTTTAATTTTGTTGCTCTACTTTGTCATATGAAATATTTATATATATTCAGTTTTAATACCTATCTTAAAAATAAAAAAATATTTCATGATATTTTATAACATTATTAAAAAAATCATAATTATCTCAAGTAAATGATAAACAAATATTAAAAATATTTATAGGATTCATAAAATATAATTTGATTTGAAGTGCAAAATATAGAATTGTCAATTTAATTATCATGTTCATGCATAATTATACTTAAAGATTTTATAACATTGAATAATTTTCAAATATAATATAAAGAAATTTAATTTTGGACAAATAATTAACTCAATTATATAATTAAGGTGGCTAAATTATAAGTTAATTAAACAATATCAACGATAAAGCTATATGAAATTTATTACAAATGTATGATACCAATTGGTGTTTTATACATACAGTGACTCTAATGATGTCAACCACAGTGAATAAATTAAATCAATTTAAAATAGGTAATTTATATCTTAATATACATAAAACGTACCTTAACAGTAAATATATTACCACGATGTAATGTTTTAATACTAGTTTTAATTTTATGTGCAAATGGATCCCATAATATAACTTGAAAGTCGTCGGATGCGGATGCCAATGTACTAAAAAGTAATAGAAAAATATTTATAAGATACAATAAAATAATATTCCCAATAAGATTATCAAATGTATGATATAAAAATATTTTAGATACCTTCCACTGCCATTCCACTGTAGACAATTAACACACCCTTGATGGCCATTTAAATTAGTGAGCAACCCAAGTTTTGAAATACATTTGTTATTCAAGTTATTTTTTAATGCATATTTGGTCTTTATGTGGTCCTAATAGTCAAAAGTTGTTTTAAAATAAAGATATAACGAATAAAAAAAGTATATATATATATATATTACGTTCAATTCTCGATCTCTCATCAACTGTAAAATGTTCCGACGCTTTGTTTCAAAAGACATTGTAGCAGGTTTAATAGTGAAAAATAGTATTGAGAGCAAATAAATATTTCAATAGCGTTATACCATGATGAAACTATACATTTAAAACTATATTCAATAAACCAATAACTAGATATTAGTTTATATCATAAATGTTTAAATAAAGTATATCTTAAACCAGAGTAAATTCACAAAATCACGAATTTTAAATTCGTGCACAGTGTCGACTCAATCTATTTAACATAAGATTAGAAATTTAATCTATAGTACAACAAACTTTAAATAAGATATTACATTTCTGAAAACTGATCAATGCACTAATCAGTAGTTTACTGTAAATGCTACAAGTAAATATTTCAGCGGAGTACACACATAGAGGATTTAGATATAATATTCATTTTAAGTTATCAACAAAAACTGGTGAAAATTATATAGATAATAAACACAATTATACCACAGTCTTATATACCATTTACCATGCCGTGTCGTGTCTTCTAAAATAATTATTTTTGATTGGTTGAACCATGTTGTTACATCAAGGTATACCGTGTAATAAAAACCGTAAAATTGATTTTAACCAACTTTTGAACGTGTGGTTACCAGTATAGCCAGATGGTACGATCTTGATTGGGAAATACAATCGTTTTAGCCTCTATACGATTCTCCACCAGAACCATTGATAGAATGAGAAACATATGATCTTTATAGAATAATTATAAAGTGAATAATGATAATATCAATGTACCTATTAATAGATATTTTTAATAGTTGTATTCTTCGAATTTCTAAAGTATAGTAAGTTATCAGCGATTAGAGTGAGAAATATACTACTGTTATAGAATAATTCAAAAATAAACAATGATAATACCAATGTACATATTCATAGATATTTTTAATATTTTTATTCTTCGAATTTAATATTTATAAGGTATAGTTATCAGTGCTGTATTGCGTATTTGCGTGTGTGGTGTTCCAATGTCCAATTTATATTGTCAATTTTAAATTTTGTTAGTACTCAGTATAAATATTAGATTTAGTCGAGAATTATTTTTATTACTTTCATTTATTCATCAAGCTGTTTTTGTTCACATTTGAGTTTTTAACAGTGAATAGTGAAAATGAAGTCGATCCAGAGACGTCAAATGTTGCAGAGGGGAAAGTAGCAAAAAGCTTGAACATAAAAAACAAAAATTTAGAAGTGAGTGGTTACAAGATTCTAAACTTTCTTATTAGTTGATTCCGGTGCCAAATAATCAATTGATGGCTAAGTGCAATTGTGTTCGTAAAAAATGACTGCTGAATTGTTAGTAATAAAAAAGCATTCTACCCCAAAAATACACACTCGTAATGTGCGTTCCATCGGGAGTCTGCAACCTCTTATAAAAGGCTTTGTAAATAATCAAACAAAATTGAATGAATTACAGAAAATTAAGAAAGCTGAATTACTATTAAATCGCCTTTTAAGTGAATTCAACTTATCCTTTAATGTTATAGATTACATAACTGCAATATATAATGTAGCATTTGACGATTCAAAAATTGCAAGTGGTATAAATCTTGGTAATACCAAAGCCACATCTATTGTGAACAATTTTATTGGTAAAAGTCATAGTGAGGAAATTAGCCATCATTCTAAAATCAACTTTTTTAGTGTTGTTAGCTTCTCGGTGGCGAGATAATGTCAAAAATCAAGCCGCTGGATCGGGAATCGAACTCGGGCCTCTTGCTTGCCGAACGATTGCTCTACCACTAAGCTACCCGACCACAGAGACCTTTGACATTATCACTATTTGACATTATCCAACGGGAGTTTACAGTGTCATCATAGATGAAAGCACAGATGTTGGGTGTGTAAAAACATGTATATGCGTGAAATTTTTTAATGTTTTTTATTTTTTAATTTTTCTAATAATAAGTTTCAAACCAAGTTCTTCAAACTTATACAACTATTTACTGATTCAAAAAGTGCAAATGAAGGTGCATTTGTTGAGAAGATATTTGGTGAACTTCTTAAAGCTTTTAACAAATCAGAAATTCCATTGGATAACATAATTGGTAAGTTAAAAATAAAAATATTTTTTATATAATAAAATACACTTATAAGATTTAAAATTACAATTTTTATTTATTTAAATATATTGAAATAGAAATTTTATAATTCTGTTATAAAAATCAATATATATCTAACTTATTTAACGAGTATTTATTTTTTGCAGGATTTGTATTTGATGGTTGAAACTCTATGATGGGTGCTATGATTTGTTTTGTTTATTTGTTTATTTTATGGTTAACTGATATTTAAAAGTTGTTAATATTTCATTTGTTTATTTATATTATCAATTTGAAATTGAAGTTAGCAATGTTTATTTTGTTTTGTATTTATAATTAATTATGAAAATATAATTATGGATTTATTAATTTTGTGTTTGATTTTTATTTGATTTGAAAATACGTCATTCTTAGTTTTGTTATTCTGTAATAAAAATTCAAATATAGATAACGTTTATCTTAGACTTGTTCTTATTATCACGGTTTAATAGCGAGAACCATAAGTCAAAAGTTTTATACGTTATTTTCGTTGATAGTACGATCATTTTGAAGCTCCTATACGACCTTCTCCCTTTGAAATACTGGCAACACTGGTGGTTACTGATTTTAATAGTAATAATTTAATATTCTGTGATAACATTAAACATAATAATATTCATTGACATAATTTATATATTTTGTCCTTTTAAGTTGCTGGTTTATGTAACTTAAAACTATAGATACATTGAAATAATATGCTATTCAAAATATATAAAATGTACATATATTAAATTATTAAATTAATAGAACAAACATCATGGCCATAGTAAAAATTAGTTATGATAATATCTAATAAAAAAAAACCGCGAAAATATGTGACCAAAATTTAATAGCATCACTATATTGGTATCACACATTTTCAAAACATGGTCTGGTCAAAAGGAGCGTCTAAACACAGGAATGTACCTTATGCGTTCTGCGCATGTGCGTTTTATTCACCACTATTATAAAGTTAGACTGTTATCAATATATTATTTCCAGAGTCTTATAATATAAGTATATATTATATAAGTCTATAATTATTTCAAATCACTATAATACAATAATATTATGAGTTTTGAATCCAACTATTTAAAAATAATTAAAAATTTGAATATACTACATACGTATTTTACATTTTTTTTGTGCTTCGACCATTTCAGTAAATTCATCATTATACATACCAGATAAATTAAAAAAAAAATCATAACAGCAATAACTATCTAATATGTTGAGATGGCTTTTAATAATGTTAATTTATATCTATATTTACCCAATTACCTATTTGAACATTTCATAAACCAGACTTTACCAAATTTATTACACAAAGGCTATTTACTAAATGTTTTGAGTATTAACAATACAATTCACAAACATCTCAAACATAAAAATACAATATTATCTAATATCTAAATAAATGACAATATCTTAATAGTAAGTAAAAGTATGAATTATCAAAACCAAGTAGTGTAGTGTGTTGAGTTGTTAGTTCAACACGGTAACACAATATTAGGATGTAAGAATATTAGAGATAGATTAATAACTTTATCAATAATACTTATTACGGTATTACTGATATTTTATTTAACACTTTTTAATTTAACATCAACATAGACAAAGTTAATGATAGTAACAAATATAAGCGGAGCGTATATACTGAATGGCTAGATACATTTGGTAGCTAATACTGTTTAGCAACTTTTTCCTACTCGAAATTCTGCGATTAGCACGTGGTTTATATTACTTATATTAATTTGTTTATAGTTATAATTGTAAATACGTAGTAACTATAAAATACGTATGAAAAAATTTAATGTATACATAATACATTAAATTAGAATGGAAACTGAACATCCCAATAATATACTACTACAAAAAAAAATTATAACGAAACTGATCATTATTATTTTACAACTAAAATAAAATGACAATATATTATTTACATAGGAAGTATGTAGTTAAATTTTGAATAGTTTGATTCATAACTCTTATTATTATGATTTGATATAATATATTGATAACAGCCTAACATTATGATAGTGGTGAATAAATTACGCGCAAGCGCAGAATGCATATGGTGCATTCCTGTTTTTAGACGCTCCTTGGTAAAACCCATCGAGATGTATATACCACAGATATCAGACATCTCGATGGTATAATCACAGGCTATATGAAAACTATATTTATATTTTATATAATCTGTCATAACGCCGTGTTCTGTGCATAGATAATAGAATCCCAACAAAAACACTTCGTCGAACTCCCTGTAAAAAATTGCTAAGTAAAAAAAACTAGTCATCTATAAGACTTCAGCATTATAAAGATGTGATATCATGAATAAATGCTAAGTAAATTAAATTTTCAATAAATTTATTCTATCTAAATCATTTATTTACTTTGCGAGAATTAATTTTCTTTATAAATTAATAATCAAGACTTTTTATAAAACAAATTTAGTAACATTTGTCATGGAAATTTGTTAAATAGTCCAGTTATAAACAGACATGTTTATTTGTCGAAATAAATAAATTCTCGCCAAGTAAATAAATGATTGAAATTGAATAAATTTATTGAAAATTTAATTTACTTAGCATTTATTCATGATATCACATCTTTATAATGGTGAAGTCTTATAGATGACTAGTTTTTTTTACTTAGCAATTTTTTACAGGGAGTTCGACGAAGTGTTTTTGTTGGGATATCAGTAGTTTTTTATAACATATTTTTATGTACTGACATGTAATATGAAATTGTTTATGTTTTTATTAATTTATTTTATTATGATGTTTGCTTATTTAATATATATATTATATATACTATATATGTTTTTTTTAAATATCATATTCAATTTTTTTTTTTCATTATTATAATATATACATTTTTACCCCCTCGAGGCCATCGTTCAAAATGTATTGCATTGTCATTACATCGTAGCTATTTATTTTGATGTGAACTTATGCTTGTATAATGGGCTTCATTCATAGATAGATCATGATGACAGATGACAGATTTTAAACCATACGATTCCATACCATACCATCAACTTTATTAATTATTGTAATGGATAATGCATTAATGGTTAGGTTTGATATTTTGGTACTGACATTATTCCAAAGTTGTATTTGAAAGTACAAATATTCTTTAGTATTTACTATATTTGTTATCTGCATATGATCTGTATTAGTATTACAGACACTGCAATTAACGCCTTCTATTAATACTTCTCTGAATAAATAATCTAACGTTGTTTTAAAAGTTACCGTTTAATTTTCATTAGGTACGTTAAGCTGAATAATATAGTTTTGAGTTATTTGTATTTTCTTATTATGGCACGCAGAATAAACTAATTCTATCTGTAATTTATGAGATAACGCATTTTTTAGTGGATCGTAAATGTTTATAAGAGCACTAATAAATTCAGCATACACATTGTATTTGTGGTTTTTTTTAAATTATTTCTCCTTTTTCTTAATTTCTGTTTATATGTTTTAGAAATAGCAAATAACAAATTATAATATAATTATAATTATGTTATAAATAGTACGGCCTACTACAATAACAACAAATAAAACGTGGTTTTTCTATTATATACTGGCGCGGCGGTCAGGGGCGTATTTAGACTTATTTCTAGAGGGAGGCGACTCAAATTTTTCCTTTAATTCAGACTCAAAATTTACAAGTAAAATTTTGGTAATATTTATACCAGGTGAATCCTTAATATTTGTGGTTTTTTTTTTTTTTTTTAATCTAATGCCAGATCCACTTTGAATGGTCTTTTGTGTAATTCTTTTTTAACACCTCTCCGTGTTTTGAAAGTTTCGCTTGTGTTTTATCTAATTTTTCACTAAGTGTGGACTGGGTCTTCAATCAAAATAATATAGGTGTATTATTTATCGTTATGGGACATATAAACGTTATAAGCAATTGAGTGTTTAACGCTATAAATAATTTAAACGTTATTCAATTAAAGCGTTTAAAAAATTTTCCGTTTACTATTATTGACAATTAAAACGTTATGAAAAATTTAATGTTTTCCGTTATTTAAATTGGTGTAAAATTTGAAAAGTTTTCAAATGTAGTAATACTATAAAATAAATCATAATTTTTGTTTCTTAGTAAAATACCCATTACTTATATTAAATTTGTCTTGGTCTAAAAATTCTCGGAGAAGGCGATTGCCTCCATCGCTCCCCTCAAATACGCCACTGGCGGCGGCGAATAAACACATCTACACCGAACGTCACCAGAAACATGAATGTCGATAACAGAAATAACGAATACGATAAGCGAAGACGTGGGCAACGGCAGGAACCGCAAGTCGCAACCGCTGCCCGTGACGAAAACGTATACGGAATAGAAGGGGTAATACGGTCTCGTGCGCTGCTGCGTGAAACGTAATAACTAAAAACGGTCGAGCACAATATCTTTTTGCTTCAAAAATACTTGACTTTTTTGCTAATATATTCGTTATTATTCAACCAATTTTTTCGAAAATGACAAAGGTATAATCTACAAATCATGCCCGATCTATTGATACCACAAACAGACCAATCCGTTCATTCATTACATGTAGGTCTGTAGCCCTGGCTAAAGAAAACGGGCAAATTTACACACATTCAATGGGCAAACTCTGGTTCGTGTAATATACCACGGTAGTGACCGCCTCGCTTTTTTTTTTTACTTAGCTTCGCGCTACTATCGTCACGCTGGATAATTATTCAATTATCTATGGTCACAATTAGTAACAAATAAATGCCGCCAAAACCAAATTTGATACTGGTTTTCTCGATATCACAATATCACATCAATAATACATCGGTAGTACAAGATATGTTATGTCTAGTTCTTATTTGAAATGATAAATCCTGAAACATTTTTACACAGATTCATATATAATACACAATAATATTTAGAATAAATTATATTATTATATTTCAACCTACACTTTAAAATATGATGCATTGGTGCTATTCTCAATATAATGATGAATGACAATAGTTCTTTTAAATTTATGCTTGATTTAAATTTAAAAATATTTTAATTTAATTTCTTAAAATACAACGTTCAATGTCTAGTTAAGTTTTTCTACATTTCTATTTAAAAATGGATAGTGATAATCGACATAGTATAAACAGTGATTTAAGCAGTTGTTTGCAAAGTTTGAGTTCCCGTAAAATTACAGAAAGAAAGGTAATTGTAATATACTTATATATATTATGTATTTTTATTTAAATTATAGCTCATATTTTAAAATATTTTTAAAAACTTTTTTAATTAAGCATTTTTTTTTAATAGTTAGCTAAATTGAATTATATTATATAATATAAAATAAATATGCAATTATATTAAGTTTAAACCTTTTCCAATTGGGCAGATGATAATAATTAAATATTGGTTGGTGCAACCTAACAAATATAATCTATATTAATGTTATTGTATCATACTTATATTCACTGAAAAATATTTTCAATAGAAATTTGAATCTGAATCTTATTTTGCCTGTCATCTTATTACATTTAATAATTTAATTAATTATTATTATTATTATTATTATTATTTTTAAGTTAGTAAATTTTAGGAACTCAATTTGGAGTATATGTTCAGGGCCGGATTAAACACGGAACCTAGGGCTCCAGGCCTAAAAATATTTAAGGTCCGTAAGTGGCCTTCTACCATAAACCCAGTTCAAAATATTTTAGGTTTAAATTTTATTATGGTTATACATTTTTTTAATTTTCGCAATTGTAATTTTTGTATCTGTAATTGAGATTTCTACTCAATTAAATAAATACAGAAGACATTTTTGTGGAGTTTCAAAAAGAGAAGAGAAAATAAGAGAATAAAATTAGTTTTAAAATATTATAATTATATTTTTACATTTGATGAATAATATTGTATATTTGCATGTAATGAAAATTGACAAATATTAAAAATTGTTAAAGGTATTTCTATATAATCGATTGCTTTGTATCATTTTTTTAAAGAAATGAAATTCAGTTATTGGTAATAGATAGTATAAAGATTAATGGCCATTTGGACTGCTAGGCTCCAGGCCCAATAAAATCTTAATCCAGTCTTATATATTAGATTAGGTTCATGTTTATTATTCTCACTACCATAAGTGTCAAATTGATTTTCATATAAATAATATATATGTAATTATAATAATGATAATTGTTGATTAATAATATAATAAAATAAATATTTATTTATAAAATAAATAATGATAAATATATTATTATAGTTTGAATTTGATTATTATTCTTCTATAACAACTAACAATATAGGCATTCATAGATAGTAAACTTCTAGATGCAAATTCAATAAGAGTTACCTTGTGTACTGTTTTTTTTATAAGTGTTTATATTGTGTTTTAAACACTTTTTTTATGTTCAGATAATTTTATTATAAGATCTTATATCACCAGGGTTTATTTTTTGGTGTTACTTATTCTTGAATAATCAAATATAATGTGACTATAATAGATAAATAATTATCACAATTAACTACTAAAACTTCATATATTAATATATTATTATTAATTATAATTATATTATTAATTCATTATTGATTATGCTTAATCAATGATATTACTATATTAGATTTGATTTGGTATAGTTAAAAACAAAGTAACTTATATTTTAATATCTAAAAAATTTCAGTTTTCAATCGGTGTTTTATATATTCTTATTTACCTACTATTCGAATGAAATATTCTTCTGTACTCCCTATTCAACATAGAAAAGAAAGTTTAAAATATGTATAACTTTTTTTTTTTTAATAAGTTTCTATTAGGTTTAATTTTATTGTTTTATATCAAAATATTTAATATTTTTAATTTATAAAATATTTTGCAATAAATGTTAAAATTTGTCAAAATCTGAATTATGGCTAATAATTGTTTTTACCACACTTGGTTTAAAAAGTACAAATATATTGTAATAATTAATATAATTTACTATAGATAAAAAGACAAGAAATTCAACAGCTATTAGAAAGTGATGAAATAATAGCTTTTTTGAATTATAACAGTGGTCAACAAATACAACATGTTGATGACAATAATTACCAAGTAACATGGAAATATCTTCTTAATTGCTGCCATAGAAGTTTAATTCTTGTAAGCATTACAATTTTTTTATTTTTTTAATTATTATTAACATTTTTATTTTTATATTTACAAGGATATTGAAAAAGAAGATATTAAAAAGCAAAAATTAGGTACTGAATACAAACAACCAAATTTAGAAAGCAATTCTACTTTATTAAAAATCATTATCAATAAAGCTAACAAAGGTTTGAATTTAATAAGTTTATATGTGTACTATACACATTAATATTTTTTTAAATACTATAATTAGACAAGAATAATTTCACATTTTTCATATACGGTTGTTTAAGTTTGTTATTGAGTTCTTGATAAGTTGCCCATTCATAATCTAACCAATTGTCTTTTTTTTCTACTTTTCCATTTAAAATTGTTGCTTTGAAAAAAAATATTTTTGCTCCTTCGATTTTAGATTGTTCTCGTTTTTCTTTAGGATATTTATACTGATAAAATCCACATGGAGCATTTCCATAAAATCTAACATTAATATTTTTACCACATGATTCTTTTATTATTCTCTCTGCTGTCTCTCTTAATTGTTCTCCATCTGTCCATAAACCTTGAGGTAAAATCCAAAAATCTTCATGTCCTAACTTTTGTTTTATTATTAAAACCAAGTTGTCTTCTAACTTACGTTTTAATGATTTATTATCGTTTTTTTCATCTGCTTCAGTTAAACGACTACCAAATTTGAATTTTAAAAGTTCTTCTTTGTTTTTATCTAAATAATCTTGTGCTGATTGGCTAGATGATTGATCCATACTATCAAAATCAATAACTGTACCACTTTTTAATTTTTCCATTCTGTAAATATCTTTTTCATGACGAAGCTCATGGTCTGATTTTAGACTTTTTTCAAACTCAATTTCTTTTAAAATATTTTGATAATTTACCTCGATATCTGTTAATGATTTTGTAATAACTGGTTTACGTTGTAGACAAACACTAGCCATGATATCCCATTTTACCTGTTTTGTTGAATAAACTCTATTATATAACTTTTTTAATATTATGTTATTAAAGTTCTTCATACTTTTTTTTTTTTCAATACTGATATTCAAATATAATTATTTTGTAACTTTTAAAAGTAATTTGGAATTAAATTCAAATATTGTTATCAATATATAGCTCGTTTTCCTATCATAGAGTAATATTCCTCTGGTTCATATCGGTTAAATATTTTATCAATTAACCTTAAAAATGTCAAGGAAGTTTAAAAAAACAATAATAATTTGATTCCTAAAACTTCCTTGAACAATAATTGTTTAATTTTTCAAATATTGATGTAATACCTTTTGAAGTCTAAGTAACAATTCTTGGATGCGATCTGGTAGTAACTTTTTATACATTTTTCACCAAGGCCGTAACTGGAAAAAAATTTCGGGGGGGGGGTCTAACATTATTATTTAATACAATTTATAGTTAATAAACTATATCCACCGCTAAAATGTTTCTATTTTCGAAAATTTCGGGGGGTCCGAACCCCTGGACCCCCCAGTTATGGTCTTGGTGTTCACAATCGCGCTTATGGTTATGAACCATTTCATAAGGTTTATCTGAATGACAATTATATAATATAATAGGATTAGTCTTGGCGGGGACATAGTTTTTTCATGTTTTATTACTTTACCCTATTTAAAACCTAGTTTGGTGTAAATGTTAATTATATAACAAATAAAACAAAATTTCAAATTAATTTATATGGTAGTTTTGGTTGTACTGTTACGGGTTTGATTCAGGAGTTAAAGACAATTCACACATACATAGGAATATTGTAATCAGAGGGGATAATCTTAAATATAATGCATACATGTAAGTACATGTAGTATCAGAGACAATGCATTTATATATAATTAATAGATGCACATGCGTGAGCTAAGAAACTCTAAAACAATATAATAAGAATTTACTACGATATGATACTATTATTAATAACAACATAATTATCTTTTTATTATAATATTATAAGATTAAAAGAAATATTTTTATCCTCAATTAGTAACATATTAAGCATAACAATATTTAAGAATACATACAATGTAACTAAGTAGGTATTTAAACAAATAAAGTTAAATCATAAAATTATAAAAACAAAACAAAAATCATAAAAATATCCCTTACTCAAATTAAATATAAAAATAATATAAGAACAACGTGACATTGTAGTATAGTACCATATTTAGCTATAAATAGCAATTATTTCCTAATTGATCGTTTAAATTTAGTTACAAGTTACATTACTTACATTAGATTATAATTAAAACCCGATGTATTTGGATTTATTTGCGTCATATTTAGGCAATATTAAAAATTTGGTAAAAATTTAAAGCAATCATGTAATAATGGGACCCTCTGAATACTTTAGGTGGGCCGGGCTAAGGCCGGATACATATTAGGGTGGGCCAGACACACCCAGGCCTTCCCTTAGCTACGTGTCTACAGTGGAGCAACCAGGATTGGTTTTCGGGGGAGGGATGTGAATTTAGAAAAAATAAGCGTTTTCTGCAGGTGTTTGTTAGGGATAAGGAAGTAAGATTAAGTTAGGTTTATGAGTAAAATATTTAAATTACTAATTAAATTTCAATGTCATATTGTGATGCCACTAAAAAAAGTATTATACAATCGACTATCGAGAAATCGTAGTAGCAAGGTTATTGATATTATAAAGTTGAACGGAACGTTATAAAACGGTCCATATTGTCATGTTAATATTTTTATCAATTATAATACGAATAATATTCATATTTCATATCAATCAACCATTTCGCGTCTTCAAGATAAACCATTTTTTTTCCTACTAAAATTTGTAAAAACCTCAGAAAAATTTCGGGGAGTCACAACCCCCAAACCCCACCACTAGTTACGCTACTAAATGTAACAAACAATCCTAGGCTGGGCTCACAATAATGATTAGATAAAAGCCGCATCTTGGACTGACAGAAAAACTCGATATTTAGGAAATGACATATCACTGACCACATCTTATGTTGAATAGTCATGAGATCAAGAACGATAGGGAGTTCACTCGAGATCAGTGTATAAAAGAGAATCCAGAATAGACCCATTTTCAGAAGTGTTTTAGTCCGGTCAGTGCAAGCATCTTCACATTGGTTTACATAATAAATTAATTGGACTTATTTGTAATAAAGTTAATATTTTAAAGTCAAGAGTTATTTTACCTCACTACATTTCGTAATCTACATTGATTGAAAAGCTGCACAATTGGTTGTGCTCTACTCTCGTTGCACTAGTCTGTACACTCAGACTGGCACGCAACAGTATGCTGAATTATCCGGTTTTGTATCGTCTTTCCTGTACCAATATTTTTTAAAATTCTCATGCTGCTATTACCAATCCTACAAAATTATCTTTGAACATTTATTCATACAAGAAGAAAATAAATAACTTTTCTTTTACATTTTTAAATTTCTATGACACAAAAATAAGTTATTTATAATGTTATTAATGTTTTAGAGCACCCATACTTACCTATTGATGATTTTCTTAAGTGTATTCTTGATGTAACTCGAAATGATACTTTTGAATTGTTTATGGGAGAAATATATTATAAAATATTAGAATATAATATTTTATCACAGCGTTATTATTGGCATTTGTTAGGTGAGCATTGGAATGGTAAGTAAAATATATTATTCATATTTAAATCAAACATTTAATTATAATAAATGTATTGGTTTTAGATTTTTTTTATTTGGCCTGCAAATTATATAAGTCTGATTTTGCAAATATGAAGCATGTTTCAATAAAAATCATGAAACATGTCGTAGTAAGAGGATATGCTCATTCCTGTGTAGCATTTGTTATTAAAAACAAGTAAATAATTAAAATGGTTCATTTAAAAAAATGTTATATACACATTAAAATATTTGTAACAATCCCATTTATCTGAATACAAAAATGTATTAGTAAAATATGAATTTAAATACAAAAAAAGTTTTTCAGAATATTTCTGAATAGGTATTATACTTTTATTCAAATGTACAGTATAATGCACTTTTATTAATTCAATTTGCTAATATTACATTTTTACTAGAGTTAAAATTATTATAATATGTTTAGTATTTTTATAAATTATAGCTAACTAGTTTATTATTTAAATGCTAAAGTAAAATTTAGTAACATATTTTTACTTATTTATATAAAATATGTTGTTTGCTTTTAGACAAAAATTTTAAAAAATCTTTCAAATGAGGATTTATTATAATCTATAAAATTTATATTTACTAAATGATTGCTTCACTTTAAGGTTACCTGCTATTTGTTAGACTTCATCATCATTTATTGATAAGTAGAACATATTGCTATGTATAGATATATAATATTTATTATTTTCTTATAGAATTTTATTGTACTTAAATCAAGCAATTTTGGATACACTTCAAGTTACAAATGAGTATTCTTTAAGAGAAGATTTGCTTATTCTTATACTCATGGTTTGTAAATCTGTAAGTTTACTTTTACATATAAATAATAAAATATTTAATTTTATTATTTTACTTATATTTAATGGTTTTGTATTTAATTTAAATTAAGTTCTGTTACATTTGTGTCATGCATATAATGTATTCTGTTTTTCAATGAAGTGATGTGATGTTATGTTTATAAAAACATTGATTTATACAATATTAAAAAAATAATTGGTTTAATTGTATTAAGGTTGGAGTAGAAATTCGTAAATCACTGTGTTATTTTATCGAAGAAAATTGTATACATTTAATAAATTTATATGAAAAAGATAGACCTAAAAAGGTTTGTTCTTTAATGTAATAAATTACTACTCAATATTTATAAAAATAAAATGTTTAGGTTCAAGAAATACTGTATCAATTGTTAACTTTTTTTATACAAATACATCATCCAAAATGTATTGGCATCAATCATCCAGTATCATATGCTTTTGATAAAAAAATTTGGATTAACCAATTATATAAAATATATGAGTTTGTTCATCGTGAAGTACAACAAACCAAAAATAATTTATATCCAACATTTTTAAATTACATTTCAGAGTTGGCTGTTACTAGTTTTTATACAGTAAAATTATTATAATTCTAAAATAATGTATTTATTTAATTTGTTGATGTTTATAGGTATATTTTAATAAATTAAATACTTTAAACATGCCTTTGGCTGAATGTCCGAGGAAAAAAAAAAAGTATGACATAGATTTATTATCTTTTATAGGGGATCTAACTAATTTAAAGAAATCAGAAATGTGTACCAGGTAAGGTTAGGTTAGGCTAGCTTTTAATACTTGAATTTAAACTTCATATTTAAGCCATCATTTATATCTTATATAAAATATCTTATACAATCATTGATCATTTTTTATTTTGTACATGAGCTAATAGAGAGAAAATTATTTTCTTTTATTTTTGTAGTATAAAGAAATTTTGTAATTTTTCTTTGCAGTAAAAGTTGTTAGTAATAAATAATAATACTCAAGGTAGATAATTGTTTCAGGATATTATTTAAAATATATACTATTATGTACATTATTTTTAAATTTAATAAGTCTTACATTGTAATAAACTTTATGGAATTATTTTATTATTCATACTAAATTCTTACAAGCGATATAATTTTAAACAATTTACTTTGTAATATTATAAAAAGTTTTAATTTATAAATGTTCCTATTTAATCCAATAAAAGTTAATTTTTGTTGAGTCTCAAGTTTATCAAGTTCACAACTTTCATTCAAATAGGAAATTGTAACCCGAGTCATTCTAGATATTTGTTCTGATTTTTAATCAAGCATAATTAGTATAAAATATTTTAAGTAGTATGAAGAATTTCATTTGTATTGATTTTTAAAAAAAAAAAAAAATTAATTTGAAGTACAAAATTGTAGTTATAAAATTTAATTTTAATTAGTTATACTTATTTAAATTGAATATTGTTATATAATTATTATTATATAATAATTTTTAGGCTTAATATAATTATAAAATTACATGTAAATTATCCATCAATTCTAAATGAAGGGGATTATAAATATATGTTGCAATGTATAAAAAATTGCTTAAATTCATCTTATGATACAGATACAACTAAATATTTAATTATGTAAGTTTAATAGTTATTTTAGAATATTTTTATCTTTATGTTAATAACTTTTTTGTTTTTTATATTTAGTTGTTGTAACATTTTAATTAAATCAGAATATTTTAAATTGTTTATGATGAAATGTGATCAAGTTGCATCTTTCTACAAGACGGTTTGGATTTTTATATTAAAGTAAATAATAAATATTTTTACTAGTAGAGTAGTATACAGTATATAGTATAGTATACTATATAGTAAACACCTTTTGTACAGTTAATAAATTAGGTCCCTTAATTAATATTATCTTAAATGGAAATTCTAAACATATGTTTTTTGTTTTCTTTTAACTGTAAGTATTTAATAGAAACAATAAATTATACTAATTAGCAAATAATTAATATATATAGAAAATAGTAAAAAGAAAATCTAATTTATTACCATATAAAAACATATTATATATTACATGACTATTCTTTAATACTGATTATGAATTGAATTACCACATATGATTTGAAAATTTAATATTTAAGATATCAGCATTTTCAATTATTTTAAGGAAGTATAGTATCTGAATTATTCAAGAACTCCTCAAAGACCCCCTGTAATCAGGGATCCCTTAGCACTGCCTCATTTTGTCCTATAATAGCTATACTGCTGTTTGTAGATAGAGTCTTTTATTTATTATAAGTTAATATTTCTTATTACTATTATTTTAGAATCATAATGTCAAATGAAAATGTAGATGTATCTCATGATTTATTACAGTCATTAATTATATTGAAAACAAATTGGTGTGATGAAATGTTTATTGATGTATTAAGACCATATTTGAATAAAACAGTAAAAATTGATGATTACAGTCTGAAAACATTAATAGTTTTGTTTAAGACTAAAGGATTCTGTAGTACATCCATAAATGTAACAGTAAGTATAATTTCTTCAATACTTAAAATTATTTTCCATTATTTAATGTATATAAATGTTTTTTTTTATTTTTTATAGAATATATCCTTATTACTTGATTGGTTGTTACCAATAAATATACAGAATGAATTATCAGTGCAAACATTATTTTCAAAAGTTAATCCCTATCTTCTATCAGAAGTAATGATATTAATACTAACAAAACCTAGTGGAAACAAATTAATTAACAACCCAAATAGTTTGGAATTTGAAAAATCTTGTGATTTCATGGACATTTGTTTTTATTTAAAACTTCAAGATATTCCTAAAGTACAAATTAAAAACATTGAATCTGATGAAAATAAAAGTAAAATTTATCATATAATAGTAAAATCTGTGGTATTAATATTTACTTACACAAACTATTTAATATAATTCAAATGTTTAAGTTGTATATTTAAATAGGCTAGTATAGTGTTTTAGTTAAACTAAAATATTATATTATATTTAAAAAGTTTTTTTAAATATAGCTAGTATTCAATTCTATTACTATTCAAGTAAGTTATGTTTGTGATAGTAGATATGTCTAAAATATAAGATAAAAAATAAAAGTCCTTACCTATTATTTATTTTATGTACAAATATTCTTAATCAGTTTTGATTAAAAAAAAAAAACAGTTTTCAGTTATAAAACATACACATTTAAGAGTATTAACTATGACATTATATTTTTTTAAATTAATTTTTATAATTTTTTATTTCTACCAAATATTTCAGCTATGCAGTGAATTCTTTTCTAATATTATTTATTTATTATGTATAATTGACTTATATTTTTTTATTCCTAAAAATTCTTCAGAATATTTATTAAAAATTAAATCTAGTTGTATTAATGATTTAATTTATGATTGTAATATAATAGTACTTAATAGATTTTACAAATTTCTTGATAAGTAAAAATTCTTGAGCCTTCATGAAAATAATCAAAATTACAGTTCATATATTTTAATTACATAGTTATAGTTATAAAACAATAACTCTAGATGGGTTTGGTAGAAATTAGCAATCAGCTGTAGTTACCTTCTGGTTATTTTGTTATGCAGAATCTAGCATTACTAATTCCTGGATGATTGGTCATCCATGAACACCACTATGTGTTTCAAACCTATCAACTAACCAATCATATTCTATAATTATTTTAACAGTTTATGTTACCTAGAGTATAGTAAATAAAATTAAAATTATTAAAATATTTTTCTCATTTAAATTAAAATTTTTTTTAACTAAGAATTCAAGAATAAGATTATTTTACTATAAAACAATTACTTGAAAATTACTAACAAAATTTTTTTTAAGTTCAAGAATTTAATAAGTCATAAGTTCAAATAATAAAATTAGCATTTAGTAAAAAATTATTGTTGTTATTTGTTTATATTTAACTAGAATAATTTTGAATAAAAACCTAAATCAACTATATATACTTTCTTTTTTTTATCAAAATTGACTCTTATCATATAAAATTAGGCTTAGTAACCAAATAATAGTCAATGGATACCTCATAAATGGCATTATACTAAAGTATAGCTATCCTAAAGAACATTTAAACATTTAATGTGAATCAATGTATATATCATTGTTTAAAGATTATTTAAGAGTATTTGTCAAAATATGTGTGTTATGTTATAAAACATCTTCTTAACAACTTAGCGGACCATGCAGGTCAGGCTCATCTCTGCCATCACTATTCCATTCCATCAATTTCTGTCATCGCATCCTCTATTTGCACATTTTCATGGATCATTATTAAATCTTTTTTACTACGTCCTTCCATCTGGTTTAGGGTCTTTCTATAAACCTTTTCCCCACAATTCTTCTTTCTGTAACTCGTTTTACAGTTTTCCTATCTGGCCTTCATACATGTCCAGCCCATTTTATCCTCTTGCTTCTGCTATGTGGTAGTATATTTGGTCATCCACCAAATATTGTAAGTCATTATTATGTCTTCTTTTGTACATTACTGTTTCTATATTGTAAACTAGGTTAAATATTTTTCTGAGTCCTTTTTTTTTCCTGTTGCACTAATTTAGAGTAGTCGCCCTTTGTAGTAGCCCACGTCTCACACCCATATGTTAATATTGATCTTAAGTAACTTGTGTATAAAGTTAACTTTGATTCTCTCGATAATAACTTTGACTTGAATAGTTTTAGTAAACTGTAATATCATCTATTTACGCTAGTTACTCGTACTTTTATTTTATTTCTTGTACGTTATTTTTGTTGTTTATATTTACGCCTAAATATTGAAACGCTTCTTCCTTTTCAAAAACATAAGAGTCTACTTGGAAATTTAGATGTAAGTATTATTTCGTGAGATACACATATATTTTTTTTCCCTGGTTAATTTCTAAGCCCATAACCTGCCTGGTCCTAAATGTTTTTTGTGGTTTGATTCACCTAAGTTCTGGAGTATCCCAAGATGACTACATCATCCGCATAGGCAAGGATGGTTTAAATTTTACCTACTTCAATTTTTGGAATTTCATTGGTAGTTCTCACTACCCATTCTAGAGCAATGTTGAATAATACCGGCAACAGTGTGTCTCTTTGGCGAAGGCCAGATTTTACTTCGAATTTTTCAGACAATTCTTGCTGATATTTTACCTTTAAATTAGTCTTACTATTACACATCTTAATTATATCTATTTATTTTTGAGGAATACCCAAATGTCTCATAACCTTCCATAGTTATTTTTATTAATGAAATCACAGGCTTCTTTGACATCTATAAATATCAAGTGAAGATCTTTATCATATTCGTAGTGCTTCTCTACTAGTTATCTGATGGTATGGATATGACTGACAGTTGATTTTCCTTTTCTAAATCGATATTGGTATTCCCCCACAATCTTTGTTGCATATGGGCTTATTCATTCTAATAACAATTTTGTAAATAGGTTCTTTATATCCTGTGTCTAATAGTGATACTCCTATAATTTGACACTATCATTGGATCTTTCTTCTTGAAAATAGGGCATATTATTGGCGTACTCCACATAGATACGTACAACACAAAAGTATTATATATATCTATAGTACTCCACTCCTCTGGCATAGGTTATCTTTTCCATACTTCGCTAATAACTCCATGCAATTTGTTTATTAAGTCTTTTCTACCATTTTTTATTAGCTCTGCTGGTATTTTGTTTTTACTCATCGATTTGTTATTCTTAAGAGTTTCTATTATCTTTGCTACTTTTTTTCTATTATTGTTAGTTTATTATTGTTATAAAAGTATGCCAAGTCAAAAACATCCTAGCTCTACTAATAACTATTGCGGCCTATTATTATTAAGGCTAATATTTTTATTTTATATGAATTAGCTGTATATAAAACATTGTAATGTACACTGTGTGTTTAAAGTTCTAATGTTTCATGATCCCAATTTAATTCCGTTTATAAACATCTAGGATGTTAAAATATTTATTAAGATTATTATGTTTTTTACTACAAAATCAAAAACATCAAGGTCTAAATAGTATGTTAATATGAATATTTTACTTTTTATTATAGGAATTAAACAAACAATTGATGAAAGTATTTTGAAAAGATTAATTTATTTCATAAAACAAACTATGCCAATAGAAAAAAAAATCAAATATTGTAATATTACAATTATTTTATTCTTTAATAAATTTTGTTTGTTTTCTTGAAAATCAGTTACCTCAGTTTATTAATGAATATAATGAATTCGGGTATTTATATTATATTTTTATTTTCATAATTTACTATAAATGTTTAATATTTATTACAAATAATTAGTTTTTGTGTTCATAGATTATATAAATTTGAATACATGGAAAAAGTAAAAAATATAGTTTTAGAACTAAAAGATGATGTTAATCAATTAAATAATGAAGAATTTGTTAATGTTTGTTCGTTATTTTATAAAAGGTTGCAATTTTTGGATGATCAATTAGTAAATGTAGTATTAAACCATGAAGCAAACAAAATTACCATTCTTAAGCTCTATAACTTAAGTAAATTAAATGGTAACTATAATATTTATTCAATTATATTATATATATTATTGATATTTTGGTTTTGTTATTTTAGATTCAAATAATTTATATCAAGTGTTAAATTATGAAAGTCTCACAAAAAAAACAAAAATTAAGTATAAAAGCAATGAATGTAATGTTAAATACTTGCTCATCAAAAGGTATGTACTCTAAACAAAAATATAATTGTGCTATTGTTTTAAAGTAAAAAAATGTTATGTTTCTTATTTTTTCATTTGAAAAATGATTAATTACTTCTTCTGGACCTACAATAATATTTCTGTGTACACTAAGTAATGCTAGGCCAGTCAATCGGTCGTCTCCTGTTGCATTTCTTAGGTAAATTTTTAATCTTTTCAGCGTCGAAAAAGTTCTTTTTGGTGTTGCCGTAGTTATTGGTAACGTTGCCAAAACTTTTAATAAAAATGAGATATTTGGAAAAAAAATGTTGGTTATAGTTTGAACATGCTTGGAGTATTTCAGGAGATCGTTCGAATATTGGTTTATCACACCATTTTCTTTTCCAAAGTTTTAATTGGTTTGAAAGTGCATCCAAATTTAAGAATTTTGAGTAAAATTCGAAATCACTTGCTTCTAATTCAGAATTAGCGCATTTATTGGGAAGTAAAAAGTATAGAGAAGATATTATTTTTTTATGGTTAGTGGATCATTCTATTAATTGTCTTATAAAATCATCAAAAAATGGTATTGTGATAGTTATACGAAAATATGTTTTCGGACAATTAGTAGCAATATTCACACGATTTTGTTGACAAGCTACTATTCTGGGAATTTGAATATTTTCTTCTTCATCAATAGATTTTAAAAGAAGTTCAGATTTTTCAAAAATTTCATCAAATTTATGATCAATATTTTCACGTAAATGAATTAATTCGTTTAGTTTTGTTTCGATATGTTCTACAGCTTCTACTAAGTCACAACTAACTGATTGTAAACTTTTACATATTGGAAGTGTCATTGTAAACAGAGTAATTGATGTAATCATACTTAGTATAAATTCACTAGTTACTATTGTTCGATAAAATTGAAGTGCTTTTGATGACGTATTGATGTCTTGAAATAATTGCAATTCATCCAAAGTTTCAACAATGGGTTGGAAAATTTCAACAAAACTTTGAATTCCGTTATGGTTTTCAACCAATTGAGTATCACACATTAATGTTAGTTTAGTCCACTTGGTATTGGGTACAATGTTTTTTATTTTAGTTTTTAGTGTATTAAATATTAAAAAGTATTATTACTATTAAATATTTAATATACTATAAACTAAAATAAAAAACATTGTACCCAATACCAAGTGGACTAAACTAACATTAATGTGTGATACAAATTTTGTCCGAAAAGCACGTACGTGAAGTTGACCCACCCTTTTTCACGGATTAACTTGAAACCTATACCAATATTTTGCGAGTTATTTGCGAGAATTTGCGAGTTAATTTTCAAAATTTGCGAGTAAGTCGTTTGCGAATTATAATTAAAAAACAGAAGAATGGGCCAACTTCACGTAGCCTCTCCAAGTCGCCCTAGAACTTCAAAACCGATAAATACGATGCGTCTTTATTTGCGAGAATTTACGAGTCCATTTTCAAAATTTGCGAGTTCACCCCTTACCCGCAAATTCCATTTTCCTACCGTGAAGTTAGCCCACCCAAGTCGTCCTAGAATTTCGAAATTGATACCAAACGATGCGTCTTTATTTGCGAGAATTAATGAGTAAGCCGTTTGCGAATTATAATTAAAAAACAAAAGGGTGGGTCAACTTCACGTAGCCTCTCCAAGTTGCCCTAGAATTTCAAAATTGTTTAATATTTTTAATTTTATTCAAATTATTTCCAATATTATAATTTTCAGATTATGAAATTAAATTATTATTATGGAATCTTAAAAAATTATTTTATCTGCTAATTCATTTATACGAAAGATCAGTGGCGGTTCGGGTGCTCCTGCACCTACCCAAACTCAAAAAAAAAATTAAAAACATAAACTATAATAATACAAATAAATACCTGTAGTGTTATTAAGATTATTTTTCAAAATTTAAATTCAGAATAGCATGCAAATAATATAATATTTAGATTGGGTTATTCTAAAGACTTATTCTAGGGTTATTCTAAATTTGTACAATATAAAAATTAAAACAAGTCAAAACACACAACACGCGTTATAATGGAATTGATGTGCATATTCATTTCTGTGCACATAACCAATTAAAATGTTTTCAGCGTATTACTTTCGACGTCACTGCGTCGGCATCGGCATTATGATTTATTTTACTCTCATTTGTTTATTATATTCTAATTATCAACTATAATAGTCATTATCTTAAATTCAAAACAACAATCGTGTTTCTATTTAATATCGACCACTGACGTAAAAAAGACAAAAAATCTAAAAACTTTTAACGTTGTATATATAATATTAATAAAATATTAAAAATACATTTTTTTTTATTTAAAAAATAAAATATTAATAAATCGATATTTTTAGCTTACATTCATCTGGTTTTGACATATCACAGATATAATTTTAAAAATTAAACTTTTTATATATGATATAAAACTATGAAATAAAATATCACATTGCATGATATAAAACTAATTGACTAATAAAGATCAATATATTGAACCAAAATATTTATTACAGTAATCTCTCGTTGTCCGCGAAGGTTACGTTCCAGCAAACCTTTGCGGATAACGAGACCGTCACTCGTCAGAACGTAGACCAAATGTCAACTAAATATGTATTAAAAATTAATACTACAGGTGAAAAAGTTTTAACCCTTCACTGCATGCAAGGGCACTGGTGCACTGCGTTGTTTCGATAGTTATAGTAACAATATTTTGATTTTTATTGATATCAATTATATTGATATATTAAACATATAATATGACAAAGCAGTTAAGTATTAAATTTCACTGTTAGAGTGTACTACCATTGATTATGGATAGTAGATACCAAGATAATAATTTCATGTTGAATACTGTATAATGGCGTATTGTGTTCTAATGTATTGGCGCACTTCCATGCAATATAGATACTAATAGTTATGTCGTATACGCCACGCAAAGGCTTGGCGTATAACAACACAAAACGAGGTATTATTGGTTATCGGACACTCTGTCAAACAAGCAAGTAAAGGAAAACTTAATAATTGACCCGGACGTTTATCTTCTTAAGTGACAAAGAACACAATCTAGCACTGCTTAATAGGATAGACGAAAAACAGGTTTTTTAAAAGGTTTACTTTCCTTTAATAGCTCTAAAGTTATTTTACACTCGAAACAACTGACAAAGAACAAGATCTAGCACTGGATGTTTCGAGCGTGAGGTAACCTCTACCTAACTATATTGTTCTCTCCCCTTAAACTGACAAAGAATTATAATCTAGCACTGGATTGAGGTTTGAAATGCAATATAATTTTATTTACCCCTTTTGTTAGTTTGCCAACTCTCTCAAAACTTGCACGAGTACGTAAGGTAGAAAAAATAATAATATAAAAACTTTTTATTTTAAAGCAAACGAAAAAATATTTATTAACCACAAAAACAAAATAATTACCGGTCACTCCCAAAACGGGCAGCGTTTCGTTCTCCACGTCGATGGTAGTAGAACGAACCCCTTTCCCGTCTTGCGGGCGGCGTTTTATGCTATTCTAATCTATATTGTCAGCATTTTGTGAAGGTGGTATGTGTTTGCTGACAATATATTAATTTTTATTAAATTTAATATACGTGTTAGGTGATGATACAACAGTTATTACTACCCTCATCAACTCCATCAATTTTTGCGTTGTAGTGGTTTGCGTAATTATTTTTCGATTAGCTAATATTACAAAATTATTAAATTAAAATATAATATAATAATATAACATAATATAATAACACGAAAAAATATCGGGGAGGGGGGGTTGATCCCCAAACCATCCCAGATACGGCCTTGACCACTAGCAACCCAATATATATAATAAAAACATTACCACACACTACATGGGGAGGATACACAAATACCTTAATTAAAATTCACTAAAAATCACTAATTTAATCAAAATTGAACTATGGCGCAATTTTGTACAGAACAGCATCCAAGTCCACATTTGACTTGTTAGATAGTGTTAACAATAGCGGATTGAGATTTGCAATAGGATTATTAATATTTTTAATATTTTATAATATAGTAATTTAATTTGAGACAAGAACCAGATTAAAAAACTGTAATCAAATTACATTGAATATTCTTTATATTTTTAATAATTATTATTCATCTTTTAAAGTATTATTTTAACATAAATGTAAAGAGAATGGATTTGTACAACTTTATTATTATTTTTATAGGTCAAGTTTTGAACTGTCAAACATCATTATTAGAAGTTTTAATACAAGACCTAAAAAAATTAGAAGATACAATTAGTCAATCATACACCTACTTCAAAGTATTATTATTTTTTTAATTATATCATTTTTATTATTAATAATATCAGATTATTTTATTTAACTATACAAAATAATTAAACTAAATTAAGTAGATATTATATTTTTTAATATATAATTATATTATATGAGTATCATATTCTCTTTATAATTTAATTTTAGTTTAATCTCATACTATTATATATTTTAATTCATAATTGTTTTAAAACAATATTAATCCTAATTTAGTTATCCAATATAATAATTAAATTAGGAGTTGATCATAAATTAACTAATTTTATTTAAAAACTTCACATACATATATGTGTTTTTCTTTTAGTATTTCCTAATTTTATTTTTATCTTTAATATTTCCAATTATTGCTCAGAATCATTAATTTAATGTTATGATTTGTTGGCTTCCAAGTTCATAAAAATTATATCAATAACCTTATAGTAAAAGTATTTAACCCATTTTACTTGGGTTGCAGAAATTTAATAATATTTTTATTGTTGTCAATTAAAGTAATTAGATTATTTCCATACATCATATAAATCTTTTTTGACAGTATAAAAACTACTTTTATTATTATTTATTTTTTGTTTTTTTTTTTAATATTTATTTGAAATTATAAACTAGATTTATTCTTTAGATTACCAGTTTTCTCCGTATAGTTTTGAGCTTGGATAATTTAACATTAGATATAATAATCCAGATAAATAAGTTTATTAAACAATTAGCTAAAAATTGGTGTTATCATGAAGAAGGTTTTATACTAATAACACAACTTTTGTGTGGTAAGAATTTTTTTTTACTAATTCGTATATTGTTTGATTGTTTTAAACATTAATTTAATAATTTTTTAGATGCACTCAGTATAATTACCAAAAATAATTCAAATGAAGTTTGCACTAGTAATATGCTTATGATAATTCACTCACTTCAAAAAATATCAAAAAGTAAAAAATGTGGACCTAAAATGGTTTGTGCTTTTGTTGAATTACTTGGTCAATTCTCATTTGTAAGTTCTTGATATAGTTTTCTTAATTTTACTCTCTTTCAATATTATACATAATTTTTTAAATAAAATAGACAAAAAAATGGGAACTTTGGTTATACATGGAATATTGATACAAATATAGTAGAATATATGAGTCCTGAAAATATACTATCATATATAAATAGTCAGTTTTTAGAGGTTTGTTAAAAGTGTTCTGTCATTTAAAATAAAATGTTTATAAATACAATTTTTTGTTTCTCTAAAATAGGTAAGACTCACTGTTATTAAATATATAAAGGTAATATGTGTTGTTTATGAAAATAGTCCAATTAATAGTCCATACTCAATAAACTATGAGGATATGTTCAATATTATATTACAAAATATTCATGAAGGATTCATGATAAAAGTTGTGAGTTTCAATTTTATTTTACTTATTTTTGAATTCAGTGTCACATTTATATAAATTGGTTTAAAAATATATATTTAGTCTGAAACAAATGATGATGAGTGCAACAATCTAATATCTACATATTTATTAACTATGCAATCGTTATTAATATCAAGTTCAAAGTATCGTAAAAAAATGTTTATTCAATATTTTTAAAACAGTTGTTGAGAAAAATATTAATTTAAGTTAGTATTTGTTTTATTAATTTTTTACTTTATTATTTTTAAAAACATTATTTATTTTTAGATTTAGTTATAAATTTATTAGAAGGTGTGGCAATCGAATTAAAAATAAAATCCTATATAATATTATTAGAAAATTATTTAAACTTTTTACTTTGGCATTGGCATTTTGAATATTCAAATTTTGAAGTAATATTTAACACATTCAAATGATTATATGCATATACTTAGTAAGTTATTTTTAATTGTTTATTATTATTATTTTTAGAAGTTTCCAGTAAAATTGTTTTCCTGTTTAAAAATGGAACAATTTTTAAAAAAATACCCTTTTGAAATAATTCCAATTTTAGTCATAAAAAATGACATAGATTTATTACATTCATTGGGTGCTGTGTGTCAAGTAATTAAAGTAAGTCATTTTTATACTATAATGATTAATTTATAGTATCTATATAATATGAAAATTTGAATACCAAAAAATAAAAATGACCATATATTTAATAGGTAATTAATAAATAATAACATGTAATCAAATTTTAAAAGAGTTTATTCTGTGATGTATTGTTCAAAATATATTATGTTATTATTAATTTTTTAATAGGTATATAATATATTGATAACAAACACTGTGACAAGAGAATTTTTTATGCATAGAATATTATTCTGTGATTATAATTTATAAACAATTTTAATACTCAAATTAATGACTATTTGAGTATTTATTAATTTAGTGTTATCAATATTGAATATGAGCTTTTATACATTTTACTACCATAAAATTAAACTGCTATAAATGAAATTCAGAAAAAACTTGAAAAAATGAAAAATGAGCTTTATTAAACTCTTCTTAAAGTCTGCACACATTCTTTACATTTTAAATGCAGAATTAAAAATATTTTAATTATTTTAGTAATTTCAAATAGAAGATTAATAATAACATACTATATACATCTTTGATACTAAAACAAATTTAGTAGTCGTAATATTTAACTTTTTACATTTATTTTATTTTTATTAGCTGGAACTGACAAATTTTATAATACTTACAGGAAAACTTTTCTATCATATATGCTTACATATTGGCTATTAATGTTAGTAATGTGTCATATCTTAATCATGATGAAATAAAAAAGTCAGTTGAAATTAAAATAAACTCGGAAGAGTTTAATGAACTGATAAAATCTCAGTTCTCAGAAATATTATTAAAATGCATTCAAATGATTGTCATTAACAATGAGCAGCCCATTGTACCGATTCAAATTAACAGTAATCAGTTTCAAAAAATCATCAATATTTTTCAAGTTGGTAGTATAATATAAATATTTTGTTATATAATATTAATATATGCATTATATCTTAATGGATTTTCAATATTTAAATTAATTTAATTTTAATATTATATCATGCAAATTATAGGAAACACATGTAAAAAGTAAAGCTCCACTTTTTACAGTTATGTCTAAATTCCAGGCAAGAAATATTCAATCTATTGTACATATATTATTTGTAAATATTTTCAAAAAACCAACATCAGAACTAAGGTATATATATATATATATGGGTATTTTTTGTATTTTCTTGTTTAGTACAGTTATTTATTAAATTATAGGTATCAAGCGTTATTCCAGTATACTTTTTTTATGAAAGTTCTTATTGATCAACTATCAAAATATAGAGAATCAGATGAATTCACTCACTTTCTTGTTTATCAATCTGTGCGATCAACAATCACTTTAATAAACCAAAATAATTTGGAAATTCTGAATCATGCTTTAGAATATTTAGAATGGTTGATAACAAATTTTCAACGGTTTTTAGTATTATATATTAACCAAGTTCAACCTCTGGTATCATCATCTTTTCGAATATTAGCAAAAAATCAGCCTTCTATTAATGAAAAACTATGTAAATTATCAAATGTTCTAAGAACATTAAATAATCAAAATATTCTTCATGAAATAAATAATGAACATTTTAGTGTATTACAAAAAGAAATTATAATTTTTCTCTCTCAACAGAGTGAAAATACTGATATAATTAAAATGTTACAACATATAAAACTGAAGGTTAGTGTCAAAATTCCATAATTCAGAAATCACAATTTAAAAATAATATTTTGTTAAAGTTAAAAAGAAATGAAAAACAACTTCTCTGTATGTACGAAGAACTTTTAAAAATACGAGGATTTTCAGAAGACTGTGCTCAAAGCCCTTTGCATAGATTTATTTGTACACTTATTCAGCTTACAAAAAGTGAAGATTTTGAAGTACGTACTTTAAATTTTATTTGAATATGTGTTATTATTTTACATACAATTTATAATAAATAAATATATGAAGTATTTTTTCAAATAAATAATAAAGTAAAAATAATTATAAATTAATGGATATAATGTCTAAATGTATATTATAGTGTTCCTATAACATTTTTATTATTGTTATCAGATTCAAATCCTACTTCTTCTTCTCTCAACTATTTGGGGTTGGTCACATTTGTCCTAGACCTCCACTCAACTCGATTTTCTACATCGCGTACTAAATTAATTTATATTTTTGGAACCTCCTTTTTTATTAATGCCCACTTTTAAAAGTTCTCTTGACTCTGTCATACACATTTAAAAAATGTATAAACACCATGCATAAGTTTTTGTTCTTTTCCCTAAACTTCTCTACTAGTTGTCTAACACAAAATAATGGTTCCATTGTCGATTTTTTTGACATAAAACCAAACTGATTTTCCGATATTGATGTCTCACTTATTATTCTTTCCTCTAAAATATTTTACCAAATCTTGAGGTTAAAATTCTATAACTCATGAGCTTTATTTCTCTATAGCTTCCTCAATCCTGTATGTCTCCTTTGCCTTTAAATATTGATAACAATAAAACTCTTTCTCGAATCCTCTGGCATTTTTCTCTATTAACACTTTATTAAAAAGGTTTTTCAACCTTCCAATGCTTACATCCCCTAAAATGTTTCACACCTCTACAGGCACTCCATCTGATCCTACCACTTTTTTTTTTTTCATCACCTTCACCGTAACCTTCACTTATACTGTCTTTCTTCCACCCAAAATAATCAGTCTGTGGCCTATTTCTTTCACTTTTATATATTATATAATGCTCTTCTCATTTCCTAAAATATGTATTGATTATTGCAAGTTCAAATGATTATGCAAAATACAAAACTTTCTTCAGCCTTGTTCCTCTCGTCAAATCCATACCGTCCAGCATTTTTTCATACTCTACTCTCTCACTACTTGTCCATTCATATTACCATCAATCATGGTATCTTAATTTGCTGATATTTTTTTCCATCATCTCATCCATCCCTCACCAAAACTCTTCATTTTCCCTTTCTTCATATCTTACTTGTGGCACTTATTATTTTATGCACTTATCATATTTAATACTTTTTTTCCTCTAATACCAATTTTACCGGAATAATTCTATCAATTTTTCTTCCTACATCGACTACCTTACTTTTCATCTCATTATCCAATATTACTCTAACTCCATTCCTAGTACTAGTCTTACCAGAATAAATTATTTTTTAACCTCATATTTCTTTTGTTTTCTCTCCTTTCCACTTAGTTTCCTGAACACAAAAAATATTAACTTTCCTCCTCTTCAATACTTCTGCTAATTCTCTACTTCTGTCTGTTAATGTTCCAGCATTCCACGCGCCTATTTTCACTTAATACTTATCATTACTTATTATTACTTACCTCTCATACCTAGACACAGATTTCACCCGGAGTGTATTGGTGATGTCCCTACACTGTTGACATTACCTGTTTTGGGTAGACCTGAATATAACTGGTAAACCACCTACCAAACTGGTTGTCCAGCTAGTATCACATAATTCATCATCTAAGCCTCCTGTACCTCTAACTATGATACTTCCTCTCACTTGTTGTCCTTGCATACATCTGACATGGGATAAACAGCCTAAGTTTTTATTTGGACTCCTCATACTCTTTGATAATATGTTTACACTAGCTGTCAACCTGACGCATCCTTATTTAGTCGCCTTTTACGACCGGCTGAGGAACCATGGAAGTATTCTGATTCCTTTCCACTGGAGGAATTCAAATCCTTCTAACTTTTTATTATAAATTTAAACTGTTTTTTTTTTGCCATAATTTTTATTAGAGAACTATTGTCTAATCCAGATGTTGATCATTATTTCTTATATATATATATATATATAACACATAATTTAATAGAATTTGGTTGCCAATTAGATTTTTTAATTTTTTTGACTTGCATAACAAATTTTTTACTGTTAATTTAAACCAATTACAATATTTGAATTACAATTTACTTGCAATTTTATAGTCATACAGTCCATTTAGTATTGGCAAATTGCATGGTTTTATTTATTATTCTAATTTATTATTTAATCAAACATCATCACATGTGAATATCTTAGTTTTAAATAAAATAATACTCATTTTATGTACAAATTTTGAAACCCTCCGTTTCTCTGTCTAATTCTCAGTGTTAAAATTCTAAGTGTTAAAATTCTAAGTGCAAATAATTTTCTTTATTAATTTTATTTTGACAATTTGAAAATTTAACAATATTAAATTAATTATATTAATTATTTGTTTTTATCAAATCATAGATTCAAATTCTGGCTGCCAGTTGTTTGGGTATATTAGGTCCAAATAATTTAACTACATTGATATTACAACCAGAACCAGAAGTATTAAAATTAGAATCAAATATTTCAGTGAAACGTTCTTTGATTAAACATATAGTTTTAAAGCTATTAGATTACTTAAGTGATAGTAATATTTCAGTTATGGAAGCTAGTTTAACAACCTTATTCAAAGTCATGGCAACTAATGAAGGACAATCTTTACATGGTATCATACTTTAATCAGTACTTTTTTTAAAAAATGTAATACTTAACTGCATAATTTATGTTATTTTATGTTTAGAAAATTTAGATAAAAGTATCATATATCCATTTTGCATATCACAAGAAGAAGATGTTGAAATATTATTTGATATTAAACAATTTGAATTACTAATTGATGTAAAAGAAATGTGGTGTCCAACCGATTCTTTAATCACCTATGGTAATTGGATTACAAACATAACAAAACAATTATTAGAAACTCTTCAAGGTTTTTGTAAAAGCTTATTGCTTGTTGCCGAAAATAAGGTGAAAATATATTATAAATACTACATTTTGAAATTTAATATTTTTATCCAAATTTTTGATATTAATTGATTAAAACTTTTTTTAGTTTGGTTTTTGTGAATATATTTTACCTCATCTTATATATTATCTTCTGGTGTGTGAACCACTTACAAGACCAATATTAAATAAACATTTAAACAGATTTTTTGTTAAACATTATGAAATTAATAAAAACAATTCATGTAAGAAGAAAAATTCAAATAATTTTCAAGGTAATAAATTATTAGCTATAAGAATTATATTTATTTATATAAATAACTGATTATTTTTACAAATATTGAATATTATTAAAATAATATACTCTTCAAAAAGTAATAATTGGGAAAATTGAACAGAAATAAGTTTGATCATTTTGGAATATATGTTTTAAACTATTTCTTAAAACTCATTTATCTTTTCGAAATAAGCTTTTTTATGAGTTTTATACACAAGAGTGTTACGGGCAATGCATAAACATGAATACAAATAGGCCTGAGAATTGATAAAAAATAAATAATAATCACTAAGAACAAAAGAGAATAAAATTACGAAAGTCACATAACCATAAGTTATAATTTTGTCCAAGTATATTAATAATTAACGGATGGGCACACAATAAAGATGAGGTGTAGACCACACAAAATAATACCACATAAATAATATATGGATAATGGATGTAGGTATGAGAGTAGGGAGTAAAAACGGGTTTGAAAACCGGGTAAAACGGAATTTTCTGAAATCGTTTTGGGACACCAATCTTGAAACCCGGAATTTTTTGGACATGAAACCCGAAATTTTTTAAAATTGTTATCGGACATAAAACTCGATACCCAGAAATTTTCGAAATAGTTTTCTGTCACAAAACCCAAAACCTGAAAAAAGTTGAAACCTCTTTCGGACATGAAACCTATAACTTGACATTTCCTAACTCGTTTTTACTCCCTGTATAACAGAACAATGTATGATAAAAGCCTAACAACACAAAACGCAGTCTGTCATGCCTGAACATTTTAAATCGAGACAACAGGCGATCAAATTGTATAAAATTATAAAACTCCGCGTGGAATTTTGTAATTTTGTACATTTTCGAGGATGCAACAGAAGAAAAAGAAAAATGAATGAAAAACGTGAGGAAACATATTTTTGTATGACACCTCCCATGAATATTACAAAAATGTAAATCTTTCTCTTGAGTTAATTCGTGTTCTTCAGTTTTTTGGGTATTTTGAAATGTTTGATTTTACTAGGTTATGTAAATTCTTAAAACACTAGTGACATACGAAAATATTGAAAAAAAAACGATTTTTTTTTTAACTTTAATGCATAAACAGTGGGGTAGCCACAAAGAGCAATGGGCCATGTCCCCCTCCCCATCGACCGAATCAACATTTTTGCATAATTTTTGTTTATTTTATACGTTTGAAAAATTTGTTGAATTTGCTTTTGCTCTGAATTCTTATCAATTTGTTTAATAGTAATTTAACTTTCAATAAATCTGAAAAATCACAGCAAAAGAAGTAATCCAAGTTTTTTTCTTCAAAATCTCATCGTCGTCTCTTATTATTAAATTGATCAAAATAAAGTTAATAAATTGAAATTTAATTAATAAAATAAAAACACGTTAGACTTATATTAAAATTAATTGTTATTGTTAATTATTGATTATGTTTTTTTAGTATTTTGGGTTTGCCCCCCTCTCCATTTTAAAATCCTAGCTATGTCACTGTACAGAAGCGATGGTATCCCTACATTCTTCTTCTACTTCTTCAAAACTTGACACATTGAATAAATATCGTTACAACTGTCAAAAATATATTGTTTATTAGACTGCTTGTTAATTTTAATTTAATAACTATCATTACACACAAATCATAGCAATTGGAAAACGGAACGTAGGAACTATTTACTGGGTTAAATTTGACTAAACGAAAATTAAATTCTCTCTAAATCGCTCAATATATTTCATTCTATGTGTCATCATGATCATTGACCACACCGCAACGATCGCGTGATCGTTGCCCGTCCCGACAGATCGCGTTAAGTGTGACCAAGTCTGTTCACACAAAAATTAGAGTATATAAGAAAATCCCGAACACGTCTAAAATTAGTTGAGTTTTAGTCTAATCACCAGTGATGGGAGTTTTCGTTCCATTTTGTGAATCGTTCCTATCGTTCCAGGTCCGGAAAAGGAACGAGTTCAAATGATTCGTTCCTTCGGTTCTTTCGTTCACAAAATATATTATAGTTCACAGTGTACGGGCCCGGTTATTACCGGGCGGCGGAACCGGTATTCCGTTAACTGAAATAATTATAACTCAATTGTAATATATTGACCGCCGTAAACACATTATCACAAATATTAATAGTAGATATTTAAATATTTTGGATTGTATTCATGTTTTATAATTAGGATTAGGAATAGGTATTTATAAATTATAAAATAAAAAACCCAACAGTGTTTTTGCAGTCTTTGCATTTATATTACAATAACAATAAATTCAATAAATTACTATTTAAAATAATAATAGTACAAAAAATGATTAGGAAGTTACCTGAAATATGTATTATAGATTGCCATTTAAAAACATTAATGTTTCCATATTTTTTATGGAAAGTCTATTACGCCTGTCTGTTTGTGTGTATCCGGCTTTAGAAAACGTTCGTTCGCATGGAACTGATGTTGATGGCACTCCCAATCTTTGTAACATCAAATGGTATATATTTGGATATATACGTTTCATTTCCTTCCACCATACAAGAGGATCTGATTTCCTTGGGATTAAAGGCTCATTAAGAAATTTATCTAATTCCACAATTGCATCGGAAGTGTCAGTTCTCACTGTTGTAACTTTTTTTACCTAAAAAAATATAATATGTAATAGGCTATTTATTATCATAAATTATCGTTATTTGATAAATTGTTTAAAAATGTAAATTAAAATTCATACCTGTGAATCAAATTCTTTCCATATCTCAAAGGTTTCTTTTTTTTCAGTTGACATAGTGATTTGTTCGTTATCTGTAACTATATTTTCTTCTTGATTAATAGATTGTCTTTTGCGTTTAATTATACTTGAAATCTCGCGCACGACGTTTTGATAAGTACGGATATAATATGTCTCGCTACTAAATCCTTTTTTTTTTAAAACGTGGATCAATTAAAGTTGCTTCAGCAAAAGTAGAATTGTCTTCCATACCGGCAAATCTGTTTTCGGCTTTATTTTCTATCTTTAAAATCATAGAATAAATATCAAGTGGTAAGTTTTTCTCAGTTCTCATTGTTTTTATGTGAGATAACAATGCATTTGTGAGAACTATAACTTTGGAAATTGATACCCCTTTTTCCGAACTTAACTCAATTGTAACTTCTTTAAAAGGCTTAAAAAGTTTGCAATAATAAATCCATTAAATTAAAATCTGACGCCATCAACATTTCAGTATTACCAATCATAGCCAAAGTGGATAGTAATGGATCTTTTGTCTCTAATCACCTATTAAACATATCATAAGTCGAGTTCCATCTCGTTATCACATCTTGTTTCAGTTTTAGTACTGGCTAATTCATCTGAATTTGTGTGTTTTTTAATTTTGCTGCTGCTTGAGAACTACGCTTAAAATGCTCTACTATTTTTTTAACTTTTTTATGTATTTCTTTAATTTCTTCTAACCCACATAGGGCTATCAAATTAATGCTATGCGCTAAACAAGGAATGTGTTTCCAATTTTTATTTGAACTTATTGCAGCTGTAATATTACTAGCGTTATCGCTAATAGCTATTTTAACTTTATTTACAATACTCCACTCTTCAAAACAATTGTTTAAAAATATCGATAAATTGATTGCTGTATGTGATAATTCAAAATAATAGCATCCTAGTAAATGAGATTTTAAAACGCATAGTTCAGTATCAATAAAATGTACTGTAACAGCGACATAACTTTCATTATTAACAGATATCCAACCGTCCGTACTCATTGCTATATATGATGCATTATCTAAACTCCTTTTAACCTTTTCCCTGGTGTTTTCTAATAATTGAGGTAAAATATTATAAGTAATTGTTTTTCTACTTGGCAAAGAATAGCTTGGATTTAATAATGATACAAATTTTTTAAACTCTTTATTTTCAACCAAACTAAACGGTTGGTATTCTTTAGCCATCATTATACCTAACTGCTCATCAATTTTTTTAGATTTCGAAATAGGCATCGGCCTTGATGTATACGCATCTATGGATACTTGTGTTTTTGTAACGCTAGCTGTTTTATTTTTAATTATAGGTGTAATAGTAGTTAAATTAGAATGGGAAGGTTCGGATACGGAAACATCAGGTTCATCGATGTTTTTTTCGAGAATTCCTGGCTTCGTATTGAACTATGTGTTTTCGTTTTAAATGTCTCGTTAAATTAGCCGTAGAACCCCCTTTATAAGAAATAGTATTAGAACAAAAATTGCATTTTGCTTTTTCACCATCAACCACTTCAAAATTATTCCACGTTTCACACTTTTTTTTATCCATTATACCAAGAATAATATTACTAAATTACTTATTAATTTAATTTATAGAAAATATAAATGAAATGTAACTTACTATTTTGTCGTTTAATCAACTAACATTGACAAAATGTCTTATAAATGTAATATTAATAATTTTATGCACATAGACACCGCGATTGAAAAATAAACTGTACAACTGTAGAAGTGTAGAGTGTAGGCTCAACTAATTTAAGAACATAACAATATAATAAAAGACAAAATAATAGATATTTTATTAATACATTCTAATATTATTAATGTTTATTAGTTTTCATTTGTTATGCCTTAAGCACAATATTATAACGTTTCTATAAATATAAAATATGTGTATTGTAATTAAATGAACTTCTTTAGATAGCCAACTCGGTATAAATAGGTCATAGAAGAAAACGTAATTAAATATCTATATTATTATTATTAATTTTTAATTATGATTTATTTTATGCTAGTTTAGGTAAACGATAGTGAAATGAATGATCGATGGTATAATATCGATATTTTTTTGATGCACCTATCCATATATTTTACTTATTTACTCTCGTTCTTGTTCAACTAGTCAATTGTGAATAACTATTAACTATCGATTTCAATTTTGATTTTCAATAAATTATAAGAATCACGGCTAAAAATAATCTATAGCCATGATAAGAATATAAAATACACGGAGTAAGAATATCAATCATTATCTTGGTCCGTGATAAAATGTTATCTACAATCTAATTTTCGAATATTCCTAATTATAATGGACAACTTACTAGTACAACAATTATACTATGCACTTTTGGTACATTTTACCATTGGAACATAGGAACGAAATGGAACGAAGGAACGAATAGGAACGTTCGGGTGGAATCGTTCCTAATCGTTCCTCTACTGGACTCGTTCATTTGGAACGATTCGTTCAGGAACGACCCATCACTACTAATCACTGTATGCACCTTCTCCTTAGTTTATTCAATAAATTAATTATTTGGATTAAAATGTTTTTGATAAGTTAATGAATATTTGGACTTAAAATTATTTACAATAAATTTATTACTCTAAATTGAGATTCCAGTACAATTGATTTCACACCCATCAAATTCTACATTGATCAAGAACTCGCTTAACTGATTGTATTCTACTTTTGTTGTAAAACCGGTATGGACTAACCGGCCCCTAACAGCTTAATGTTTAATTTTGTCTATTGACTTTTAAATTAAAATGTTATGAATATTAATACCATGTTTTTAACTTTGATTTATAGGTATTGATTCAAGTGAAAGTATCATTTATTGCGATAAATCAGCTATACAATGTTTTTTAAATATTGTTCATTTTATCAGGCTTCAACAAGAAAATCCTTTACAGTAATTTTTTGTTTTTATTTAATGAACAAATAGCTTTTAGAATTTTTATTGTTGCATCATAAATACAGGGACGTCATTTCGGGGGGAGGGGGCAGACTATGGCAAATGTCCCACTCTAAAAAATTTTAAAAAGTCGACAATTCTTTGTCCGATGATCAAATGCTAAAATTGGTAAATAGTAAATTTTTATTTACTATTTTGTGCTTTTATCTGAAATCAGATAATATTGTCTTTTAAACACACGTTCACGGTTTATTAAAAGTTGGGAAACAGTGGTTTCTCCCTAGTTTATGACAATCGTTATTACGTGAACCTTATAAACTTTATTTTTGGTATATTACGATTATATATTTCTATGTATGTGATCTTTTTAAAACAGTTTTCATGATATCATAAAAATTGAGTACATAATCTATAAAAAACCGTTGAAATCATTCCTATTCACCCCAAACTACGGTACATTATATTTGAGATACAATTTTATGTTTTTATGAATAAGTTCTGTAAAGCATTAAATATACAAATAATAAAATTATAAGTAATTATTTAATTAGATTTATATTATTATTCCATTAAACCTACTGATAGTTAACTTATAGCCCCTCTCTCTCTCCTAGTAGACATCTTTTTTCATTCCATTACTTTGGGTTATCTCATTCCCAATTCAAATCTTATCCTTAACTCTCGCTCTACCCATGTCATCAACTCTATCATTAATTTTATCATTTCCGCTGGCTTCTTAATTTGATTTGTATGTTTTTTATAAATTTGTATCTTTTCACCATATAATTGTATTGCTGTAATGTCCCCAACAATAGCAAAAAAAATAAAAAGTAACTTATTTATTTAGTTATCCTGTAGGATAACTAAATAAATGAATGTTTTACTATCTTTAATGTTATTATTTAATTGGGTAAATTGAAACGTTTCATGTTCTTTGTTTATCATCATTATTCATTACTAATCCTTACATGTTTTATTCCAAAAAAAAATATTTTATTGATAGTCTATCGTCCATAAATATGAAATATCATATATATTAAAAAAATTTATAAAAACTTAAGTCCGTATGGCCGTTCTATTCGGCTGATTTCCTTCATTTTTTTTTTTTTTTTAATGAAAGATATTTAGACACAGATATGTCATCAATCATTGAAATTTACTCAACTCCTACCAACGCGATTCTTTCCTGTATATTTCTTATGGAACACATTCGCTCAAGCAATTTAAATTTTTATAGCTCCTCTTCTAATGAACAGATCTTGATCATTTCACTCTCAAAATACTCAGTGGATCAAGCTCTTTCTTTTGACATATTAACTGCTTAAATTCGTTGAGTTTGAGGAACGTTATGCGTGCACAATCAACTTTACATTCAATTTTTTCAATATTTTCTTTCGCTCAATCCTCTATAACTAGAGTTCTAAGTAACGTAGTCTATTTACATAAGTCTAAGAACACTCAGTGGATCATGCTCTTTCTTTTAAGTTATTAGCTGCTTAAATTCGTTGAGTTAGAGGAATGTTATGTGTGCACGATCAATTTTATTTTCAATTTTTTCCAAATACTGCCATTTCATTGGCTCTTACCCAGTGATATAACAACAATCAATACTAATAATATTACTTATATTAACTTATATTGTCTAGAAGGAAGCACTGTAAAATGATTTTGTGTAATAATTACACTCTCTGTCATTACGATATGTCTTTTAATTTTCGATAATATACTCATTTATTGATTTGTTAAAATGTGTTTATGTATTGATTCGATTGGACCTATACTTTTTATTATATAAATAAATTATCTATTACAAATTTTCACAATGGGTATACTAGTAATTTTTAAAATATTATGAAGTCGGCAAATTTAATCAGTTGTCCCACTCTTTCAAAATTTGAAATGACTCCCCTGCATAAATGTATTAAGAAATATTAAAAATATAATCATTCAATGCAAGCTAATAGATATATATTTTTAGAAAACTTTTGGATATAAATTACTTATATATATCCCAAGCTGCTCAATTTTGCTCTGCACATTTCACTTCTATATTATATTTAGAACTTTGGTGTGAAATGCAATTTAAGTAAGTTTTTAATTTTCCTTTATATTAATATTATGTTATTTATATTACATTTCTTTCTTATTTAGTAATTTGTATCAATCATTTTCATGCTTTTAAAATGTTCTGTACATTATAACAATTAATATTATTCTTTTCACATTTAGGAAAATTAAGGAGGATCATTGGTCAATGGCATTTAATCCTGTTGATATGATTACAGAATTTTTGCCTAAGGATGGTGTTTTGTTACAATTAACTCTTAATGAAGTTTGTTAAATCAATTATTACTTTCATAGTTAAAAATAAAAATAAATCTAATAATTAAAAATAGGTATTACAATACAATTAACCATTTCATAAAACTAAACCATGTAATAAACAACTATATGCATAAGCGTGTCCAGACATTACTGGCAGGGTAGTCACATATAACACATTAAAATTGAATATTAACAACAAATTTGGATAGGGTAACTTAATTTAACTTAATAATGTTGAGTGGAATCGGTTTAAAAGTAGATACAGACACGTTTAGATTAAATTAATAAACAATTTAATATCGTGAAATTATAATAATAATAATAAGATTATATAAAACGCACTTCGTACAACGGCAACCGGTCGCATGTCTCGACAGACTGCCTCCGTATATCTGTGCTACAATATCCGACATACAGAATGTGCCATCTCAACTCTAATCGCTGACTATAATAATGTATACATATATACTTAAAACTACAGTATGAATACAAACTAATACATACTAAATACACTGGGTGTATTGTTTAATTTCAACAAATAACTATATTTTTCCAATATTCTTATACATGTGTTTACCGATTACGGACGTTTTGAAGTGGTTGAATATAATATAGTTGTTTATTATTGTGATAATATTAAATATTTTGGTGAGGGAGGGAAGGTTTACAGAGTAGTTAAGTGTCTACCCTGACTACCCCATGGGAACGCTAATGATTATATGTAGGGTGAAGTAAGTTATTTTCGTAACATAGGCAATTTTACGATACTATTTGTTGAATGTATTATGTGATCCCCAATTACACGATTTACTAGAAAATTACATTGATCCTTAAAAACAGTCATTTTAAGGATCAATGTAATTTTCAAGTCAATTGTGTAATAGGGATATAATATTATGCGTTTAACAAATAATAATGTTACTCTTATATGCGGACTACAAATGCATGCGGTCTACCATCATAAATGTAATTTTAGAAAAAAATTTAGATAAACTGCATTATAAACACGTAGATAAAATAAAATTGGTCAGATAAAATGTTCTGATATATGTCATATCTTGTATTTTCCAAATATGTTTATTGTTATTAAAAGATACTAACCTACTACAATTATTACTGTGTGACATTATAACGAATTAAATAAGTTTGTTAGTTACGTATTGGTCGTCTATTGTGTTGTACTGCGTTTATATTTGTATCCGTTTTGTATAATATCGCGTTCGGTGTGCATTATGCAATTAAAAGATTTTTATTTGACTGTCGCAAAGAGTGAAGAGAATGCCAGTGCATTTTTAAGGGATCACGGTTTATTAGACACTGCCGAAGAAACATTGACATGTCATAAGTGTGGTTCTGAAATGGTTAATGCTAAAAAACGAGATTGAGGAGGTGATTTTCGTCCTGTTCTTCAGTGCAAAAAAAAAGGATGTCAGACCACGCGTAGTATACAACAGGGGAACAAATTTTTTCATTACGAGGACTTGAACAATAGATCTAATAGTAATCTCAAACTTACCGAAATTTTAGAATTAGTTTTTTTTTTTCGTATCAGATATTTCTTTGACAACAACGGCAATTTTAATAGGAAGAGGTCAAAGGACAGTTACGAATTGATTTAATATGTGTCGTGAGGTATGTTCAAATGTTGTTCACTGTTGGCCAAGATAGTGGGAACTCAGATTGATCCAATACAGATTGACGAAGCTAGATTTGCCAGAAAGAGCAAATATAATCGAGGTCGGTTACTCAATGGTGATCAACTCCCTTCATCGGAAGACAGTGATGTTGAAGTCCAGAACGGTAGAAACCATGGACTTAGAGTAGATGGACTTTGGGTATTTGGTCTAAAAAAAAGGTTCTGACTGCCGATATTTTTATGTACTTTGGAGAGACAAAAATACATTACATTCAATTATACAGCGAGAATGTGAAGCTGGCTTTGTTATTCACTCTGATGTGTGGGCGGCTTATAGATGTTTGAATGGTAGTGGATAAAACGGTCAACCATCAGCAAAACTACGTGGATCCTTCGACGGGAGCTCACACTCAAAACATAGAGAGATTATGGCTGGATGCTAAGACAATGAACATGAAAACAATGAGAGGTACAACTAAAAAACTACTTCAATCCCATCTCGACCATTATTGTTCGAAGGTTGCTTGCAAAGACGATATATTTATAGTATTTCTGAGGGATATTAAAAAAGTTTATTGCTAAAATTATAATTTTTAATTGTTTGACTATGTGACAGTTTGTTTATCTGTTATTGACAGTTTATCGTAAATTTATTATTATTTTTTATATTGATTTTTTATGTAAACATTATTATCATTACATTATATTTTTCAAATTAGAACTAAAAACATGGTGCATTACAATATAAGTATTATGCGATCATTGCGATCTACGTCTTACAAGGTAGACCGCACACGTGAAAAGAAATATGTCGGTAGTTCGCATATGAAAGTAGCACCTAAATAATTTCACGAAATTTACTATGCCACGAAAATACCTCACTTCACCCTATATATATATATATATATTTGAATCAATATGAAGGAAATAATGGAAGGTATTGAAATTAAGGAATTTAATTTTTAATATTTTTTGGAGATTTATCCAATATTTATAATAATCTGAAAAATTCAAAATATTATGAATTATTATTTAAAAATATTATAATTTTTATAATTTACATTCCTGATAGTTAAATTAGAATACATTTGTATGTGTATCACACTAAAATTTCAAAATATTCATGAATCTATTATTAAGTATAGTTTTTTGTTTTTTTTGTTAAGGTTAATTTTGTGATCTTAATTTCTGTAACTTTAATAAAACAAATCATAAATTTTTATCGTATGAGACAATTTAGAATGGAAAGGTTCAACGATTTAAAAATAGTTTATTAGTTATTTATACAATTTAAACCTTTATCAGAATCTTTTTATATTATAATGCTTCGTTTACTTTAAATTTAAATTAATATTATAACTATCATACTTATTATACCTAAAATGTAAATTAGGTTCCAATGTTCTATTCTTTATATGTATTTATTAGTATATGATAAACTCCTATTCTCAATGTCTCATCCAATTTTTTATCTTATTCAACTGTTAAAAATAGTTTATTTATTTATACAATTCATTACTTTATTAAAAACTAAGCTAACAAAATTTGTTAACATTTTTAAAATTAGTCTTACAAAAGTATTGGAGATTCTGATGCTATTGAAGGTTGTGGTTCAAATTATTTGCTAACTCTTTCTTCTCGTACACAATACTATCAGAGACTTCGAAAATGGGACCGGGTTATGGAAACTTGTGATTTACAGCAAACCACAGAAATTATTACCAAAGGTAAATTCATAAAACATATAATGTGTAGCCATAATTCATTATTCCTCAATAACTAATAATAAATATTTTTTCAATTATTATTTTAAACAATTTAATCTGATTTTTAGATTATTTAGAAGCATTTTCCAACTCTGGATTGCAAAATGTTGCTCATATCATGGCTTTCAACAATGATAATTTAAAATATGACTATTGTTGGCAATTAGATAAGTGGGACTTACCAGACAACGGAAACAAGTCTTTCGAAGCATTACATTATCATAGTTTACGTTATACATTTCAGAAAAATCTAGATAGTGCAATTTCTATGATTAATGAAGCTCGATTAGTAGTTATTGAATCACTTTCCTGTGCTAGTTTAGAATCAACAGCAACTATTTATGCTCCGTTAACTAAACTTAAAATAATTGAAGTAAATATTAACATTATACCTAAATTCAAAAAAGTACATTTAATAAATTATGTTATAATATTTTAGGACCTAGAAGATTTTATTACTACACCTGATAAAAATATATTATTAGAAAATTGGTTAAATCAAAAAACCTTAAGAACAAATGATTTTATAAAAACCAATAAAATACTTTCTCAACGTTCTAAGTTATTTGATTTTAACTCTGATAATAGATCAAGTTTATTAAGATTACAAATTGCTGAAATAGCTCTAAGAAGTGGTTGGTTACAAGAAGCTGGAAGAAATTTAGCAATAGTTGCTTCTATACAAAATAATCAAAAGCATACTAATTTATGGGCAAAGGTAGAAGAAGCTAGACTTTTATGGCAAAGAAATGACTGTCATATGGCAAGGTAATATAAAATTAATTATGTATTTTTAAAATATATTTTACAGTTTATATTCCTTAGAGTTTCATTAAAATGTGTTGTTGAAGAACTTGATAAGTATGAATATCCATTCTTACAATCATTAGCATTACAGCTTTATGGTTCTTGGATGGAAGAAACAAAATCTGAAACTGCTAATGAAATAATCAAAAAATATTTTCAAAAGGTAATAGAAACATCAATGCATTTATGACAATTATAAAATTATATTGCGTTTATTTACCTTATTAAATTTTTAATATTTTTCTTTATTGTTTATTTTCTTAATATTTTATAACAGTATTTAAAATGTAATACTTGTTAAAGATGGTTTCACTAAATTAATAAGTAATTTCTAAGATTGAAGCCTAAAAATTCTATTTATTTATTTTTAAATAAATTTAAAAGATTTGATCCTGGTCATTTTTTTTTCTTTTTGACGTACTTAATTAGATTATAATGTATTACATTTATAAATTCTTAGTACATATATTTATAAAATATACGGTATGTATTGAATTTTTCAAATTAAATGAGTTACTAATACAAATTACAATTGCAATTGTACTTTTATTTAGTCAATTAACATTTTACAATTGGAATTATTGAATAATGATGAGTTTGGATTGGATTGTAAAAAAATAGTATCAAATGCTCATAAACATTTGTCCCAATTTACGGATACATTATATAAACAATTATCTAAGTACATAAAAACAGAAGATATTCAAAAACGTATTCATGAAGTAAAAGGTGATAAAAAAAAGGGTAAAGCTTTAGTAGATTTAGCGAAATCAACAAAAAACAATGATAAAATGAAAGCTGGTATGCTTTTGATGAATCAAAGTAATCTTGATGAAAGTGATATAAGTAACATAAATATGGAAAAGATAAGATATTTAAAAATTGCTCTTCAGTAAGTATTGAAAAATAAAATAAAAATTTTAGTTAGTTTAAATAATTGTAATAAAAATGCAATAATAATACAAATTTCTGTCATAAAATAAATACTACATTTTTTTTTATTTTATTATTGAAATAGAAATATTTCGCATGTTAAGTAAACATATAAATTCTTATTAATTTAATGACTTTAAGCTCAAATTTTCTTAAAAAAAATGATTTCTTCATACATTTTTTAATAATACCAAATACATTTAATGTTTACATATTTTTATAAATAAGATATTTGAATGTCAGATCTTATGGCTTGTTTTTTTCTAATTTATAGTGTACAACTATTATTTTTAGAATTTGCAAATTTAGTCTAGTTTTGGTAGTTTTTAATTGATATTTTAATATTTAAGTCTTAAAAATTGGACACAACATTATTATTTCATTTTTTTTCCAAATAAAAAAACCTCAAAAAAAATGTCTTATTTTTAAATTTTTATAATATTGAATATTTCAACGATTTTCCATTTAATCTATTGTTATTAATTGTAGCTACTCAAAACATTTATTGTGTACTTGTATTAGAATTTTAAATACATTTTTTAGCTTTAAAATATTTAAATCAAATTTGTTCTATTTATAGGCATTTGAAATTTTTGATTTTCATACATTTTTTATGTCTTTTTTACAAAAGTTTTTACCTACTCTTTTAAAGTTTCACTATATCAACCAGCTTAAGAAATATAATCTGATCCATTCAATTTCATTCACTCAAAATCACTTTTTTTTGATACATGATACATTAGTTTCGAGTTTAAAATGCCAATATTATACTACTATTATACTCATCCTACCATTAAATTATACCCTACATAAATGTTCCACTCTTTTTTATTTCTTATATATATATATATATATACTTATGTGTAGTTATATATATACTTGTGTGTGTATTTATATATATAAATTAATGTTTAATACTTACTCATAGTTTTATTTTTTTTAAAAATGTGTTATAATTTATATTATTTAGAAATTATCTACAACTAATGTCATTGGATGATGAAAGTGAACTTTCTATCTATAGAGTCATATCATTATGGCTAGAAAATAAAGAAAAAAATGAAATCAATTCAATTGTAGATAAAGAATTTAAGAAAAATCCTTCTCATAAATTTATTACGATTCTCCCTCAGCTGGTTCCTCATTTAAATTCTACTTATGAATTTCATAAATCTTTGGAAAATCTTATAAGTAACATTAATATTTTTTTAATTTAGTTTATTCCATAGTTTAACTTCAAATATAAATTTATAATTTAATGTATAGACCGCTGTGCAATGGAACATCCATATCATACTATTCCTATTATTTATGCTGTTGCAAACTCAAATATTGATCAACATTTAATGATGCCAAAACAATCTATTTATAAAAAAGAAGAAGTAATTTCTATTCAATTTTATTAGTTAAAATTTTGTTTAACTACTTATTTTTTTATTTTTGTTTTATTATTGTTATTTTGTTATTATTGTTTATAGGCTAGGGTTTTAGCTGCAAAACTTTTAATGTCTAAATGGAAAATAAATACGAAAATTGGTTCTATTGTAATGAATATTGAAAAATTATATGAAGCATTTATACATTTAGCTTACAAAAATATACCTTGTCTTCAAGGCCAACGTAATAATTATTTAAAAAAAAAATGATATTTGGGGTCAATATATTATTAATATAACTTTATGGTGTTAGGAGCTGAAATTCCCAGTGAAGAACTTTTAATGAAAATACAATACTCTGACTGCTATATGTATCCAACTGCTACATTACCATTAAATAAATATGGTTACTATAAGAATATTATATGTAAGTAATTTATAAAAAAATTATTATAGTAAATGTTGAAACAATGAAAATTAAAAATAAGAAATCACTTAAATAATATTTACTATTTTAATAATTCAACGTAAAATATAGAATTTGTCTTGATATATTTTATACTTACTGGTATTGATAGTTTTAAAAATTCCTTTTTAAATGCTGGTGGATTACATCAACCCAAAAAAATTGACTGTATGTGTTCTGATGGAATAATAAGATCATTTTTATTAAAGGTAGAATAAATTAGTTTTTCATAGTATTATGATAAAAAACTTATATTTTGATACAGCATTCAATTTTTTATTGATGATTTGCTCATGAATTAAATTTTTTTTTTTCATATTAACACTTAATGATATATTTATAAATAATAGTTTTGATTATAATTTTAAGGGCCATGAAGATATGCGCCAAGATGCAGTTATGCAACAAGTATTTGTATTAATGAATAGATTATTTCAGTCAAATATATCAACTGCCAAGAGAAAGTTAACCATAAGAACCTATAATGTAAGATATGTATTTTTATGTTAATACTTTAAAGTACTAAGATTATGCTTCATAATATTTTATACAAAAATCGATTCATAGTAATATATTTACACTGCACAGTTATAAAATGCAATAAAATTAAATAAACAGGTAAATAAAGGTAAGATTAAGTTGAAATTTAAAATAACATATAAATATATATTGGTAACTCTTAGTTGCTTTAATAGTTTCGGTCGTTGTTATCCAAGTTGTCATAACTCATTTGACCAGTATTAGGCCATATTTAAAGCGTTCTGGATTATATAAGGTTCTTGTCATTACAGGTGATTGGATATTTGCTACATTTCAGTAGTGATCCATTTTAATTATATATTCATTTACTAAAAAGTATGTAGTAAGAGTAAAAAAATAAGTAAAAATGTCGTTAAAATACAAAATCAAATATGTATTTTTATTTTATTATCAACTTAAATGTCCTCAAAAAATTTCATATTAGTTTTTAGTAAGTTTATTCAATCATTTAAGTTCCTTTATTTTTGATTTTAGGTAATCCCATTTTCTCAACAGAGTGGAATTGCTGAATGGTGTGTAAATACTATGTCGTTAGGTGATTACTTAGTGGATAAAAATATAAAACAAGGTGCACATTACAAATATAGACCAAATGACATGTTACCATCAGAAGCTAGACAAATTATTAAAGTATGTATAAATAGCAAATAATTGTTTATAATAATATTTAAGGAAGTAAGAACAATGTTACCATGTTTTACTATTTTTATATATTTTCCATAATATTTTAATAACATTACAAATATATTTTTCACATTGTACGGAATTTTTTGGAAAACTATAAAATAATGACATTCCTAGTCAAATCTAAACTAGATTTGTTTACTATCAGCTAAGAAAAATATAAAATTATCAGATCGAAATATTTTTAATATACAAAATAAAAATAAAAAACATACATTATGGTAAAATTAATAGATTTCTCGTTTCATTCCGTCTAAAATTTGTTTTATGAGATTAATTTTATCTTATAACCTAAAAATAGTTTACTCATATTTATACATATTTGTATTTAGATCTTAACTAATTTGAATTTTTACTTTCTTGATAGTTATCTCAAGATAATGGAGATAGTCAATTAAAAAGACAACAAATTTTTTTAAAAATTTGTGAACATTTAAAGCCAATTTTAAGGTATTATTTTTTTGAAAAATTTTTATCACCATCAATTTGGTTTGAAAGAAGACAAGCGTATATTCATAGGTAACATGATAAATTACTATTTTTTTTCTTTAATACAAAAAAATATATTTTTAATTTTATTCTTAAAGTGTTGCTACTACATCAATTGTTGGATACATCTTAGGTATTGGTGATCGTCATTTACAAAACATATTGATTGATAACAACACTGCTGAACTCATTCATATTGATTTTGGTATGGTATAAATACTTTTAATACTTGTAACAAAAATGTTAGCTAGTCAAAAGTATAGTTACTGTGACAATATTTTTTATTACATTTTTTTTTTTTTTTTTAAATTTAGGTGTTGCATTTGAACAAGGATATCTTTTAAATACACCGGAAACTGTACCATTTAGACTCTCAAGAGATATTGTAGATGGTATGGGTATCTGTGGCATAGAAGGAACTTTTCGAAAGTATGAATTTAAATTTAATTCTCCATTTCTTTTGTCTCTAAATTATTTATGAAATAGATGTTGTGAAAAGACTATGTCTGTTTTGCGTCAAAATCAAGATGTTATTTTAACAGTTATTGAAGTTTTATTATATGATCCATGTTACCAATGGACATTGACTGAAGAAAAAGCAGCTCAACTTCAAAATCAATCTACAATTGAAAACTCTAATATTGATAATAGTTAGTTAAGTTACTAATTTATTGAAAGATATCTATTGATTCTTATAAATAATTTCAGCTACTGAAGTGAACAAATTAGCTGAAAGATCGCTAAATAAAATCCGGGTTAAATTGTGTGGCATGGAAGAGACTGGAACTGTTGCAGCTAGTATTAATGGGCAATGCAATAGGTTGATACAACAAGCCAGGGACCCAGCAAATTTAGCACTTTTATTTCATGGATGGCAAGCATATTTGTAGTTTTTAATAATTATGAAAAGGAAAAAATCACTTAAATATTACTACTTGTCTACTTTTGTACTTTATATTGGTTGATTTTTTAGCCTATGACTTAAGAGTACATATCAGCTTTATTATTAATCAATTATCTTTGATAACTAAATAATATGTGTATATAAAATATATTATAACAATAATGTAGTAATATTTTAGACTAAAATAAGTAAACTATTTAAATTTTCCTATAATATAACCCTTTATTTCATTGATTCTCTTTATTTTTTGTTATATTTAACCATTGATTATATTTAATTATAAATAATTATATATTATTTTATTATATACAATCAATGATTTAACTAATGTTTCAGTAATCAAATAAATCCATGTCAGTTGCATACTCAACAAAAATAATACCAAAAACTATGAGAATATATCAGATATATATATATATATATATAGTCTATGGTTATACTGTGAATGTACATATTAAAAATATTGAGTTATTCAATGATATCCCTACAAATAAACTAGTAATGCAACTGTTAGTGCTGTCTTAAAGAATAGGGTTGCAGAAAATGTATCAAGGCATATAATTGCATCAGTAGGTTTAAATTTTATATTTGACTGGATGTGCTTTCAAGAATTCTTTGTGTTCTTCAGGTTTTAAAGTAACCAAAAAAGGCAGGGGATTCGAACTCATATCATTCTCAACGTTCCTTATATTCCCATACAATTGCTAAGTAATTAATTATAAATAGGTATATATGTATTCTGAGACTAATTAAGGATAATTTAACTAATTATTAATTAAATTAATTAACTAATTAATTCTATTAATTAGTGACCAATTTCTTCCACAAACTATTAATGTGCTGTAAGAATGTATACTTGTAAATTACTTACTCATTGTTTTAAATAACAGAATATAAATATATTTTAATAAAATAAAACTAATCAAAAAAAGGTATATATAATACTACATAATTTATAAATTATATTTAATATGAGTTAATTTTGTTTTTTAAACACTGTTTAACACCTAATAACTTCAGTTGAATTGTTAAGTCAATTTTTCAATTACTTTATAGTGTGTAATTATTTTTAACAAACAGTTGAGTATTTCAGTACATTTTTAAAAGAAAAGTTCTAATAAAAATTAGACTGTGTACTCTTAGGATCAAATTATATACATTTAGACAAGTTTTTCACTGTGCGTTAATATATGTATTTTATAATCAATACCAATACAAGGCTATTTGATTGAATTTATATACATGTAACATGCAATATATAGTGCGTTTCAAAATGATTCATCCGATTTTAGTAGTCCATATAGTTCCTGTAATTTGAGGTAAACAACGCACCAACCATCTGAAAGGTGGGTTTATCTAGTTTTTATCGATTGTCGATAAATTTCGATAATGTGCAGTTGAGTCATGTGGCGTAACTTAATTAGTAGTGATCGAAATGTCAACCGAGCAACAAAAGGCGTTTTGTGCACTAATGATGCTACATTTTGTCCATCGTCGGATTCTCTGATGTTACATAAAAAGCATTAGTTATATACCTTCCCTTCTAAAAGATCTTGGCGAATTGAAAATTCGAATAACAAACGCCATCAACTTGGTTATAGTTGATATGCTTCAATAGGCTTAAGAGGAATTTGAATATCACTTAGATCAGGGGTCTTCAACCCGCGGCCCGTCCTGTCATAATATGTGGCATCGATCACATTTTAAACGTTTTCACATTCAAAATAAAATAAAAAATTTGTAATTTTAAATTTACTCATCTAATTTTAAAAATTGTAAGAATAAAACTGAATTTTTATATAAAATACATGTTTTTACTACAAATGCAGTAAGGTTTAAAAAAAAATAATATATATTCAGCTGCATAAAAAGGTTGAAGACCCCCTGGCTTAGATGTGTGTCTTGTAAGTATGGGGGGGGGGGAATATTGAACATTTATAAGCATTATACCTAAAACTTAAAATACTCTTTTAAAATGTAAAATTTATTTTAACCTTATTAACAAAAATGTTCAATAAATATATTTAGAAATAGGATGAATCATTTTGGAACGCCTAACCTGTATATTACATGTTTAATAAATAACTATATTTTATACTTTTAATATACATATATATTTAAAAATAATTTATTTACGATTTATTGTAAAATAATTAATTTAAAACAGAATATTAAGTTATAACATAATAATGAGAAGTTTTCCTGTACTAAACGATAGCTTTAGAACATCTTAATATAATTTACATGTAAAAATCATAAATTAAAATAATTTTGTAGTCTTTAACGGTATGGTGTAAAAAAAGGGGCATTGCTACCCGGTGCTTGTTGTTGTGGAGGTTGGTCAATGTCTTCATATGTTTGCGGAATTGAAGTTCCTCTACCTAAAATACATTATTTTATTTTACTTTTAATAATAAAATTAATTAAAATTCTATTCTTACTGATATAATTTTGTAAAGGTGGTGGTATACCATCAGAAGTTCCATTACTGCTGTCTATACACATTCTACTAAGAATTGATAGAGTTACAAAACGCAAAACTAAATTTCCCATTGCACAAATAACACTAAATATCTCAGTAAACCCTACATATCAAAAAATAAAAATAATAATCTTATGTTTTAAAATTATAATTATTTTAATTCTAAGAAAAATTACTTACAAAATGTAGAAGGAAAATAACAATAAATAGTAAAAATATCTAGAAATACTGCCGCTAGATTTATAGAAATAGCCTAAAAATATAAACATAGATTATAGAATAGAAAAATTATGTATTATAATTTTATATTATTTATAAATAGTAAAGAGCAGAGTATTTAAATAATGAATTTTTGAGGTTTCAGCATGCATTTTTAATGTGTTGTGATACAATTAGAATAAAACGACCTCCAAAATCTTGTTAAAAACATTATTTACTATTTACTTAAAAACCATAATAATTTATCATATTTATATAAATATTATATAATAACTATTATAATCTTATATATAATTTTAAAATATTATGTCATTGTGCATTCGGCAAATTTAATTTTAAAAAAAATATGATTTTCACAACCATTAAATAAGCTTAAAAAATGAATGTAATGTTTTATAATATTGTTACAGAAATTAAAATTAAAATAATATTGGAAGTTATGCTTAATATTTTAAATTAATTAATTAGTATTTACAAACAGAAAATCTAAATTAATATTGACATTGAATAAAAATTTGATTTTTATAATTGGGATAGATTAAGAATTAATAATTTAAATATATATAGCATTGAAACTATTAAATATTACTTGTACATTAGTGGTTTTAATTATTAATGACTCAGATATAATTAAATGTAATATTCATAGTTGAGGTATTTTTAAAATATAAATGTTATAAATTACTTAAAAGTTAATTAACCTTACAATTGCAACTTAATATAAATAAAAAAATGTACATAAATGAAAATATGCGAAGTTACTTAAAAAAAAATATTCACCAGTTGCGCTGGTTTTTCATTTTCTGTTTGATGCATTGTCCATAGTATACTTCCCAAGTATATAATATTGTAAAACAAATAAGAATCTGGACTCCAATGTCCTTGTATACCCCTGTGGTCAAATTGAAATATATTTTAAAAAGAACATAATTCTATGTATAGAATGAATATAATTACCAGGTAATTAACATGAGGTGTCCAATAAAAGCAGTCTTGGCAGGGATAATTGGTATTTGATTCAAATCTAACGGCATAGTTAAATAACTTACGTACTAAAATGAATAATAATAATTAATCTTCCTTTTATGAAATATGTAGTATAACTACTAAAAAAGTAACTGAGAAGAAATTAAATTTATACAAACAAAAATGGCATAATACTAATGCTCCATTATTGAACTGTTATGTAATATTATGCATAATTTATAAATTGTCATCAATAAGATAAGAATATTATATGCGCATCTTAATTATCTACTATGTATGATAAAACATTACGACTTACTAAAACAGATGAAATCAACAAACCGCGGATTAAATTCTATAATTTACATTAATATTATTATTATTATTATTATACCTTGACAGCATTTCAAAAAAAATTAACTTTTAAATAATACGATGATTTTTTATTTATCACGTTGCACTGTTCGATTTGTAAAAATATGTTATTATTGTTATCAATCACAAACTTCGATGTCTATGGTATACATTAAATGTAATGTGTTGATTTTTAAATTTTAACCACTGAACTTAACCTTTTGTTTAAACTATTCGTGGATGGGTTTATCTCAGAATGTCGTACAATCAGCATAATATATATATATTTATATTTTGCTAATTATTTGGATTACTTGAAAGTTGAAATGTTCTACCCCCACTAATTAGTAAGTTAAATTTCAAATCAATTCAATTTTTAATGCTGTTTAGAATGTCTTATAACTTCCAGCATTTATGTTATTTGATGTGCAATTTACATTGTTTGCACATATATAACAATTACAGATGTGTTAATTAATTTAAAATATATTATAAATTTTATATACATATCTGTGAATACAATATAACATGGTGTGGAGAAGATTCTTCTTTACATCATGCAATAGAATAATAAATTAGTTACTTACTGATCATTATCTTTTAGTTGTTTGATAATAAACTGCCGGAAAGTTTTAATTATTAAAAACAAAGATTACATTTAGTTAAATTTGATAGCTGAAGATAAAGGTCAATGTAAAAAAAAATAAAGCTAAAAATATTTACTAATTAATAAAATATTTTAGATTTGTGTTCTGTTTTCAGCTATTATTACCACACACTTTTAATAACTCGAGTCCTACGTATTACACTTAAAGAGAAACAAATTTTTATCTACTTACATAATCAATATTAAAAGAAAAATGTTGTTAAAATTGTACAACTATGAAGAAGCTAATTTAAACATTGTCTAACTGTAAAAATTATTAACTAATAAAATAATATTGACATATGTCTGAAATATAATTTAAGTATAGCTGTGTAGTATTGTTTAGTTATGTATATATATAGTCAACTTTTTCTTTCTTATCCATAATCTCTTTTATTAGTCATTTTAAATATTAAAGCAAGAGTAGAAAATAATGATCCACTGTAGACTTAAATCTAAAAATAATCAAGAAAAAAAAGAAAAAAAAGAGGATTCAACTCAATGACATTTTTTCCCAGAATAATAACAAATAAATATTTATATTATATTATTAAATTTATTTAATATTATTCTTTACATAAAATACAATTAAAATCTTATAACTATAAATATATATCAATATGATTACAATAACATTAACATCATCACTGATATCAGAGATCTAGGAGACTCACTTAAATAATGCTGTTAATTATTTTTAAAATATAAATGTAATACAATTATTGAGCACGTTGTTTGAACAACATAAAATAGTCTCCAGTTTTAGGAACTTTCATTATTCTTAGCAAAAATTGATAAAATATAACTCAAAAGTTTAATCTGTATCAGAAAGTTTTTCTTCCTCACTATCTGTATCCATAATAGCAAGAGATGTATACACGCCTTTTTTTTTATCATATTTTGAAAAATCTTCCAGCACCAAGTGTTCAGATAGTTCACTATTGCTCACACTTCTTGTATATTGTACTCTACCGCTCACTATATTTAAAGATGTTATTGAATAAGGTTCAAAATATTTCATTTGATCTTCAAGTTTATTGTCAAAACCTGCTGATGCTTCTCTTCTTTTAAAGCTAGGAATTGGAGCTATTTGTGACAATGAATCTGATTGTGAAAACACATTTTGATCTTCAGGGAATGACTGACCTAGCTAAATATATAAAGGGTTAATTAAATGTTTATAATCAAATTAATAATATCTTATCTTACTTGTCCACTTATATCTTGTGAAGTAACACTACCTTTTTGAGAGGCTGGTAGTTTGCACACCAATGTATTACTTTTATGTTTTTTTTTAGTATGTTTAGAAAATCGTCTTACTTTACGAGTCATTTCAAATGCTTTTACCGAGATGGTAGAATCGCATGAATGACTACGAGATTCTACAGAAACTTTACTGTAACTCATACTGTAACTAATTTCAGAATCTGAATGCATGTATGAAGATGATAATGAAAGTTGTTCTTCACCAGTTAAAGCTCCACGCCTTCGTATAAACTTAGGTAATGCTGCTGCCCAAGTAGAACTTATATTGTCTGTTAGATTACTGTTTAATCCAAATACTAGACCTGAAAAAAATAACTATGAGTACTGTTATATATATTTTATATGATTACTTATGTAAATAAACAGTATACAGTTTAATTTTAAATGTATACAATATCTTTAATATATTAAATTACCATCTGAACAAATCAACATAATTAAAACTAAAAGTTTTGTAACCTTTTACTTATAGGATTTAAATAAAATTTAATTTTTATTAAGAAAAAAAATATGTATTGTTTTCATTTATTTATCTTTAAGAACCAGTTGCTTAGTCATTATTATTTTTTTTTATAAAAAAAAATTTCAGAATTTTTTTTTTAACCATTTATGATTAATTTACCAAAGGGATCTTCTTTTGAAAATGTAACAGTAAAATCATCACTATTAAGTTGATGTCTCTTTGCAAAAGCACTAGCAATCAATTTATGTTTATTATACTTAGAAGAGTCTTCATTTCTTTGTTCATGACCCCTCCATTTCTTTAACCTAAAAATTAAATTTATTAAAATTGAATAAATAATAACAATGAGAATACACACCAACGAATTAAACATTCACACCATGCATTCCCAATTTGATTTGTCCATACCCAAAACGACATTAGAATTCCATTTCCAAATAAAACTAATATAGATAGTTGTTTTTTTGATACACTTGGTCTGAATTCAATATGACAACTCCCTACATCAGTATCTGGTATAATACTAAGTTTGCAACTGAAAAATGTTTTATTTTTATTTTTTTATTGTTTACTATTCATGAAGTATAAATATCATTAATTTAAAAATGAAAACAAGAATACATTTTTTATTTCAACTTTATTATACTTACACAATATATTTTCTTAGACTATCTTTCCATAAATTATCATAATAGTATTCATTTATATAACATATGAACATTGATGAAACAAATACAATGGTTAATATCATGAACAATATCACTTTAATGGCTGCAGAATGAATCTTAGATTTGGCTTGTTTAGAAATAACTTGTGTACTTTCTTTCTTTAAAGCCAAAAGTCCAAACAATACACGAATCAAGTAAAATAGTCCAATAACAACAGATATAAATACTGGTATAATAACAAATACAATTCTATATATTTTATTATTGATACCAACAAAACAAGTACCAGTTACACTGTCACCATCAATCTCTCCAAGTACCATAACGATCACACAAAATACTAATGGTATAGACCATGCTAATAAATGGAAATAGCCTCCTTTTTTATCAACTTTATCTTGAATTTTTCCTGAAATTAAAACATATCACTTTTATTTTAAACTTAATAATAAAAAATAAAAAACTTACCAAATGATTGAAATGTTGTATGCAGGGAGTAAGTAAATATAACAAACCAAATAAACGCAGCAATCAAGAAGTAGTACGAGAAAACAAAGTTTATAACACATGAAAGATCTTCATCGCTAATTTAACAAAATATATTTTATTTTACTTTATAAAATAGTTCTAAAGTATATAAAAATTTAAAAAGTTTTACCTAGGTTCTGAAATTTTTCTAGCTCCATTTTTCCTACAAACAATATCATCTCTTGCTCCAGACCAAAACTGAGATAACCATCCAAAACATATGAACAAAAAACATATATTTATGTAGAGTATTACAATATTAGGATATCGATTTAAGGATTGCCATTCAATTGTGAAAGTCAGCTGAAAACAAAATTAGAATTAGTGATAAATTTTTAAGATTGTAAATCAATTATTGACGTACAATAGCAAATATATTGCAAAAAGCAGTTATTGTAGCAGTCCAAGCAATTAGATTATGTATTTGTCGATGTTCATCCATTGAAAACAAAGGATCATAACATTGAAGATCACAGCCTTCAAAATTAGGATAATGGTATACTTCAGGTCTATAAGTTTGCACAAGTGGCGACTCACAATGACCACCACTTGAGTTGAATTTTAAATCATGCAAATCATTCTGCAAAATGTATTAACCATTAATAATGATTTTATTAAAACTTATTAAACATATTAAATAATAATTTACTTTGCATGGTTTTGGAGGATAGATTGTCTCATTTTCACAATTAAATTCCACTGGCCAAGAATTTTCAATTTTCAATATTTGACAGTGATTTTCAATAAGTTTGCACATTTCCTAGACCAATTATTATGTATTCTTAATTTTATAATGTATACTTAATATTGATTAATTCTAAATTATATATATATTATTAAACGTATGGCATTAACAAAATGCTTAATACAAATTATTTTTTATAAGTATAGTATATCCATATACTGATTTTATATTTGGTTTACCTGTGGTGGTAAATATAAACTGTTATTTTCACAATGAGGCATGTATAGTGCACACAAAAGTGGTTGGATAGCTGCCCAACATTTTGGAACTTTTTTGAGTCCTTGCCAATTGTGCAACCTCTCCTAATAATAATAATTCAATTATGGTAAAAATTATATAGCCTACAAAACAAAAACAGAAATGCATACTTACTTGGGCTTCTTCAAGAGTATCAGCATCTAAAACAAGATCTGTAGAAATGGAAGTGTAAGGTAATTTCACACCTAAACATAATATCGAATGATTCATTTCCATACATCTTGACTGCGTTTTTTCGCAGTATTGCAATTTATTTTTTGATTTTAATAAGCTCAGTACTTGAGGAGATAAAAACCACAGTAATTGTAGGATAATTAAAGTACAATAATTTATTTGTTTCATCTGAAAAATAACAAAGGATTATATATAATTGATAATTGATTCGATAAATCATAACATATAGATTTTTCATAATGCTTAATGGTTATGTGTATATACATGTACTTACTCGGTTACCATTCATTATTGTTTTAAATTTCTATAAAAAAATAATTTATTTTTTGGTAATAGGCATTGGGTCCTTAACCGCGCTTTCAACTACATAGCCAGTAAAAAAATTAAAATAATTATAATCAAGCCACGTACGGAGAGTGCGTCGGGGATCATACGGATGATAGTATACAAAATTCGTTCATACTGATTTTAGAAAGAATGATATCTAAGAGAAAACAGGAGACTGGTCTGGATGGCGTCTCGACGAGCATGGACTGTGGATTGTATATTATTATAGAATACGATTGTGTTTGTAATACCATAATGGCGGGCAACGATATGACGACATGCGGGCACGGGGAAAATGGTCGGGGTTGAGCAGGAGACCACGTGTGTGGTCTCATGCGCACGCACGAGCAAAAAAAAATAAACTCAACAGGATGGAATGTGTGGGCGACGTAGGGAGGGGATAAGACACCCGGACAATGTGACGAAGGTTGCCGAACGTAAACTTCTCGATGAGTATAACTACAGTGAATTCTAGTATTTCGGTATAATGGAATATAATATCAGTAATCACGAAACAAAAGTTCAGTACTCTTTCTATTATCTTGTTATTTCATTTTTTACTTCTTCAGTGGTCTATCGATGGTATAAGTATTAACCATATAACTTCACTCGTATTTTTTCTTATATCATAGGTATTACGATTAAGTATATACGTACATAAGTATAGTAAACCACGGTTAGTATTGTTTATATGAATATCATATTGTGTGTTGTTAGATACTCGTAATATTCGTTTTAGTAGCAAGAAATTACTCATGATCATAAATTAGGTATATCGGTTCCGGTTAATTTATAATAAAATTGAAGTGATTTGTAATTTGTGTGTCACAACTACGACCACTATTAGCTGAAATTCAGCGGTTCCCAAACTTTTACAATCACGGAACCCTTAAAAAAATAGTTTGTGTTTCGCGGAACCCTAATGCCTTTCTAATTCCAATTCTAAAATTTCTAAAAAAAAAAAAAACTAATAATCTAAAAAATGTTTTTAATGATACCATTAATATTGTTAATGATCATTTTTTATTAAAATTAGTTTAAAACACAATTTTTTTTAAATATTATAAAATAATATTTTTTCCGAGTATAATATAAAATAAGTTTCTCGATAATTATATGCATCCGGCGGAACCCTTAGCATTGTCCCACGGAACCCTAAGGTTCCGCGGAACACACTTTGGGAAACGCTAGGCTAAATCATGATTAATTTCAGATGAAATTTACTGTATTATAATTTGTTTTGTGGTATAAACTTTGCACTGCAATGAGTAACAATTTTAATGATTACATGATTTTAATAATTAGGTACATTCTTTCTAATATGCTGGTGGCTCAACGTAATTTAATGTTACCTATCTATATTTATGTTTGAAATGTTTTTTGTTAGTATTTTGGCACCAGTTATTGGGTAGACATTTTCCAAAATATTTACAATCTTATGGATTTATTCATAATAATTTAAAATTAAGTAGGTACGACATTTATCGGAGTATATACTGTTCAATTATTTAATTAATAATAATATATAATTAAAACAAAGATTCATATACTTGCACAACAATGCCTGGGTCATTTCTTACGGTTTTGATGTTCAGCCATTTCTACACCTTGATATAAATTTTACTAGTCCACTATAGTTAAGCTTGATATTTTTGTAAACTTTTATGCTTGCGTCAATTTTTTTTAAATATTCAACAAATAAGTTTTACAATATCACACAAATTCAAACCACTATAGAATACTTAGCTACTACTTACATTTTTTATTTTTATCCTTAAACATTAAAAAATTATTTTTATTGTGTATTGAGTTCAATTTTTTGTATCCTTTTTGGTACATTGCAAATACTTAGTTTTCCGAATATTTCTTTATGAATCCTGCCTTCTACTATTTTTTCGGAACATTTTTTAATTCAGTATCACAAATTGTTTGGTTTTTAATTTTATAATTTGTTTATTGGTTAATAAATTACGTGTTTAAAATTATATAACCAATTAAAACAAATTTTTAATGATAATTAAATACATTTTAGTATCAATTGATAAATGAACTGATCATATATAAGCCTATTCATACAAGTATTATTAAGTTAAATAGTTTTATACAGGGTCCGGAAAAAAAACCTCCCGTATTTAGAGCTTACGCTGTGTGAGTTGTGGTGTTGGTACAACTATGAAGGAGGTATCGATCGATAGCGGTGTACGTGCCATTTTTAGTAGGCGTAATGGCGTAGACTGGTTAACATCGTGCTTTTGTTGTAGAGGAGTATATCCATAATGGTGATTCTACGATTTCTACTCAGCGAGCATTTTGCATCCGGTTCAAACTTGGCCGACATGATTCTGTTCGGGATAGAAAAATGCTCGTTTAGGTGTCCAACTTTAGAGCAACGGGTTCTGCACTGAAGAAAAAACCACCTGGCCGACCTTTGACCATAACAACACCGGAAAATGTCGCACGTGTGAGGGCGTCCATCCAGAAATTTCCAAGGCGTTCAGCAGTTAAACATGCAGCTTCCCTGGGACTTTCTGATAGGAGTGTAAGAAGAATCTTGCACAGAGATCTTCATATGCACCCATACAAAATGATGATTACTAAAGCACTAAGTGAGAGAGATTTTGAAACTCGTAGAGCGGTGTGTGAAGACATTCTTCAGAATATTCCAGCTGGTAATATTTTGATTTCGTCAGATGAGGCCCATTTCCACTTTTATGGTATTGTTAATAAACAAAATTACCGCTACTGGGCAGTAGAAAATCCTCAAGAACTTCATCAACGGCCACTTCACAGCCCATATGTGACAGTTTGGTGTGCAGTATCTGATTTTGGTGTGTTAGGTCCGTATTTTTTTGAAGAAAATGGACTATAAGTAACGGTTAATTCGGATCGGTATTGACAGAAGTTATGTTCAAAACAAAGTAATAATTGTATTTAATGTAAAGTGGCATATTATGTGTAATTCAAAAATAAAAGAATTTGTTCTGTATCTTTGTTTATTAATTTGCAATTACTTTTTGAAATATGGGAGGTTTTTTTGCCGGACCCTGTAGTTTAATTATATACCAAATAATACTTAAATATGTATACCTATTTTTATACCTATTACATACTTTAATACTTATATGGTATAAGTTCTTATACATTTCTATCAAATATTAATCCAAAGGTTCCCAATCTTTTTATTAATTCGGCACCCAGTTACCTGACATATACGCAATTTATTTATTTATATTTACTAATAAGGTGTTAGGCCCATTATTTTTATGGTTAACACCTCTCTTAAAATGTCCAAACCTAAACGGTCGCTGCCATCACCAATCCAAACAGAACATAAAAAATCTAGATCCTTCGTCTCGTCAAATAAATTCGCTGTCTTGGCGAATGAAGAGGATAACGAAATCAATCTCGACACCTCTTGTGTTACTTCAAATATAATCGACGATTCTATTACTATTAACATTCAGCAGGACAACTCCAGGGCTCCGCCAATATATATTAAAAACATAATCAACTACCTACTCCGCTTTCAAAAATGCGTTGGTACAAATTACCGACCCAGACGGGTTTACCTGTAAGTCTACGTCTTCATTTTTAATCATTCGCCCTCATGGTCCGTCTTCTGTTTAATGCAATATCTAGTAAAGCATTTAATGGAAACCGATTCCTGTTTTCACATCTTCATGCCCCCAATATATCGATCATATAAGGTCATAATAAGAAATCTTCATCACTCAAGACTCATCTTAAATATTTCTGACGCACTCTCAGAATTGGGTTACTCCACCAGACGAATCACAAACGTTATCAAAAACGGCAATCTGTGCCCGCTATTTCTCGTGGAACTAAAACCCAACACCAACAACAAAGATATTCTAAATTTGTCCTCAATTTTGCATACCAAAATCAAAGTTGAACTACCCTATAGGACTAACAGTGATCCACCCCTATGTATAAACTACCAGAACTATGGTCACACAGCAAACTATTGCCATCATCTTCCACGTTGCGTCAAGTGTGGGGGCGACTACTCCACAGGCACTTGGCACTAAGGATAAAGACAGTCCAGCTAAATGCGCTCTTTGCACATCCAACTACAGAGGTTGCCCATCATTTAAAGCACTTCTCAAACGCAGCAAATCTTTTCATTCAAAACCACAAAATCCGAATACTGTACTCTCGTCTCATCAACCTAAAATTCCCCCTCCTCACCTTCCCAAAGTTTCTTTCGCCACCGTTGCCGATTCCAACACTATCCCATTACCTAATAGCCACACTAGCGATAAGTCATTGGCTAAATTTATTTCTGTACTTTCCTCATTAATTAATCCTCTAATTACGCTTCTTACAGCTATTTTAAACGAACAATTTATTCCATGTCCATTCTCTATCACCTCATTAGCAATATTATAATAATTTTAATTGTATACGCAATCTATATCTCTTTATTCTAATTGTTTTCGATTCATTATATATTATTATACTGTTTACCTAACATACTAATATTGAATCTGTTCGGTATTATTTGTTATTTTAATTTTTAATTGGATTGTGTTTATCATAATCTACATTCTTATGCTGTCCCACCCCCTGAATTTTCATCTGTAGGCGCCCTTGCTAGTACCTGATAAGTAATGGCGGTTTATCCCAAAGATGGGCTTGTGTGCAAAATTAAAAAAAGGCCCCCCTTCATTTTTTTATTTTAATTAATGTAGGTATAGATATATAAATTCAAATTTAAAGTAAGAACTTTTATTCTAAAATTATAAAATCTTATGCAAATCCAGTGGCGTAGCTAGGATTTTCTGAAGGGGGGTGTTAGTTATAAATATTAAGTATTATACATAATACGTACAAACTAAAACTTTTATTTTAATTAATTAATATGTATATCTAATATCTGTAATCAGTGGCGTATTTACGAGGGGTTATCTGGGTGATATATCCGGTGGCTACTAATTGCGTCCCGTGGTAAAAATTTCTTCCGAATTGCGGCTCGAGTTTTTTTTTTTGGGCTGCATACGAATTGCGGCCCGAAATTTAAAATTAAATTAATTTATATATGTAAATTTAAATTTAAAAAGCTTCATTTTCCTTCGTGTTTTTATACAGAATTAGGACTGTCTGCAGCATCAGTAGATACTGCAGGTAGGTTAAAAATGATGTTTTGTTTTTATTTAAACATTTTGGCACCGGTAAAAACATATATGATATTTCTAAAGGTTAAAAAGTTTTTTTAACTTTAAAATCTGATATTAAAATGTTTTTTTTTTATTAAAAAATTACAGCACTGATAAATACGTTTATGATATTTATTGAAGTTAAAAATGTTAGTATAATTTAGTAAAATTCTTAGGTATTATGGCACAAGTAAAAAACTTGTATGATAGTATTTGTATAAATTCAATATTGTCAATTTGGTTTTCTTCTAACCGTTTCATAGTATTTTTAATAAATGTTTCTTTTTCAATTATATTTGTTCTGCGAGTATTTAAGTGAGTGCTTCTTAATTTTATATAGGTATCCTTCTGTACATTTTTCAGAACATCGATGAATATACAAATATTAGGATGAGCACTGTAGAACAAAGCGTTGAATTTCGAATGAAAAGCTTCACAACTATTAGTAGTGCGCATAGTAGACGCCGAGTATTCTGCCATAAAAAAGGGGGGAAATTGGACTCGTTTGAAATGTATGTTTCCAATATATAATCAACAAATATTTCTACTTTTTCATTTCTTGGTTGACTAACCATTATGTAATCTGTAAAAAAGTCACTCACATCATTCGAATTTAAAAACGGTAAACCAAAAGAGTATTTTAAAAATTTACCGATTTCGGTATTTTTTTTATACTCACTATTTAGCCAATTGTCTGTATTTTTCGTCACTAGCTTTGGGCTAAGTGAAATCGGCATCCTTTTAAACTAATAAAAGGCCAAACTTTTAATAGAGCTAAATGAATCGCCATTTCAAAATCAGCAAAAACTGTTTTTGGTGAAAATGTTATGTTGAGTTTGCTACATTCAGATATGATGTGCATAAAACTCCTTTTCATATGTTTTAATTTCTTTATTGGGAAGTATAAAAATAAGAGTGGTAAATAATAACCATTTTGTAAACCATGAACTATAAACATTTGGGTAAATAATTTCGGACAACTTTTAAAGGTCCCATCTACAAAAATTGTATCAACTTTACTCAAAAATTTTAAGTTTCAGTAGAAAATAATAAAATGTTTGATGTGTTGTCATTTACAAGTAAAAAATTTTCGTTACGATTTGTAATTAATAAATGACTCATATTAATGAGAGAGATGTGTAATTCATTCAAGTCCACAGGTAACTTTGGCTAATATATGATCGAGCATGGTGAATATTTTTTCTTATTAATGTTAAATCGTATGTTGTCAAAGTGTTTATGTCTTGTGTAAGGTGGCTATGAATAATTTTACATGACTTCTCATTAATATCATCAACAGCTTTACGTTTCATTTGATTACTTATAGTCTGCCTATTTAATGTTTCAACACACATCTTTTTCGTGGTTTTCGTGATTTAAAACTTTTTTAATAATTACGTTATTATTTAAATGAATATATGCTTTACAAGTCTTTTTAGTACAGCAATATCGATCAATATCATTTTTTAAATTTTTATGGAAACGAAATTTATATCCATCGATTACATATATACTACGATTTTTTTCACTTAACATTTCACTCCAAATCTCAACATTCGACATTATAAATAAATTAAAATAGAACAGCACAGAAAAGCGACAGAACGTTCTTAGCAGTAGTAAAGCGGAGACTAAAATATATTTATTGATATCTACGTTTTACTGGATTATATTTTATCAGTCAAGATTAAATTATCTAGAGTTAGAAAACCCGGGTCGCAACTCGTCTGTACCCAAAATAAACTCTGTCCGCAATTCGGATTAAACCTTTTTTCGTTGGTATTTTTGGGACGCAATTAGTATGCAGCCGATATATCCCCCCCAGAACTTTTTTTTTTATTCATTTCACTTTTCTTATTTTTCTTTTAATGCTTGAGCCGTAAGTCCATATTGGATTCTTAGTATTTCTTAGTATTCCATCAGTCCGTTATCAATAGAAGTTAATAATAAACATAGACAGTTGTAGACAATATAATTATTATTAGTTTCAAGAAAATCATGAACATTAGATAATTATGATGAATTATTATTATTATTATAGTTTAATATCCTAATGTTCATAGTTAGTTTATATATATATATATTAATCAATTAATTATATCTGTGATTATTTAATTTATACTATATTAACGATAGTGCGTAAACCATGTGTTCAGTGTTCACATTTGCTCTCAGTCCTTTCGTGTTATCGTGTCTCGTTTAAAATTAACCGATCGGTGAACAGAATTTTAACGGTCACGGTCAAGGATTATGATGTACAGTTCTCACTACCGGTCACAATCGGTCAAGTTATATCTACACGTTGCCACAAAGTGTACAAAAGTGTTCAAAAAACAATCAAAACAATGGATATGACCGAGATTAGCGCGGCGGTTGGCTCTTCACACTAGGCGGTCTCGATCAAAAAGCTCGTGATCGCGGCAGTCTGGATCGTGCATTGACCGGTCAAGACTTGATCGGACCTGACCGTGATCGATAGTGTGTACGATGCCGTTGGATTACGTACTATCGATTAGAGATGGAAAGTTTAGTTCATTTCTGTGAATAGTTCATTAGTTCACAGTTCATTCAAGTAAATAGTTCAAATGAATTATTCATAATTTCAAGTAGTTCACTAATTTTATTGATCATACTGATATTGTTTGAAAATGAACCATTCGTTTTATCACTCTTAATACAGCAGTACACAGTTTAGTAGTAGTTCACACTACTTATAGACAATTAAGTATTTGTTATCTAATTGTAAAAATCTATTTACCATTTACAGGATTCGAACAACGAACCACAGAGAATTTATAAAGAAGTTCGCGAACTATTTAATTTATACAATGCTACCAATTTTTTTTTTGAACTGTGAACTATTAAGTTATAGGTACTGAAATAGTTCAGAATAGTTCATCAAAGTGAATAGTTCAAATGAACTATTCTTTCACGAACTTAACATCTCTACTATCGATGTTGACTTGACCGTAATCGGATCGTGACCGGACCGAACCGGTTAAGCTAGTGTGAATCGAGCTTAAAATACGACGGTCTATCAGCGACAAGGCGATAACAAAATACCACGGGAAACAGATTGCATAATATAATAACATATTCTATTCACACATATCAGACGGTGACGTATCCGATTAGAGACAGTCAAGTCATCGACGATTTTGACTGATCAGTCAAGTGTATTTCACACATATCAGTCGCCGAGAACGGTCAGTTCCAAGAAATCGGGTCAGTTGTGTTTGTTGTACCAAACACGCGTTTACACATAACGTATTAAATATTTTTTATTTAATTTAATAATATTAAAATTACATTGTGAATATGGCAGATTTCACTGACGAAGAATTATCTATTATCACAATCATTTTGGATGAGGAAACCGAAGAAACGAAAGTGGGTGCATGAGATATGGCAAAAAAGAGTTCTTGACACTATATATGACCATATATTTTGAATTTGAAAGATCGTACAGCACTTCATAGTGTCGAACACATTCGATGAGTTGTTCATCATCCATTTCGCCTACAATTCTCGTCCGTTAAAACAAAAAATATCGTTAATGATAATTCAAAAGTTCTCGGATCTGTGACTGAACGGATACTGACGGATCGGATTCGAATAAAAAAACTAATGAGTGTAGATGACGCAATATAAATTTAGCGAAACGTTACTTTCCATAACTGAGACTGACCCGACTTCCCGGAACTGATCCGTTTCGTGACTGATATGTGTGAATAGACCTTTGTCACCGTCACAGAAGTTCAGTACATCATAGAAATACAATATCTATATATTTTATAAAAATTATATACTGATATCAGAAAGAGAAAATAAGAATCATTTATAATTGTAAACAATTTTTTTATTTTTTCGTAAATAACGTATCTTTATTTTTTTTTTTTTTTTTGTGGAACGTTAAGCAGTAATGGCCCCTCCCAAGTCGAGGACCATAGGAGCAAATTGGGGGGGCTAATCCCCCCGAACAGCCCTAGCCCCCCAAAAATCTACAAATTTAAAATGTTATAATATTATAAATGTGTACAGTTTTTTTTTTTTATATATTTATATAATATTATATATTATGAGACGGCCATATTAATTATAAAATAAAAATTATCACTGGTATTGTAGAATTAAATGTTTAATATTAGTTTGATCCTATATTTTTAGGAATTATTATTAAATTGTTTTATTATTGCTATTACGTCATGATTGCGATTGTATATTATACTAAATGTATATTTAGGTACCTACTTCATAATAAATAATTACATAAGATACTCTTTACTAAACGTACGATGCCAGTAATAGGCGATAAGCCCACATGAAAACTCTGTCGAATAATTGATTTCAAATTAATTAATACTATTGTTACAAACATGAAAAAAAATTTTCCACTGAAAGCCTTAAAATGGCAACAGTAGTTGATCATTTTATGAAGTTAAATTATGATGATAGCGTTTTTTTCATTGAAAATTATAAAGTAAGGATAAATTATTAACATAAGATGTATTCAATTTAATATAAAAATAATTTATTTTCTTTTAGGAGTTATTCAATATTGACTTAAATGCTCTGAAAAGTGAAATGATGGTGGTAAAAATTGTGTCCTTCGATCAAGCATAGAATTACAGATTGATTTTGATAAAATAAAAGAAGGGATACAATTTGAAATTTATCCAAATTTGTACACTTAGTTGAAAATGGCTCTTTCAATTCCTTTTACTTCAGCCACGTGTGAGCGTTCTTTCTCCACTATGAGAAGAATTAAAAATTGGATGCGCACATTGATGGACCAGGAGCGATTTTTCAGTTTGGCAATAATAAACATTGAAAAAGAAATATCAAATCAGCCTAAAGCTGAGGATATACTAATTGAGTGTGCTAAAACCAATAAAAGGTTAGAACTATAATTTGTTTTTATTTTGATTGATATTTATTTAGGTATAATAAAATAAATGAATAAATGTATTATTATGCTGTTACATTATGTTATTATAAGTCATACCCCCTACTTGAAATTTGTGGTAGGTCGACGGTAATAATGAAGAAAAAAAATGTAATCGGATAATGAAGTAATATTATAAGGCAAGATATGAATGGTGATTGGTGGGGGTGTGGGGGCAAAGCATTTCAAATGGCATTTGCACACATCGCACACATTTATGACACGCCTCTGTCAATAAGTAATAATTAAGTAAGTTTACAATCTTTGCTACTTTGATGTATGAATTATCTATGCAATTTAAATTTAAATAGTGGTATACGTATAATGGAAAAGATCCGTATTTTTTTTAATATTTCACTACGTCAAAGTTCTAAAATATTAGTATACAATTTATTTGGGGAGAGAATAAGTATTATAATTCAAATACATTTTATAAAACAAACTTTTCAGTGTGTTTGGTCAATAGGTAAAAATCCTTAGAATAAGTCCGGTTTTTAACATTAATTATATATTAATAAATAGTTAAATTGTAGGTATACTACTTTGTTATTACATTAAACGATTAAACACATGATATAACTATCTTTCATAAAATATTTTTAGGGTAATGTGAAATTATTTCATTTTATTTTTAACTTGAAATTACTTCACAATAATTTTCAAATCAAGTTCTAGTTGAGAACCTCTGTATTAATTAATTGCAAATTTTCTTGCTTCCAGTTTAATCATTAAAATTATCTTAAAATATTTGCCAAATGTCAATATGTTTTTTAATTTAAGAATGAACATATCCAAATTTAATAGTCTTCTTGCTACAAAATGAATCATATTGCATTACCCGCGATTACTAAAATTATAAGGATCATGGAACATAATTTTTAAAATGCCAAACATATGATTTGATAAAACATTAAAATAATAAGTTATGATAAGTTTTTCCTATAGAACTGTGATTAAAATGAATTTTTTGATTTTTATCAGAATATTTTATTTTCCATTAAATATTCAACACTTCATCAGTCATTTTTTTCTAAAAATACTTGAATCTAATTATTGCACCACAAACAGGTAATTAGAGTTTGATATAATAAACATTTTAAACTTACAACTATAGGCATATATATTATATACCTACGAGGAGTTATTTTATTTTAAATTTATTTAATAATTTAAAAATATTAAAGTTTTATTCTTTTAAATATTAATATTTTATTCTAATAGCCGTACAATTCAAAAAATATGTATTAAATATCTGTACAGTTAACATTGAAAATATTTATACTTATAAAAATGTATTTATTTTTATATCTATGCTTTATGATATAATACTGTAATATATAACTGCTGTTGTACTTATGTAGTATATAGGTACCACTATAAATATTATATGTTTCTTCAATAATACATTTTATATAATAAGAATTGCTCATTTACGAAAATGTTGATACTTTCCTGTTATATAAGACTACGGCTGTTATCAAAACTACCTCTGTTATGGCGGCTACCTGTAGATATTCGCCACACATCACAATCTTGTTATCATAGGCTACCTAAAATGGTACTTTCCTGATATATTTTTTAATAATATGTATTGTGGGAAAAAAAATTGAATAAAGAAAAAATTTAAATACAAAATACAATAAAAAAAATGAATTTTTTTGTTTTTAAAATTTCGGTGAGTTTACATTCTTTGGCATTTTGCTTCCACATGAATTCAGCTAAATATGATTTTAGATGATGACGCGCAGTGCCACGATGTTTTTTATTCTGCCATTTAGCTGATCCCCATAGACGTTCTACACTTTGAGTATGTGCTTCACTTTGTTGATCTACAAAGTTTTTGCTGTGATTTACTGTAAAATGTTTAAAACCCACTTTTTCAAGTTCACTAGAGTTGTATGCCCGCCAACAATCAGAATAAATTGTTGTTCCCTTTTTTTATATTTAATAATATTGCATTTAGGAGAGTAGACATGGTTCGATCAGGAACCTGGACCAAAAAACATTCCTTAGCTTCACGACATAGACCTCCAAAAATCCACTGTTGTGGAAGAATTCTGCATGTATTATTTTTGCGCTTGGAAAATAAGCTTTCGTGTATTTCGACAATTTTTCCTTGGTTCCTTGCCTCAATATTTAGAACATAAACTTCTCGCAAATAGTTATTCCAATCTATTACTGTATTTTTATTTATTTTCAAATTTTGTTCACACCCTTTTATTGAAGTTAACTCTTGACTCCAAGCAAAAATAAACCGCAAAACAGTAACAAATGGAAGACAATTGTGCTCAAACCAAGTTATTTCGGACACTTATCTTTTTTTGACAATTTTTAATATTATGCTTCCAAAATATCAACTTTCCGAAGTATAATTTAGCGTCATGACCATTCTTGCATTGTCTTTGCGTATGTAAAATACCGTGTTCGTGAAGCAGCTTTACTGCATCCTCTTCACTTTGAGGTAGAGAACACATGTCCATATCGTATTAATTAATTAATTAAAAAAAAAATTAGAAAAACACAACCAACGTAATTAACGAGAATACGAGATAGACGAGACGACTACAGCGAAATTACTGCAGAATAGTCTACTTTTATAAAAAGGTAATGATAGGTATATAATATAATAAATACAATCACAGCTTATGAATATCGTTCATATCAGCTGAGAATTGAGATAGGTCAAAAATTCCCTAAAATTCGCTAAAATAGGCAGGTTTAAAATTATGCCACATTATCCCGGTCGCGATAACGGAGGTAGTCGCGATAATAACTGTAGTCTTGTATAACAGAAAATTATCATTTTTGTAGTCTTAGATAACAGGATTGTGATGTGATCAAAAAACAAGGTAGTCTCGTATAACAGGAAAGTACCAAAATTTTAATCTATAAACAAGTTGTCCGCCCTACTATGACCTACGGAATACAGCTTTGGGAAACAACTAAAAAATCTAACAATCAAATATTTCAATCCTTTCAATCAATTTGCCTTCGCTTCATCACTAATGCTCCATGGTACGTCAGTACCTTCACTCAGACCTCAATATTCAAAACATACATACTCTAGCATCACATCACTATAAGCTACTCCATCAAAACACACTCAACCATTCCAATCGACTTACATCCAATTTTTCCTCCCTTCAAATCCCGGGTATCCCTTCACGCCGTCTAAAGTACAATTGGTCTATAGATCTGCTAAACTTATAAAAAAAAAAAAATTGCTCTTAGATAATTATTTATTATTATTATTATTATTATTATTATTATAATTATTAGTAATTATTACACTATTTTGTGTAAACTTTTCATGACAATGACTGGTAGGACGGTAGGACAATGTTCTATAACATATATGACAGGGGTCATCATATTTTTCATATTTCATATTTTTAGAGAGCCACTTTAGGAGTTTTTAAAATGTTCGGGGGCCATCAAAATTCAAAGCAAATATTTTTAATATATTAAAATACAAAAAAAAAATTGGCTAATTATATATCTTAAGTAGAGATGGGTCGAACTGATGTTTTCATAAACTCGAATCCGAACTCGAACATAATTTTTTTCTCGAACTTGTTGGTATTTTGAACTATTTTCGAACTTTCGATCTTTCGAACTTTGAAAAATTAAAGCATTTAAAAGTTAAAACTTAAAAATTTGAGTTTTAACTAACTAGGTATGACAAACTAAAAAGTTTAATATTATAATAGAAGTAAAATTATTAATTAATATTATTTAAAACTTATTTCTAATTACTATATAACTTGTTAGTTTTTAATTTATATTTTATTGTTCGAATTCAAACTTGCATTTTTCTCGAACTTCGAACTGTTCGAATTTCTTAAAATTCGAGGTGTTCGAGAGTTCGAAATATAGGAGAACCCATCCTTAATATTAAGTTATATAGGTACATTAAGTCTCGTAATGACGTTTAATATTGAAAACATTAAAAAACAGCCACGTTTGATGGTAAATCAAATACACTGACTTGGTTCCTAAGCTGTTCGGTAAATCAAACAAGTCTACTAAGGCAACAACTATCTGTTTTCAGACGATCACCTTTTCAAACTTTAATATATGCTTGCCAATATGTATATCTGTTTCGCCGATAAAAACCAATGTATTTTATTATCGGTTTTTACTTTTTTCCTTGTCTGCGGGCCTCCATTTGGTGATCCCTGTTCTATAGAGACTTAGGTCTTGTCAAATACTCAAATCGATTGAATTTAAAATTAATAATTATTTTATTATAATTATTTTTTTTTTGATGAATATTAATATACTATTTAAATTGTAATCAATGTAAGTACTTATAATATGAAGTAACTGTTTTTATAATTTTTTTTTATTTTTTTTTTTTAAATAGTGTTACATTATATTAATAAAAAATATTGTATATTACAGTTATACTATAAAAGTAATGTCAGTCATCTACTATACATATAGATTTAAAATGTTAAAGCCTGTTGTACAGCTATTATGCAGACATAAATCTTCATCAGCTTCTGCGAGTATCATTACTACATTCAAGACTGATAATTCATATAGAATAACACTTTCAGATCCAAAAACTAGGTACCTATATTTAAAATATACTAGTAAATAATACTAAACACGTATGTTACTAGAATATTATTTATAGTTGAATGTATTAAATAAAATACAGCATTATAGTTTTAAATAAATAATTATTTCATATTTTATTCTCTATATTTTTTTATAGTTACTTAAATGAAAACTAAAAATAATTATTCTTATTATTTTATCAATTAAAATAAAAGAAATTGTTCTGAAAAATTCCCTTTTAAATTAATTTATTTTTAAAATAATTTTTATGTTTTGGTTAATTACTACACCTCTATAATTACACCAAAAATATCAGTAAATTATTTTATTTATTTATAAAAAAGAATAATTTAGTATGTTAGTCTTCTATAATTTTAAATACCTACTAATAACTTCTTATATGCAAATTAATTTTATAAAATTCATTATATGATAGTCTTTAAACAATTCTCTGATATTTGATAATTTTAATTTTAATTGTATGCTTTTAATGCCTACTTAAAAATGTCTTATATTTTTTGACTTAATAAATAAATTCAAAAATGCATTTTAGAATATCATAAATGTAAGAGTAGGTATAAAGATAGAAAATATTACCTGATTTGAAAAATATAATTTTATCGTTTTGGAACTTGAGATTGAAAGATATATTTGTTATTAAAAATATTTTTATTTTTTTTTATAGAAATACATTATCTATTGCTCTGCTACAAAATTTAATTCAAGAAATACAAAATGCTGGAAATGATTCATCTATAAAAAGTATTGTACTTTGTGGTTCTGGACCAGTATTTTCTGCGGGTCATAACCTTAATGAGCTTGTAAGTTACTTTTGTTCTGGTAAAATACCTAAATAGTAAAATGACAGTATTTTAATTCTTAGTGAGGTACCTATTTTAATTAAATTATTATTAAATAATTTAAAATTAAATTAAAAAGATTGATAAAATAATAAAATAAAAATAAAATGAATAAAATAACAATATAATTGTTTTTGACTACAATCAAAAATAAGATATTGTGTTGGTTGCAAAATAATGTGTTACCTATTAATTATGAAGGAATGGTACAAATCATTTATGGCTATTTTGTACACCAAAATTCTAAAGATTTTCATAAATGTTTGTATTCATTCTTCTAATATTTTATACACAATACTTTAATCTGAAGCTTAATCATAGTTACCTAGTTTATAGCATTTTGAATAATACGGTTTCAACATTTTTTCTAGAGAATACCAGAAAATCAGAAAAATATATTCTCATTGGCTACAAAACTTATGAATATAATGATTGATTGTCCTATACCTATTATAGCATGTGTTGATGGAATAGCTGCAGCATCTGGTTGTCAATTGGTAGCAGCATCTGATATAGCAATTTGTACAAACCGCAGTTTTTTTTCAACTCCTGGGTAAGATATTTATTTCAATTATAAATTGGTAATACTCACAAAAGTTATAATAATATAAAATTCCCTAATTCTAGTATAAACCTTGGTTTGTTTTGTTCTACTCCAGGAATTCCTCTTAGTAGAGTTGTATCACAAAAAACTGCTTCTTATATGTTATTTACTGGAGCACCTATTAATGCAGAAGAAGCTCTAAGAACTGGTCTTGTTAGCAAGATTGTTCGTCCAGAAGAATTTGGTTAGTTTATTTATTAATTTTATTAATTTACTTTCAAACCTTTAAATGTATTTTTCAATTAATATTCTTTTTAGATGATGAAATTTCCAAGTTAACAACATTAATTGGTCAAAAAAGTCGAACAGTAATTACTTTAGGAAAGACATTTTTTTACAAACAAATTGATGAAAATGTTAAATTAGCTTACAAGTAACTATATTATATATTTTGATTGTTAACTTAAAGACAATTTATTTTATCTAAAAATAATTACCAGAAAAGGAGAACAAGTGATGCTTGAAAATTTGGAACTTGATGATTGCAAAGAAGGTTTGCAATCTTTTGTAGAAAAAAGAAAACCCAATTGGTAATATTTAAAACACATTTCTAATGAATATAATTGAAATATTATTAAATACATTTTTAGGTGATTGTATTGTCCTAAGAAGTTGATTTATCCTGATATCTGTGGAGTATGGATTAGATAAAAGTTACATTTTGAATTATTAATTGCACTTTGTAATTTAAATATGTAGATTTCCATTTAAAAAAAAAATAAATAAATTTTTTAAGTTTATATCAAACTAATAATTTGAATAAATTAATGTAAATTAATTAATAAAGATTAATAAATTAAATTTTCATAAATAAAAACTGCAATATAAAAATGTATTTTGTTTTGATTATAGAAAATTTTCTATTTTTAAGTTTTTACAATTTTTAGTCTATTAAATTAGAAACAACTTATTATGTACTATATCATGTTTCAACCAGATTTGACAAATGCAATGAATTTTGTTCTAATTAATAGCTATTTTAAATTAATATAAAAATATTTTACTATATTTCTATTAGTTAACATTTTTATTTTTTATTTTTACTTGAAATTAAAAACTTAACATTGTATTCTATTATTAAAAAAAATACCAAAATAGTCATTATGTGATTGTTTGATATCATAAGTCTTAATAGAGGTTAATTTGTTTTTTTTTTTTGTTATTTTTTATAGTATGTAAACATTTAATAATTTTACATTTATTTATTGATAATTATGTTATCAATAATAGCCTAATTACCAATTACCAATTAAATTACCAATTAAAAATACTTAATTGATTCAAAATGCTGTGTCAATAATTACCTACGATTTGGGCTGTTCATTGAATTATTTTTTTTTTAAACAAAGTTTTTTATATAGAGAGTTTACAAGAGCTATACAATTAAACTTATATACAAAAATTGATATATATATATATATTAATAGTCAATATTATTGTTGACAATTATTATATTTCAAGTCAATTCAGCGACTTTATTAGTGTGACATCATTAGAAAATAAAAAAATTATTCAACTATAAATTATTTAGGAACAAGGAAAGGAAATCATTTTCTTAATGTCAACAACGAAAAATTGGTTTCTTTTTTAAAAAAACTTTATAAGAACTGACATCTATATTATCTTTCATTATGGTTCAATATTTAAACTAGTCTATATTACTAGTATTATACCCAGATATTATTCCTTAGTCAATTACTTTGGTCCAAATCCTCAATACAATTGGCACCAGGTGAAGTTTGCCAGTGTTGTTTACCAACAAACCTGAAGCTGTTAAATTTTTTAGTTTGCTTACAAAACAAAACATTAAATTATAGGGTTTGTAAACAAAAATCTTAATAGACAGTGTATCAAAATAATACAGATATAATATATATAATATAAACATTTTTTCGTTCTATTTGGCTAAGTTGTCGAGCCCTTTCAAAATGGCAGACTAAAATTTTAGCGACCAAGAGTTTTCAATCTAATTTAATACATTTTGTGTTTAAATTTTTTTTTTTTTTTTTTTTTTATTAAGAAAATATTACAATCTGTATACATAATACAATAAGTAAAAATGTCTGAACAATATGTCACAACGCATGAATATCGTGCATGAAGAAGGAGTCCATTGACACCACTTCAAAAAAAAAAGAATAATAAATAAAATTGTGAGACTAAAGTTTGTGCTAAAATGAGTTAGAGAAGGTTAATAGGGTTAGAGGGATTATGGAGATAAGATATTAGAGGGTTAGGATGGTTTTGTGTGTCACTGTGGAATTTTTTAAAATAGCAAGAAGCAAGTTCAGGAAGTGTTAGAATTTTTAGGTCTTTATGGAGAGTTTGGTTACTAACGTACCATGGTACTCCTGTTATTATTCGTAGGTTAATTGATTGAAAGGATTGATGGATAGAGATATTTTTAGATTTTTTCGCGGATCCCCAAATTTGAATACCGTATGTCATGGCTGGGCGTATAATTTGTTTGTATATTAGTAGTTTTATATTAAGTAGCATATTAGAACGGAGAAGATGCCTCAAAGAATGAAGATGTAGGTTTAATGATTTTCGTTTGTTTTTTATGTAGCAGGTCCAATTTAGTTCTTGTCTAAATGGATGCCTAAATATTTAGTGTTATCATGTAGAGGAATTATGTTTTTATTTATCGATAAATGAAGGCCATTGATGGATCGGAGAGAAAATGATACGTGGGTGGATTTTTCTTCGTTAATTTTTATTCTCCATAATTTGAACCAAATTTGGAGTTTGTTGAGATGATCTTGGAGTGATTTTGTTGAAGAATTAGAGTCAGGTTTGGAGGATAGTATGGCAGTATCGTCTGCAAATGTAGCGAGATGTGTATTATTTGAGTGAGGAATGTCTGAGGTAAATATATTATAGAGCGTTGGGGCTAGGATGCTTCCTTGAGGTATACCTGCATTAATAGAATGAATGTTGGATGTTTCATCATCGCAACGTACGGCAAAGGTGCGTTGTGATAAGAATGACTTTAACGTGAGGTACAAGGGAGCTGGAAGAAATCGAAGTTTATAAAGGAGTCCTTCAGTCCACACGCGATCGAATGCCTGTGCGACGTCAAGAAATACTCCTTCACAATGATTTTTAATTTCTAGGGATGAAGAGATGATATCTGTTAATCTATGAATTTGGTCCAGTGTGGAGTGTTTATTTTTAAAACCAAATTGAGTGTTTGGAATTATTTTATTTTCGTTAACTATAGGATATATTCTCTTTAGTATGATTTTTTCAAGGATTTTAGAAAGGGACGGAAGTAGACTAATTTGCCTGTACGAAGAAGGTAATTCAGGAGGTTTATCAGGTTTGTGGATAAGTATTATAATTGAGTGTTTCCATGTTTGTGGTATGTATGATAATCTTAGTATAGAGTTAAAAATATAAGTGAGTTGTATAATAGCTTTTTTTGGTAGATGTTTGATGATTTTATTGGTGATTAGCTCGTGACCGGGAAACTTGTTATTTTGTATTTTTTTTTATTAAAAAAAGAATTTCTGATGGGGAGGTGTGTTTAGTTGGAAGAGCCATAGGACAAGGAGTATCTAGTGATTCGGTAATACATTTTGTGTGATGTACAATGTTTATGTCTGAGTGGGAACAGAAGTTGTTAGCAAGGTGAGTTGCAAATAAATTCGCTTTTTCGGAGTTGGATATGGCTAAGGTGTTATTTGGATTGCGTAAGGGGGTGATACTTTTTTTCCTTGAGTATGTTTTTAGTTGCTTTCCATAAAGACTTATTATTATTTGTGAGTGAATTTATATAGTGTTGATATGATTCAGTATTATATTTGTATAGAAGATTTTTCAAGTTGCAGGAGAGACGGTTATAGGTGGATTTATCACTTGGAAGGTGTGTGCGTTGCCATCTAGCTCGAGCACGGCGCTTTTCTGTTATTAATTGAGATAAGTGTTGAGGGAGATTATCTTGTTTAGTTTTGGGGAAGTGAGTATTCGAGGCTCTTGTTGCAGAGTTTTTAATAATATCGGTTAGATATTGTACTGCGTTATCAATATCAGAATGATTTTTAAGTGAGATATTAAAAGAGACTTGGGATTCAACGGACTCACTGAAGATCTGCCAGTTGATTTTTCCAGGGGTCAGGGTAGGATAAGTTATTTTAAGTGTGATGTGATCATTTAAAGATAGTAATACTGGAGTTTGATCAGATGAAAGATCGTTTAGGTTGGAGATATTTCGATTGATATGGTTTGGTAAGTTGGTTATGAAGAAATCTAAGATATCAGGCTGCCTATTTTGGTGGGTTGGCCAATATGTAGGATTAGGGGGAGAGAGGAATTTTAGGTTTTTGTTTTGTATGTCATTATGTAGTATTCGACCTCTGGTATTAGTAATTCTGGAGCCCCATGAGGTGTGTTTGCAGTTAAAGTCACTATCAATTAGATAATTATTCCCAATGGAAAGAAGATATTTCGTAAGTTCGTTTGAGTTAAGTTTTGTTTGAGGAGGAAAGTATGCAGAAGAAATAGTCGTTGGAATGTGGTTTAAGATTATTTTTATATTAGTTGCTTGAATAGAGTTGCTCTGGTAAGACGGTAGAGTAGAGTGTTGGAGGTTTGATTTTATTATAATCGCTGAGCCTGCATGAGCGTTTCCACTTGGGTGATCGCAGTGGTATGTTTTGTATCCAGGAAGTTTGAATGATGAGTTTAAGGTTAGATGTGCTTCGCTGATAAGGATAATATCAACGTGAGAGAGCTGTAGGAAGGCTTCAAGTTCATTTTTTTGTTGGTTTAGACCATTGGCATTCCATAAGAGGATGGATAGTGATTGTTGGATATTTAAGCTAGTTGGCGTTTGATTGGGATAGGAGTTTAGAGATAACAGTGGATAGTAAAGAGATTAAGGGATTAATCAATGATTTAAAGTCTTCCAGGAAAGAAATTAGTTTGAGTGAAATTTGATCAGAGTTATCACCATTAGATGTGTGGGAAGTGATAGTTGGATCTTTGGTTGCTTGAGCATATGATTTGGATTGAGAATTCGAATTTGAAGTGGTGTTTACATAAATGGGCTATACATTATTTGTATTATTTTGTTGAGAATGTGAAGTTGTTTGAGTTTTCTTGGGATTACGAGATGATTGAATTTCTTTATGTTTGGGACATCCTCGATAGTTTGCTGGATGGTCACCCTGACAAAGCGCACACTTGGCGGGTTGGTCGGTGGGTTTTTGGCAGGAATCTGATAGGTGATGTTCGCTACATCGAACGCATTTAGGGGTATGATTGCAGTAAGCTTTTTTGTGGCCGTATTCTTGGCATCGAAGGCATTGGACTATGTGGCGTTTAACTCGAGGTTCTTCTATTTTAATTTTAGTGTAGCATAGGTATTCGATTTTGAAGATATCTTTATTGTTTATGGCTGGTTCTAGATCTACGAAGAATAATGGGAGCGGGACCTTAGTGTTATATTGTTGAACGTTTGTTACGTTTCTAGCGATGTGACCGAGATCAAGTAACTCTTTTTTAATATCATCAAGAGGGATTGTGTGATGTAAGTTTCTGATTACAATTCTATAGGCTTGATCTTGTTTTGATTGATAAGTATGGTAGTCCGCTTTGCTGGATTTTAGAAATTTAATTACTTCTCTGTACGAGTTTGGTGATGTAGTTAGAAGTTTAACTCTTGTGTTTAAATTATAGACCTTATATTATATTAGGATAAGGTTAGGTTATACCGTATTACAATTTACTATAATTAATTAATATTATTTTTAGTGATAGCAAACTTACGGTGATAAGAAAGCTGATAACCTACTCCGAAAAATAACTCATGATCCTCTCTTTTATAATTTAGTGTATTATTTATAATTTTTATTTGCTATGTAGTTATTGAATCGACTCACTAACGTAGTTGAGTGTACCTTAACCCAATTTTTTATTATGAATTTATTACCGCTAAGTTATTATAAATTTATTGTATAAAAATATACGAACTAATCATTAATTGATAAAATGTTATTACAAAGATTTAATTTTAAAATTGTATTAAATAATATAAAAAGGAATTTCATTACTAATCCGTATGGTTTAATGTGTTCTAAAACAAATCAAATTATTGATAATGATGTTGAAAGTAAACAATTTATTCCTATATTTAAGTAAGACTTTCAAAATTGTAATAAGTACTATTGAAGCCCGTGAGCCCTACTAGGGGGGCGCAATAGGGTTTTAGCAACCCTGAGTTCAAATGTAGTACTACTATTTTTTTTTCAGATCTATATAATCTATAGTAATTACAGTTTAGTAGCATTTTATTTTATTTTCAGAAATTTCAGCACCCCCAATATTTGGGCTTTAGTTGTACCCATGTTGAAGTTTATTATTTCATTGAACTCTTTTATTTTGTGCAATAAACTTTAATTTTTTAATTCATTATATTTCTAACAAAAGTGTTGCGAATAACTAACTATAATATGTCCAAAAATTGCTTGGTGATATTAATACAATATCTAGTTATTTTGTAGAGGATATGCAATTGATATTAAATCGTTATATTTAATAAACTTATGATAAATGATTAATATCAACTGATTGATGAAAAAATATATTGAATATTTTTTCTTGTAGTTGAAAATGAATTTCATCTGGAAATATTTTTTAGTATATGGGTTACTACCTACCAAATAATATGGTTGAAGTATTTAATAAATATATTAAGATTTATACTCTAAATGTTATTTACTTTATGATTAAAGTAATTATATAGGCTTGTGATGACTGAATATCAAATTTTTTAATTTAGTTAAGAGTTATATGTTTTAGATTTATACTGTAAATAATGTTTTAACTTATGAGTATTTTTACATTTTGTTTTCAAAACGGTGTCTTTTATTTATTATTTAGTTATACATTTTATAATTATTTCATATAAATTTTCTTTGAGAATATTAGTATATAAATAAATCTTAAGTAAAACAAATGTTAATTTATATTATATACTGGTAATAACCTTTGTTGATGAAGTTTTGTCTTTAAATGAAAAAAAACAAGTATATTTTTATATACCTATTTATGTAAAGAAGCAATTATTATTATTAATATATTATTAATTATTGTTGTATTAATTGCAGTCTAAAACTTGAATTTCATAATTTTTCCTATTACATATGTAATTTACATACATTAGAAGAAAATAAGACTAATTTTTTTTTATCAATATAATAACAAATCATGTATAAATAATATTAACCTTAATAATTTCAGAACATCACACATGACATTTTTTGTTGGTTTAAATAGAATCAAAGCATTTCAAACAGCAGCAACCTTTTTTTTCATTCCTTCGTGTTTCGTTTTAAATATACTTGGACATTTTAACTTGGAAGAAGTTATTTTCGGGTCATTTATAAGTACTGTTTAACATTCTTTAATTTTTGCAATTTTAAAATAATGTAGTAATATATATTTTTATAGATGTTGGTCTTACAATTGGTATACATGCTATGTCTTGGTTCTTCTCAAATAATCTCGTGGTGTTTGTATACTTATGTCAAGATGAACAAAAGTGTCAAATGTCCTATATTTCATATTGGGGAAAACGTAAAGAATTATATTGCAATATTGATGATGTGAAACCTATAGAATATTCTACATTAGATATTTTTAATCATAAAATCAAATTGAATGGAAATAAAAATACATTTAAAATTATTTTACGTGATGCTACCATTTATAATAATGCAAAATTGAGAAAAGTTTTTGGTAGTGAAGTAATTTAAGTAATAATTTTTGTTTTATATATATATATATATAAATATATATATATATATATATATATATATATGAATTTTTTAGATTTCTGTAAATAAATTGATTTAATTATAATTAGTTTTGATTGAATTTAATTTTAATACAACCTTTATAACCATAAATATTTTTATAATTATGTTAAATAATTAAGAAAATTATTTTTTATAGATAATTTTTAGTGTATTAACTCAATTTTAAGTATTTGTTTAGATTTTGAAAGATGAATATTTGTAGAAAAATAGTTTTTAGATGACTTTAATGTATTAAAATATTACGCTTATCTTATGAAGAATAAGGAACATGTGGAAACTTTATGATGGAAAATAAAACAAAAATACCCATGAATTGATCAATTTATTATAAGCAGGGCAAATTCTAGCAAATGCATATTTCTCTTGGTTCATCCTGCAACATCTAATGTAAGATACAAATATATTTCTAACTTCTCCAACGTTATACACAAAATTTAATTTTGCTAACTTTTACGTATTTAGGGTTCTTTAGTACTATGTTTTGGTGTATTTTCTGATAATATAGAAAATATTTTTGTTGAAAATAATGATATCCTTGGTTATACTCTTAAATATATTTATATTTTTGGAAATAAATAGACCTCAGTGAAAGTTGAATTTCAACGATCGTTGACGTGGAGCAGTAATTTTCCACTTACAAAATTATAGTATCAAATAATTATCAGATCTTTCAAATTCAAAAATATTGAATATAATTAAATTAATAATATAACATTTAATTTTTTTCTAAATTTATAATTTTTACAAGTTAAATACATATTTTTAATTTTTTGTGCTATTTATAGCACATGCTTTGGAGTTTAAGTGCTTATATAATAGCTAAAAAGTAACATTTATACTGCTACTATTTCCAAATCCTAATTATAAATGATACTAAATAAAATAAAAAATGTCAACCGATATTATTACTAAATATCAAAAAGTATTATATTTTTAAAATATTAAATTAATCAAATTTTAGACCATGATAGTTCACATATTTTTAAAGTTTGAAATATACAAATATTACTATTACCTCAAATTAATGTCTACACTTAACATACTTGAATAATATATAACTATAATTTACCTTAATATTATTGTTAGTTACCTTATCAGAATTGATTAAAAAAAAAAAAAATAAATTCTTCTATGAAAACTAGTTGAAGAAATAAATATTCTATGATTACAATAAATGTTTAAAAAAAAACTAAATGCAAATTTTATAATATAAAATGCCAAAATAATCATATAGCAAAGAAAATTTAATTAATATTAACTTCACAACAATATGTGGCGAAATGAAGGTACTTTTGCTTATAAATAAATTTATATTTTCATATGTATCAAGAAAATGTAATTTACGTAAAAGAGTAGAACATTTCTAGAGGTTTATTAACTTTCCAAAACTTGTCATGTACAATGCGGAGTGTTTGGTTACCACTGAGTGGTACAAATTGATCTGCAGTAGGTGCAACATAGATTAAGAAACTGAGAGCACGTTCTGGAAGTTCTGGCCCAAGATCCAAAGTTAATCGCATAGCCAAATACTTACTCAGATGATCAACTAGAAAAAAACAAGCATAATAAAATTCTAAAATTATATTTGTCAGTATTACAGTACCTATGTTAACTACAAAACATACTTATTACAATAAGTTCAGTTATGACAAAATTCAAGGAATCACAAACTTTCATTATTGTTCTATCAATATCAAATTTTTTTTTTCAAGAGAATGTTAAATCACTTAAAAGATAATTTGTACATTATTAAATTGTAACAGATTTCATAATAAGCAATAAAATTTGTACATATAGTTTTTGAAAAGTGTTATAGTAATCTACTAATTAAAATTAAATTATAGAAACTGTATAGCCTTATATTCAGTGCCATTATACCATGTCATTGATTCATAATATTATGAATATGTTATGGATTACAAAATTTGTTAATTACCATTTATTATACATAAAAAAAAAAATGTATTTAATTTTTTAAAATTATGATCAATATTATTGAAAAGTTTTAACTTAAAAATGTAAGGCAGAACTCAATGAATATTTTTATCTGTAAATCACATATTTGTTTTTAAATAATTCGTAAACAATTTAAAAAGCTGATTATACAGTAACTTTAATAATAATCCATATGATTTTTTTTATATTAAAACGGCTTACCAGTAGCATTTGCTGTAGTTTTAATATAACGAATAGAGTTTTCTTTCAACACTCTTATTAAATGGTTATCACTAGCCATTTCTGTAGGATGAGGTTTAAATACTAGTTCTATCTCATCTACTGATATTCCTTTGGATGTACCATCACATTCTGTAATATCTGAGGTATCAACAACTGAAGCTGGTCCTTCTTTTTCAGATATCATAACAGATTTCATTTTTTTAGCCACCTTAGTTTGTACCATTGTTCTAGTCACATTATCTCTACTTTGACTGGAATTATTTGAATTTGAAGGTTTTGATGTAATTGTTGAACTGTTTTCATTTTGATCTTCATGCTGGTTCTTCTTAGTTCGTTGTAAACGGTTTTGAGTTTGTAATTTAATACCTTCATTTATTGATTGTACTAAATTAGCCTGACTATGACTTTTATTAAGTTTTTCCAACACTCTAGTTTGATGAGCTTCATATTCATCACGGCTGGGATAAATTTTAGAAATAAGAAGATCAAAATTTGGATCAGGACGTAAAGAACGTTTAGATACTAATTTCTTGCGACAAGTAGGGCATTCTTTATTACCTGAACGAAGGGCAGTTACAATACAGTCTGAACAGAATCTAAACAAAATAAATTATGTTAAAATTAATGGTTTACATACATTATTATATATTATTATAACACCTATGGAGACACTCTTTAGTTGTCATTGTTTTTTTCAACATATCCAAACATATTGGGCACATAAGCTCACTATGAAGACTTCTCGGGGAAACAGCAATTTCAGTATTATCTGTAATAGCTTCTTGAGGAGATCTGTGCAATTCATACAGTGAAAGTTCCCAAGTCTTAGAAAGACCCATTGGATCTGCTGAAGCCATATTAAAAAAAAATTTGTTTAACGATTATGATCTAAAAAAAAGAAACTTCAAGAATTTTTTATGAAAATCACAGGAGATATTGAATACACAATACCTAGTAGGTATTAATAATTAATTAATATAATTAAAAAATATTATATTAAATTTTAATTCAAATGAAAAATAGTAGGTACGACCAATAATTATATAAATTATTGATCATGTTTATTGTTTACAAAAACATAGTAATGATGTCGATTATCAGAATTTATTTTACGAATTCGATAGTTAAAAAAATTGAACCATCAGTCAGTTCTACTATCGATAAAATGATAACTTACAAATGATTATAAATTTTATTTTATTTCTAAATTTAGAAATCCTAAGTAATATAAATATGAATACAAAGATATATTTTTAAAATTTTGTATTGTAAAAAGTATTTTGATAAAAATTTAAATTTAGGTAATTCAAGTTTAATTTAAATTGTAAATTATCTTGATTATTGTTCATATACAATTGTTTAGTTTATTCGATTGTTATTATCATAATTTCAAATTTTATTTATAGTTATCAAAATGTAATCAACCAGATTTCAGATATTAAACTCGGTAGTATAAAAAAATTATATATTTAATAAAAATATAATGAAAAATAGCAACCTTAAACATTCGGTGATCTGGGCCGAGGGTCTGGCAAAGTGGGCGCTTGCTAGGGGCACAAAATTTGATGAAGCCATTCAATTAGATTTTAAAAATCCAAACCAAAATATAATAATTTAAAAACTGATATTGGATGGAAATACAATGCCGAATGATACTATAAAGTGTGAAGTACCTAGTGTTAAATAATATTTAGGTATAATAATGTCCATATTATAACACACGTAACCCGTAGTTATAATTTACAATTGTGAGGAAAACGTGATATAAATTATTTCGCTTTAACTCATAGTCGCTAGGTAATATAGGTACAAATTTAAAAATAAAATTTTCGAGCGACAATAATACCGATAATCTAAAATATGATCATATTATATTATTTTTGTTGTGGGGCCCAGTATTTTAATTTTGCCAGAAGCACCACAATTGATCGACTCGGCCCTGTTATATATTTACTTTAAAATAAAAATTGTAACAACTTACAATTAAAGTAAAAAGCAAAATAATATTTTACTTGCAATCTAATAATATCATACAATCAACAATTACAATTAAATAAGATCTAAATATTCGTAAGTTAAATTTAACTAAAAATAAACAAGAATATTTCATTAAAACGTAATGTACATAATACAATAGTTGGCAAGAGATTGTTCATACTGTGGTTAGAACAATACATATACAGCAAATGTAAATCATAAAACTTGTAAATCGTTATAATTAATGATAAATTAACATTCACTTCATTAGGAATTTAATTGTATAACATTGAAAATGGAAAAGTATCATTTAGAAATTTATCACAGTATGTGATAAATAAAATTTGATGAACTGTCCACAAAATAATATCGTGTCATACAGTTTTCAAGTAATAATTGAAATCATAAAATAGTACGTTTTACGGATTAGAACTATAATTAACTAAAAGTAAAATAATCTAAAACTCTCCACACGACATATAAGCCTACCATTAAATGTTCTCCGATATCGTTTCATATCTAATGACAAATTAGAAAACAAAGATTTATTCAGTTCTTGGGATATCCATCGTTACCTAAATTTAAAAAAACAAAATTAGAGTCCAAGAAAATGTGAAGACTATGCGAATTTATTCAAGACGAATATCAATAATACCACGGATCAAGATGATTTTCCAATTTTGTTTTCGTGACTACTACTGGAACGAAATGTCAATATTAGTTTTCAGATTATGCTATTATACAGTGATCGCATGTACATTACACATAAATAATTCTAAGTATTGATAATAAATACCATTATAGTATTTATAATCTATGTTTATAGGTATTGGTTCAAAATTCAATAGTATACTATTATGATAAATTACATATATGATCTAAATTATATGTCCATAGCAACATTATTAGTGTTTTTGAATCTAATAGCTACGAATCTCATTACGGCTACATACATTGAATAAACTCCAAGATTACAGTTACTGTATAAATATAAAAGTTGTTTTATGTATCTTTAGATTTTAAAAAAAAATTGGCGGGATTATTATTAACTTAGTTGTTATCAGATAGTGGTATTATATTCGTATTGTATTATTGATTCCTAATTTAAATTGCTTATAAATTTATCATTCAACTGAATACTAGGAATGAACACAAATAATTGTGATTATTGTTTTTATAATATATCTTGAAATATTTTAATATTAAGTAATTTGTTACTATTCATATGTAATATTGTAATATAGGTTAAAATAATTTTGATAAAAATTTAACAAAATTAAATTGTTACTGAGGGATTTTGTTTTTACCCCTTCTTTGCTATAATTAGTATAAACATTCATGATAAATGACAATACAGTTTTATTAACAATTGGTATAACCGGTTTCAATTTTTTAATATATAAAAATACCATTTTTATAGCATGTGTCTTAATTATTACAATGTCAATTGTCATTTTATTGTTTCTATTCAGAAGTCTCATATTGATCAATTCATTATAAAAAATTGTATCAGATTTAAATATAAAACAATAGCCTAAATTAATAATTTAACAATTTTAGAAAGTTTCACTATATTGATTTGTTAACTCAATATTGTAAGTATTAAATTTAGTCATACAAATGTAAAGAAAGTTATAATATTAATTTGAAAATATTATAATTTTGTTACTTAAAATATTTTTTACATATTTTCAATTGTGTGTTATACATTTATTTTTATTTTCATTATAGAAAATATTTCCCTAAAAAAATAAATTGTTTTATTATATAGTTTTATATTAAATTATTATGCATTTATATAAATAAAATATTCATTATCTCTTGTTATTATAATTACAATTTTATTTTATTTTTTTAGAAATGAAGTTTAATCAAGAGTATTGGGTAACAGAATTACCCAAACCACTTACTTACATTCCAATAATAGAACTAGCAATTCCAGGTATATTTTAATTTTTAATAATTGTAAAATGTATGTCATAATTTGTTTCTTATTACTTTATAAGAGACTGAGGAAAGCCATAATATTAGTTATTTTTTACATACTCAAGAAAAATTTATATTAAATATCTTAGGATCTCATGATTCATTTTCATATACTATAACGCCATATAGTAAAATAGGACCTGATGCATCAAGACTTGTGAAGTACTTAAATCTTATGTTTGGACCTATAATGCGACGGTTTGTTTACAAATGGTCTATTACTCAGACATGTAATATTCAACACCAACTTTGCTTAGGAATAAGGTAATTCTACATTTTTCATTATAAACTTAAAACATAATTTTAGTATCTTCTTTTCCTTTACCTTTCTCCCAACTATTTGGGGTTGGTCACCCTATTAATATTTTAAATTTTAAAAATATATTTATGTATAATATATAAATTTTAATAAAATTTTAAGTTTCATAAATATCATACAAGTAGAAGAATTGTTTTTATAATTTATCAAGTTTATATTTTAATTTTTTATTAGATATTTTGATTTACGGATGGCAACAAAAATAAATGACACTAATTTTTATACAGTCCATGCTCTTTATGGCGATCCAGTTATGAAGGAGCTGATAAATATTAAAACATTTTTGATGTCACATACTAAAGAAATTCTTATATTGGACTTTCAACATTTTTATCAGTTTTCCAAAGCTGATCATAATCGATTATTAACAATTTTAAAGTCACTTTTTCATAATATGATTTGTCCAAAAACATATCCAGTTGAAAAACTTAATTTGAATATAATGAGAACAAATAGTTGGCAGGTAATGAAAATATCTTACTACTCACTAATGTATTATATATTTAAGATTTATAAACAATTTAAAATATTGTCTAACTGTACTAAACTATAATAAATATTTATTATTTGTAGATGATAATTATATATAGACATAATATTCAAGATGATATGTTTTGGCCATCTTCATATTGGCCAACACCATGGCCACAAACAACTACTTATAAATATTTAATACAATTTTTAGAATCTGGTCTTAAGCAAAGAAAACCAAATACAGGATATGTTACTCAATGTCTGTTTACTCCTGATGTAAAGTTTATACTACGATACTTTTATTTAAATCTTCAAACTTGTTGTCTACCACTGAATAATTTAATACCAAAATGGATAATTAATCAAAAATCTGGCAATAAGCACGGTGTAAATGTAATAATAGCTGATTTTATCAACATGAACGGATTTAATTTTTGTGATATTGTTATTCAACTAAATTATAAACATTTAATAACTAAAAAAAACTGTTGAATAATTTATAACATTTTAATTATATTATATGCTAACTCAGTCTCTTAAAAGTCATTACTTATTATTAAGTATATTATGTATTTTTAACTATTATAATATTTATAAATATTATAAAATATTATTACAGAACATGACCAATAGACTATTACCTACCATAGTGCATGAAATATTGGACAACTTAAAAATAAATTTTGAACAACGAGCATGTATTGAAGAATTATTATTAAGCTTAAACTCAGTTTTTGGAATGACGTTAACTGAACATGCTCTTGAATTAATTGATGATGATAGTGTGTTTTTAATTCAATGTCATGAACGACGCATAATTCAAATAGTTGGCTCAAGAGGTGACATATATACAATAATGGAAACTGTAAATTTTTGCACTTGTGATTTTTTCAAATATCAAGTATTGACAGATAAATCCTTGTGTTGCAAACATTTTTTAGCTGCCAAAGTAGCTTTAATCTTAAAAAGCTTCAAAGTAAAAAGTGAAACACCTGGAAGTTTAACTTCAATAATGATTAGTGCTTATGGTAACCAAGAATTTGATTGAACAAACATTGTATGTAAAATTAATAATTAATTCAAATAAGACATTAGTTAGTTTAACATATTTATTTTATATTTATCATAGAAAAATTAAATATAACAAAATATCATTAAATAAAGTAGCATTCATTTTAATTGTTTTTATCATAAACTAAATTTAGATAATTTTTATACATATATACTATTCTTATTTAATAGCGATTTTTTTCTTTAGAATATTTCTTACAGTTAATATTAATATAAGAGGTAAATTATTTTTTTTAGAAATATAAGTAACAAAAACTATATTTTGTTCCAAATGTATAAGTGCAATGTCAGTAGAGCATCAGTTGAGTAGTTTCTTAATCAATCATACCTGTATTTAAAAAAAGTGCTGCCAGGAGCAACATAAAATTTGCCTCCTCCCCAAAAAAAATTGATATTACATGATTATAGTAATATAAATAGTTACATTAATATAAAATAAAATTCAGTAATAACTAATATATTATTTAAATTAATTTTTAAAATAACAATATTCAATATACAATTCAATAACAATGTTCAATAAGTTTATAACTTCATAACTTTTCCTAAACTTTTCTGCAAGGTTGTTTTAATGCCAATGATTTTATAATATTATCGTAATCAATTGTTTTGGTAATAGATGACTTTATTTAATATGGCTAAACTATTCTCCGTACAGTGAAAATTATATTTTAATTGAACAGCAAGAGTGCATAGAAACATTTAAAAAGCAACACAAACCTGAAAAAATAGATTCTATGTTTTTTTCCTTAATAAATGTATACATTTTAATAGTATTTATTGGATGGTTTTTGACGGTTTTAAGCAAACTCTGGAAATGAATACACTCGTTTTCAAATGTTTCATCCAAATCATTCTTGTATTTTTTTGCACCATCACGAACTTCTGAGGGTTTTTTTATTCACTAATATTTAAGAAAAATAATTATTTAGATATATTATTATAAAAAGTTTTCTTGTTTTTAGTTCTTCTATTAAATTATTACAAATAATGTAAATATTATTTTTGAAATAAATATATATAAATATATATATATATATTATATAAATAAAAATAAATATTAATTTTGAAATGTTGACGTCCATTGAAAATAGCATCTGGTTAAGTTTAATATATCTAGAATAAAGTCTATGATAATAGAAAAATATTCAAATGATTTAATTTCATCCATTATTGTATTAATGATTTTTTCAGACATAATTTTAATAAACTGTTCATAAGTAGAAAATTATAAGTAGGAAGTATTACCTTTGCTAGGGTTATCATACTTAGATATGTTTTGATAAAAATAGGTCATTCTCTGTAAGTAATTCCATCATCATAATAAAATTGCCATTGTTTAAAATAGATGATCCAAATTTTTTTATATTACCTCTAAATGATAATCAGTGGCTTGCCAAACTTTTAACAACCGAACAAACTCTGGTCAGTACATTAATCAAATATTTTTTTTTTTTGTTTTTATATGATGTATTAGTCTTGTATTTATTTTAGTTAAATCTGATGCAAGTCCTTTCATTTTATTGAAACATTTTGTGGTACTAGATGGGCGTTACGATATCCTCTCTGTGCTCTATTATAGATAACTGCAATGAGCTATTGACATTTTTGTCAGATTTTTCAAAAATTGAACAAAACAATGCAGATTCTAAGGCAGATGGATTATTTAAACAATTGAAAACTGCAGATACTTATATAATGCTTAAAAGAATGATTAGTATTTTTAGACATATTGAGAGTACAAATACAGTATCGTAAAGCATAACCATTGATTAAATATATAAGTATATTTAATCAATGGTATTACATTTTAAACTTTCCATTCAAATGTTGAATACTTTAGAAGATTTTATTTCATATTTGAGAGATACATTTCATATTTTATGGAAATCTGCAAAGAAAAAATGGTCATATTTAAAATTAGATGCATCAAAAGAATCTAGAAAACTAAGTCCTTTGAATTTTTACCTGAAAGCAGTGGTGCAACCAGGATTGCTTTTTGGGGGGATTGTGAATTTTGAAAAATTAAGTATTTTGTGTTTGGTGGGGATAAAGAAGTAATATTAAGTTAGGTTTATGAGTAAAATATTTGAATTACAAATTAAACTATTTATCTTCTACTTCGTATTGTGATACCACAAAAAAAAAAAAGTATAATACAACCAATAATCGAGAAATTGTAGTAGCAAGGTTATTGATGTTTTAATGTTGAAAGGAACGTTACAAAATGATGTACGTGAAGTTGGCCCCTCTAAATCAAGCTAGCGACTCCAAATCTTCACAGACATTTTGCAATTAATTTGCTATGTAGTTTTCAGAATTTGCATATCCAAAGTTTTTCCGGAAATTCATATTTTCTGTTCGGGAGGCCAACCCATAAAATATAAAATATATATCGGCAATCTATAAATAAAACATTTTTCGTTGACAATAGTTAATAATCTCTTAAATTTTAAAATTACCTTTATTGCTTTGCATAAATCTAAAACAACTAAATTAAGACGATGTATCATACAGTGTATATATATGGCTGCTGGATATTGTTTCTGCACTTTAGCTTGGACTCCATTAAGATGTCCAGACATGACGCTTGCCCCATCGTAAGATTGAGCAACTATATGAATGATTTCCACATTTATATTTTGTTCTTCAAAGAAATTCATTATAGCCGAATAAATTTGTGTGGAATTTCGGCCTCTGGAAACCAATAAAACCCAAAAATCTTTCGAAAACTTTGAATTCCACAGCATATCGTACACATACTGAGAACTGTTCATCTTTATAACTCCTAGGATCATAATTAGTTATCACCCAAATATTTTGTTTTAAAAATTTTTTTTCTTTAATTTATAAAATAAACATGTAGGTACTATACAGTTATTAATTATTATTCATTAAATTAATTTATTATTAATAAAACACTAACCTAGCTTCATCACATATAATAGAAAAGAAACCAGTGGCTGATATTGTATTAAGAATGGTTTCCTTAATGGAACTGGCACAAATATCAACAAGTTCGTTTTGAATCCTCCAACTACTATAATTTGTATCTTTAGAGTACATATTTTCAAAATCTGGTACAGATTTAACATATAACGTGCAAAACTCTTTAAAATTTCCTAAAGCACAAAATATTTTTAGTAACAATTTTATGTTTATACACATTAAATAAGATAGTATTATACTAATATGCATTTTTTTTTTAACTGCTACGTAAATGCGTTATGTTAATGTATGTTATAATTAAAATGCTATAGTAAAATGTACAATATTAAATTTAAGTTGAACATAATTTCAAAATTATTTTTTGTCTAACACATTTTTTAAAATTTATAAAGTTTAAAGTTAGAACTTTTAGAAGAAATGATTTTTATCATTGGTGTTATTACTAGTTCAATTGAAATAACCAATGCCTTATGATAATGTCACAGGGAACTAAGTTTTCAAAAATAAAGTGTACTTCATTTTAACATTATATTATTTGAAATATATAGAATATACCTTGATTGATTCATTCAACATTCTCATTATGGCCTCTAAAGGCAACACCTTGTTTCCCTAAAAACAAAACTATGTCAATTAAATGAGAAATGTACAGACAATTTTTCTTTATTTGTTCTTTGTGTGAAGAAGACAATTGAGCAAATACAGAACCTTTTATTTTACTTGAATGAAAAGAAGATAACTTGGCAACACATGTAACATGGCTAAGTGAAGTATTGTATTTTTTTAATCGGCTACACAGCGACAAAACAATTACAACAATACATTAGTAAATATAAAATAATAATAATTAGTATGTTTATAAAAAATAAAGGCAACAATTTATGTTTAGGTTTTTTTTAGGTAGGTATATATTGTATAACTTATAGTTTTTAATAAGAAATAATATAATCTTTCTAAACTGTACTGTACTGAAGAAATTTAATTTTAAATTATTAATTTAAATTAATTTTTATAAATGTTTGACTTATAAATCTTTTTAAAATATTTTCTTACATTATTTTAAAATACATTAATAAGTCAGATAAATGTATAAGACCTTATATATATATCCATTATTATTTGTTATTTCTAATTAATTAATTTACTTATTCTATTATTTTTGATTCTTATAGTTATAACTATATAATTCACGAGTTTTAAAATCAAACTGTTCACCCATCATATTTAAATTTAACTTTCACTTTTATATAATAAAAAAAGTTTATAAAATTTAAAAATTAGATTAAAATACCTTACATAATAGATGCATTAATAAAATTTAGCTTATTTAGCTTACCTTTTGCCAGTTAATGAATCCTTTTCTAGTCCAAGTGTCTTCACCACCACCAAACATTCTACAAGGGAAACAGAATGCTACATTTTTTTTTTTTTGAACTGTACTCTAACCACTGGTATTCCTTAAAGTAATCACTACTAAATGATCTATTTTGTTGACCAAATTGTGTTCTGGGATATATTTAGTTACCATTTAATTAATGAAAAGTAAAATTTAATTGCTAAAAATATATATAATATAAATATTGATAACAAACCGATAGTTTATTCTGTCTAGGACCAGTCTCCAAATTACCCAAGTCATCCAATTCAATAACGGGAAATTCTAAAGTGGTATTCTATACAAATATTTTATATCAGATTAAATACATATACAGTGAAACCTCCCTTAACGGACACCTCTAAATAGCGGACACCTCTAAATAGCGGACGTTTTTTCGGGGACGGGTACATTTTCACCACTTTTATATAGGAAAACCTCTAAATACAGGACACTCTAAATAACGGACACTTTTATGACATTGATATTAGTTATTTTTATCTTAAATTAAGAATTACTTTAGAATACCTGAATAAAAACGTTATCTTATGTGTACATTATTATACTGTACATGAAAATCTTATCTGTTCAGTCATTGAAATATTATCGCGTCAACGAAGTATTGTAACTAATGCATTGTCCTATGTGCATTTAGTTGTGTTTGTGGTGCCAACGTTTATTGTAGTGCGAATTTATTTATTTAACGTATTGTTTATACAAACTTTATTGTAGTGCGCTATGGCTAGCAAAAGAAAACGATTAACTTTAAAAGAAAAAATAGACATTCTGGAATTTCGAACATCAAATACAATGGGCGTTCGTGCATTAGCAGACAAATTTAGTGTTAGTAAAACACAAATTGCTGATATTATAGCAAATAAAGACGCTCTTTACAAAACTTGGGCTGAAAATGGAGAAGAGAAACGGAAATGGACAAAGCTACAAAAAACAGAAACCTCTATAATCAACAATGAAGTATTAAACTGGTTTTCAAAATTACGAGAAAAAAATCTTCCTGTTTCAGGACCGATGCTTCAAGAAAAAAGTAAGCAAATTGCTGAAATGCACGGATTTGATTTTAAAGGCTCTAATGGCTGGCTTGAAAAATTTCGGAAAATAAATAATATTTCTTTTAAATCAGTTTGTGGTGAAGCAGCAAGTGTTGATGAAGAAGCCGTTGATAACTGGAAAGCAAAAATACCCAAAATTATAGCAAACTACGCAGAATGCGATATTTTTAATGCAGATGAAACGGGATTGTTTTATAGAGTTCTACCTGATAAAACCATGGCGTTTAAAAATGAGATATGTACTGGAGGAAAAATTTCAAAAGAACGTTTAACTGTACTCTTGTGTACTAACATGTTAGGTGAGTTTGAACGGTCACTCGTCATAGGCAAAGCTAAACGTCCACGAGCCTTCAAAAAATTGGATATTAACAACTTTCCCGTCAATTGGTTTTGGAACAAAAAAGCCTGGATGACGACTGAAATAATGACTGAGTGGCTTATGAAATTTGATAACAGAATGGGTCAAAATATAAGAAAAGTTTTACTCTTTTTAGACAACGCGGCTCCTCATCCACATTTAAAAATGAAAAATATTGAACTTGTGTTTTTTCCACCTAACATGACTTCTCATTGCCAACCGCTTGATCAAGGAGTAATCCATCAGTTTAAGAAATTATATCGTACGCAATTGTTACGTAAAGCTGTTGCCGATTTGGATGCCAATTCAAGTCAACCTATCAACATAATGGATGCAATTTACTGGGTGTCTTCATCTACAAAAAACATTCAACCCGAAACAGTGAAGAAATGCTTTTTGCGGTCTGGCTTTAGGCACCGTGATAACAATGTTACAGACGTTGATGATCTACTTACACCAATAGAAGAACTTGGCAATCTTATTAAAGTGATTGACAATACAATTACGGAAAATGACTACATAACACTAGACGATTGCGTAGAGACTTACGACGCCGATATCGAAAATTCATCTGATACTACGAGCATGTCTACCCAAAATGAAGAAGAAAGTGATGAAGAAAATGATGGGTCCGAAGATCAAGAAATTCCAAAAATAAGAAGTCTACGAGAGGCATTGCTAGCAGTAAAAGACATACGTACATATATTTCTTCTATCGAGGTACAGAATAGTTCATTGTTCTCAAACACAATCCAATTAGAAAATGCCTTAACATACGAAATAACTACGCCTGCAATTAGTAAACAAACTAAAGTAACAGATTTTTTTATTTTTATTAGTTTTTATTTTTTTAGTTTTCATATTTAAATAATGTAAAAATAAAATAAAAATTTAGGTAACTGGTTTTTTTTCATAAATGTTAGTTTTATCGTGTATTTAATTAATGTAAAAGTAATATAAAATAAAATTAATGAATTTATTTATTTGTTAAAAAAAATATTTTCCTCTAAATAGCGGACACCTCTAAATAGCGGACAAAATTTCGGCGACCGAGAGTGTCCGCTATTCAGAGGTTTCACTGTAACATTTTTTTTAACCTAAATACTTATGGGCTTATGGGAACAATACACATAAGTGGTACTTAGTAGAAACTCATGTGGGTGCAAATATTTATGGTGATTCACAAACCAGTTGGTGGGGGGGGGTGTTTTTCCACGTCACCTAATATTTAACTACTACTATTACAAAAGTAATAAAAAAAATCTTTATGTAAAACTTTATTATATATTTCAATTAGTATAATATATAATTGTAAATATTAGTTATAACTTATAAATATATAAGGAACCTATTTTTATTAACATAAATAATAATAAAAACAATTACTGTTAATAACATATATTATAATTAAAATTACATTATATTACTATTGTTAGCATTTGCAATTCAATAACTAAAATATAATATAATATTTTTGACTGTTGTCTGTGGGTGCAAAATGATACTTTTGCCCCCTAGAAAAATTGTCGTGGGTGCAACTGCAACCTCATGCTCCCCCCAGATGCCGCCACTGACAATACACTTTAGTATTCATGCATGTTTTGAATATTTTTTAAAGTGAAATATGTGCATAGTTAAATAACTACATTTGTTCCATTTAATACTATGGATACTTTTACTAAAATATATTAGACTATTATAATAAAACAAAATTCAACAATCATCGTATTGTACTTACGACTTTTACATTCTTCGATGACGTAGGAATATAATCAGGATCGTCCACATCTTCACTATTTTCATCTGATTTTTTTACTATACTAGTTTTTTTACATTTAAATATACTGAACATATTTAAATTAAAATGTATAATATAATATATACGCTAATAAACGTGTTATAAATCACTTAATCACATACACAGAGGACTTTTAATTATTGCATTATTATATTATATATCAAGGAGCTGCCTATTGATATTTTTACACGAGAAACGAATGGAATCTACGAATTTGCTCTATAATAATTATTATTAAAATTATTGAACTAAATGATAATAATAAATATCTTTATTTTTATGTCAATAAGCCATAATAGTGGTAAACAGCAAACAGAACAAAATCATACTCAGTATTCCAGCTATAAGTGCTAAAAATAAGACTTGATTTGAAATGCCCTAACGGCCAAAGATCGTTATTACATGTGTTATAAGTAGGTAATTGGATAAGCCCAAGTCTTAATACCCAATACAAGAAACTCCTATTTCTATGAAATCATTACAAATCTTTTAGTCTGGGGTTTCGCGAGCGTTCAAATGCGTGTCTTTATGACGTGCGTCGTAAAAATAGAAACATTATCAGTTACAGGAGCACACGTGCATTGAATAATAACATACGTTGATACGGACGTCAAATTTTGTCGACACATTTTCTCTTCAACGCACATACAATGTCCAAATTATAAAATTCTTATATATTCCTCATTAAATAATATTCTTCAATTAAAATAAATTAGGGGTGCTAATTTTGGACTTGGGGATGCTAAGCACCCCCTGGCACCCCTGTATGTGCGCCAATGTTACAGAGTGACAATATTTATTCCTTATTTAGAACATTTTATAATAATGATAAGTGATCGTTTAATTAAAACATAAATCGTTGTTGAAGAGCTTTGTTTGTTTCCGATTAAAGAGAAAGATATTTCAGATACTTTTGAAAATGACAAAAGATTTAGTAAAAAATATTCACAATTATTACCATCTTTTTCTCCTTTAGTAGTTATTGCAGAACTTAAATTATGGTGGACTTCTCTACAAAATTTGTCTAAAATTCCATCTAATTTATCAGAATTACTTAATAATTGTAATGAAAATGACTATCCAAATGTCTTCAAACTGTTAAAAATCGTGGCAACTTTACCCATTACAACAGCTACTGCAGATAGGTCATTTTCAACAATGCGACGATTGAAAACTTATCTCAGAAATACCATGGCAGAGAACCGTTTAAATGGATTAGCTCAGCTGAATATTTACAGGACAATTGCAGTTCATCCAGAAGTAGCGTTGGATGAATTGGCAAAAAGAAAAAGAAAAATTGATTTAGTATTATAATTACATTTTATTGTAGGTGATAACTATTTTAACCCTGACATTCGGACATTATATATATTGTTATGTATTTTATTAACAATGTTTAATAAATTGTATTTCTTTAAAAATAATAAATTGATGAATTTAATTTTTTCGAAATATGTTATATTTTTACAATAAAAATAAGTATCCGATACCATGAAGTAAAGTATGTTAAGTTTAAATTTGCTGAATTCCCTCTCCAATAAAAAGTTCCTGGCTACGTCACTGTCTTTAATATTAAAGTAAATTGAATCAAACTTTAAGGGAAGAACATTATTTGTGTTTTATTGGTCGGTTTTTTCCGATATTTAAATTTGTAAGCGTGTTATGAGTATGTAAAATATAACATTTAAAAAAACATCATAACTCGCTAAAAAATTAAAATGTCGGAAAAAACCGACCAACAAAACACAGATTATGTTCTTCCCATATAATTTGATTATAGGTCAGTTGACTCTAATATTAACGTTAATTTCATTACATTTGAATCACTGAACGCAAATTTGCTATGTTGTACGTATGTCAGACGGAGACAACACATTCGGGTGTGACGTCCTCTTTAACATGGTATATAAGAGTAGGGGTAATCTACAGTTTATTTTAAGTTTTGGTAGGACTATAGCCACTCCAGATTTTTTACCTTATTTGCGCCTATGCTAAACATACATTATCTTAAATCCATGCTCAATTGCCTATATTATCATTTTATCATCGATAATCATTTTCACTTTTTGTTTTCAGCTACACTTTCATTAGTAGAAAGAATAACATATAAGATAAACGTCTTGAACTTAGTTTAAGCCAAAAGTCCATAAATAGTGACTCAATGATATTTAAATAATAATAAAAAAAATGACACATATAAGATAAGAGACAATTGATAAGATTTGGTATTCTATGACGTCACTGTGATATATTTTGTAATCACTTCACATATTTCACAGTGAGACGTGAATTACTGTTATATGAATTAATGTTAGAGTATTAACATAATATATTTACTAGTTATTATTATTATTATATAGTGAAATTTATTTAGAAAAATATTAACTGTTGACCAACGGTTTGTTTTTTAGTTATCCTACCAATCATAGTATATCAAAGTAATTAAAAATGTGTGCTAAAATGGCATTCACTCATCAACCTGGCACTGCCATGGAGTGCCTTAGTGTAAGTCCTTCAATAAATTAATTTTATCACAAATATAAAAGTATAAACCTAAGAAGTAACTGAAATTTTAGATACCTATTACTCTAACCAAAGAATCAGCAATTGATACTGATGGCCGTGAATTATTAAAATGTGGATTCAAAATTGGTGGAGGCATTGATCAAGATTTTAGGAAAAGTCCTCAAGGATATACAGATAATGTAAGACTATATTAAGTCTTTTATTATCTGTCATCTAATTATTTAAATTATATTTTGAAGGGAATTTATGTTACTGAAGTACATGATGGAAGTCCAGCATCAAGGTCTGGATTACGAATACATGATAAAATACTACAAGTAATTACAATAATTATAATTATATATTTACAATTTTAATAATTTATGATAATGCATATAGTGTAATGGATATGATTTCACAATGGTTACCCATAAGAAAGCTGTGGATTATATCAAGAAACATAAAGTACTAAATTTATTAGTTGCCAGAAGAGGTGTTACTTCTACATAAAATAATACAACTTCATTAAATTGTCTCTATTGCTACATACAACCAAAGGTTATTATTAATTAAAATATTTATCCTATTTCATAAAAATTAGTAATAACAATGTGTTTTATCAAAAAATGTAATTTATTTTAATATTCTTATATTCCAAAACTGTTGATTAATATTATTTTGCATAATAATTTCTAGTTACAATTAAAAGTTAAATAAACCCTTGATCATATGAAAACCTATTATATAGATAATTCAATTTTGTCACGTTATAAATTATATGATATTACTAGATGAGGTAGTTAAAAACTTGTCAAAAACAAATTTTTTTTTTTTTTTTTGGCCCATTCATTTGACCAAGAACAGTCTTAATAGATTATATTTTATTCATATTTTTTTATTAAACATTGATATTATATAAGATATATTGTAAAAGCTGTTGAATGAGTTATTATTTTATACTTATTTACTTAATTATTAACAAAACATAATAATAGTTTACTTATTTTAATATAGTTCGAAAAAGTATATATTTGTAATTTTTATGTTCCTTTTCGTATACCTTCTTTAAGTTTTGATTTTGTAACATTAGATACTTTTCTTAATTAATTTTTGGTTTTCAACCATGTTAAGAACAGAATTCATTCAATAATTTATTATTTTTCATTTTTCATAAAACCAATTTCTTATTCTGCAATTTCTTTTACAATTGAATAGCTTTAGTCCAGTCTGTTATGTATATTAAAGTTTTTGATGTTTAATTCTATTACATGATTATACATAAAACGATGGGCACACCACTGTTCTTACTATTATAAATTATAATACCAATGGTAGTTAAGTAGCTTTCATAAAAACATAGTTTTATTTACTGAATCAAAATTCAGTCAATGACCTTTATTTAAAACCAAAGTTAATTGCCATTTATAATGTTATTAAAGCATATTTTTTCTACTAGTTGAAAGTAATTCATAATTAAATAAAAAAATTGCATTTATTTTGCGAGATTATCAATACAATATAGTTATATCATACACAGTACTAAGCATTTATTGATATTATTAATTTGATTAATTATACATATTATTGAATAATTATAGTATATTTGTGTCCTTATCAAGTTGATTTTATATTATTATAGTTTTTTAATTTTTATTATTATTATTCTTCATGTGTTTCTTTATTAATTAATTAAGTTAAACTAAATTTTTATATTTGAGTAAGTTACCCAATGTAAACATTAATACATATATATATATATATATATATATTTATGTGTGTATGTATAATTTTTTTAAACATAATTTGTTTTTTATATTTATACAACTTTTTAATTGGAATTATTAGAATATTATATTAGTGAAACATTCTACAATACAATCCCGTCCAATGTTCTATGTAGTTAAAATATTATTACTATTATTATTATGAAATAGAGTTAAGTTTGAATTTAATTGCATATGTTATTATTCCAATTGTTTATACATTTTATAATATTATTTATGTTGTTAAAGTTTGAATAAGGTAAATATAACAAAAGTAATTAACTTTACATGAAATATTTCATGGATATCTTATGTTTTCCAAATCACTCAACAGACTTTTATATGTACTATTTGTGATTTTGTCTTGCATAAGGTCAAGCACTTTTTCAATAAACTGTTTTCTTCTGAAAAATAAAAATAAATTATTCATTAATAATATATACTTATAACACCCAATTTGCAAAATATGTTATCAAATAAGCAATAGAATTTAAATATCTAATAATAAATCATAGCAATAAATTGAAATTAAAAAATGCTTACAAAGATTGTAGTTCAGCATTTTTTATTATATTTCAGCAAAAATTTGAGTGCCCACTTTCTAGTGTAAGATATATTTTACATTTCGCAGGTATAACTTGTAATGCGAGCAAGGGATTAGATTTTAAAATCTATCTATATATAAATATAATATATATATCTAATTTACTAAATACTATGCTTTTAAAATAATAAATATATAAAACAGTTAAAATAATAAAATAAAATTGATAGTCTTAAGGTATATTTAAAAGATTATAAGGAATGTAATTTACTAATATGTTGATAGAATAGAATATACAGTATAACCTTTATTAATAGCCTCCTTTAAGGTTGGATTTATTTAAATTCTCTAGCAAAATTATATACTATGTAATATTATAAAATATTTTGCTCTCTTGAAATATTTAATTAAACACAAAAATAAAACATTTAAATAGTATTAAAAATAATTACCTAATAAATAACTTATATCTCAAATTATCAATCATTGGATTAACACATTCTTCATTTTGAAGTAACTGAAGAACCTGATATAAATTTTTAATTTATAATATGTGTAATAATTAACTGCTTAGTAAAAATTATTTTATACCTGAGTAGCTCTTTGAACAATACACATTGGCAATCCGTTTAAGGCTGCAATACTGTGTGCCATACTAATATTTTGATCCTCAATTTTATCAACTACTTTAAATAAGCATATTATTTTGGAATTTTCTATCTTGTGACTCATGATTAAATACTAAAATACGCCATTTTGAAAAAAAAAATGTTTCAACATAAAATTTTAACAACTATAACTTACTTTTATATTATGATATAATATATCTTTGTTTACTATTTGGCAAAGAAAATTTGGCAATGAATGAAAATGTGTTGAAATTAAGACATGCGGTAACAAATTCAATGGTCTTTGTAAAAAATGACTTATACTTGCGAGTAGTAAAGCTAATCCATTAATTTCAGAAGTACCTTTTCCAAATTCATCTAATATTACAAGAGATTCACATGTTGATTCATTTAATGCCTCCGACATCTATTAGTATTTAAATTATTATTATTATATTTATTTTACATGAATTGTATTTTAAGTGTACTGACTTGTTTTAAATCAATCATAAAAGCTGACATTAAAGTGCTTACAGATTCAGTTGATTGGATTCTTGTGTGAATATGATCTAATACACTAATTTCCATGTATTCTGCAGGTACATAACATCCAATATGACATAAATATGATATTAGTGCTACCTATTAGTACAAACAAATAATTATAGAATATCTTAGAACAAAGTTCATAAACTTCAAACCTGTTTTAAGTAAATACTCTTTCCACTTGAATTAAACCCTGTTATAATTTTAACAGGTTGATTAAATTTTGAAGAATTATAACTGTTAGGTATAAAATTATCCACATATTTTTCTTGCAAAATGTGTCGACCATTGACTATATTTATTTTACAACATTCTTTTGGGAGTATTATAGGTTTTATTAATTTTAAATCTTGAGCAACATCTGCAAAACCTATTAAACTTAACATATTCAATATTTAGTGACTTATTTAATTTAATACTAAATAGACCATAAAAAATGTATTAATTTTTAATCAGTGCTCGAAGTGGAGGGGGTGATACGGAGGGATGGCATCCCTCTACTTTTTTGTATTTACAGTTTTTATCCTTCTACTTGTTTTGTCTAGAATAACGCATTCCTCCTAAGACTTGTATTTTAAAATGATATACTTTTCATTTTTATATTTATATTATAAGACCTTTTTTCTTTCAGTGTAAATAATTGTTTTTAACATTCAGGCCCGGGCGCCCGACTAATTTGTTGTTTAGTATAAGCCGTTTCGCAACTCGCATTATACCCGTATTTAGAGCCATAGACTAAGATAATATACTTTATGTGAACTATAAAAAAAAAAAGTATATTATAGGTACACAAGGTGTGAAGAATGTTATGAAGATATCAGAAATCCTGAATTATAAGGCATCCCTTTACTTATCTTGAGCCATTTCGACCACTGTTTTTAATCATTATTAATCATTTAGATGCATACAAAAATTTAGTATAACTCTTTTTAACATAGAAAAAAACTTTAAAGTTATACGTCTGTATAAACATATTTAGAATATAAAAGTATTGTTTGGACCGGGAGCATAAAATTATAGTTGACCCCGGTTACCGATTTGCGTGCCCACTTTCCCAACGACCGATTAGCGGTGAGTATACTATACACCAGGGATGACAAACCTTTTTGTACCGGCGTGTCAAATAAAACTTTTGGTTGGATTTTGTTTTCCCTGCGTGTCAACTAGTTTGATAACCCTTTTTCGTACTTAAAATTCCTACATTCATGGTTTGAATGGTAAAAAACAAGTCAAATATTTCATTATCAAATAAATTAAATATAATAGATACCAAAAGTATAAGTAACACGTAAGTATTTAAAAAAATTTAATTTATAAAAAATATAAAATGGTTACACATGCATTTTTAATGAGAAATTTGTTCCTGCATTTAATTAGCTAATGAATCAATTCTTGGACTGAAATTGGTTAATTTTAGTTGAACACATGCTTCACTTAAATCTGTTCCAAGACGATTCCTTACAGTTGACTTAATAAAATTCATGGAAGAAAAAAGCTGCTCACACTCATAAGTAGATCCAAATATTATCAATAAAGAAAGAGCTAGTTTTTTCATAGATGCAAATTAATTTGGAAGACTTCCACTCATTGAGAATCAAATTCTCCTAAAAAATTCCTACCAATTTCATGATGATTATTTACCAGCTCATTATTCAAATTAATAAATTTATTTCGCCAAATATTACTTCCCTGAAATTCTATTAACTCCATTTCTAAATTTTCAATACTTAACTACTCAACAAAATTAAGTTCAAGTTCGTCAAGTGTAATATTATGTGGATTTATTAAAAATTCTAAAGTTGCATCTAGATGACGAAATTGGGAAAATCTGCTTGAAAATAATTTGTATGCATTTTTAGTATTTTTACCTATTTTGTTATTATTAATTGCTTTTTCAAATGAGGAAAATATTTCAAGTTTTCATTTTGTAGATATTTACAAAAAATTTCAATTTTTTTTTCAAAAATTTTATTTTTATGAAATATAGTTAAAACTGACCTCGGTCTTGGAGTTTTTTTATTTAAATCATTATAAATTGCAGCAAAATCTGTGAAAAACATCAAATCATTCAACCAATTTAAATCAGTAAGCCCTGGATAATCTTGAGATTTGTCCAACAAAAATAAACGTACTTCTTCCAGTAATTCAACAAATCAATGAAGAACTGGCCCGTGACTCAACCATCGGACACTGTTATACCTAAGAAGACCAGAGTATTGCAATTCGACTTCTAATAATTAGACAAACTGTCGATTGTTTAGAGCTCGAGATGTTATGAAATTGACAATTTTTGTAACAGTTTCCATTACTTTTTGAAGCGATTTCATACTATATTTTGCACACAACGCTTCTTGGTGTATAATACAGTGAAAGTTGATGATAGGATGTGAAATTTCAATGGAAAAAAGTTTAATAAATCCATTGTGTTTACCAACCATATTTGGAGCGCCGTCAGTAGTTATTGAAACAATATTTTGAATATTGATTTTTAAATTTATAAACTCTTTATGTATTTCATTCTTAATGTCACGACCAGTTGCTTTAGTAGAAATAGTTATTAATTTTATTATTAATTCTTCTTTCATATTATTCACTCTAATAAATCGAACAAAATCTGCTAAACGACCCTGAGAAGTTACATCTGTACTTTCATCGAAAGAAATCGAAAAAAAGTCTGCTAAAGCTAAATCAGTTTGAAGCTGATTTGATATATCACCACTCATACATAAAATTCGTTCTTTAACAATATTTCTACTAATAGGTAAATCTTGAATACGTTTTATTATTTCATTTTTATTCGCAAAATCATGAAATAAAGTATTTGATGTTATTAAAAAACTTCTTTTATGTATTCTCCATCGGAAACTGGTTTACCATGCTGTGTAATACAGTGGGATATAGAAAAACTAGCAGCTATTAAATTATTATTTGATTTAAACGCAGCTTTGAAATTATTTGATTGATTTTTAAAACGTTTCAATTTTAGCGAAATTAATTCCAACTTTTCTTCAGTTGATAAAGAAAATATGCCCATATGAATTGTTTCAAAATGTCTTTTTACATTAAAACTGCGACTAACTACTGTTTCATTACATAAACAACATAACGCTTTATTATTTTTTTGAACTACTCTTTATTTACGATCCATTGTTCGTGAAATGTTTCCCACTTTTACTTTTTGACATCATTTATTAAAAAATATGACCTTTAAATTATTATAAAAATAACACTCACCAATAATGAAAACTGCCAAAACGATGCATTCAAACTAATCAAAGGCAACGATCAAATTTAACACATGAAACACATTCGATTCGACTAATGAGTAATAACAAACGCTAGCCGTGGACCAGTTTTAAACGTTATATCCATTTTATAAATATACACCTAATAAAGTACTTATCAAATAAGATTTTGTTATTGAAAAGTAATAAAATTAATAGTTGTTGAGCAGTGTAGATATTCAATTCAATGCGTGTAGGTATAATACCATAAACTTATTATTTCATTTTTGTAATCTCAATTTAATTTTAGTTTACATCCCGTGGTTTTTGATGACAAACTTTTACACGGTTGCGTGTGTCATTAAAATAGTTTACGCGTGTCATAGGTTCACCATCTCTGCTATACACTGTATGGTCTATTCCAAATAAAGCCAGGTTCACACTACGCCGTGACGTGTATTTTACCAGACCGTGTGCTTTGAAAATGTGTGATACAAATATATATCTTATGGCAGTGGTTTCCAACCGGTGTGCCGCGAACACCCTTTAAATGTGCCGCAATAAATCTATAAATTGTTTTATAAGTATTTATTTACTAACTTATTATTGATATTCGATATGAAAACTAATCGAGCTAATCGTAAATACATATAATATTATTTATTATAAGTATGCCCGTCTCGATCGATTGATTGTATTAATATGTTTCACAATAAATAACCCTTTAATAAAGTAGATTGTAAATAGTATACATACATATGTATATATAAAAAATATGGTTCACATAATTTATGGATTGGCGTGCCGCGAAAATTTTGGTTACATATTTTCGTAGTTTTCTTATTAGATATAAAATATTTTCATAAGTTTCAATAAATAATTACTGATGAATATTAAATTATATCGTAGACAATATGTATTATATTATTATTAGACCTCCGAACTTAATGCACTCAAAAAGTACTAAATATGCATGCACTTATACGCTTAAAAAAGTACAAATATGCTTCAAAAATATGCACTTAATTTTTTTTTACCACAAAAATGTTCATAAAGATATTTTATTGAATATACTCGTACATAACAGTACAAATGTTGTTAGTATATTATACTAAGCTAAAGATAATTTTTAGGTATAAATATATAAGATAAAATAAAATAAACAGTTTGAAATTTAAAATTTTCTTTCAAAATTTTCCCATTAGGTTTTTCATAGTGTCATGAAAATAATTTCAAGGTTACTTAGCAATAAATTGAAAAACCCAGTAAAATCATGCAAATGCAACACCTTCCGAACCCTTTGTTATTATGAATATTGTTCTCATAGAATATTAAATTATTACTATTAAAATCGGTAACCACATGTTCAAAAGTTGGATAAAATCAACTTCACGGTATCATATGGTTAGTAAGGTAACTTGTGATTTATTATACAACATACCTTGATGTAACAATATAGTTCAGCTAATCAGAAGTAATTATTTTAGAAGACACGACACGGCACGGTGTAGTGTGAACCCGGCTTTAAGCATGCATATTTAGTACTTTTTAAGTGCATTAAGTTCCGAGTCCTAATAATAATATGATACATACTGTCTTCTATATAATTTAATATTCATCAGTTATTATTTATTGAAACTTATGAAAATATTTTATATCTAATAAAAAAAACTGCGAAAATATGTAACCAAAATTTGATAGCATCACCATAAGATACATATTGGTGTCACACATTTTCAAAGCTCATGGTCTGGTAAAATACATGTCAGGATGTAGTGTGAACCCGGTTTAAGTCTGGAAGAAATCACGCATGCAGGTCCGCTGTGATTGGCTACGGATTCGGCATGCGTCGTGATCGGTCGGCGGCCGAAGCTCGCCGCCGTGTATATAGAGTGTTAAATTAGTGTATACGCGGAGTACGTTGTCAACAGGTCTTAGGCACGCGAAGTGGTGATGGTTTAAAAATACAGTCAGGCTGTATACAACCGAATCGTCGACAACAGTGATCGCCACCGGTAGATCACGTGATATATCTGCGCGAAACCGGATGCGTTTTCGTCGTACATTTTTCCAGACTTATTGGAATAGACCAGCGGTTCTTAAACTTAAACTGTGGTACGCGAAAGGCCGCATGGTGGTAGAACGGAAATTAAAAATTCAATATTTAACTCATTTATTAATTTAAAAACACTAATGAATTTGTAATAATAAATAAATAATTATTTTATTTTAGTATTTTACTGCCTTTTTATTTAAAATGAATAAATTTAACTATGTGAAGTTTGTATGGTTCTATTTTTAATCATTAATGGTACGTGACTAATTGATAATATACTCATATGGTACGCGAAAAAAAAAAGTGTGAGAACCGCTGGAATAAACTATAATAATAGGTACCTAATAGCTCAATCAGAAGTGTTCGGGAACGCCTTACAAAACTGTTGAGCTATGTGGTGGTATGAGATATGGTGTGTAAGGTGTGTTTTTGTTGGTGTGTGCTTATAAATATGGAACAAAAAAAGATAACTAAAAATAATGTAAAAATGTAATAAAATGATAACTATGTTGCTGTATATTATAAAATAGAAATAATAATAAGAATCGGCCCTTCCGCCGGCCCAACAATAAATAATAATGTATAAAATAATTAGGTAATAACAAATAAACAATCCACAGCCACATAGACGATTCAATTAAATAATAATAATAAATGACTCTTTGCCCCTCAAAAACAATACAATTAGCGATTAGCGCACGTTTAAAATATAATGGTAAAATAATTACAAAATAATAATAAATCAGCGATTTGCGCCTACAAAACAATAATAAAATGGCAATTTGTGCACACGTTTTAAATATAACTAAAAATCATAAAACGGCGATTCGTGCACGCAAAACTATATCTTTCTTGGACGGTGGTTTTTGCGAGAAGAAAAAATAAATCGCATACGAAAAATGACAATAATACATACACGACACGGACTTTTCGGTTACATAACACACGATTACGGACAACGATAAACAGATAGTAATAATAAAATAAAATAAATATAAATTAATTAACATGCAGTGATTGTGTGTGTACGCTTATCGGCCGTTGACGGGAAATTTAGGCAGCCGACGTGGAGGCATAATGATAAATATTATTTCTTAGAGCGAACAAATATGTTCAATTTAATTATGACGAAATTACATGATTTTTAAAATCAGTATTTACAAAAAAATTAGCAATTGCATCATGAAATTTGGTTTTTTAACATAGATTAACAATAACATATTTATAAATCAACTGTTCAAGAAAAACATTAAGCAAATAGATTTAAAAATATTAAATACATACCAATCTAGTTCAGCAATTAATTTTAAAATTACATATAAATCTCCTATCCAATGTTGTGTAATAAGTTCACTTAATTTTATCATAATTTGAATTTCTTCTTGAATAATATTAGATTCAATTTGTCCATAAATCTTATCTAGTTCTATAAAGATGTCTTTATGTAATTTTATCATCTTATTAGATTGATAATTAATAATTATATGCATATATATGTATATATAAAATTATAATAATAATAATAAATTTAATTAAAATTATTGTATTAAAATTTAATTGTAGGTGTTAAATGGTTATGTATCATATGTTTAGATAATAGGTAATTAAAAATATAGAATACAAACCATAACATCGTGACGTTTTGTAATATACATTATTTGTCAATCGAAACTAAAATAAAAAGTTACATAGTATTTACAAAAAGTATAAATATGTACTATAGAAAATTATTTAGAATTAATAAAACATACCTTAAATTCCAAATTATGGATTTCAAAATCATTTTCAGTCATTTCATCAGAAGGCTTCCAAAATGGAAGACACAATAAAAATCCAATTTCTGGCATTTTGCGAATGGAACACTTACCAATGTATGAAGGCAAATCTTGTAGTTCTTGTAACGTTATTTCATCTAATACTTCGGTAATATTATTGATTTTTGATTTTTCTAGGAACAAAAAATCAACTATGAGTAACAAGTATTTAATATTAAATTATTGTTAGTTTACTTTCATCGAGTTCTGGTACGAATCCAAGTTTAACAATAAATTGATCTTTTATAGTTGATTGTTCAAAATCAATTATACATGACATAGAGTTAATCATGGTGTATAAACTATCTTTCAATATATTTTTAATCTGTAATTAATTATATTTTACTATAGCTTTAGCGCCCTTAAACTGGAGTTATATTTTTCAAAAAATTTAAGTGGTTATAGTTATAAGTTATAAATAAAAAAATAGTAACCAGTGTTATAACATATAACACTGATTACTACTTTTTAGCTAACCTACCTTTCTAAAAAATATAATTTCTTCAGAATATCTTTCACATATTTCTCCAATTGTTACAGCATTTATAACTGTCTGAAATTTAATAATCATAAATTTCTTTTTTGTTTGTATTTATTAATTTATTCAAAATATTCATAACATTATGTATGAGCATTTTTAAAACAATAACTATTACCTCCCATTACTTATGGTTTATAATGTAAAAAATGAAAAAAAATATTTTTGATGATTTCAGTTAAAATATTAACGATAATAAATAATGATGTTATTGAAGTTTGATAAATTTAACCAGTGGGTTTTTTTTTAAATTTTTTCTGAAGTGGGGGTCTTTTACATTATCTTATAATATATGAAGACAAAAATGTTTAACCTATTAATAATTTAACAGTCTTCAAATGTAATTAACACTAATAAAAAAAACATAGCATAGCATTTTAGTTAAAAGATAAAATAAATAAAATATATATACTTATATATCAGAACTCAAACGCGTGACCTGGGGGGAGGGATCCGGACCCCTTTAGACCCCTTCCCCCGTAAAACCAGCATTAAATTTAACTAATATGAAAAATATATATTTACTTGATATAATAATTTCCACTGATATATTGAAGCATTACCTCCATTAATTTTCACCATAGCAGACTAAAATTATTATAATAGAATTAGAAACAATTGTTTTTTTATATGTAAGTAGTTTACAGTTTTCGTCATTGCCTGTATGCAATATTGAGAGAGGCTAGAACTGTATCCAATGCTACACTCGGAAGATTTGGCATATGGAAAGTGAAGTTTTGGATTTCCTATCTATAAAATTTAGCCATATATTATGTATTTAATAAATACATTTTGCATGGAATAAAAAAAGATTTTGGAAATAGGCAAAGCCTTTTATGGATACTATTTATACCTTAAAATGTTATTTTTGAACCTACTGGAATAATATTTTACGGACGTTCCTATCATTACGTTTATGATTATAAACTTAAAATTGTAATATACATATAAAAAATGTACATTTTAAAATTTACAATACTTTGTTTTGTTATACCTATTCAAAATATTTAATTATTTAGCAACTAAATTAGTAAACCTTAATATATTACTTACTAACACACAACGACAGCGTTTGATACAATTTATCAATGAGTGGATTACATTTTTGTTGCACGGTTTTATGCAAAATTCTATTACTTCATGTCTATATTTTAGCACGCTAAGATTTTTGGTTGGTTGTGCTAAAATATTCTTTAAATATTTAGAACCTATAATTGAATTACATCTGTTTAATAAACTATAAATGCTTGGACCTTCTTTAGTTGAATTTTTAGTCCATTTGTATGCAGATGGGTGTTCACGAGCCGAAAATATTTGCAATGATTCGTATGTACTAATACCAATCCAAACCAAATCATCCATGTTAAGAATTTTTAATGACATTATGGAGAAGTTATTTGGCAAATTTAATTTTGCCACCGGTGTATCTAGGAAATATAATAATGCACCTAATGCACATACACCTAATTCTCGAGTGAAATCAACTAAACTACGTATATAACGTTTTCGCGAGTCTTCGTTTTTAGGTGCAGAAGCCAATGGCATGGATAAGACTAATTGCTCACAAGTCTTAAATTCTAAAAATAATAATACAAATAAAATTAAAATCTCCTATAAATATATATTTGCGTATTATTTATTCATTTTTAAACTATAAAGACATTTAAATTAACTTTAAAAATATTTTCCAATAAATCATAATTTAAGTTTAATAGAAATCCTAGCTTGAATGATGTTTCATTGTTGGGTTAATGATATTGTTCTATTGATAATTTAAACTTGAAACCAATGTTCTATGGCTCTCAAAAAACCAATTCTGAGTGAAAGAGGTTGGATAGATCAGTTTTTATTTTTAAAGATATTTGATATAGCATTAGAAACAAATCTTTCAATGAGGTAGGTTCACCTTTAAATTTTCTAACTTTATGAATAAAACGGTATATATAGAAAAATATCGTATCACAGTATTTGTTACCATACTCCTTCAAAACAGCTTAATCGATATATATTTCTTTGGATAGAAATTAAACAAGCGTTATTCCCTGACCAATCACCTATTGATCATCACGACATTACAGCAAGAGTCTTCAGTCAAAAGTTTAAATCTTTAATGGATTTAATTGTTAAACATTGTGTGTTTGGTGGGACATGTTGCTGGATGTATTCTGTAAAGTGGCAGAAACGTGGATTCCCGCATGCACACACTTTGATTTGGTTGGTTGAAAAAATTAGGTCAAATGAAGTTGATGAAGTCATATAAGCTGAAATTCCTAATGAACAAGTAGCCCTGGCTCGCATGAAGTAATTATCAAAAACATGATACATGGTCCATGTGGAACACATAATCAAAATGCAACGTGTATGGTAAATAGTAAATGTTTAAAGCCCTATCCATGGACATTAATATTCGAAACAATTACTGGAAATGATGGTTATCCACTCTATCGTCGGCAATCACTAGCAGACAATGGATGATCAACAATTGTCAAAGTAAATCAATAAGATATTGAAATAGATAATCGTTAGATTGTACCATATTCACCGATCTTATCAAAAACTTTCAAAGCACACATCAATTTTGAATTTTGCTATTAAGTAAAATCTATCAAGAACATATGTAAACATGTAACTAAAGGAAGTGATATGGTTGTGATTGGATTTGGTGTAGAGAATTCAAATGATAAAATAACCCAATGCCAAATGGGCCGGTATGTTAGCAGTAATGAAGCATTTTGGCGAATTTTTTCTTTTCAAATTCATGAAAGACACCCCACAGTTGTTCACTTAGTCGTGCGCTTAGAAAATGGATAGAGTGTATTTCACAGCTCAGAATGCAGTACAGAGAGACATCTACTATCTTGATCATTCTTTTTAGAGACGTGCCTCACACCTTTCGAGATGAGATCATTTCGCACAAACACTGCTATATTCTAAAATGCCAAAATATTATACTTGGAATCAATCAAAAAATAAATATATGTGAAGATAACAAGGAAAACCAGTTCCAGGTTACCCAAGTGTATATTCAACCGATGCAATTGGTCGAATTTATTCCGTTCATCCAAAATCAAGCAATGATGAATGTTTTTATTTACGGTTGCTATTAGTCAATGTGCGTGGCCCAACATTATTCCAACATTTATGAACAGTTGATGGAGAATTGTGTGGATCTTACACAAAAGCCTGTTATCGTTTACTTCTGTTAGAAAACGATACACATTGGGATTAAACTCTCAATGATGCTGTAATTTCATCACAAGCTCATCATATACGAACATTGTTTTCCATTATCATATGTACATGCTTTCTATCAAAACCAATTGATTTGTGGATAAAATATTAAGATAATATGTGACGATATTTTATTTAATATACACAATAGAACAGGGGATCTGAATTTACAAACAAGTGAAGAAATTTAAAATCAGGTATTGATTTCCATTGAGGATATGTGCTTGATGATGTCAAACAAATTATTATGTCAATTGGGGATGGTCACGCCCAATCGCACAAGAACGATGTTTTTCATCATGAATTGCAACGTGAAAATAAATAAAAAATTAAAGAATCTACTGTTAGGTGGTACGAAGTTCGCCAGGTCAGCTAGTATATATACATACATAAGTTAATAAAGTACATAAATACAAGGGCGCCCATATGGGGGAGCAAGGGAGGGACATGTCCCCCCCCCTGGAAAATGTCAAAAATCTTGAAAAATTGTTAACTATGATCAGAATCTATTTATTTAAATATAATTTAAAAATTTAATTTAATATAGTATGAATGTTTGTAATCTGTTGATGAAAAATCGGTTTATTTAGTTTGGCTAATCAGGTTATCAGCTATAAATAACAACAGGCTTTTTCCTTTCTATTCTATGGATAATTATCAATTCTTAAAATATTGTGTATTTCCAGAAATACGGTATGTATATGTGTGTGTACACAACCATAATATTTATATAATATTTGTAAATTAATATTTTAATAAATATAAGTAATGTTTTAAATGTCCAATTTATATTATTAATTAAATAAAAATTTCAATAAATTACTTTTATAGTAAATTGGTTAAATAATTATTATTATTTTATAGTCTTCCAGTTTGATATATATAATGTAAAATTGTAAACCTCTTCCTATATCGTAGGTCATTCCTATTTATGAATAAATTGATAAATTAAAATGTTGTCCCCCCCTTGAGAATTTTTCTATGGGCGCTCTTGCATAAATATACTCCTCTTTTGAGTTATTGTCGAAAATTTAAAAAACTTATAATAAACCCAAATTTTTATAAAATGTTTATAAAATGCTAATTAAAGTATTCATATACAATTTATAGCGAACTGTGATATAAGCATTCAGTGAAAATTTTAAGTTTTTACGATTGTTATATTTTGAGTTACGACGAATAAAAATTCGATTTTGTCAAAATTGGGTTTACAATCTTTTTTATATAGTTTCATATTTTATTTTTCACTTCATGTAGAAATTCAAAGGATGACATGCACTTAATAACTAACTAGGTACATTAAACACGTTAAAAACATTATAGAAAAACAATTAAATAAACAAAAATAGTATTAAAAAAATAAATGTATGAAGGAAACTAAAATGAATTAAATTAATAATGGAATAAATGACAGGAATGGTGCGAGAGTTAAGACGTCGGAGTGGGGAGTGATATTACCAAAATACTTGTGGCAAATTTAAGGGGGACCCGAAGTGCCCACCCCCATTGACCTAAGTTAGATTTTATTAATTCAATAGCGTTAACTATTTATTTAATTTTAATCTATACAATTTTATTTTTTATATTGTTTTGCTCAAACACATTATATGAGAAATTCTCCATAACGCATTACTTATACTCGTATTATGCGGGGATAAAAGCAATTCGTCTTAACGTAGACCGCCCATTCTTGATGTATAACTTTCCCCTCAACCATCGCTATCTTATCATAATTAATTTATGTCACACGATTATATTACAGATTTAATCCATATCTTATATTGGTATTATGGTATATTAAAATGTTAGTAATTGCATGGTCGTCGTCGTAATTCGTATTGTTGTCCGTAGTTTTTGTTTGTAGTTTCGTCTTTAATTGTTCAGTTTTACAATGTTACAAAAGCCTCAAAGTGAAATAAACTTTTTAAAATTAGAAACAAATGACAAAAATAATCCATCTTCAAGTGAAAGTATAGAAAATGTAAGCGTGTTACGACCAGAGTCAGAACCAGCTGCATTTTCTTATTCGTATGTAGTCGATTTTAACAGTCAATATGATACTGCATTTGCTATTGAAGAAAATTCAAATCTAAAAATTCGAAATGAACCAAATATGCTTTACAAATACTTAAGAAACGTGGTCACCTAGATAAAATTATATTTTCCCTGTAAGTATGAATAAAAAAGGTTATAAAGAAGCTTTCAAGTTGAATGGCTAAATAAGCACATCTGGTTAGCTTATAATCGTAATAGAGAAGGAGCGTTTTGTAAAGTATGGGTACTTTTTGGACTCAAGTTTGGTGGGATTGGAGGACAAAGACTTGGGATTTTAAAAGAAATTTCTATGATAAAATACAAAGAAGCTTTACAAGATTTTAAGATACATATGGAAAGAGAATATCATAAAACAGCAATTGTGCGGTCTTTGGAATTTATTAAATGTTTTAAAGGCAAAAAAAAATAGAAATTCCACTGGATAACCAATTAAATGAAACTGCCAAAGAAAATATAAATAAGTTGATTCCTATAGTTAAAATAATTATTTTTTGTGGGGTTTCAAATATTTTTAATTTTTAATGTTTTTAAGGTCATCAACTTCCGAGCCCTAGTTATAACATATTTGGATTTTACCATGACTCATTATCTGTTACAATTTATATTTCTGTAATTCATATTGAAGGTTATTTTTTTTTTGTTTTCCATTAAGTTTATCTTATTTTTTTTAAGAATCTTCTAAAACATGTTTACCCCACCACTCTCCACATGATATGCATCTATAAGCAATAAACTTTTGTCAATAGGCATCCGCATGGCCAATATTGCTCACTAAAATTGATGGATATCGATTCGGTAAATATGGATAATGTGTTTTAAAATGTTTAGCCCTCCCCCCAAAATAAAAATCTCAAATTACGTCTATGAGGGGATCCAAAAAAAAAAAAAAAATTGACTACATTATAACTAGGCACTTATTTATATCTTTTAATTTCATGATTATGATGATTGGAATAATTATGTTGTCGAAATCGCAAGAAGCACGAAAAAAAAACCACGTAATGATATACGAGTATACAATATTTTAAGCCATAAAATAATTAAGAACTTACTGAAACATTGTTTCGCCAATATATGTATTTTTTCATCTGATTTATGATCATCGTTGTTAGTTGGACTAGAATATGTATTTATTTTGCCTGTATGAGCTAATTGTTTAATTATTTTTAAAAATGTTCCGTCTTGTAAATTACATACTACAACATTTCTATAATTTAAAAGTATTTTTTCTATTTAACAATTGTATTATAAGTTACATAACTATTGCATACAAGCAGTGATGACGCGTAATTTATTTTCCTATGAAGCAGTTACGTATAGCGAGTACTTACCCAAAATCAAAGTTATAGATTCAGATACATATATATTAAAATTAACGGGTCCAAAAATAAAATATATATAATAATATTGTATATCAAATGTGCAAATTATGTATTAAACTTTTATGTCACATAACACTATCTAACGTACGTTAGAAACCTAACCCCAGCCCCCCCCCCAATTTTTAATTTTGCAATTTTTTTTGCGTCAATAATTAGTGCTCAATTGTTGCCAATTCCTGCCATATTTTCAGAATTCCTGCTGTACCAGTTTTTCCAGAAAGTCGAATTTTCTACGGGTGGGTATGTCATTATTAGGGTTAGGTAGTTGTAGGGAATTGCATATTGTTTTGTATGTTCCCAATTTATAGTAGATCAAACTAGAAATCTGAACTATACAATGGTGAGTTAAGAGATTAAAAATTGAAAATGCATATTTTGTCAATTTTAGCTAAAAAAATGCATGTATCATTGATTTTGCACTCGTATTAGGTATGTATAGGTATTTCATATTTTTTTAAAAAAAATGTTAAGAATTTTAAAATTTTATTTTCCTCGTCTGTATATTTCTATTAATATTGAATACTCAGTGGTGTTTTGGAGGGTATACGCGGGTATACGACGTATAGCCGTGAACCATCATGGTGATTTAGCGTATACTTTATAAAAGTAACACCAATACGGTCGTATACCTACTTCATAAATAGAAAAAAAATCCATAGATATTATCGTCGAACTATATTCATTAGGTATCAAATTATAATATCTACAAGCGGCCGTTGACGTTTCTATACAAGAATATACTAGATAGTGTGGCCATTGATTAAATAAACATAGATAGCCCACGCAATGATAAATATTGGAAACACTTAAAATTTCTCAAATGGAGCTAGAATTGTAGTAGTAATGGATTCCTGATAACTGAATTCGCTGGCGTTCCATATAAACATTTGTAATCTCCAATTTATTGCTATCCGTGATCAATGTTGATACATTGCTGATAAACTATAATCAATTTTAACCGTTGTTATTTATTCCTTTTTATTATATAGGTTCTGTTAAAGTGAATTGTATATATTTTATATGTTTTGTAGTTACCTATTTGACTATTACATGATTATGCTTTTATTTTACAATAATTGTAAATAAAAAAAATAAATATATTATAAATATATAAATAATATTATATTTTTTGCCTTTAAAATCGGGAAATTATTGAATTTTCTATAGAAGCTTTAAATACTTAGATAAATCAAGAAATAATGTGGGATAAAATTAATACACATTTTTTTTTTTTATATTAAAGTTTATACTTGTGAACATGAGATCCAGAAAAGACTTGAATACTCGCGAGCGTCTTTTTCAGTGATAAAATGTGATAAGTCATGATCCTAATGAATACACAATAGTCATTGTCATAAATCCTTAAATACGCGTATACCCTCTAGTTTTTTTGCCAAAACACCACTGAGAATATCTATATAATATTCAAAATTATCAACGAAGAAATTTATTGCCATAGTTACAGTCAACAATTAATTTAATAACAACGACGTGCTACGCATTTCGTCTATTACGCTAAAATATCGAAATATTTATGTTAAGTACTTTTTATCTTATCGTCAAAATGCCAACCAACTATACATTTTTTCCATTATAAATAGTTTTTGTGTATATTATTAATTATTAACAACATCAGATAATATTTAATGTATTTGATGTGGTAATTAAGGGCGGATTTCCCATTAGGCACTGTAGACTAGCTACCTAGGGCGGCAAAATTTGGGGGCGGTAAATTCTGTAGGGTTTTATTAAAAAATATAAAACGTATGAAAAAAATTCGAAAATTAATTGCTTCATATTTACGAAAAATGATTGTATAATAATGTGTGCATTTTGTTAATATTTTTATATTTATTTTGGTTCATTACAATTTATAATCATTAATAATGACTCTTTATAAATAAAAACAACTGTACAGAAAACAGTTTTTGATAATACTATGTTCAAGTTAAATCCGGATATCCGGATAATTCAGATATTCGGATTTAATGCCCATCTCTAAAATCTGGATTTGACAAATCCGAATAATTCGGATTTTTTAAATCCGGATAGGCCCATCACTAGTATCCACAAAAGTTGAAATTCCAAGTAAGCGATTATACATTATTACATATTTTACATATTTTGTAAACAATAAACACGTATAATTATTTTTAATAAACTTGCATAATATTATAACAATTATAAATAAATAATAATAATAATATTAATTATGATAATGATTATTTAAATTTTTAGATTATAATTAAAATAATAGGTAATAATAATTAAAAAAATATAACGAAGGTATTATTTTAAGTGTATTTTAAATTATAGCATATTGTTTTGAGTTCAATATTAGTTTCTTTATTCTTATTTTCCATAAAATATTTTTATTTTTATTTTAATAAAATATCGTTTATTGAATATTTACAATCTATACTATTATATGTACAATGAGTACATTTGATGGAGGAATGATAGTGATGGGACGGTGAAAAGGGAAGCTCACAGTAGAGCTATCTTTATAAAATATTTACAAAATTTATTTCGTATTTATTATTTATTTTGTACTTTTTCTTTTTAATTTCTTTTTATTTGACATTTTTTATTTCTTTGTAGCATAGTACTTAAACAAGGTATTTTCATAAAGTATTGCGTTATTTGAGTCCATTTTTAAGAATGTGCTACATTCACAACAAACAACCATTAACTTGGGTCATCAACTTGAAAATAATCGAAAAATAGTTACGTCTACAAATCGTCCGCCCGCAACTAGGATACTCGCTCGCGCGCGTTGAATATCGCGTCGCCCGCCCACTCGCCCGCTCGAAAAATCGCGTTCACCTGACGCACCGTTATTTTTATCGGATATTGTTGTCGCCGAAATTTCGGGGAAAAATAAATACCCAGACTGCCACACTATATTACTAAATCGACTATATATATATATAAATAATCCTAGGCTGTTGTTATGAAAATCTGTTTTTATTTACATTTAGTGGACATCCATTGACATTTTTTCAAAGTAGACTAATTAATAAAAGCTAAAAAATTGTCTAAAAATTCAAATGGATGTAGGTATATATGTCTATATATTTAATATTTAGATTAGGTATTTTGAAAGGGATAATATAACTTCTTCACCTATTATAGGGGCGGCAAATTTTTGACGCATATAGCCATAAAAAAGATAAATCTGCCTTCGGTTGTAATTTATTATTCAGTTTTATAATATACAATTTTAAACCGATTTCTATTAAAATTAAAATTGAAACGATAATTTGTCCATATTTCTCACACTAATAAATACAAGTATAATACTTAAACCCCCTTTAATGTAATAGAATTATTATTGCTGTCTTATTTGATAACATTAAACTACATTCTACGACTATGTTTAGCTTGTATTTGGTTTCTTTATATCAATTGCATACTGCATTTATTTAAACTATTTCAACAATAACAAAACCCACTATGATAAAAGTTTATTAATAGTCCATAATAATATCATTGTTTAACCATTTTACATTATTTTGTCCAAAGAAAATCATGAAGATTTATATTCATTATAAATACAGTTGATCATTATACAACTTATATGAAAAGAGGATGTAGAAATTTGGAATAGTACGACGATTTAAAAAAAAATTCAGTCCAAGTAAAAGAACAGACGACAGTATCTGTTGAATTTTTATTTTATTCGATTTAAAAATCATTTCAATTAAACTTTTTAAATAAAATTTAAAAACTTTTTTGTAGATTTTATTAGAGCTGAACATGGATACATAAACTATTAAAAATTTCTGTTGTGTATAGAATAATAATTATTATGGTTCAATTGTTTACAGGAACATAATAAAATAACATTAACGTAAAATTATACGTTTTGACAAAATATGTGAATATAAGATACACTTAATTGTATTAATATTAAAATATTACAGATGAATCAATATATCAAAATTTAACAATAGTATAAAAAATTGTGTTCTCTGGAGCAATTGTGTTCATAGATACGTCATCCATAAAAAACATACCCACCCATAGAAAATTCAACTTTCTAGAAAAACTGGAATAGCAGAAATTCTGAAAATATTAGTAGGTATCGGCAGGAATTAAGCACTAATTATTGTCGTAAAAAAAATTGTAAAAAGTTAAATTTAAAGTGTGGGTGGGGTTGGGGTAACGTCACTATCTACCCATCCCGTTTCAGTCATGAAGTAGCTGTTTCAATACAACTCCCATCGCGCCGCCACTGCATATAAAAAATATAAATTCTAAATAAAATATCAAAACAGTATACATACGCTGGTCTGACTTGCATAAATAGAGAGTTCAAAATTTTAAAGTCTAAATTACTTTCTAAAACATCGTGCAATATTTGTATCTACATTGTTTCCAAAAATAAAAATGTGTTAATATTGGTAATTTTTTTTATGAAGGTTTCTTATTACTTCAGACAGATTACTATTAAATGATGCGGCTCCCAAGATGCCATTTTTCCAGTAGACAGAAAGAATTGTATCCTAATTTGAGAAAAAATAGCAATAAAGAAAATCTGTTCTTAAATTTGAACAATAGTTAATCCATAATGAATTATATGTATTTAACATTATTTTAATGAACTCCAATAAATTACCGTGACATCAGAGTTAATTACAATATCATTAGATTTATTAATGTTATTTGCAGAGTCGTGATAATAAGAATAATCAACCGACGAAAACTGCATGGAGTTTGAATATGTACTATTACTTGAAGCCCTAAAACATAATGCAAAATCTATAGTTAAACATTATTTTAGTATTTAAAAGTTATTATGTTGTTAATTTCATTGTAATAAAAGAATTATGAAATATATAAATATATATTTTAATATAAAATAAATTCCATAAATGGAATTAATTTATACTTCTACTCCGAAACGATAAAAGCTATAATGACTCTTGGCTTCCAAAACAATTCTTCACACGCCTCGATCTTGAGTTAAATTTCACCAGTTCTGTATATCCATCAGTTGTAGATCTTTCTTTATTTCATTCACTTCTGGGTCGTCCATTTCTTTTTATACTTCCATTCTTGCATTCATTATTTGTTTATGCATTCTTTTTTTGGCTGCATACGAACTGTGTCCCGTGGCAACAATTCCTTCAGAATTGCGTTCCGGTTATTTTTTGAGATCATACTAGTTGCGTCCCGAATTTTTTTTATACCAAATTTTAATAATTTATTATTTTTATTTAACTTGGTTTCTCATTATTATTGTCGAGAGATTTTCGTTTTAATTTATTACATTTATTAATTTAGTCAATCTCATTAAGGCAAGCGCCATGAATACGGAAATAAAAGTACAGATAGGAAACTCCTTATCAACAGAAGCCCAAGTAAGAACATGATTAAGACAAGGAGATGCATTATCGCCCATTTTATTTAACTTAGTACTGGAAAAAGTGGTTCAAAGCACTAGTTGTGAACAAAGGGGAGTACAGATAGGTGAGACAAAGTTTAGTCTTCTGGCGTACGCGGATAATTTAGTGCTGTTAGCGGAAAATAAAGAAGAGCTCATGGAACAAACTCAAGAATTACTTGAGGCAGCAAAAAGAGTTGGTTTAGAAATAAACGTGGAAAGAACAAAGTACATGATAGCTCAGAGGGCGGTTTTGCCGGAGGATATAGACACTCATCTGGAAGTGGGGGCATATAAATTTAGCTGAGTACAGAAGTTCAAGTACCTAGGCACACTTATAACTCAGAATAATGAAATATAAGAGGAGATAAAAGCAAGAATACATGCTGGCAATAGATGCTATTTTGGATTGAACAAGCTGTTTAAATCTAGAATGTTGTCTAAAAGCCTAAAGGTACAACTGTATAGAACACTTATTCGACCAGTGGTGATGTATGGATGCGAAACTTGGACACTCCATAAGATACAACAGAATAACCCCTTAGTATTTGAACAAAAAGTTTTGATGTCGATTTTTGGCCCTTGCATAGATAGGAATACAGGAGAGTGGAGAATTAGACATAATGTGGAGATCAGGGAGCTATATCAGAAACCAAACATAGTCGACGATATCAGGAAGAGACGGCTCTTTTGGGCTGGCCACATATGACGAAAAGAAGGAGCCCTTATTCATAAGATACTATGTGGCTCTCCAGAGGGCGTAAGACCACTTGGTAGACCAAGGTTGAGGTGGGAAGATCAGGTGTCAAAAGACGTGGAGCGGGTTGAACTGGATGCTGATTGGCGAGTTCTAGCGGAGGATAGAGAGGGATGGCATGGCATATGTTTGTCAGTTTGGTCTTAAAGGCCGTAAACTACGAAGAAAAAGAAGAAGAAAATTTATTACTCACGATTTGACGGTTTATTATTTTGTTTTCTTCATAATGATTATGATCAATAACATTTTAGACAACATCGTTGTCTGAGTTTAAATGAATATAAGATTTATACGTTTTTTTACAACACCACAGTTCAATATTATTTTTAAGTACTTGTGGAATCGAAATTTTTACTCATCAATAACAAATAAATTACGTTGTTTTTCAGTGTACGCAGGGGCGTATTAATGGTCGAAAATAAAATAATCCTTCTGCTGCGTGAGAAGTTTCTGGACAGACTAATCTGGTTGCATAGAGTTCAAAGCTACCCACTTCGATCTTGTGACTTGATGCCGTTTGATTTTTTCTTATGGGGATATATTAAATCACGAGTTTAAGATATAATTTTTTATTCAAATTATGCAGAAATATGATTTCTGATGAAAAAGAAACTAATAAAAAAACGAATAAATGAAAATTGTTCATTTCTTAACGATAGGAACGTTAATATAATAAATTTTGTATTTATATTAAAATTTACAAATGGAAATAAAATTGGTTTATTAAAATATAATAATTATTATCTACTAAATACAATATAATCTTGCTATATGTTAAGATTAAAAATAAAAATTTTAACAACAATTATTAGTTATAATTGTTCACGTATATAATTGTACATGTTTGTCTGTATGACAATAATAGAAAATTATTATAGGGTATCTGGGCATAATATTTTTTGATATAATTTTATAATTAATAATTTTTTTAAGAAACGATTGGTGTTATAATAATAAGATGTAACTCTATAATTCAAGTTAAAGTAAATTAAGAACAACTATGCTTTTTTTGTTAAAAAAAAAGTAGAAATTATTAACATTATTTATTGTGTTTGTTGTTATATCTATACATTATGAATCTATGTCACCATTTTACATTTATTTTTATTTTTAAGTAATATTTAAACTTTATAAACAGAGCTAGGAAGTTCTAGCAAATGCATATTTTTCTTGGTTCATCTTAGAACATCCAAAATAAGATACAAATATGTTTCTCACTACTCAGATATCATACACAAAATTTTATCTGCTATTTTTTGCATATTTACGAGTTTTATTGCTATTTTGTTAATTTAGGGTTTATAGTGCTGTTTTTGGGTATACTTTCATATAATGTAAGAAATAATCACATTTTGTTGATAATAATTGTATTTACTTGATTATGTTTTTAAAAAATATTTTAATTATTGGAAATAAATAGACCTCAATAAATATTATTTTATGTTTTCATCGACAACTTGATGTATTAATAGTGACGTCATTGTTATTCCCTTATTATATCATTGCATTAGATTATCAAACATTTTAATAATCTAAGATAATTTCCTAGGTAAATATATAAAACAATTTAAGAATGAGTACATTTTTACAAATATATTTAAATAATTTAACATTTTTGTTAACAGTTTATAATTCAATCAGTGCAGACTGTGTCTAATGAACCCAACAATTTGTAAAATTACGTTTTTTTCAAGTTAAATGCATATTTTTTGATTTTTCGTGCTAATTATAGCGCATATTTTAGAGTTTTTAAGTGCATATTTAAGAGCTAAAAAGTAATATTTTTAGTGCTACAACTTCCGAATCCTAGTTACAAATAACGTTTATTACAATAAATTCATCCAAACTTATTTTAATTTAAAATATCGATTATTATTATAATAATATACTGTATACTGTTTAGTAAATTATATAAATCCAAATTATTATTTTGATACTTAACGGATTATTTAGTATTCTCATAAATTGAAAAATATTTTTTTACGTAAAGGATGCTTTTTATTGAAAATTGATTACCTATAAGATTTTTCGTAAAATTAAATACGTATCATATCATAATTGAGGGGCTTCTTACTATTGCGTCCAACCCTCGACTCCCAATGCGGTTATTGAATTATAGAATAATAATAAATTCATTAACTTATTAATATAGCCTATAGAGCAGCGGTTCCCAAACTTTAACGATAACGAAACCCTTCAGTTATAGTTTGTTTCGTGGAACCTCAATGTCTCTAACCCAATTTTAAAATTATTTATTGAAAAACCAATACTTCAAAAAATGTTTTAAAGATAGTTCATGTTTATTGTTTATTACCAGGGCTCGGAAGTTCTAACAAATGCATATATTTTTTGGTTCATCCAAGAACATCCAAAGTAAGGGTGTATTTGAGGGGGGGGGCGAAGGGGCATTTGCCCCTCATGGCTGGTATTTTTTTTTAATACAATACATTGACTTAAAAAATGTAATGTATAAACAATTAAGAATATAAATTACTAATCTATCATTATAATATGTTATCATTATAACAGAAACATGAGCTGTAGGTAATGAACTGTAAATTATTTTTAAGTTTGTATTGAAGAAAAATTAGTTTCCCTTCCATGGCCTCAACTCAAATACGCCTTTGATCCAAAGCAGTGGCGGATTCAGGATTTTCTTTTTTCTTTTGATGGAGGGGGTGATTGAAAAAATGTGATATTTTTTATAATATTGCAGTCAGTGATTGATAATGAATTAAGATAATAGTAAGTTATATAATACATTAATTTAAATCCAAGACTACTAATTTCTTGTATGAATAAAAATATAAATTATATTCTTTCCTCACTTTAAAAAAAAATCTTTTTCTTAATTTATAAAATTATTGATTTTTAATATATATTTTTCCTGTTTTGGGGGGGGGGTTTAATCCTCCCCCCGTGGATCCACCTCTGATTCAAACGTAAGATACAAATATGGTTCTCACTACTTGTATATTATACACAAAATTTAATTTTGCTATTTTTTTTTGCATAATTACAGGTTTTATTGCTATTTTGCTAATTTAGGGTTTATAGTGCTATTTTCATATAATACACAAAATAATAACTTTTTGTTGATAATAATTGTATTTACTTCTTTATATTTTTAAAAATATTTAATTGGAAATAAATATACCTCATCAAATATTATTTTGTTTTCATTGACAATTTGACGAATTAATAGTTAGTAACGTCATTGTTATTCCCTTATTATATCATTGCATTAGATTATCAAATATTTTAATAACCCAGAATAATTTCTAAAGTAAATATATAAAATAATTTAGTAATAAGTACATTTTTACAAATATATTTAAGTAATTTAGCATTTTTGTTAACAGTTTATAATTAAACCAGTCCAGACTGTGTCTATGAGTCCAAACATTTGTAAAATTACATATTTTTTTTTAATAAATTTATAATTTTTTCAAGTTAAATGCATATTTTTTGATTTTTTCGTGCTATTTATAGCGCATATTTTAGAATTTTTAAGTACATATTTAAGAGCTGGAAAGTAACATTTTTAGTGCTACAATTTCCCAGCTCTGTTTATTACAATTACTACTTTCAATATTCACATATACCAAGCGGATTCCTTGAGATTGTCTCACGGAACCCTTAGGTTCAATGGAATACATTTTGGGAACCACTGCTATGGAGGTCTAAAAACGATAAGAGTAGTTTCTAATAACCTTCTGTCCTGACGTTTACGGCCATCACGTTTTCGCAAATTAAATTAATGATATAAACGTTGGCCAATGTACAAATATTTATAATGATACATTATAGCGTAGGTAGGTACAAATAAAATAATTTGTTGAACTATTCTTACCAATCATTACATTAATAAAGAAACTAATTGTATGATACAATTTTACCAACGTCTAAATTAAAATATACAATTTATTTTTTTACAGACGAGAACACTCATTATTAATCATTCGTAAATTCAATGATTTTATTAATTTGTAGTTATATACTTACATCTGGTTAGATTCTTAGATTATTTTTGTACATATGTCTATGTTTTTGGTTTGTAAGTTTCCCGAAATTCGATAACTGAGTAGCATAAAAAAAAAAAGAATTGCATACAAGTATAAACTAGGACAAAGAAAATAATTTATTTTCAAGTAAAATAACTATTGGTAAACAGTGTTACCTAATCATCATTTCATTTTATGTTAGCTCAATGTTTTTAATTGATTGTTTTATACGACTACACTGTATAAGCTCTATATTTAATATTTTTCAAATAATTCAATAAATCATAATTGAAGAGTTCCACGGTATTGCTCAAGTAGATATTTAAATGATTATCAGAGAAATATTATCATAGGTCGGGTGTTTTTCATATACAGTATAACATATTATCCGAAGGTTATTTCATTTCAATTTATGTATCCGAACGTCAATGCATAAAATATCACGATGCACACGCTCAGTTGCAGTTTATCTCAACGACGTCTACACGTGCAGTTAGCTTATTAATGTATACATATTAAATACTGAACATATTGTATTTGTAACAAGTAAAATAATATAATATGTAATTTGTCATAAAAAGTAAAATAAGCCAATGATGTCTAATAATAATTCTATGTTCATTGCAATAATTTTTTTTTTAATTTCTATTATTCGAACTCAGCGTGGTCTCAAGTAGTTTGGATAATGTAGGTTCTACTGTATGATTAAAAATAAAAAATAAAATTGCCAACTAACAGCAATCGACCCTTTTCAATATAACTTTAGTCAGAATAATACTTGGTAGTTAACAGATAATTTATAGCATATCACAGTGTAGTCAATACACAAGAGCATTTAATAACATACTTCTCAGAAGGTATTAGCTAATTTTATGGTACCTTTTTGATTTATCATATTCAATGACAAAATTTACTTAAATTATATATATATTTTTTTTAATCTCATTTAAAATAAAATAATTAGTTTAATGTTGTATATTAATAGAATAGCATTAACAATATAGTACCAAACATTTTAGTAGAAAAAACTCATTGATGTAAAAAAAAATTATTTTATTTTGCTGAAAAAAAAGAAGATATTTTACATAGTAATAAAAAAAAATTCATGTTACATATTCATATAAACATTGTATTATTTATCTATTTCATTTTTAAAAACCATAGACAATCAACACAATAATATTAATTAGTATTAGTAATTAAGTACTGATAACCAACATGTCATATAGACAATGACATTGGTTATTCTGATATCACATAATATAATAAATTATTAAAATAATTATTAATCAAAAATTAACAAATTGTATAAATACACTGTCGCAAAATACGATTAAAATTGAGGTGCCTAACAACGATAAAACTTGATTAATTTTTATAATAATACAAATTAAAAAAAAAAAAAAAAAATTACCTTTTATTTTAAAAATATATTTAGTATAATTTATATAGATACTATCTTTCCACCAACAAACACATAATTTAGAAGACAATTTTTTTAAAATTATTAGTTTTTGAAATTTTTTGAACAAAATTTAAATAGTATATTTTTAAATGAGTGAAACATCAATAACACTGTATGTTATATGATATATAACAAAAAAAAAAAAAAAATTAGACTAGACAAGTTATGAATTGAGATAATATTGGTAGTAATTTTCATTTAGGTGGAGAAGTTGCGGGAAAAATAGACTGAATGAATAATTATCTAACAATCACAAAAGACAAATTATATCTTTTCCTCAAGCTATTATAAGTGCATAATATTTATCCAATTTAATAATTATTAACACGTACGTCACACATATACTAATTATGATATATAAATATATGTATAAGATATATACTATAAAATATTGTTCATTTGAACAAATATTTATAATTATACTAAATATACAATATCCACATTAATATATTTTTATGTAATATGAAAAATAATTGTTATTTTTATTATGTTTTTATACAAAAACTTACGTCTAAACATGATCACTAAATTAGATTGTCACTGTAATAGTTTAATGATAATAGCAATCATGTACACTGTGGAAGACATTATTTTGTAATACAAAAAAAAAAAAAAATGATTGGATAATATAAGGTTCTAAATTTTGTACTTTATTTAACGTTAAAATTAAACTGAAGTTATTTAAATTTAAAAGTTAAAACAAACTTCTATACTTAATATCATATACAGTAGTGTACGCTATGTCAACAATTACATAAGAGTGGCTTGTTGATAATCCATTGAAAAAAAAAAATAAATCCTACAAATTCATTGAAAATATTTCAATCTTATTAAAACACTGATATTATAAAAATGACTTAAATATAATAGAAAATTAGAATTATTGGAAATAGTAATTTAATCAAGTTACTTTATAATAATTGTACTGTTAATATTGTTTTATCAAAAATGAAATGTTCATAAAATACATTTCATGACCAAAACAAATTAAACTTGATTTTTTTTAGAAGTCTACTAAAAAAAAAAAAAAAAAAAAATGCTCATAAATTATTAGTTATATACTTTTATAACATTGAACTTTTAAATATCCATCTAAATGCTATTACATATAAATGCATGTATATATATATATATATATGCACATGCCATAAGTATTTAGAAAACATTAAAAAATATAATAGTTATAGAAATGTACATTTTTCAGAATATCTTATCAAAAATAATTATTAGGAATGTTGAACTTAAATGAGAAGAGCGCGAATAAACCGGTAAGACGGTAGGATAACATGTATGTAAAATATTATTGCTCTATCGACATGTCAAATCGGAACAATTTTAAATGCAAACAATTAACTATATAATGAAATAACAATAATATTATATACATAAATAATTTGGAAGAAGTATGAATTTTGTTTGCATTTTGATTTTACATTAACCAGGTGTAATGACAATTCACGTCGGTGGTGGTCCGTTCATGTACCGTAAACCAAGTGCAAAAGACCATTTATAGTTGTTCTGAAGATCACAGCACTGGGGTTCCAGCCAACCAATAGAACACAGAATCATGACAGCCAAATAGAATGGTACAGCAATTCGCAGAGTACGCCACAGGAGTGCAGTATTGTCTTTAATTTTCTTAAGAGGAGTTTTTGGGTTCTCTGCAGTAGTATCAACACTAAAAAACAAATGGAAAACAGTTTATTTAATGTCGAATTATAGTATAGAAACTATTGCTGACAAAATAAGGGTTAAAGGGTAGTACATTTTTAATAATTCAGATTTTTCTAACAAATTTTTATCATTTTACAATGGTTTTAAAACAATTTTGTCTTTTAAATAAAAAAGGTAGAATTGGAATAAGATAATTATTTAAAATATAATTATTATTATTTTGATAGATTACCAGTATTTAACATACCGCATATGTATGAAGTTCAAAAAATTATCTATACAAGAATAAAATACGAAAAATGGGTTCAATTGATTAAAAATAAGGTTAGGATTTATATGCAATTGCAATATGTGTATTTTATTTACAAAAATGTACTAACAATTTTTTTTTTACGTAAATAAATTAATCTAATAATTTAGATAATAATTTAATAAGATGATAATTTATTTAAATCTTTAATTGAATTAAATATTATATAATGTAATGATACGTTTTCCAATTTTTCAAATATAAACGACTATTCTTCGTTTGTTTTTACTTTTGAACTATACTTCACAATTTATTTCATTAGAAATATGGAAATATCTTCGTTAAATAAATATTATTTCAAATTCCTTAGATTCTTAAATGTATTAACTTAATCGAGAATGAGGTAAGTCATGGGCATATTTGTAACCTGACAACCAATATATTTTATCTTATTTTTTTTGTCATTCACTTTTCTTCCGAAAATGTTGAGTCGGCTATTCTTGTCCTATACCTAACTAATATCTATATATTGACTATCAAAATAAAAATGCAAATGGATAGTAATGTTAGTCTAAGAATAGTGTCCTAATAAAACTCATTACTCATTAAGTCATAACATATAACATGTCACATAGATTACAATTTTTAATAAATTTATAATAAACTCAAAAATTGTGCAGAAAAAAAAAATACAAATCGATTTCTTTTTAGAAAATGATTTTTTTTTTTTTTTATGGAGGAGGGTCAGCGCTTTAACTCCAAACTCCTACTGCTATTTTGTATGTATTTATTATAATCAAATAATGGTTTTTAATATGATATGTACATTTTACAAACTATTTATAATACGGGCTATAATAATCCACTAATTAATAGATAATTGTAAAAATACATTAGTCGGAAAAGTGTAGAATTTCAAAAGTGACATTTCATAATGAGAAAACTTTTTGTAAATTTAATTACTGCACACAAAATAACTCTGAGAGTTATGATAACTATACATTGAGTTTTCTAACAAAAGTGTCTCATTAATATTTTAAAGTGGAACAAACAAGAAAATTTACAGAAATACAAGAAAAGCATTAAATTAAACATAATTATAGTACCTATTAGTGATGGACATATTAAGAAACTTAGTCGGTAGTACTGTAAGAATTTAGTTATTCAACGAGGTATAATTAGTCAATTGACTATTTTCTATTCTACTAATTTATATTATTTGACTAATTTTTATTCAATTAACCATTAACTAAATGTACTTTTTTTTTTTTGACTCATTTTGGTAGTAATAACAATTGTAACTAACTTTAGTATGAATTTTATTAAAAATACAAAAAAACTGTATATTAAAAACTGTTATAACTCTATGGATTAAGGCAATTGAATGATAATTAAGGAACTAGTGCGTCCATAGGAAAACTTAAAAAAAATAAATATAATGGTGTGTGGTAATATTCTTTTAGTGTTCGAACATCACACAACCATACAAAATGTATTGTTTATGTCGTTCGTCGGCGTACTAATAAAAAATGTTGGAATTTCACCATATACGGACAAAAAAACCGTAGTGTGTGGCCATCTTTATAGACCTTTGTATATTATAGTGTGTGTGTGTGTGTGTGTGTGTGTGTTATTATTGGTGTACATTTTGTATGAGTATTTTTTATTAGCTCTACGGGCAACGAATTATCGACTATAATGGAAGCTAGTTTTAAATTTCTTAAATTAGTCGGTAGTACGGCTTCAGTACTCTGCATTCTCTGTAATAAGTCAGTTATCTATTTACAATATGATTTAATTAATTTTAGTTAATTATTTTTTAGTTGAATGAGTCGAATAATTTAATTTATTTATATAAGATGGTTGTTCAAAATTTAGTCGAATAATTGGTTGGCAGTACGTGATGAAAACCGACTAATAGTCGGTAGTAACAAATAGTCGCTTCTGCCCACCACTAGTACCTATTATTAAAACACCGTCAGATGAAATTATTTTTGATTGGTAGAAACAAACAAATGAGATTAGATCAATAGTAACAATAAAAAGAATATTATTCTAGAAATGCGGCACATTGTTAATTTGAAAATACAATAATATTTTTATCCATCTATTGTATACCTAATACAATTATTTACAATTTAATCGCTCTTTTCATTCGGCAAAATTAAAGATTGAGAATTGTCAAATGCTTTGCGAGTGTATATTAAAGTAACTCTATGGTGTATAAACGATATAAACAGTGTTGAGCCCAGATAAATACTTTTTTATCTAGATAAAAATAAAGATAAAGATAAAAAAACTTCAAATCTATCCAGATAAAGATAAAAATGAATAAATCCAAAATCATCTATTTAATAGATAAAAGATAAATATAATTTATCTAGATAAAAAAGGTTTCTTTTAGGTCATTAATTTCAATTATACAATATACAAATATTACAAACATGCATGTTATACTGACGTGTAATTCGTAGCACCCATAGGCTGTACATAATCAAGGGATTTATTTTCAATGTAATAATAATTATTTATCGACCTGACATGCTTTTTGCTGGACGTCTGCGTTTATAAAAAAAATGTTTTCTAATAAGTTTTATTTTATTTATATTATGTGATTAGACAATATCATTATGAAAATATTTTATATTGGATAATATATTAATATAATATACTCTTATATTATGTCCATCGTTAGTAATTGAAATATTATTATTTCCGTATTTTTTGTTCTTGTAATCTTAGTGGCTCAGACACAGTGTCCGGCAACTAGAGGGGAAAAATTGTATCGTCTGAAAGCACTCTTGGTAAAACTCGGGGTAAATAAAATTATTTATAGAATCACAATATTATAATTTATAAAATATAAATCGTTACCGACCCATCGTCGTCGACGAGATCGAAAATAGTACAATATGATAATAAGTAATTATCAGGAACAAAAATAAAATAATTTAAAAATAATTTCTTCAACATAAAATATCTAGATAAATTTTAGTAGATGACTGAAATTTTTATCTAGATAAGTCTCAATACTGGATATAATCATAAGAGGTTAGGTTAGATTAATATATACGTTTTCACGGAGGAAACATTTTTCGAACTGCACAGAAGTATCATATTATTAGTATTAAATTCCTATTCCATTTTAAATCATAATACTACTGTATTAAAAGTAATACATAATATTTGCATCCGGGTACTAATTTATGGCGTATGTTAATCAACAACAAATTTTAAAATTTGAGTTACAATAAAAAAATATTGATAAATTATTTTTTTCGTTATAATAATGTCTATTGATCCTACATAAAAATAATTGTATCTTCTTACATTGAATATCAATAGCGAAAACAGCCGAAAAAGTTGATTTAAAACATGTAGTTAAAGCATAGATACATTAAAATACTATATTTTTTATACATCTGTGAGCATAAATGCGCGGGGACCTATATTTCAGGGAGTGCCTATAATACTATTGGACTCTATTTTAACAAAAGGTGTTGGTAAACCTATTTAATAAATTATAATGTATAAATTATTAAATAAATATTATTTTAATTTTTATTTAATATTATGGTATATTAGTTCCAATGAATATGTTGTTTACGTTTGTAATCGATTGTAGCTGTTAAATTATCATAATAAGTTTTCTCACAAATTTTAGAACATTTTGTTTTATTTTTTCCATAACGAATTATAATTTATTTTTTACCAAATATTTTAGAATAAATTACATTTAATTTGAGAAATATCAGTTAAAATAGAGGCCCCTTATTCTTAAATTTAAATTTTGGGGCCTCATTTACAAAATTTCCAGGGGTGTCCGGGAACACCCAGCACACTTATGTCTGTGAGAGTCTCTTTAACCTATTAAGTTACAAATTTCAAATACAGTGTACTCACGATTATCCGTGGAATAGGATGGTATCAGAGACAATTTTACTGTTTATTTTTAGGGGTTCAAAATTAAATTTGCCGTCTACTAAGAACACAATTTAACGACTTATATTTTATAGTCGTCAGCCGTCACAGCTTAATATAATTATTTTGATACTATAGAAAATGGATAACATGATCACTGATCTATCATAATATATCGTTATTAAAAATATTTCCACAATCAACACACTTAGAGCGAGTTGCATAAAGACCAGTCTGTTAATATATTGACGCAATATTGTAATGGGGTATTAAAAAAATAAAATGAGTTGCATAAAAGATTTGTATTTTATTGATAAATGGTTACTAAATATATTATATCACATTTTATATGATTACAATGATAACTGATTATATTATCAAGTATCAATAAATAATTATTAAACAATTAATAATTTATGAATATTTAAAATTTGTTTTTCAAATTACTTATGTTTTGACCTAACTTATTTATTGTGCTAATATTTTTGTTATACAATATATATATTATATTAACGGTACGTCGGTTTAATCGTTTATGATGGCTACTAAACGTGTGAGGAATAAAAATTACCGAAAAAGAAAAGAAAAAGCAATGTTAATGGAATTAATAATTCCTCATAAGAATGTAATCGAAAATATTAAGGTATGTGTTTGACAAGTAACCCTAATAGTTAATTATAAATGACATAGTATCCTAGACATACTAAAAATGAATATGCATTTTAGACTAATTCTATTAGCATAAGGAATATAATAAAAATGGTGTGGCCAATAAGAAATTATATTTGTTATCACCATAATAACAGATCTGTGAAAGTTAACTATCGAAAATC